AAAGAACATATCCGTACCCTGAGGGATTCTGAAGGTGAACCCTCGCCTGGTATTCAATGAGAAACGTGATTCTAATTCGATGGTTTAGATTGATTGTTGGACAAGAAGCACGCTCATTCCATCCAATTTTCAGTGATCCTTCAGTAACCAAGTAATGTTCATCTTTCAATGAAACATTTACAAACATCTTTTTTGACAACAACAACAACAACAAAAAAGGCACAAAATGAAGAAAAGAAATTCTTTTTTCTTTTTCTTCTTTTCAAATCTCTTTTATTCCAGTAGCTTGTAAACTCAGTTTCCACCCAATTGTGTTCAGAAGCTGATCAAGAAACATGAATAAAGAGTTATCTTGCCCACCCCGGGGTCACACAGTTGAACAGATTAAACAGTTGAATGATAAATTGAAATTGAGATTAAACATTGAATTTAATTGGAAACAAAGTAATTAATTGTTTCAACAATTTCTTTGCAAATCTTATCCACTCTGAATTAGATGATCCAAATTGCGAACAAGCTTTTTCTGTCCAAACACAGCTCAAAGGCAGAAGAAAAAAGTTCTGTACTTTACATGGTTTTCCCTTTATTCTGGCAAAAAAGTAATATCAGTTATTAGATGAGTTTAGATAACATTGTTGAACCTGTTTGCTGAAGTCATTTGTGTCTTCCTTAATCTTGGATGATCCAATGGAGAAAGGTTTCAAATGATTATCATGATCAACTGAGGGTTGATTGCTGTCAAAGATGAAAGGATGGGTCAGACAATAAATGATTCTTGTTATTGTTGTGATGATAAACAGGGGAAGATAAAGACTGAGAAGAGTTGCCGTAAGCATCATCAAGATGATGATATGATTTGCCGGAAAATTAAATTTTCCGGTTTTGCTATTCGGGCCGTTTAAGTGTCTGTTCAAAGTAGATGCTCAGGATGATCGGGCGGAGGCCAATTCCTATTCAAGCCAATTTCAAGGTCATCTTAATCTTTGCCTTTTCTTCGCCATCTTCTTCACCATCTTCATCAGCAACTTGAAATTCATCTCTAAACATCTACAACAGGATAAATGGTTTCTTCTTACACTTTAGCTTCTGAAGTTCTTTTTTCTTTTCAATTATTTCATCTTCTGTTTTCAGTTTCGCATTCAAACTTGATGCCTTTTCAATTTCACCTCCTTTCTTCCTCCTCACCATCTTACCCTCCCTCTGAGCCCTGAAATATCCATCATCTTCTGATACTTTGTTTTTCTTCCCTTCAATTTGTTCGCTTATCCATTTTCTCATTCCTCTTTCCGCTTCTTTGCATTATATTCATTATTGTAATCAAAAATGTTAGTTTCATTGAGGAATCTTTGTTGACGGATTTAAAACATTTAATCCTGTGATAAACCTTTTAAACACGATTCAAGCAAAGAATGAAAACTTTTTCTAATCAGTCTGTTTATTAGACAAGATACAATCATGTTAACTTGTGATGGATTGAATCGAGAAAAGAGTAAAAATATTGATTCAATCTTGCAATTGAGATTAACTTTGATCATTCCCATTGCAATTTTAAACCTTTTCATCAAACTGTGAACCCTTCAAAATGATTGACTGAAACATTAAGAAACAAAAGTACAACAATAAACATGTAATGGATCTGATTACATTTGTTTTTACTCATTAATTCAACTTGCAAGAGTTGAACAAATTGAAACAATTGGACATCATTTTGATTAAATATTTGCACAAAATGATAAACTTTGCAAAAATTGAAGAAAAAGAAAGTTTTATTTTGCAAAAAGTGGAAAACTGGGAAACATTGATTGAAACAAGTGCCATTGACTCTGTGCAATATCAACAATGTTTATGTTAACCCAAGAGCGATCCAAGAGCGGTTAAGGTCAACCTAGTAACAGTAGTTGCAACAATAAATTGGTTTTGAAAGCTGCAAATGGAAAGTTCATTTCACGGTAAAATACTTTTAGTAACTTGAGACGATCATTACCAAGAATAAGAAAATGATAATGAAGATAATGTTTACAATAACAAGGAGAGAGAGAGAGAAAAGTCAGAGAGAATGGACTGAAGAAGAAAATGGCCGTTTTTCTTGAATAAGATGGGCGAAGATGATGATATAAGGCGATGCCGTTGATAATAAGAATCTCTAGTTATTATTATGGGATTTGTTTCCGTTTTGAGAGAAAAATAAGTTTTGAGGCCGATGAATTTGATGAGCTGGATGATTCTGGATACTGTAGGTTGACCTTAGCTTCACCACATGGCACAGCGACAGCGGATGTTGTGGTGGTTATAATAAAAGTGGTTACTGGTACTTTTCAAGTTTCCCTCAACACTTGAGCCCAGTGGTTTGCAGTGTCTTCATCTTTTGCCAAGATAAAAAACAAACCTTCAATGACCTTAACTCCACTCTAATCATCATTGGTAAGGTCAACCAAGCGAAGTTTTTTTACAGGGGAAAAAAGAACAACAAGAAAAAAAAACAAGAATCATCTTCGCTTTCATTTGCTAGCTTCTTCTTCTTCTTCTTCACCCAACCGAATCATCCTCACTTCCTCTATGGCTTTTCATCCATAGTTTCTTATATCATCATCACCATCATGACCAAGAGTAACATCATCTTTGAAAGAAACCAGAGAATCAAATGCAACTTGTTTTTGCTGTTTCTCTCTTTTTGTTTCTGGTCAACAAAACTTTTCCTTTCTCCTGCAAACCTCTTAATTGCAATTTAAATGTTAATCTAACGGTAGTTGCATTTTGCACAATTAGATACTTGACTTGCAAGAGGAAACCCGTGAAAAAAGATTATTAACAGAAATGCAAAGAAGATGATTTTTGTTCAATTGATTGATGCGTATCCAGTCATTATTAGTGAAAAGTCTTTTCAAAACGTTTCTTCTTGGCGATTCCTTGCTGCTCATGTTCATCATGAAATTTGGCTTCTTAATCTTGGCGTTAGTTTCTTTTCATTATTTCACATTCTTATCACCATCAAAATGTTTATTCAATGATAATCAAAGAAGCCCAAATGTTGATATGAATTGGGATAAACCCCTTGGGCAAGTTTCCCTTACTGAGGCCCAAAATCCGCCTTCAGAAGCCGCAAGGGCCATTCTCTTAACTTTTTTTCCTTCTATTCACCATTTTATTACCTTCATCATCATCATTTTTCAATAGAGAGCATCTCATCATCGTTTCCATCAACCAACCGGTAACCATGAAGATACATCCTAATTAAAACAAGGATCTTTACAGTTCATTTTTTCACCATTTTTCATCTTTTCTCTTCAATTTATAATCTTTTCTTCCAAAGACTATCTTGACCCTTCATTTGCATTATCAACATTAATCAGTCTCTAATTGTTGCAATCACATTAACGATTTAACAGTTTTCCAAGTCTTTGTACCAAAAGTCAATAAATAATGTTTGGTTCCGTTATTGAATCTTTATTTATGTTTCTATCAATCTGGTAAATTCAATTGTTAATCTGACGATTAGACATGTTTACAGTTTGGATTATTGAATGAAAAGCAACATTTAAATGTGAAAAACTAAACTTTGCTTTTTTTCCTTTTTCCAAAACTATTTAGATTATCTTGATAATTTGTTATGAAATTAATATCATCTGAATAGGAACTTGTTTAGCCTCATTGTTTGGTTAAATTGCATTAATTAATCATTTCAATCACTTTATTCATCCCATTGGAAGAAGAAGAAAAAATTGAGAGAAAAAAAACAAGATCTGGGTTTAAAAATGATTTAATGGTGATAAAGATTTCTGTTTAACACCAAAATGGGTCCAAAGAATCGGGTAAAACGGATAACGTAAAGATCATGAATCAGAAGGGAATCATTATTGGGTTACAATATTTATCAATTGTAGCCTCAAGGGAACGGGCAGTTAAAGGATAACAAGGTAAAGATGAAAATAAGGTGAGTAGGAACCAGAAGAAGAAGAAGAAGAAGAAGAAAAACTTAAAAAATGATTTTTCATTATAACTTTCATCTTCAATGGGTTGACTAACGATGTTGATGGACAAGTTGATACAGATGAGGCTGACCTTTACTTGACTATTTTGTTGCTGATTTACTGTAACAATTTGGCCAAAAGTGATGAACATTTTCAAGCCTGTTTCAATAATGTAAAGTTACCCTTGAGGGGTTAATCAATGAATTAGTTAACTTTTTTTTTCCCCAAATTGAACATCATTTTAACAGTTTCCTTCTTTATCTTAATCATTTTTTTCACACAAGATGAATCAAGTTGAGGATGAGGATGGTGAAGAGGATCATGCAAGTGCAGATAGGAATAGATATTAGGTACAATTAGCACTTGAAAACATGAATCTAATGTTGACATGATATTGAACGTCCAAACTGTTGAATCTGAAATGATCGTTTAAGAAAAGCTGTAAAGGTCAATCCATTTCTCTTCTCGCAACCTTGTTCCATTTAGCAATGTTAATCTCATTTTAATACAATTTCATGCAAAACGCAAATCTTTTGCAAACATTAAACTGATCTATTGATGGAAATGCAAACAAGTTCTCAAAGTGGATCGACTTTTCCTGAATCGAAACAAAAGTTCTAATTGATTTTAATTTCCATTTTTCCAGTTGATTGGATGCAAACTTGAATCAAGATTTAAGGTAATTCCAATTTGTCAACTTCTCCAAAATCGAAACAAACATTTTCAATTGATCTTGATTGCAATTTTGCAATTGATTGGACAGAGAATTGAAAAGTCCAAAAAGTTTGTCGACTTTTCCTGAAACTTTCAGTTAATTTTAATTTTTATGTTTCTTTACGATTGATTGAGCAGAGAATTGCTAAGTTGCAATCAAATTGAATGCAAAGTTGCAAAAAGATTTAAACTTTACATCAATCACTTTCCTTGCAAGTTTGCTGTGAAAATTTGCAATTTATGGCAACTCAAGCAAACCTTTTATTCATTACTTACCTTGACAACGGGACTTTTACTCAATCCATTTTAAGATGAAGTAAAAGTCTTGATATTCATCTTTTGAAAGGAAGATAAAAAAAGTGGGAGAAATGAGAGAAAGGAAAAAATAAGAAAATGATGATAATGGGATGAAATGAAAGTCTTTGTAGGAAGAGGCGAAATATTTGGCAAGAAGAAGAAGCAAAAAAAGAAAGTCTAGAAATGCGAAATAAGGAATCAAAAGTGACCTGACCTAGAAGAGAGACTGGAAAAGATTACAAAAAGAAACGATCAAAGTTGAGAGAAGGAAAAAAAACGCGATAAAAAAGTTCATCATTTTGTTAAATCTTTTTTACTTCATCTTCAAGTTTCTCATTGATATTGGCCAGTATTACTTGGCCGGGACCTGAACCACTCTCTCTGTCAATTTATACGCATTTGTCTTTTGTGCTTTTTTTACTAGCAACTGTTCAACAATGAATTATTGCTTGACATGTAAAATGAGGAGGATGATGAGGATCAGGATGAAAGAGTGAAGTGCTCTTGGGTCAATCTAATAATAATAACGATCTTCTTGTGATGGCAACTTGGCCCAGAAGAGCAAAAATTTAGACTATTTTTGGTGCCACATTTTTTTGGGTAAATTTAAAAGCCACTGTCTTTCACACTGACTTCAACTCCCTCGGTCTGTTTACATGTTTTTTGAGCTATTCCCAGGTCATCTTCATCATTCAGTAAAGGTCAATGGTGGGTTCCAACGGTTCCTTGCCATTACTTATTCCATGCAAAAGAACAGCGAATGTAAATCTTTTTTCTCTCTCTCTCTTCACATTTGTCTTCATTGACAAGAGAGCAACTAGACACAACAAGATTTAAGATTTAAGAGGAAAGAAGAGAAGACGAAAAGCCTTGGGTCAATGAAGAAAAGTCCTGTTGCAAGGAAAATGCGAAAATAACTTATTCTCTCTTCTCTTTTTTTTAGGACACAACAAAGTGAGAAAAGTTATCCTGGTTGATGAAAAGAGCCAAAAAGTGAAAACTTATGGAATGGAAAATGCAATTTAATTTAAACCTCTCAGGGTAACCATTAATTCATGTTTTACCTTTTAACTTGACCGGATCCTGAGGAGAAGATTTGGACGCTTGCCTCTTTGTTTATCATCATCACTCTCCATGTTACTGTTGAATAACCATGAATATTGAGCATAAAAGGCAGAAGCAATTCATGTAATAATAGAGTTGATCTAAAGCCAGTCGTGCTTTCTGATTACTTCAAAGTCCGTCAAAATGTTCACGGAAAATCCATTTAATTTCAACTGTAATCAATATTCACATTATAATCAAAGAGAGTAAAAAATATCAAACAAAAAAAGCAAGACCAACATCCAAACGTCTAATGCTCATTGTAACGTCCTTATGATAATGATGATTAACGTCGTGCTTCCAATCATCTAATCCTCTTCTTGTTACAATGTTACCTTACGTATCATCGTGAATTCTGGTCAACACAGGAAGGTAACAAGAAGAGGGTAAGAAGCAGAAAAGAGATGATAATCATGATGATAAAAGAGAAGGAAAAAAAGAAAGAAAAGAGAATAAGAAAGAAAAGGAAAAGAGAAGAAAAAAGTTGAGAATATTTTACAAAGACTTAAGACGTTCCTACCTTACCTTGCCCAAACTAGATGGGCTCCTTCATCGGGTAATAGGTCAACACCCAATTACGCCGTTTCGTTGACCTGAAAGCGAAAAGAAGAAGAAAGGAAGAGAAGAAGAAAAAAGTATCCAGTGAAAGGTAAAACCAAAGAGATGATGATGACTCTGGTAAACCTTAGCACGTTATGAACCTTTTTTTTGCAGGTAAAAGGAATCAACATTGTCAACATTCTTTAAAAAGCCTGGGAAAATTTTTTTTTACTCCAAAATCTAAACTCAACATTTTCTTTTATTTCACTTTTTCTTTTCTTACCTGTGTTCGTCTTGATCGTCTTCTTCCTTTTCTTCAACATTCTTCTCTCCGCCCTGATTTCCTTTCAACAAGAGCAAACCCTTTTTACCTTGATTATCATTTTCTGGTAACCTGGATTCAATGAGACGCCATTCTTACCCTTTTTATGTATTACCAACAAAGGGTCAGAGGTTATTCAAGTTTCAATCATTTTTTTACCTTTTTTTATACCTTCTTCAAGGTTCATCTTTGTGCCAATATTTTCACCTTTATATTGAAAGCTTTGTTATTAGAGAAGCGATTGGAAATGGATGTTAATGATAACATTTTTTTTCATCTTAATTGTCATCTTTTTATTTATCGATTGTTCATTTTAGGCAACAATTGATGGACATTGAAAAGGAAAGCTGATTTAATGCTACAAATTGCATTTTTAACAATCAATCTTAATTCATGGTTAATCAATGGCTCAGGTTAATGTTGAGCAACAATTGAATTTGAAAAGATGAAAGTTTCAAGTTTAATATTAATAATATTCAACTATCAATGTGAATATAAATATTAATGAGAGCAATTAACTCGTTCATTAATCTTGATAACTTGAGATTGAAAGTGAATGCGTTCATGTTTAATCAATTGAGTTTACTTGCGCTTTTCCTTAGTTTAACATTTAGATAAACATTGAAAGGCTGAGAAAATATCAAAGTTTATATCAAAATTGGCATTAATTCAGGAAGTTAACCAATTGATTCAAGTTCATGATCACATGTAAATGCTTTCTCTAGTTCAGGGTTTCATTGAAAGAGCAAAATTAACAAACAAAATGTGCCAAAACAATCTATTAATACAATCATCAAGACAATAACCTTTAACCAGAAAAATTAATACAACAAAGGAAAAGTTGACTTTCATTTTTTTCAGTTTCAGCTCAACTTGTGATAACTTTAAGCTGAAATTGAAGCTGAACTGCCAATGTTTGCAAGTTGCAATGGATGGAAACATTGGTGAATACTGTTGATTGATAAACAAGTGAAAATGATGTTTGCAGATTTCAACTGAATAAATTCATTTCACTATCATTATTGTAATACACTTTTTTTGTTGTTGTTTTTTCTTCTTCTTTCAAGGTGAATTCAAGTGAATCAGAAGAGGTTAGTAAGACGATGATAACATGATGAGATAAAGAAAAACAAGTAATGATACGGATGAAGAGAAACTGGGCTATTCGGACATTTTTCATGAAGAACGGAACTTACTTGTTCAACTATTATTAGAGGAATAAAAATACTGGCAAATACTGGTTCGGTGAGTCCGTGCATCTTCACTGTACTAGTGGTCCAGTCTGATGATTATCATGATCATGATCATGAAATGGATGGAAGGAAAAAAAGAAGAGAAAGAGAAGAGAAAAGGGTTAACCCCTCAAGTCAATTATAAATCAATCGCTTTTAATTGATTAATGAAACTCGGGATAAACGGTCAGCTGATTAGCGCAACTTTTTTTACTCATATTTTTTGCTTCAATTTGTTTATCATTTGCATTGATTCAAGAGGTAATGTAAAAAAAAGGCGAAAAAATTGAAGAAAATTTTTCCTCTGCTTTTCCCAGTTTCTGGTCAAATCATGAAAAAACTGGATCATTATTTGGTGTTCGATGTTAACCTTTATTCAAGTCACTATGAGAGTCTTTATTGTAACTCATTTATTTTTGTTTTTCCTCTTTTTTTCTTCTTCTTTTGCCCAATCCTTTTTTAATGTTTCCCCAACTTGATCATCATAATCATCACCAAACATGATCCGTGTTTGCAAATGAGATGAAATGCCATGCTTACACCAAATGTTATTAAGATTCTTGTTCAACCTCTAATCCAGATTCTTGGTTCCAATCGTGTTCTAGTTAATCAGCTTCTTTCTCTTTTCTCTCTCCTTTTTTTTTATTATATTTCATCCTCCGCATCATTTTATCAGGATAAACGGTTAGTATGTTTGATAGAGCAAGAACGAGAACGGATCTGTATTTGCATCCTTTTGCGTTTTGTGCCTCAGCAAAATTGTTAACCATTTCTTCATCTTTATTCCTCTTCTTTGCATTCTTTTAGGTTTACCTTTGATTCTTCTTCTTCTTCTTGATGCTCTTAATTTTTATCCTGGATCATCATCGGTTAACACGGTATTCCAACAGCAGGAAGCATTAACTCACAATTTGTTATTTCACTGTTTTTTTGCTCAACCTTTACTTTGCGCTTGTTCAATTTACCTTGCGGCTCAATTGTAAAGCCTCTCCTTGTCCTAATCAGAAGGCATAAAGTACACATTGAACAAGATAATGGCTAGTAATAATGGTTTAAAGAATCAGGATCATCTTCAGGATATAATCACAACATTGATTATCCCAGTTTCAAGTTTAATCTAATTTAGTCAACAATCAATTTGCAAGTTTCTTTCAAAGTGGGTTTCAGTTTAATTGCTTAAAGATGCATATGCAAATGCTAACCATTTATCAACCCACAAGTGTCAACATTGAATGGCAAAAAGCAGCGCAACAATCAACAAGAAAAAGTGTGAAAATTGTTGTCAATTGTATTAACCTTTTTCCTTGATCAGTTGATTGTGGATATTGAAGAAGTAAAACAAACCCAGAAATGATGAAAGAATGTGAATTGATGAAAGGAATAATCAAAAAATGAATCTTCGAACCAATTATTTTCTTCTCTTGATTCACTCTAATGATTTTGTTTATTCCTTTACAATAAACCAGAAAATTTGTTCACAATCAATCAAAAAAGAAAACAGTTTTGTTCAAAAAATTGAATCTTTTCTGGAGATCATCTTCTTCCATCTTCATCCTTCTCATCATAATCTTGTTGATTTACTTATTTTTCATTCTTCTCCAGACAAACCTTTACAAGCATTTCAGGATCATCATTGTCCGATTATTATCAAAATCTTTCAGCTGATAATCATAACCTGAAATGTTGGTAATCTTTTGTATTAAGTGAAATCGGAAACCTTAACCTCATCTTTCCTCATCTTGGACAGTCCAATTAAAGATTCCTTTACCATTCTCGGTTGACCTCAACATTGAACAATCAAATTTAACCATTAATTTTTCCTGTTTTTTCTCTCTCTCTCTCTCTACTTCTATCAACAAATCAGTAAACTGTAAATCAATGGTCAATCAAATTTAAACATTTGTCTAATTGACTTTTGTAATTTGGCACTTTGGAGGTTTATTTGTTTGCTTACAACAGAAATGGTTAGTTGGCTGAGTTAACCGATATTATTACAAGGGAACGTCAGAAGGAAGAAGATAATGATTATGATTGTCGATGGCATTTAAATACATCCAAAGTCATTCTAATCAAGTCAATCAATGGTGAAACTGGAAACATTAAATACAATGGGAAAGAGGATGAGACAGAGAGAAATGCGAGTCAACAAGCTGCTTTAATTGATTGATTTGATCATTTTTGATCTGATAACAATTGACGATTGTTAAATCATTGATGTTTCAACAGCAAACAATCAGGCCTCAATATAAATGTGGAATTAACTTTGATCCGGAAATAAACGCTGATAGAAAGTGATTTTCATTGAAAATGTTCAATAAACTTTTAATCACAAGGCAAAATTTTAAAGCAATGAGTAAGAAAAAAAGACTGAAATTCAATCAATTGTCAATTGTCATTTAATCACCTTAAAAGATAATTTTAGTTTTACTGGGCAAAAATTATTGCAACCAGTTGATTGCTTAGTTGATCGTCAACCAAACTGTTTGTGCGTTTATCTCATGTTCAACACTGACCTCGCATTGATCAGGTATTTATAAATAGCATTTATTTATAAACCAGAATTTATCTGTAAACTGAAATAACGCAATTCCTCTTCAATTTATCTTGCAATTTTAATTTGCTATCATTATCATTATTATTACCGGACAAAACAACCAAGTTTACTGCAAAAACACATATTTTCCTCCGGATCTCTCCTCACTCTTCACTCTCTCTCTCTCTCTGCCTATGGAATCAAGTTTTTCGCCTAAGGTTATATTTACCTTTTTTTAACCAGAAATCTTATTTTCTTCTTCTTACACTGGTGCTAATGTTCTTGTTGATTAACGCGTGATTGTTGGGTAAGAGAAGTAAAAAGTCGTTATCGTCTTTGCACGAAACAAAACAAGTTCATGGCTTTGGTATTAAAACTTGATGTTAAATTAAACATGATTAGTGAAATTGTTTTTCCATGGCGTTCCTTCAATATCAAGTTATCAGCTTTTCCTCTTTTTTACCTTTCCTTTTCCTCTTTCTTTACTTCTATGAATAATCGTCTACCTGTTTTTATGTGCTAACATATTTCATTATTTAGTCTTAATCTCTTTCTTTTCTTGTTTCCCTTTTCTTTCTTCTCTATTCATCATCTTCTTTAGTTTTCAAAAGAACCACTTTTTTGGTTCAACTAATTATCTTCATGTTCTGACCTTGAGATTATTGATCGGTAACCTTGAATCTGAGCCCAAGTTTTTCTCAATCAATACAAGTTACTACATCTATCAACCAGTTTTGGGTTCATTATTTTTTTCTTGGTTTAAAGGATTCGGAAATGATATTGGTATTACTACAGTCGCCATCTAACGATTTTTACAAATTTTAGGTTGTATTTGTTGGGATTGGAATCAATTTTAAAATTCAATTTCTTCAATCATTAGTTTATTTTTGAAAAATAGGCATTTTACACAATTTTATAAAAATAAATGAAAATATTAAGAAAGTCCTAACTAAATAAAAGGGAAAAAGTAATGCAATTTGAAGAATGAAAGGAAATTAAATGATTTTAGATGATTTAAATTTTTATCGGACTGAGAGGACTATTAGAAAGTGAAACTAATTGACTATTAAGTCTTCTTTCAAACGTTTTGCTGGTGTCGGGTCATCATCGGGGCACAAATCAGACTCTGAAGAAAAGTCTTTTGGTTCATCTGACTCATTTTGTTCATCTGGTTCATCTGTTACATCTGGTTCAGGAGAGTGCATTTTGGTTACTTCATCAGATAAAGATGACCCAACACCTGATGATGTTTGCGAATTTTCTTCATTATATGATGATGGTTCATCAGAATCCAACATCTTTCTACGTGTTGAATATCTATGGTTGATAACTGGATATTGTTTAACGACGACTTTTTCTTTATTTAATTCTTTGCTGGGATCGAAACTCTTGTCCTTTTCATCGAGATCTGAACAGGCTTCTTGATATAGTTTGCGCAATTGATCGCGATTTTCTCGGTTTCTCAATTTGCTATCAATGACATTTGATTGTAATAAGGAATCATATCGAGCTAATTTAGTGGCTATTCTTTCAGAATGTCTTTTAGGCATCAAGGCTATGAGCCTTGCTCTCTCCTCTGCTCTTTGTCGCTTGAGAAATGCTTCTTCTGCCTCTATTGCTTTAGGTAAGTAGGTCAGCTTGAATCGTTCAGCAAGTTCTCGATCAGTTAAACTTAAACTATGTTTCATTCTTTCAATCAGCTTCCGCCAATCTTCCACATTATGACAAATTACAGACCAAGATTCTTTAAGTATAGATACTGGAACGCCGGTGGTTGATTTGGGTTCCGGTTTGGATTGAACTTTTTTCAACCAACTCCATAAAGTTGTTTGATTTTTGAGACCAGAAGCCATTGTTTTGCTGTAATTATTTGAATCTTCACTTATAGGAGCTGACTTCGCTAAATCTGGATTCCCTCCATCGGGATTTTCTTTGATCGGAGAATTACATTTAATATCGGCAGCGCCATTTGCAACTATTTCTTTAACAGGAGAGGCTGATAAACCGTTGACAGGTTTCATTGGCTCACGTAACTTTTCGACAAGAATTTTCGCAACTTTTGGTTTTTCCTTATATAGTCTTCTACCATGAAAGTACCAATAAACATAACCCAAAGAATCAATACCGATAGGCTTGTGTCTGAGTTTACCTGCCGCATCCTTAACAAAAGTAGATGAATCCTGAGCAGCAAGCCGATAATCACATAACTTGTAAAGAATTTGAACTTTGGTGCGAACATGAAGTGCATGGAAATCGACCCATTCTTTTCTTTCCTCTCCGTTTTCATCCAACGAAATTTGTATAAGAGGATTCTTCAACTTGTCATTTTGAATCCATTCTACTTCAATTAGTTCTCTAAAATAGTGATCAAATGTCGTCTCACTAGATAAAATGATCAAAATAAGATAGATATTATAAATTATAATTGTTAAAGAGTATCACGCATTCAAAAAACAGAAGAAAACAAATAATTCTTACTCTATCAAAATAGATGGTCCAAAATAACCAGCAACTAGAACTTGCAAAATTTTATCAATGAGTAATTTTCCAGATTCATCCCCCTCGGGAGTAATTGGTTCCAATAAGGCATTCTCTAGAAGCTAACAAAAAAAGATAAGAAAAAGTAAGTGAGAACAAGGGAATTGATTCAAGTTTTGAGAGAATATCGATACAAGTTAACAAAAGATGACAAAAGACACTTACCTCAAAATCAAACGGAGGTAATTTCAACTTTTTTTTGAATAAATGACAAAAATGAGTGATACTGGCTACTTCCCAGTAAGATTGTAACTCTAAATAGTTAATAAAATAAAATAAAAAACGAATATAATTAGATTCTAAGGAAAAAACAAGTTTTTCGGATGAACCCGGGAAAATGAGAGGCAATGGCAGATGCCGATGATACCAAAAGATATGGTAAAAATGTGTTTACAATAAACATATAAATGATAACTCACCCTCTTTGGCCGATTCCATTGGATAATTTAAGATAATAATACTCTTCTTATTAAGAAATGGTGTTTTAATTAACAATTTTAAAAACAATAAAGTTAAATTAGTGAAAGGAAAGAGAGAAAGACTTTGTTTATTAACGAGTCTATTCTTCAATGGACTGCTCGCTAAATAGATGCCTTGAGAATAAAAAGTTTATGTGAGAATAACTTGAACCTCTAACGCGGTCTTTTCAAACAATTTCAGATTAAATTACATTTCTATATTATTAAGCTGATTTATACATTATTGGTTATTTGATTCAACTAATAAAACTATTTTGGATCAACATCAAATTTCAACAATTGGTCATTTCTCAATCGAGATTGTGACTAGCTTGTTTTGTCAATTTCTTCACGCCAAGCTGTGATTCCACCAATGACATCTTTAATGACCAAATTTTGAGGTGGAAGTTTATCTTTCAAGTATTTAACAGCAATTTGTGATGATATACCTTTTGCACACATTACATATACCGGTCCATGATTGTTCATTTCCTTTGATAGTCCAATAAATTGTTGCAATCCAGTTTCACTCAACAACTGTTTCAATGGTAAATTGACGGATGTTTCTATGTTGAATGAAGAAAAATATTCCGGTGGCCGAACATCAATCAGCAAATGTTTAACACCAGAATCCACAATCTGCTTATAATCATGAACGGTGATTCTTTCCTCAGGCCCAAGAAGATCCATTGCGTCGGTTGATTTAGAGAAGTAGCGATTAGGCCAAGATAAGTTAGGCTTGCTTGAGGTGAAATCTTGTATACCTGCTATCGTATGGAAATTTGTACCAGAAATGTCGGTCAATTGAATCTTTTGTACCAGATCGATATTGGCTAATGAAACATAACCAACTAGACGTTGACCAGCGAAAGCATAATTGAACAACTTGGAGCGCAAGATAAACATTGTGAATATAAATATTGAAGATGAAAAACAGTAACCATGTGTTTAGTAAAATATTCACAACGAGCGCTAGTTGCACAATTATTTAAAGATAAAACTTGAATCATCTTGAGAATCTCATTTTGTGCAAATTTTCATTCAAAGACTTATATTTGATAGTCTCAAAATTCATGTTTAGTATGAAATCGACATGATTAAATTGCTCAATATGTCGATGAACAACAAATGAAAAATTTTGAAATATTTTATTGTTATGATTTTTCTAATGCATTCATTCAAAGCCAAATTCACTTCAATGTTTCATGAATGAATTTTTACAGGAATTACATAATTTGAAATTCATTCATTTATGTGATTCTAATAGTTAATCAAATTCATATAATTAACCTCGATTTCTATTGTAACATGCTAATCTTTCGATTCCATAAACTCGTCTTGCTCGATCAAATTGATGAAAACAAGGAGCATGGCAACCAATGTACTGTTCAACATTGAACTCTTTATAAACCTTTAAATGTTCGTCAAACCAGGGCCAAAGTCCCAATGTCCTAAAATCTAAAAGCCTAATTTTTGAATTCAATTCCTCATTATAAATAGCCATTTTTATCTTGTCGAAGAAACTTTTAGTATATTTATATTGACAAAAAAATCTGCTACAAACGCCTTCTGGAACCTCGCTTTCAGGTATTAGTCCGTAAGAGATAAGAATATTTCGGGTAATAACATTACAAAAACCAGCCTCAAAAGAGAGATGATAACGAGGTACAGCATTATCAAATGCACGAAGGCCTCCTTCGATAGGCCAATGAGGTTGACCGTCACTGATCAAGCTATGAAAAAATGAGAAACAATTTATTATGTCAAATTTACAAATTGTCTCGAATAAGGAAAAAATGCAGCTTACGGTGCGTCGTTTCGTATCAAATGATATGTCCTCCAATCTTCTTCATCTGGTTCAGCTCCAAACAGCTTTACGTAGCTCGTATATTTGCTTGGTATTCCAGTTATCAACGCAAGCTATAAATTTGACAAAAATTTTACTCAAATGAGTAAATAAAATGACAAATAATAACTTGACTTACCTGTTGGAATAATTGTTGCGTTTTGTAAATATATTTATCATCATTCCTATCAATGACAATGTCATGATATTGACCGAAAAATTTCACTTTGAATTTAACTATTGGAAGAGTTGAGCATTGTATGGTAGGATTGTAGTATTGAAAAGGAAATGAAATAAAAAGTATTGAATGAATTATTTCATTTAGATCAACTTACTTTTATCAGAATTATTATTCTGTTGGTCCATTTTAACACCGATAATATCAATATCTATGTTTCTTGGGACGGCAAACACGCTGAAGAACAAGTTTTTTTTACCTGAAAGCAGAAGTAAAACTGACAAAATTTGAAATAGTTTTGGTTCTTGGCAAAGAACTAGGATTTTGGCTCAAAACAAGTTCAACCTTAGCAAGAGTGCTCTCTTCAAACGAAGCTAAATATAAAAAATAATAGTTTTGTCTCATTTTTCATCATTTTATTTATACATTTATACATATACCGATGTCTGATTGTTCATTTCCTTTGACAATCCAATAAATTGCTGTAATCCAGTTTCACTCAACAACTGTTTCAATGGTAAATTGACGGATGTTTCTATGTTGAATGAAGAAAAATATTCCGGTGGCCGAACATCAATCAGCAAATGTTTAACACCAGAATCCACAATCTGCTTATAATCATGAACGGTGATTCTTTCCTCAGGCCCAAGAAGATCCATTGCGTCGGTTGATTTAGAGAAGTAGCGATTAAACCAAGATGAGTTAGGCTTGCTTGTAGTTAAATCTTGTATGGCTGCTATCGTATGGAAATTTGTACCATAAATGTCAGTCAATTGAATCTTGCGTACCAGATGGATATTGGCTAATGAAACATAACCAACAAGATAAACATTGTGAGTATAAATATTGAAGATGAAAAACGTAACATTGTGTTTAGTAAAATATTCACAACGAACGATAGTTGCACAATTACTTAAAGATGAAACTTGAATCATCTTAAGAATCTCATTTTGTGTAAAATTCACTAAAAATTTTCATGCAAAGACTGATATTTGATCATCTCAAAAATCATGGTTAGAATGCAATTGATTAAATGATTAAACTGCTGAATATGTTGGTGAACAATTGGAAAATTCTTTAATCTTTTATAGTTATGATTTTGCTAATGCAATCATTCAAAGCAGAATTCACTTCAATGTTTCATGAATGAATTTTAGTTCAGCTGCTTAATTACATTTAATATTAAATGACCTATGACCGATTAACTAACAACTAATTAACCTCGATTTCTATTGTAAGATGCCAATCTTTCGATTCCATGGGTTGTTCTTGCTCCATCAAATTGATGAACACAAGGAGCAAGGTATTCAAAGTATTGTCCAACATTAAACTCTTTGTAAACCTTACAATGTTCCACAAACCAGCGCTCACGTCCCAATGTCTGAACATCTAAAAGCCTAAGTTTTGAATTCAATTCCTCGTTATAAATAACCATTTTTATCTTGTCGAAGAAACTTTTAGTATATTTATATTGACAAAAACATCTGCTGCAAACGCCTTCTGGAACCTCGCTTTCAGGTATTAGTTTGTAAGAGATATGAATATTTCGGGTAACAACATTACAATAAGAAGCCAGAAATGAGAGATGATAACGAGATACAGCATTATCAAATGCACGAAGGCTTTTCACAGACCAAGAAAGTTGATCGTCACTGGTCAAGCTATGAAAAAATGTGTAACAATTAATTATATAAAGTAAAAAAATTGTCTCGAATGAGGAAAAAAATGAAGCTTACGGTATATCGTTGAATATCCAATGATGTGTTCTCAGATCATTCTCATCGGGTTCAGCTCCAAACAGCTTTACGTAGGTCGTATATTTGCTTGGTATTCCAGTTATCAACGCAAGCTATAAATTTGACAAAACATGTTACCAAAACGAGTGAATAAAATGACAAATAATAACTTGACTTACCTGTTGGAATAATTGTTGCGTTTTGTAAATATATTTATCGTCATTCCTATCAATGACAATGTCATGATATTGACCAAAAAATTTCACTTTGAATTCAACTATTGAAAGAGTTGAGCATTGTATGGTAGGATTGTAGTATTGAAAAGGAAATGAAATAAAAAGTATTGAATGAATTATTTCATTTAGATAATTCGATCAACTTACTTTTATCAGAATTATTATTCTGTTGGTCCATTTTAACACCGATGATATCAATATCTATGTTTCTTGAGACGGCAAACAGGCGGAAGAACAAGATATTAGTAACTGAAAGCAGAAATCAAACTGACAAAATTTGAAATGGTTTTGGTTCCTAACAATAAACTAGGATTTTGGCCCAAAACAAGTTCAACCTGAGCAAGAGCGCTCTCTTCAAACGAAACTAAATATAAAAAATAATAGTTTTGTCTCAACTTTCATAATTTGATTTATACATTTATTAAAGTTTATTGAAGAGACTCTTCTTGTTGATTTATGATAATAAAGACAAAGATGACAAGTAATCCTTCATAATTAATAGATAATAAAATTGTTAATATAATTAAGGATTACACATGATGATGGTTTTAAGGATAAGAAATAACAAGGAAGCTTGATTTAGTTGAATAATGATGATTGCTTTTCATTTGGTAATAAGTTTGGTTTGGAAATCCATTTTGCGATATGATTTTTCACCATAAATTCGTTTAAATATTTTGCTTGTTAAATTGACGGATGTTTCTATGTTGAATGAAGAAAAATATTCCGGTGGCCGAACATCAATCAGCAAATGTTTAACACCAGAATCCAGAATCTGCTTATAATCATGAACGGTGATTCTTTCCTCAGGCCCAAGAAGATCCACTGCCTCGGTTGATTTAGAGAAGTAGCGATTAAACCAAGATAAGTTAGGCTTGCTTGTAGTTAAATCTTGTACGGCTGCGATCGTATGAAAATTTGTATCAGAAATGTCGGTCAATTGAATATTTTGTACCAAATTGATGTTGGCTAATGAAACATAACCAACTAGACGTTGACCAGCGGAAGCATAATTGAACAACTTGGAGCGCAAGATAAACATTGTGAATATAAATATTGAAGATGAAAAAGAGTAACAATGTGTTTAGTAAAATATTTACAACGAGCGCTAGTTGCAAAATTATTTCAAGATAAAACTTGAATCATCTTAAGAATCTCATTTTGTGCAAAATTTGCTATAAATTTTCATTCAAAGACTGATATTTAATTACCTCAAAATCATGGTTAGAATGCAATTGACATGATTTTTCTCAATATGTTGGTGAACAACAAATGAAAAATCCTGCAATATTTATAGTTAGGATTTTGCTGATAATGCAATCATTCAAAGCAGAATTCACTTCAATGTTTCATGAATGAATTTTAGCTCAGCTGATCAATTACATTTAATATTAATTGACTTATGACCGATTAACTAACAATTGTAAATTGCAAAAAATTAAAGGTTTATTGAGATGAGGCAGCGCCATCTTGAGAGATGCAAAGTAGTTCATTAAAAAAGAAATCTTGTGCTGACATCTGTTGATCTGTTTTCATCAGTATAGCTTTTTTTTCATCTTTCCTCATCTTTGTCTGTGAAGATTAAACAAGATTTTTTTCCGCTATTTTTATTTCTGTTCGATCTTTATTCATCATGGGAGTTGATTTGAGTGGTAACAACAAGCCCTGGGAGTTAAGTTTATATGAACTTAATAGGAAACCTCAGCCGTTAATCACTGATGACACCGAGATCGCCGTGAAACCCAGGAGCTTACAAAGTGAACTGATGTGTCCAATTTGTTTGGATATGTTGAAAAACACTATGACAACAAAAGAGTGTTTACACAGATTTTGTAATGAGTGTATATGTACTGCTTTGAGAAGTGGTAACAAAGAATGTCCTACCTGTCGGAAAAAGCTCGTCTCAAGACGATCACTTCGAGCTGATCCCAATTTTGATATGCTGATATCGAAAATATATCCCAGTCGTGAAGAATACGAGAAACACCAAGAAATGATTAATTCCAGACTTGGAAGATCAATTGGGATCGAAGAAAATGGACAGCCGACAAGAAAAAATAGTCTTGGCAGGAAAAGTAATGGTGTTAATCATTATCAAGGTAATATCATCTTTATAACTACCTGTTTACACATCTAATCGAATTTATTTGCAATTATTTTACAGATACTACCAACGCAGATACTACAGAAGCAGAAAGCTGTGCTTCGAGCACATCTTATCAGGACAACAATCAACAAGAAGTTGAATTGGTATTCAAACCACTGACTCAAGATGTCGATAACCCGGAAAACAGCAGCTTAATTCACACTCGTTTTCTCAAAACAACAACAAATGCCACTGTCGACCACCTGATTAAGTATCTTTCAATGCGTCATTTCCTGGAAACTAATCCAAATAATTGTGAAAATAATCAAGATTTAAAAGATACCGAAACATCTCTATTTACAATTTACAAAGCAACTGGGCCTGGTGAATATCGCCCCCTGCAAGGCCAATCAACATTAGATGAAATCAAGCAAAAGTTTTGGAAGAGCGATAAACCTTTGGAACTCTATTATGGATATAACGTTTTAACACAATGATTTATTTACCAAACCTGATGAAAATCATCATTTAAACTCTTTGCAGTTCCAAATTTATTTATGTACAACAAAAATAAACGATCAAGCAACAACTTAGTTTGAATGTTAGCAAACAGATGGTAGGTCTTGTCTCGGTTTACACACAAATTGCGAGTTGAACACAAATGGTTGGAATTGAATTTATGTTTACTTTGAAGCATATCAGATTGGTGAAACATTTAATCGTTGACTTATCCAAAAGTCTAATGTTGTTGATCCAAGTTTCATGTTGTCAAAGTCAGGAGGATCAATGACATCATTTTTATATCATTTTCAGCCAAAATTATTGATTTCGTGTTTTCTCTCAAACATATTTTATGTTCAAGAGTAGACTTTGCAGACACGCGCGATTCATGATGCATCAAATGATTCCTGGTGAAGACTTATTTCATCTTCAACTTTATTGATGATCAACAAAAAAAAGAAATGAAAAAAACTATTGGAACACAAAAAATGCATTAAGCATCACAACTGAATATTATTTTTTGTGTCACATCATTAAAACTATAACCAGTCATGATGGAGAAGAAAACAGTTGAAACTTATTTCCATGCTGAATAAAGTAACTATTGATCATGAAATTGACTAATGACTATTGAGATAAGAATGAAAGTATCAATAATGATTCTGAGGTTGAAGAAGGAAAAATTCTAACATTATGATTGAATGATTAGTGGAAGCAAATAGACAGAATTGATGAAAATGGTGAAAATTTTGCAAAAAAAAATGTTTAACCAACAAGATGAATTGGTTAAAATGGAAATCCTAAAATCTGTACTTCAATTTGATCTGAATTGTTCATTTTAATAGATAAATGGATGTAATTGACATCGGTTTCTCTCACTTGGAATGATTAGCCTCAATAACATCAGTTGAAAGGTTGTGATGAAGATGATGAAAGATGATAAATATGAAGATAAAAAGTAAAGTGAACATGAATTAGTGGAAGAATATAAAAGTCTGTTTAAACCTGTGTTATAAGTTGACGCGTTAATAAAATCAATGATACAATATCCATAATGCACATTTCAGGGTAAAATAACATATTTCAAGTTATACTTTTATATCCCTTAAGTCAGCCAGTTGACTGAGAAGGTTAAACCATAATATCATTGATTAAGAATCGGTGACGTTTTTTTACTTTCTCTTCTTTCTCTTCTTCTTCTTCTTCTTCTTCCTCACCTTCGCCTTTCTCATAACCATCATCATCTATTTGTTATTTTTGTCCTGCTTCTTACCAATAAACTTTCCTTCCCTTTCATCATTCAACAATAAGTTATCATTAAACCATATAGGATGATATTGAACACAAGTAAAGTGATCTACTGATTTATATAGTGATACAACAAAGCAAAATAGCAACTACAACTGGTTCACTTTTCCCATTCACCATTCAATTCCTATCATCTTTTTGCCCTCATCAAGTTAATCATTCAGGTCTGCAGGATGAAACATGAACACTGTGAGCTGTGACCTTTCACTTATTGCTTTATATTAATAGAAACAAACAATTCCATCAAGATGCAAGTTCATCTTCCACAATCTCAGTAATCTTGAAAAATCATAATCGCAATCAAATATTAGTAAATTTGTATAACATATTAAAAACACACTTTTGGTATATTCAAGATCAACCTTAACATTTCCATTTTACAGAAATGATTTTCTTGCCAATTGACTTTGATAATCAAATTAAAATCAATTGTTTTCCATGTTGATTAAAATGATCTTTAGATTGTTTTCATGGGCTTTCTGTGTGTCTTCAAATTTATCTGTTTCATGTTTTAGTGTTGAACTGAATGTTATTTTCTTGGATTTTACCAAAAACTCAAGAGTTTGTTATAAAATGTGAAAATTTGCCGAAAAAAAATAATCAATTTAAAGCGTTAGCGATTGATTATTTGTGATTGAAACGATTTAACATTGAAATGGTTTAAAGGGCAATATACCTGGAAAAGGCATTGAAGGTTACATAAAATTAGCTGAATACAGGTTGAAGTAGAGGGCGTCTTTTCCAGGTGAAATTGAGATTTATTGAATGGACGGAATTGAATGGGAAATGGTTTTCACACGTTTTCCTTTCCTTTCATTACTTATAACAAAATGACAAACAAAATTTAAATGACAATTCGCATACATCATAATCATCAATATCTTTTCCTTCTCCTGTTCTTCTTCTTCTCTGCTCTTCTCTTCCCTTCTCTTCTCTTCTTCTTCTCTTCTCATCCTTTTCTTCAAAAGAGATAGACGATGGTTTTGATGTCTAAAAATGAAGCAACATCACAATGCTAATAAAGTGATAACCATTGTTGCAATTGTAACCCGATTCTTTGGATTGGCCGAGAAAGCAAAATGAGCCCACAAGTTTTGATAACAATTTTAGTGAAGGTAAAAAATTATGATAGATTATGCTGAACGAATCATCAATTTAAGGTAATGGAAAGAAGAAGAAGAAAAAAGGCAAAAAATTAAATAAAATGGTAAAATTGCAATGCTTAGTTCCTTAAAGGAATGATAATTTAACGCTCAATATGTTAGACCAACTTGTTTGCGTTTACATCAATATTATCATAATCATCTGAAACCTCTTTTTTTGGCTCCTTATGGTGAAACTTGGACAATTTTAAACTCGACAGTCGACCTTTCACATTGATCCCAATATCAATAGTCACATTAACCTTTGAAACTTCATGATACCAATCAATAAGAGCAATCTTCTTCATCTGATTGAGAATAAAAAAAAGGATGAAAAACATTAAGATGAATGAGAAGGAAAACGAGAAATACAAACATTGATAAAGGACACAAGATTGGTCCATAATCCAATGTCCAACCAGGAAAATGGACACGCTTAATTCGTAATGATTAATTGCCTTTCTTTTTCGCTTTGATGTCTTCCTTTTCTTCCTCTTCTTCTTCTTCTTCTTCTCTTCTCCTTACCAAATGGGACAATCTCTCACCAATCATCTTAAGGTTAAACACAAAATGCGAAAGGTAACAAAATGAATTCAATCATTTTCCTCCTTTCCTTAGCCATTCATCCCTCTATTTTAGTCAACAGGGTTTCTTAAGATGTCTCAAGATATCTGATGTCTCAATAGATTCACCTTTCCTCTGAAGATGGTGAAGAAGAAAAGGATGAAAAGAAAAAAAAAATTTTGCATTCATTTTCTTTAGATCTTCTTACATGGCAAACGGACAAAGAAGATGAAGATGAAGAAGATACAAAGAAAAAAATGTTCACCATCGATATTGTCTTGGAAGAATGGAAAGTAACGTCTCTTTGTTGATTTACTTGGAGGTTGCTGGAGGCGATATGATGATCAATATGACGATCAAGACAAGGTAAGGGTAAGAAGGAAAGTGGCAATAAATTGTATTAAAAAAAGAGCGAATGATGTCTTCATTCGTTTACGTTTCAATAATGAACCTGAATAAGACATCAAACTTTACTTTTTATTTAGTTATACTACCATTCACACCTTTGGTCAACCAAAAGTGATAATAGGATGACAATGGGATGTGTTGCTTGACAAAGCATCTTTTCTTGTATTTACCTTTTTACTCAAAGAAATTGAAAAGACAATGTTAAATGGAGCTTATCATCTTGTCTGCAAGATTAACCTGTATCATTGAACCAGTTGATCAAAAGTGAAATGTATTTGCATGAAAATACGATTGATAAATAATATCAATTTTTTTACTTTTGATTAATCGTTTGTTTACACCAATGATAAAGTGACTTAAGATTTACTTCAATTGTCATTCTACACAATGTCGAGGTTTCACAGTTTGCCGGCAACTATTTAATTTACATTGATAAAGATTAATATTGGTTAATGTTTTTGATTCATAAATTATGAAAATCGATTCGAAATTTTTCAAGATTCAATTTTTAGACTAGGATCAGAGGCTACTGCAATCGTGAATAATCGCACCTTCCACTGAGTCTAATGGATTCACATTTTTAAAGATTCGAATTCTTAATGAAAAAGGAACCGTCAATGAGAAAAACTAAAAAATGAAATGAAGATCTTGCAAGATCCAAATTGATAATGAAAAAAACATCGTCAGATTAATACAAAAGTTGATGTCTAGCTTTGTTTCGGTAATTTGGGATGAAAAAGCCTTTCTTTTAAGTAAACGAAAAAATTTTCATTCGAGTTTGGACTTTGTTATTTGTTGAGGCATAAAACTGGTTCCATTTGTTGAATTAGTTTCAAGTTTCTCTAATGAACCATCATTGACAAAATTGAGTTCAAAGTTTAAACTTTGGTCTCTTTTTGTGCAGTTTTTTAGACAACAGATTTTTTTTACCAAACTCTTTACTCGAAACACAGTTTTACATATCTATTAATCCATACATCTATACAATATAAAAAATCAAAACAGGAAATTTTTGCGGCATGATTGTGATCAAACTAAAGGGTTGTAAAGAAAATTTTACATAGAATCAAAGCCATGATTGAATTAATGCAGAATCCGTATCTTTTACTATTGACTTTGAAAGAAAAACTCTTTTTGTATTCAGTTTGGTGTTTATTATTCGAGAATATGTGGCAAAATCACAAGATTTCAAAATTCGCATTTCTTATTCTGACAATGGTTTTTTATTAAGAATTCGTGGTTTTTATGTCGATCGATTGTAACCTACTCAGCCTACCCACTAAAAACTTCAGTCGTATTGCGTGAAAATGTAACAGAAAAGGATTCTTAAGGAAATTCTACGACCAAATGATGACCATGATTTGACTGCAGGGACGAAAAATACTTGAGCTTTCTAGGAACTCAGATTCCAGAGAAAATCTTGTCAGGGTTCTGGTAAAAACAATCAGTGTTCCAGCGCATTGCGGAGGGTAGCAAATTATTTTGTTAAGTTTAATCACTTTATGGTTTATTTGGGTGAGTTATACACTCACATACACAATATAAGTGTCAAAACTTTGACTTTCGAGTCAAGGGTTGCGACCTGATGAACTAGGCACAAAAGAGCCGAAACCATTTGGGTAATTAAAAAATTTCTCTGACTCAAGGTTTTCAACAAAATCACTTTTAAATTAGATTTCGTTTTTTGAGTTGGAAAAACAAATTGAAATGTAATTAACGACTAAAAAAATTTCAAATGTATCATAATCAATGTTTAAATTGGATATCCTATTGCTTTCAAATCGATTTGTTTAATGTTTGGTTTACAATCAAAGTGAAATCATGTAATTGAACAGCGATGATAAGTGAAAATTGGTTTTTCTAGCTTTTCGTTGCAACTGTTTAAAACAATATTTTTTTTAATGGCAAGTTACTAAGTAAATCGCAATAATGAGACTCAATTGAGAGGAAAAACTTGTATTTGTTTAGGCTAATAATGGTTGTTGGTTAAATTTGACAACAATCTTATTGGTCATTCATCATGTTTGAATGATTAGGAGGATTGTGAGATGAGAATAATTAGGATGATTGTGAGCCCAAAATTTGAGCAGTAAATTTGTTTCGCTCACCATATTTCACTTGTTACAAGAGCAAGAGAAGAAGTAAAAAAAAGAGAAGAAAACAACTGACTTTATTACCAATTTGACAAATAATTTTGACTGTTTTAAGAGAGGTTGAAGGATGATAATGATAATCGGGAGGAGGAAAAGGAGGACTTGAAACCTGACCAGGCACTAATAAACGCACTTCTTGCATGAAGCCAATCTGTTTAGGAAAGTGAGCGCAGGAAGATTTGTTTACACTTGAAAGGAAAGCATCTCAAGTGATATTGCGGTCATCCTTCAAATTTGGTGTTAAAATTCAAACCTGTGTTTGTAAACAGTTATTTATTATTGATGTAAGATTTAGACTGTAAGGAATGAAAGAAATAGGAGGAGGAAAGGGACGAGAAAAGGTGGGAAGAGAGAGAGAAGAAGGTGAACAAGAAGAAGAAAGATGAAGATGGAAATGAGTCTAATAAGTTACTGGTAATGAAAGATGTTGAGGGAATCAAGAATCTGTCACAATTCATTTACTTTTCTGAATAATATTAAGATGTTATTAAAATAATGGCAAAGGAAAGAAGAACGGAAAGGAAAAGGAAAAAGAAGGAAATGAACATGAATTAAATTCTGTTTTCAAGATTCAAGGAGAAATCTGGATTTCAATGAAAAATCGTTCTCTTTCATTGATGGTAAGATGACTTTTGATGAAAAACGTCATTTGATTCGCAAAAATTCCAGAAAATGGCCTCTTAAAGGAAACTGAAAACTCTGTACAATTGTTCCATGAAACTCTTTTCTTCAACATTAACATTCCAAAGGTGAAATCAAAGTTTATTTACATTCATTTTTTAAGATAAACAAGATTGTTAAACAAGAAACATGAAAAGGTTCAATTGTTGACTTGAAAATCAATACAGATGAGCTTGAGTTTCATCTTTTTACATCTTCTTACACCTTCCTTCAAACCTTGTTTAAGATGCTTTTACCTCAGCAATCAGTGGTTAATCAAGGCACAAAAACATTGGCTGGTGATCATGAAAACAACTATCACATTTCCTTGAGAAACACCAGTTATAAAGATCAATCTTAATGCTGTTTAAAGTCATAATCCAAGCTCAATATTGTGATCTTGCATTTAAATTGACACATTTGCTCTTCTCTCTCTCTTCTCTCTTTCTTTCTTCCATCCGCCCACCTCCTAATCATCCTCATCATCTTCATCATTCTTCTCATTATTATTCTCTTTACTCTGGTTCGTTTCCCAACTCAAGACTTTTCTGTAAAACAAACTTTGACCTTGTTCAGGTTAACTTAACTTTAACCTGATAATAATCTTGACCTTTAGGCACACATATTTAGTCTTATCGTGTGCATTGTCATGACCTTTACCAAAGTGACCTTTAAAGTGTTCACAAGATAACCAAGTTTGTTTTAACGATTACATTTTGCAAGATAATCACACTTTTTCCATGTTATGGTCAGCAATAAACTAATCTAGAGATTGGTTCATTTTCAGTTATTAATGTGTTCGCCATAATTATATTGACATTTTCAATTTGACAAGCATTCGAGTTCGAGCAAAAACAGACTTTTTTTAAGGTTACATTTGGTTACAATTACTTTTCATCTTGATTGGGCAACATTGAAATTGACTATGAAAACCATCCTATTGATGTTCACTTGATCATCAATGATCATCTTCACTTATCATGTCACTGAGTGCACAGGCAAGGCCTCGAAGAGGAAGGATTATAAATGTTAAACAGTTGAAAGGCTGTTCTCAAGCAATTGATTCAAAGTGACAACATTCATCTTTTCCCTTCTCTCTTCTTCATCTTCCTTCATAGGGTGGATAAGTTAATATAGAGAGGAGTGGTAAGAGATGGCGCTAAGCTTCGATCGTCTGATAGTCAGAATAACAAAAAAAGCGTTTTCGGTTTTTGCGCAGCTGTTCCCAACGTTTCTATACGTAAATCATCCTCTTCATTAACCGCCCTCCTCTTCTTACTTTTTTATCTTTCTGTTCTTCTTTTCTGTCTCTCTTCTTCTTCTTCTTCTTTTCTCTATTTCGTCTCATCTTGTGTCTCTCAAGTGTCTCTTACAAGTTAAACATTGTCAGTCAACTCATCCTCATCAATCCAGCAAAAACGACGCAATGTCAAGTAAGTTTCATTACGTTTAGTTTTTAATCGAAGAAAATGATCTCTTCTTTTCTGGACAGTTCTCAGATCGTTTTTATCTTTTCACTTTTCCCCCAATGATTTTTTCAATCGAAACTTAAAGTTTGCAATTTGTTTTTTTCTTCATCTTCTTGTTTGTAACGTTTTCACTTTCACTTGTTATTAGGTGATGAAGATGATCTTCTTAGTGCAAGTGATTATGGGATTGATGAAAGTGATGATGAATCCATTTCATCTTCATCTACATTAGTGGATCAATTGTCATTGACAATGGAAACTCTTCATTCAAATGGATTCCTGGACAATTTACCCAAATCTCTTGAACTTCGTCCTCCTCCTCAACTTCAATCATCTTGTTCTTCTTCTTCTTTAACCAATCAATCTGATCCAGTTTCCGGTTCACCTCGGTTAGTTACCGTTACAACCAAGGTTGACCTAAGATCTGGACACAGATTTGGACCATTTCCGGGTAAAATAACCAAAGATCCGGTTCCACAAAGTTATAACTGGAAGGTAAGTCAATTGAACACTTTTTCTTTGAAAGCCTCCAAATGCAAACAAAAACACAAACCAATTGCGTTCTTTTTGTTTATTAGATTATCATGTAAATAAGATAATCAAGTTTATCAGTTGTAACAGGAAGAGCATAATTGATTTATTAAATGTTTACCTAAAGGTAAAGACAATAATTGATCATGAAACAGTTGAGCAAAGTTTACCCATGAAAATGCATCATTTACTAGACAACATTTTTACTTTTGCGAGAGAAGCAAAAAAATTTACTCGAATTGTTACCATCAAAGGATTATTATTTTACAATTGAACACTTCGTTAACAAACAAACAAATAGGCTTTATTGATTGTAACCTTTGATTCTCATTGTTAATCTAATGCCTTGATTGAATTGTCATTTAGGTGACAATTTGGAAAAGGTAAAAGAAGTAAAAAAGATTTGGCAAAGAAGAAGAAGAGGAAGAAATGATGAGGAAGAAGAAGATGAGAAAAGCAGAAAGAAGAAGAAGAAGAAGAAGAGATAAAAAGGACAAATACAAAGATACAGTGACAATAATGGGACGCGTACAAGAGCGACCCGGTGATTTGGTATTAAGATGTTAATCCCGAAGTGCGCTTTAGTACGAAATGGTTAAATCTCCTTTTCATTGAAGGTGATAAGGTTAAAGTTTGTTCGTTTTCTTGTGACCATCCAATATTATTATACATCTTATGGGTTCCTTTTTGGCCTTTCACAAAAGTGTCTACAAAAAGTACATTCTATGTATAATAATAAGTGAACATAATAGAGGGAAGATAAAGAGGAAGAGAAAGAGGAACACCTCAGGACAAAAGAAGATTGAAACATTAAAAGCTTCTCTTTTCTTCTTCGCCTTCGTTTTCTATCTTTCATCTTCACTCCAATATTTTTTTGCTGCTTTTCGGGGCTCTGTGTTTACATTTGGAATTGGCACTTTCACCCTCAATAAAGATGATGATGATGATGATGATGATGATCACTTCTTCTTCTTCTTCTTCTCACCCTTCTTCGATAGCTTCTTTGGTCAAAGAATCAATAGGTTCATTGTAGGGTACAAAACTCTGTCAACCTTCGCAAGGTTAGGCCTTTCTTCGTCATCCACCAAACCATTCACCTTCATCTTAAGTCTATTTTATCTTCGTCTTCATCTTTTTATCTTTTTACATTTCCTTTTCTCTCTTTATCTTGATAAATGATGATTTCTTCCACTGTTTTGTGTTCCAATCACACATATTTTTCATGTCATAATAAGAGCAAGAAATGAATAACAATTGAAAAAGATAGAGGAAAAAGAAAGCAATGCAAAAATGCCAATAATGAACACCTTTTCAGCTTCACAGGCAAGTCGAGTGTCCAAAACCAAACCTTAAACGCTTTCGACTATCATTCAATTAAGATATCAAGCAAGAAAAAAGAGTGTAAAGTAAATACAGATTTTGACGGGTAAACAGTTTAAACATGAAAATAATATATTTATCCAATGATTAAATGATCATTTATTAGAAAATCTCTTTCTGGGTAAACATTGAACAATCCAATAAAGTTCATAAATAGATTACAAAAGGAAACAATCAAGAGTTACATTTTCCTCTATTTCTGATAAAAAAACCCAAATTTTCAAGTGAAACAAAAACAGTCAAACAAAAAGGTTACACTAAACTGACAAAAGCATCTGGTTGCATGTTACTTAAATAGTACTTACAAGTTACATATTCAGTTGAACTTGTTCATCTTTGATCTTTAATGGTTTTTCATTTTGTGACTCTTTTTCATGCTATTTGGTTGATGGTGAAGGAGGTTGACAAAGTAAACCAAAATAAGTTGGTTTTTATACAGAATCATTCGAATCTCATTCGACGTCTTCCCATGTAATTGCCTTTTCAAAGTTTCCTCAACTTTTCCTTCTTCATTTCATTCTAAATTCGTTTCTATCACCATAGAATTGGACCTTTCATGTAATCATTTTTTTCTTCTTCTTCTTCTTCTTCATTTTTCTTTGCTTCCCTATGTTCATCTTCAAGGCGGGATAAAGTAAATTGATTATCATCTTCTGCACATGAGTGTGTACATTGATATTAAATGATAAAAAAAGCCACAATTGAATTAGGCGATCACTTTTGATGGAAAATTATTGTTGCTCTTGTAATAAACCATGTTATCATTACTGTCTTGAATAGTAAATGTAACATTTTTTTTATAACAATATTCTTTACGGTTGAACATTTCACCAAATTAAATTACATCAAGAACAGTCTTCTTCGATTCTTCATCAAGTCCATTAATCTTGAGCGGTTGTCTGCAACAACCTCATCATGACAGTTGTAAAAAAGTACATCAATCCACTTTGATGAATAATTTTTCAGATTTTTGGTAAATACTAATCAATGAGCAATTGAAGTAATTTCAATATTGAATGCGAGTTGTGAATGGATAAAGGTTCGTCTTAAAACTTGAAAAGCGTTAAATCGACACCTTTTTAAAGGTTTTTTTCAGGCGAAAATAAAAGGATGAAAAGATGAAAAAACAGTGAAAGAAGAAGAAGAAGAAGAAAGTGATAATCTCGAGTTGTCATTCCATGGTTACAATGAGTACAAAAAAAAGAGTGAATAGCTTTGAGTTTACTGTGTTCTTGTAACAAATAATTGTGAATATGACTGGTCAAGGGTTGATTTTTTCCCTATTATTTGGACAATCTTTTTGGGCCAAAAAATAGATGATAATGTATTTCTCTCTTTTTTTGTTAACCAAAAGAAAACATTTTCAACCTTTACCTTGGAATGAGCTTTTTTTAAGAAATCAAATGAGACAAGATGTTGCCAAATCAAAGATGATAACCATTTTGCGCAGTCAATTGGCCAAGATTAATGGGTTATCATGTGTATTGGCCTTTATTATAAATTACCTCGTAAAGGAATGAAGAAGAGGAAATAGGTTCGGACACATCATTTGACCATTATAAACAGTTTTCTTGGAGATTGTAAAAGATGGGGAAAAAGAGAAGCAAAAAAGTATCAGCAAAAATGGAAAGAAGCTGACGAAAGAAGAAAATGTTTTACAGGAAAGTTTCCTTTCAAGGGAAATCAATTGCTTTTTATGAGGTAGAGAAGCAAAAAAGAGAGAGAGAGAGAAATATAATGTTGAAGGAAAGACGATGAAGATAAAGATGATGTTAAAGGGAAAATACAAGTTATTAGACTTTTCTCTCTTCTCCTTTTTTTTGCCAATCAGATGATGTTATCCAATTTATCTTCCATATCATTCGATACATTAACCTTTAAACAATCTTTTTCATCTTCTCTTCTCCTCATTCATATCCATCATAAACTTATGGCACCAAGTGTAGTTACAAGTTAAGGGTGACTTGAGTTGATATTTGCGTATAATTTTAACTCACTTTCCCTTCCTCATCAATTTCATCTTCTCTCGACTTTCCTTTTACTCCCAGGCAAACTGACCTGTCTTTGACCTTTTCATTGAAAAGCAAAATTAACTCAACTTACGGAATCAATGGAAGAAAAAAGATTAAGAAGAAAGTGTCGATTATGTCGACTCGAAACACTTTTCGGTTACGAGTTTAACACGCGTTTTCAATCGCCTCCTAACCGTACAAAAGTTACGGCCAACAAATGAAGGCGTTAATTGAGAAGATTGAAGGTTCGATTGGGAGGGAAGAAAAGGTCGCGGTTACATATTACACGTGTTTGGATTAATGGAATGAAATTAATGCTCAGTAAAGCGAATCAATTGTTAATAGTGTAAATGATGAGGATGAACGAGGTGTGTGTGAAAGGGAATCTCTTTTTATCCTCCTTCTCTTTAGCATCATAATATTTCGAACAATAGTCCAAAGGCGCAAAGCACATTGATCTTTACCTACACAAACACCCAAATGAACTCTAAATAGCTATTTAATCTTAATTGAGATGTGATGAGCAGGGAAGGCAAGAGATGAGTAAAGATTTACCAAAAGTAAATTATTTATCAAACATTTGCTAGATATTTTTATTCCAACCGACAGCAAGTTTCACTTTTCCCAGTTGATGCCGTTTCTCTGTTGGTTTTGTTCATCATTTTGATAGTACCATTAAGGGTTTGGTGTCACACTGACTTTACTTACAAGAGAGAAGGCGAAAAAAAACCAACAAAGAAAACAATATTTTCCATTAAGAGAAACTTGATCAATGAATGGCTTCCAGCATCTTTTCAAGATGCTTTTCCATCTCTCATGATGATCAAGGAAAACCTTCAATTAACATGACATTTGACGGTTTTCGGCCAACAACTTAACAACATTTTCAATATAAAAAACTAGATTCATTGATAGTTACAACTTGAATAGAAAGATAAAAACTGTTTCAATTGAACTTCTAAAGTAGCAACAATCATTGAGAGTAAATCAGTTTATTTGAATCGCAAAATGGCCTTTTCATCATTTGTCTATGTAAATATTTACACTGTCCATTTAATGAGGAGGAAAACGCGTTGCTTGATTTATATATTAATAACATTATTAATAACATTATTTACCCTTAATATGAGCAACACACAAAGTTGCCTCTAAATGTTGACTTTCCTCTTTTTTACTGTTATTTCATATTCAACTCGTAATAACATAAATACACAAGAAATAACATCATTTTTAAGATTAAATGATGCATCATTTAATCGTAACGTCAGCTTGCAATCATTTCTCCTCATCTTTCCTCATCACCTTTACTTGTAATCAGAAATCCTTTCTTCTTCTTCTTTCATCTTTTCCTTTCCTTTCCATTTAGCTTTGATGCATTAATATCAATTTTAGCTCAGTGTTCACTTTCAACTCTTTTAAACCCAAAAACTTTCAATTCATTGAGGAATCATTTCAGTTAATTAATGCGGTGATACATCTTTGTTGGTTAAAGTTGAATGAGTTTGCTATTAAAAATCATCATGATGAGCATGAGATGTGATTGCTAAAGGTTAGTGATGATGGAAAGGAAGATAAACCTATAGTTGACTTGTTGATGATGAAGGATGATTGAAGTGGGAAAGATGAAGAGGAGGAAGCTTAAGCGATGAGAAGTATCAATATAACAGTTGAACATTTCCTATGTTAACTGATTTAACTTTTGTTTTTTGTTTATGGATCACATATTTGGGCCGTTTTTTTGCTTCTTTCTTCTTCTTCTTCTTCTTCTTCCACAAAAAGCTCCTAAAAATTGTGCGAAAAACTGGAAAATGCAAAATGTAATGTTGATAATTTTGTAAATTGTGTTTAAAGTTATACGATTATGGTTATCATATTCTTGGCCATGTTATGAGATTCAATCCATCATTTTAAGATTACTTTTGAAAGATTGAAAACTTTAATATTGTTTACAGTCTTTTTCCTCTTCTCTTCACACTTTTCCCTGAAAAAACGTTCAAAATGATTCAATGAAATTGAATCTTGGTTAAGCCAATAAAAATCAACTTTCAGTCTTATTCACCCACCTGATTCATTATTGAAGCCTCAATTTTAACACATTTTTTCATTTTACTAAACATTTGAACAAACATTAGACTTGCAGGATTCACAGAAATCACAATCAACTATTAAGATATATTTTGGATTAACATTGTTGATCAAATCAAACAATTAGTTTATCATTCAAATCATAATTTTCACCTCTAATTATTCAATCAAAGAGATGAAGTTATTTTTTTGTTCCATGTTTTTCTTAAGCTTGTTATAAGCTTTTAAGTTTTGTTTTTGTCCAATTTGCTTATCGTTTCTGATTGCTGTGTTTATTAAGCACCAGCATTTACTTCAGACTTCAGGCAACCCTGAGAAGTTCCAATAAGAAAATGAGGAAAAAATTGGATTTACATGACTTTGAAGTTGTGCGTTTCTAATGCCTTCCATTGAAGGTTTTAAGCTGAGTCAAACGCTCAAAATAAATGAAAAAAATCTCTTAGACTGATGAAGCTATTCATATCAAATTTGGTATAAATAGAGAATCGGACTTTTTAATTTTGCCCAGAAATAGTTGCCTCAGATAAGAACGATTTGGAAATGTCGAAGTCTAATCGATACTTTTGCTTATTCATATTCCAGAAACTTTTCCTTGTTTTCAAAATTCTCATCAACTTTGATGTTTCGCGTTTCAACTAATTTGATTGAAAATTTCACTTATTTCTGAATCTTTCGATTAATTATGGAAATTGTGTTCGATTGTTATTGTCCACTGAACATTGATTTTCTCAGTGACTTGAATCAAAGTAACTTGTGATTATAGATTTTAGTGTCTTTTCCTTCTGATATGAAGCGAGAATGTATTGAGCGTCAAGAAAGAATAATTGAAATGGATAAAAGAAATTACCTTCAGAAATTGATATTGATTAAGTTGTTAATCATCAATTTCTGATTCTATTATTTAAACAATATTCAGTATTAAACCTTGTGCCTTTACCTTGCTCTCTTTCAATGGTTATCTTTCCTATTAGTTGCTATTAGCTTAATTTATATTGATTAAGGAAACTGCATTTTCATCATAACACATTGAATTATTGATTTATTAGCAGACTGCAAGTTAATCCTCAATTCAAATCTGGCAACCTTTCAGTTTAATAACTTGCCTTTGACCCGACACCAAAGTCAAAGATTGAAACGTTTACCATTAATAATAAACATTTTTATTAAAAGAGTCTTCTTTCAACTTGCATCCTCATCCTCTTGATCCTCATTTATCTTGATAAATTACTTATCCACTGAACATTATACCCTTTTCTTGTTCCATTATCTTAACCTTTTCTTCCTCAATAGAGAATTTCATGGTAAATGAAATTTAAATTGTTAACTGTTAATTAGCAGCAAACCAAATGGACTCAACTAATTGAGTTAATTTTCCATTTTCTGGTGAACCTTTAGATTTCATTTTTCGCCTCTTTTCCCATTCAGGTAACACATTCTGTTAACTTATTCATTCACTTTTAATCATTAATTATCCTTCTCATTTTGCCTCTACTGTAACTTAAGATGCCATTAATAATCAGTTAAACATTCAATTAGTAAAGCTCAATGTTTCCAAGGTAAAAACACATTTAACCCTTTTTCTGAACAGCAATCATTTCTTCTCATTATCAATAACTTTTTTCCCTGCATTTATCATATTCACCTCAACAGTTAACCTTTTCTCATCTCATAACATAATTAGCATCTAGTGAAACCCATCATTGATCAAAAAATGAATTTCAATTCACTTTTTGCCTCATCATCATCATTCACCTAATCATCAGCCTTTTCATCAATCTGTGTCACCAAAGCTGAATGTTTCATGTTATAGATTGTCCTGATTCAATCCTTGATGACAATCACACTTGGTTGAAATTTGATCTGATTATAGATGGGAAAAATAAAGAATGGTGAAAAAGCCAAGAAATTTGAAACCAAGTAAATCAGTTGATTATGGATAAAAGGATAGATCAATGTTTAATATCATGTTGTGAGGTTGCATAAACAGATTCACAATGTTTCACCCTCAATCAGGTTGATGTTAACAGTAAACATTGATTATTTGATGGATTACAGTTATCATTGTGTTGTTCCCTTGTGACAATTTGTATACAATGAAAACTGTCAACTGGCCATTATTATCGTTATTACCATTGTTATTATATCTCATATCATCCTGTAGATACAAAAAAAGGCACGAAAATTAAACGTTACAATATCTCTATTATTATTGCAGGGTAATGATCAAGTTTATATTTATTTATAAGGCAAATTGAGTGATTATGTTCAAGTGTCAACTCTAATGGTTGGCACAATTAATTTTTACCTTTTTTTGTTGCTTCTTTTCATATTTTTTTTGTTCCGTTCATCATTTCACTTTCATCTTCAATTCAATTATTTAGCCTCAATCAGGTTAATTGACAATCACATTGACTTCTTATTGTTTCCTATTAAATACAGTAACACAAAATAATCTGTGATTGATTGTATTGACAGATGAACAAAAATAGGGTCAAAATGACCTTTCTTTTTGTGTCTTGCCAACCTTTGCCTTGTATTACCGCGACATTAAATTGTATAACATAATAAAGACACTTTTTTGTTGTTGTGACAATTAGATGAATGTTGGCCAAAAGAAAATGATATTAATTAAATGGACATTGATTCTCATTCGCATGGGGATTAATCATGAGGATAATGATGTGTTGCTCATGTGATTCTTGTTTAATGATGAGTATTTAAGGTGAATGTTAATGTAAAAGTGTCAAAGTCACGCAATCAAATTTTATCCCATTAAATGTTGTAAAGAGATTTCAGTGTTTCAATGTAAAAACAAATAGACATTGAAATGATTCCTTTTTTTGGACTTCAATTGATAAATTGTTGGACTGGTCCGGATAAAGCAATGTTTCTAATTAACCTTGCATGGAAAAAATCAATCAAATCAAGCAACACCTACAATAGTGAATTGAATTACTAAATGACTGGAAATCGTGAAATTTTTGCATTAAAATGTTGTCAATGTTTGATTGATCTTGAATTTGATGCGATTGACTTGTTCAATTGTCCGCCTGGACTTGTGTTTTTGACTTTGACTTTCTTTTGACAATTTAAGAAACAAAATTTTCTTGATGTTAATAAACTCGGCTGATTTTGTGGGTAAAATGGGAAAATTAACTTCTTGTTGTAAGTTGACTTGGATTCAATTTTAGCGCTTGATTCCCGTCTTATGCCATCTATCGGTTTGTGTAAAAATGCATTTCTTTTGTTTTAATTGATTTGAAATGAAGATCAACAGAAACAAATTAACCAAATAGGACACACTTTGACTAAATGAACGACAATATGTTTTGGTTACATGTAGGCAAGGATGTAAAGATAAACACTGAACGCCCAAGAAGTGTTAATGTAAGAATAAGAAATCACAATGATTAGTTTGATTATCAAAAGTATGATAATGTTGATACGAACGGATGTTTACAATTTAGGCGTTGATTCGGAACATTGACTCAGGATATTGAAGTGCAAAATGATCATGTAATTTGCGTTTATATGAAACGTGAAAAAGCAACAAGAAGACAAAACGAAAAGGAAAATATGGCTTTGACCTTGTTTCATGTTTCATCAGATTTGGGTAACCAATTGAAGTAAATAGTGAAATTGTGAAGAAGATGAAGTAAAAAAGCTCCAAGAGTTGTGCGATTATCGACTTTTCTGATCTTTGATGACTTAAACTGAATGATTGTGAAGCCAATGAAGCAAAAGAAAAGGGCAGCAAAAGTAATGTTGTTTGGAGAGCCAAAAAAATGAACTTGTCAAGAATGTCCTTTTGTTAATGTAGATATATTTTTTAGCCTCGCGATTCCTCTTCGTAATTGATTGTGGTCATTTCTATTTCCTTTCTTGTCCTCTCAATCCTGAGAATTGTCAACAGTTTACCAAAAAGGTTAATGTGGACCAATGTTGAAAATATTTACAGCAAGAAGCCATAAAATGATGAGGCTATTGAATAAAGCTGAATCCAAATCGTAATACAATCGAAACCTATCACCTAATTTATCTTGATCGTTTTTCTTGTGCCTCTCTCTTTCCCTTCCAATCGAGAGCCAGATCGACATCTTTTACCATTGATTGGCTGCGAAAAAAAGAGAGAAAAAAATCCATGAAAGTTCATTTCTTTTGTATATTATTGGTCATTGTCTTCCCAGTCAATCTTACAAATCAAATGATTGCATCTAGAGTTAGAATACTCAAACTGAATACAGATAATGATGATGATCATTGTCGTTGATTGTCAAAATGATTACTCATTCAGCATCCACAGTTTCCATTAGTTTGTATACAGTCTTCTTACTCTTCATTCCCGTCATCATCATTATCCTCATCATCACATTCAATGATATCATCTAGGAATAATCAGTCTGATAGAAACGGAAATGAATGACGAACCTTTAGACAGGAAATAAACCATAAAATGTCATCACTTTTACATCTAACTGTTATTATTTTATCGATGAATAAACTTTTTTTATCATTTCCTGTGAACGATTCAATATTGAATTGATCATGATAAAAACAATTCTTCCTTTACTTCAATTGTTTTTATCTATTTTTTGCACAGGAAGATGTTTTTTTTCCTTCTCACATTTGGTTAGTCATTTTAATGTCTAATTATCATTTTACCTTGATATTGTTTAAACAATCACAATCACTAGAAACGTTGCACAGTCAATCTAAATTACGTTGATTGAATATTCAAGTCCATTGAATCACTTAAAATGTAATTTATTGCCAATCAAGTAAAAAACAAAATAATTAACAGACGACATGAAAAGACAAAATCTGCTGACAACAAAAAGAAATGCTATAAAAGTAATTTTAAACATAATAGATGGCGCTTAATACCTTAAAGCTATAAGTTAATCGAGTTGATTACATGTTGAAAGGTTGATTGTAATTTTGATTAAGATTGAGATTCATTGGTCTTCTGTGAATCAATGTTGACAATGAGGTAAAATGATGAGTTGCTAGTTAAATAACCTGCGAGAATTGAAATGAATGAAAAGTCTCTGAAGTCTTTAACCAATAATAGGAACCTTTAATGACCATTAATCCTGTTGATTGCGGCTTCTAGCCTTTTCTAAATTCACTTGAATTGTTCAGGTTAATGATCATAATTAAAGTGTAACATGTAGCCAAGAATAATGATATAAAGTTATCTTTGTGACAAAAAGAAGAGGAAAAAAATGTGATTGAAAAGCATTGTTAGTCTATCGTTTGCTTAAAGCAACTGCACTTGGATTTTGTTAAGTAATTTTGTTGATTTTGTTGTTGAACAATTCAATGAAAAAACGTGATTCGAGTCTCATCCTCAGAATTAAAATTAATAAAGTTGAATCTATCGTAGCCTGGAGCTTTGAATGAGTTTGCGCTATTCTATAGGATAAATTCAGCTTCAGAATCATCATCATCTTCAACATTATCATAAACATGATAGTGATGAGCATGAGCATCCTTTGGAAATGTTGATGTTCAATGTTCAATGAATCCAAATCTAGGAATAAATTCATCTCCAGGGTAAACGTTCATGTTGAACGTTTAGATTATTTGAATAACCATTTGGTCAGGTAATTAGTTGATTAGAATAATTAAAGGTTAATTATCCGCCAACGTTGAGTTTAGATGAAAAACGATGTTGAGAAAAAGATTCACTTTTCTTCTTGTTGACTTTCCATGCTAATCGCCACCTTTATTAATGCTAATAAATTTAAATATTAATAACCCATCTTTTAGTTGGCGTGATTTATTATCACCTTTCAAGCAACATCACATTTGATTTGTTTGTTTTAATAATACAGATTTGCTGATTTGTTTGTTTGTTAAGTCAAATCAAGTTGTTGATATTGATGTTGTCGTTTGCTGTTAACCATTAAAACCATATATTGATTGCCTTAAAGGCCTCAATAACATGGTACATGATGTTTAATAGTAAATAAAAATCAGATTATTGATTCTGATTTAGAAAGATGATGGTTGAAGAGAAACGTGTAAATTACTGTCAACTGTTTAAGCTAAGAAAATTGTTGAAGTTTAATTTATAATGTACACTTTATTAAAGTATCTCAACAATCAAATTGATCTTGATGTAATGATGATTGTTTACCTAAGGGTGATTTGGGTTGTTAATTTAAAGTTACTTTACAACATTAAAATTGCTTACAGCTACAATAATCGTCAATAAAAGTCAACAATCAAAACCAAATCTCTTACACCTTCATCATCAGCATATATCGTCTTCATCTTCATCAAACCATTTTGCCTTCAATTGATCATTGATTAATAATTATCAATCGATACGGAAAAAATGTGTTTCTTTTTACTTTTTGCTGCTCTTTATTAATAAAAATGTTTTACCTCATGTTTGATGGTTAATTGTAATTACTTTTGATTGTAATAGTAAATCTCAGGATTCATTTTCTTCTCTCTCTCTCTTTCATTCAATTGATGATTCATGATAACAGCCTCAATCCTTGTTCTAATTTCCAAATAAATTTAATCAATAATGTTAATAATCAATAACATTACCGATATTTTTTTGCTAACATTATTGATAGATGATGATATAAATCTGTTAATTTTTTCTTCTTCTTCTTCTTCTATCCATTTACACTCTTCTTCTTAATAACTTTTTTCCTTTTCTGATATTTCTTCAAGATATTACATGATACTGACTACCCACTAAGCATACACTACTAAGGTACTAATTAACTGTTGTTAACTGATTTTTTAATCCAATTAACTGGATTTAAATTCAATTATAAAATATGATCAATGATCAAGTGAATATTCAAAAATCCTGTTGACATTCAAGTTGCGATGTTAACAGAGTTTACCATTAATGGCCAGTAAAGCATTTCAATTAGCCAAACAGTTTGATAGATGGATGTTGCCTTGAAAAATTGTGATGAACATCAAGGGATCAGTGAATGAAGACAATAATATTGAGCCAATCAGGTTGCTATTGTTGCTTGTCCATTGTAACGGCAATCCTTGATCAAGGGCAATTTGAATGCTTCTGATTCCTCAAAGTGACCACAAAAACAGATTCCAGTTTAGTTCTCATGCTTTTCCAAACAATATCTTGAAGTGGCTCAGAATTGATAACATGGCTTTTATTGATACAAAAACCAGCACCTCATTTTTCCTTCAAATTTGAAACAAAATTAATTGATAAGTATTGTAACACAACATGCTGTGCAGATAACCATTAATATCTGCTGAGAAATGTTGTACAAAGAAGCAAAATAACTTTCAAACCTTTATTCATTTAACTTTATCACTTGTTTAGCTGGTTGTTAATCGATTCCATCTGATCTCGATCAAAGATTCGACAAATTTATCTCAAGGTTCCTCATATAATTGGTTAAAATCCTGATTAATGAGCCAAAAGGTTTCACATTTTTCATAAAATGGACAAATTTTTCTTCCAATAACCAATAACTAGAAAGAAAAGAAGAAAAAATAAACAGGTTTAGAAGAAATATAAAAGCATAAATTGTGATAAAAAGTATCATGAGAATATTGAACATACATTGAACTGTTATTCGATCACTGGATAATTCGGTGACTTGCCTGATTAATATCATGAGAACATTCTCACAGCATTTCACTTGAATATAGCACAAGATGAAACATGAATCAACAAACGCGATATTAACGTTGTTAAAAGATGGAGACAAATATAATCAAATCATGGTTCAATTTGACTGCAGGGCAGAAGTAACTACAGTTTCTACATCAAGATTAAATCATTAAGTTGAAAAATTTAATGAACTTGATGAATCAAATTTTAATCGGATTAAATTAACAAAAGCTAACAGTTTAACATTGAAATAATAGACTAAAAAAAGACAAAAGATATTGACAGCATGTTGACAGTTTCCATGGCAAATAAACCGTTACCAACCATTAACTTTTTACTTCAACAATAGAGAGCACCACCTGTTAGTTATGAACAACTCGAAATTATTTTCAGTAAAAATTGAATGTTAAATTATTCACTGAAATTATGAGCAAATTAACAAGAAAAGTTGAAAATAAAATGTTAAAAATTAGTCAAATTTGATGAAAAGTTGAAAAAGTAATTTGTCTAGTTTGATTGAATCATAAAGATTGAGACAAGCATTAAAATTGAACTCAGTTGTAGACTGAATTTAAATTGAAGTGTAACAATTGGAAATTAAATTTGCCAAATCAATTGTTAACAAAAAGCTCATCTTTTCATCAGAAGTTGAAAAAAGTGAAAATTGAATTACAGAAGCTTCTGATTAAACTGTAAACAATGGAAAAAATGTTTGAAAGGGAAAACATTGAAAGCAAAATGAAAATAATGATTAAACCGTTTTCCGGTCAACGTTGGCCACTCAATCACACACCTTGGTCTTAATTTTGGCCGAATATTGGTCATCAATGATCCAATTGCGAGCCAACGGTTGTTAATGGTTAAACAATTGTACATTTCAAGTAAAAGGGAAAAGTTAAAGATGATGAATACGATGATGAGAAGGATGAAGATGAAGAAAATGCGTCAAGAGAAACTGAGATTTTGTGGCTTGGCCCATCCCTTAATTGTGTCTTGATTGTTGTAATAATACTGATAAGAAAAATGATTTAAAGTCGACTTGACCTCACCCAATGGAAGGAAAAGCAAAATAAAAAAAAGTTGAACACTTTCCTCATGATGATGATGATGATGATTAACCCCTCCCGAATTAATCCAAACTCAGTGTGATTCAAACGATTGGAATGAGAATTGGAATAACTTGGAATCTCTTATCTTCTTCATTCTGAACCATTTACCATGAATTTGCATGAGATTAACAAGACAAAAACAAGATTATTGGTAACACTTTAGACTCATTGAAATTTTTTGCTTCTTTTCTATTCTTCTCTCAATTGATAAATCATTTTGATTCCTTGATTCATATATCGATTAATCATTTGTACCAATTATTGATTGAAAGATTGTTCAAAGTGAAATACTGTTCAACACTCCCAATTGATTGTTTTCAATGGACACACACTGGTCCCACTTTTAGATGTTTAATTGTTGCTTTAAAAATTGTAAAGTGCTTTTCATGACTTTAATTTCATGACAAGAGCCTCTTCATCATTGAAACTTTAACTTTCTTCTTCTTCCTCATTTTACACCCAATCCATCATTAATCAAGGATTACATTGACATTGATTGGAAAGCAACACCTAACATCTATGGTTCATTACAATCACAGTTAATTCAATTTCCATTATCTCTATCAACATAATTAACACCCAAAAGCGCACAACATTGTCATCAAGACTTCATCTACTGAATCTACAGAATAATCTGTTTCAACATTTTTTAATTGACTTATGATTTCAATTGTAAATCCTTAATAATCTCCTTTTGATCTACTTTTTTTCACTCAATTTACCTTCTAAATCTCCTTTTGTTGCAACTCTTGTTTCCTCCTTCATCTTCAAAGGTTATCTTTAAAGGATTTACAATTGATGAGAAACGAGTTAATGAATCAACAAATCAAACATTAAACATTCAAACCTTTATCTCTGGTTAACCTTTCAATTGATTGATTGTTAAACAAATTGAACGATAAATTGTCATCAGCTAATGTTGAATATTCATTTTGTTTACAGATTTACCAGAAAAAATGAAAGCAACAATTGTTAATGATTACAGTTAAACAATAGTCATTAACATGTTGATGATGAGAGATAATTAAAGTGGTTAAAAGTATCAAAACCTGTTGTGCGATTGTTTGCTTAATAGCGATCATCATAATCAGTAAACAATTTTGATCAACTTGGCTTCAATTGTTATTCATATTAATTTACTTTTAAAACGGTTTTACACTTGATATTCATAATATCCAAACCCATTAACACTGAAAATGACCTTAACTTGAATTATTTTTTTTGCTTCATTCAATTGCACACAATGAGCCAAGTTTAATTGAAACGGTTAACCATTTCTCAGTAACAATCAGTTAATCGATTGAATAAATTATTGGAAAAGTTGATTTTTTAATGAAACATTGAGTGAACATGATTTAAGATGATGGCGAAATGATTTGAAAACTTGAAAATTGGATGAAAAAAAGTCATGTTAAAGGTTAATCTTTATTTAGATTTATTGTTGAATTGAAAAGTTAATGATGATTCCTCAACTTTGATCATCATTTAAAGATGCAATAAACTAAATTAAAGAGGAAAAAAAAAGTTAAATTAAAAGGTAAAAACTCAGCCCACAATGAAAGATAAAAAGAAGCCAAAAAGGTGAACATTTCTCTAATCATTTTACCTTCCTGATTATCTCAATTCATAAATGGTAAGCCAACAAATCAAACGCATTTCATGATGATCATAAGAAGTAATAACAGATTGAAAAAACTCTATGACAAGTCGTCCCACCATCATGATCATCATCTTAATGGACAATCATTATTAATAAGATAATCCCAGTAATTGGACAATCAGAACATCTGAGTCAACCAATTTCTCATTCTTCCTTCAACAAATTAATCATCAAAAGTTTCCAACTTTTCATTCGAATTCAAATTTTCTCAAATTCTCAACTCACTTCGGAACCATTTTCAGATCAGTTTCAACATGTTCTTAGAGTTCTGAGTATAAAGACTTTCAAAAATGTTCATCTTCCAATTCGTTATCAGAATTGTATCGAACTGTTTTACTGGAATAACTGAAAATCGAGTCAGAGATTTTTCCATTTCTTGCAATTCTCATTAAAATTTTCAAACCAGTTTCAAAATTTGAAATTTTTTTTGCGAAAGTAATTTTTCTCTGACTGATTCATCTGGGTTTCATAAATCTAACTCTGAATATTTCTTTTGAAGATGTTCCAATCCGTCATAAAACTGTTACAACTCTTTTTATTGAAATATTTTAACTTGAAATTCAAAGATTTTACAGTTTTCTTGCAATTTCAAAAGTTATAATAATAAATTCAGTTTTATTCGACAACCAAAAGTTTAATGACGATCAGAAAATAGAAAAGTTATTTTTTCTCTGATAGTTTCATCCATCGAATATGAATGTTGTCTTTTAATGGGAAAAACGTATCAATTGATTGATCAATTTTCATGATAAATATTCCGAGTTCATCTCAATGAGCTTGAAACTGCTGTTAATGTTGACCCAACTCATATAAGTAAAGCAAGTTTAAAAGTAAACCTTTTGAACCATTTACAATAAAATATCTCAACGTGTTAATCAAGTTAAATTGTAATAAAACGATTGCAAAGAGACGAAAAATTTTGTTGTGATTAATATAATAATCAGATGGCAATTGTCCCAATTGAAGTTGATCATCATCTCAATTCCGTTGTTACTAATACGTTGATCTAAATATCTTCATCACCATTAAAACCATCAATAATAACATCATTAAAATATTTATCACCATCATTACAATTGTAATCACAATCGTTCAATAATCCAAATACCATTAAGTTTACAATTTAAATACAATTTCAAGTTATCATGAAAAAGCTGAATCCAAAAGGAATAAGTAAAAATGTTGAAAAATGACAAATTAAACATTGAAATATCGCCATCACCAAATTTGATGATAACATCGAGAAAAAAGTTGTTCTGCAAAAAGTTCATTTCATTGTTCAATTTAAATGTTGAAAGTTTCTCCAAATTTCATTTCCTAATAAAGTTCCAGAAACATTATCAATTCCGTAATTCCTCAATGTTACACTTAATTTAACAAACTATTAATATACATTTAAATGTAATAAGGAAATAATGGATTTGGAAAATTAGCAAATTGTTATTCTTCTTTTGACGAAACATTGATCAATCTTGATGGATTATTTAATTGTGACAATCAAAAGGTGAATCAGAGAAACTCGATAGTTGACTTTGCGTGTCAATTGTTCACAATTAGATTGCAATTTGTCAACCTTTCCAATTTGAAAGATTAACAGTGATTATGAAAAGTAAAAGTATTTTAATGTTACTCTTCAAGACTCGCCATGCTTTCATCACCTAACAATTGTGTTTAAACTGTTAATGATATTCACTTTGAATTGATTATGTTACAAGAAGATGTTAATATATTTACATGATTATCAACATGTTAACAGGCGTGAGAAGACAACTTGGAACAATTTAAAATTCAATTGAATAATAAATGAAGAATGTAAAACAAGGGAAAAGCACCATTTTTCATCTTTACCTTTACCTCATCTTCACTTCTCAGGTAAAGTTAGATGAAGGTTAAATGAATGTAAATTGAGTTAACACAGCAACAATTAAACAACTGTAAAAATTGGCGATAAAAAGGGAAAAACTTATTTCGATACAAAAAGTGAGAGATGAAGATAAGTCTTTGCTCTTCAGTTGAATAATAATTATCTCTTGAGCAGAATTTTTTTACTTTCAATTCAAGAATTAAATTGTTTAAAGAAGAGGCATTTTAATTGAGGGTTGGGTGTTAAGGTGCGGAGAGCGAGCGAGTAAGCAAGCAAAGGGTCAAAGACAATCAATGATCAAATGAATGTTTCCATTAAATTTTGCATTCTTTTTACACTAAAATTAGTTTCATTGTAATTGCTCAGCCTTTTCCCGTTAATCTCATAAAGTTCATCAGATATCAGCCTGAGGTTATCTTCTTTCATCCACCAATTTACCTTCATCTAGTTAATAGAGAAACATTTTTCTTCTTTTTTGATCAATTTTTGGGTTGAAAAGTTGAGCAAAAGGATAGAAACATAAATAATGATTTCAATTGTTCAACTTTCATTGTTTCCATATCAAAATTCATCTTCAATGAAAAGATGATGATCAAGTGAAAGATGAAAACAAGTAAATGTTTTTTAATGCATAATCTTGTTTGGCTCCTTGAGAAGCTCAACTTTTCATCTTCAACTTTTTCTTCTTCTCCCAATTCTTACTCTTTGATCATCATAATCATCATCACAAACCATAATGGCTAATATAACATGATTAACTGGTTAAATTATCACCATTAACTTGTCTTTCGCACTTTTTAAATTGTAATTTAAATGTTTTCATTTTCATGTTAATATTTTCTTCTTCTTCTTCTTACCTTTTCTTGTTATTGCAGTTTTGGCCTTAATTTTATTTTACCTTTTTTTTCAAGACTAACTTCATCAACCATTCAGATTAAGAAACCATAAACATGTAAACAATCACATGATGATGACCATTGTTATTTTCATTTGGAAATGGTTATTAACTGTTTGACCAACAAAGTTAAATCATTGCAATTAACCTTGAAAGCTTCGCCTGATGAAATTAATTGATGTATCATCATCATTTCATGACCTTGTCCATTGACAGTGAATTATCTTCAAATCCATTTGAACCACTTTCAGAATTTCATTGTTCTCTGAATCCATTGAGAAATCTTTTTCAAAATTTCTCCAAAAAATGAAATCGACTTTCAACTCAAACAGTTTCGATATCTGATATAAATCATTTAGATTTTCAAGATTCTATGAAATTTTATTCTTTTCATGATCTTCTTGTGAATATTTATTGAAACTTATAAGTTATTAAAGATTGCTTTGGAGGCTTTACTTTGCAACTGGATAAAATGATGATTATTAATTGTCTTATTACCTCTTCTTTCCACCCACAGGTAACCGATATTGGAAGATCTTTGACCGCTTGGCTTCAACTCAATGATTTTGATTCACTTAAATGGATAACCTGTTTCCGGTGTGCAGAGAGGCAAACGGATCAGAATGCAATATTACTACTCTTTAGGGGACAAGTAAGTATTCCGTTTACTTGTAATAGTGCGCTAAATGAGACGCCAACACGTTCGTTGTATTTGGCTGGCTTCAGGGTTAACTCAATAGATTCAGACCAATTTCAATCAATTGATATTCACACATTAAACCCAAAGTCTCTTTTTTACCTTAACTGTTGATCATCAGTCGAGTCACCAACAAACAAATGATTGATTGATCACGAAATTTCTATGGTTTTTCGTTCTCTCAAACTGGTTTAATTATCGACTCGTCTTGACAATCAACAATTATTGGAAAAGTGCTCATCAAACATGATTTAATGAGCAAAACTGGTTTCATGTTAACCCAATAAAAATAATCAATAAATATGTAGCCATAAATTTATATCTTCATTTGCAAATTATAATGATTGAGTGAAAACGTAAAATTTTGCTTTTCTTTTTTTCACCAAATCGCAACTTGAGGACCAAAGTGAACCTTAAATGATGAAAAAGATGAGAATCCATTTGAATCTATTAAAAGCAATATTCTTTGATTAATCTTTTCCCTTCAATTATTGAACAACAATTTAGCATGTTTAACAATAAATGGAGTGCGAGAGTCTCGATTGACGATTAAAATGTATAAGTAAAGGAAGTGAAGGAGAAAAAGAGAAAAGCAAATTAATAATTTATTGATGTAAAAATAATCAGATTGAACAACAATTTAGTGGATCAAGAGATGAAGGAAGGAAGAAGATAATGATGAGTAAAAGATGAATAGAAAGAGTTGCCATCCTCATCACAATCAGAAGTTGCGTTCTTCTTCCTCATCATTGAACTCAAGACTCACCCAATTGAAAATAGATCAATGAGAAAGATGAAGATGGTTAATGATGAAAGGTGCGGTTAGAAGGCAGATTTTACCTGGAATCACCGTTACACGCTTTCTTTATCAAACAATTGTAGCTACTGAACTCAACTGCAAGAATCATGGCAATAGATGAGTTGCTGATGATCAGTTTGGATGATTAAAGATGTTGATATACATCTTCCTGGTCACGGCTTAGGAACAATTTGAATGCGAATTGAAAGAAGAGAGAAAATCAAGATTTCCATCAAATGTTTAGAATCATGATTTTCTCATTTGCCTTCTCATTGTTGATCAAACTAATTGTACAAGTTTAACAATAAACTGATCAACAAGATATTATTGGATTGACCAAAAGACTGATTTAAATGAACAGTTTATAATTAACAGTTAATTCATCTTGTTCATCTTTTCATCTTTCAAATGTTTTTCTTTGTCCAAATCAAGTTAACATTGCGTTTACTTGTTGCTGCTTCTGTAAGTCACGAATGGTTCCATGATAAATCACATTTATCTCATTACCTTTACTATTTGTGTATTACCTTTCATTATCATCATTATTGTTTTGATTCATGATTCACCTCTTGCTTTGAAAACGTTGATTAACAAGCAACTTTCAACACCATTTAGCTTAATTAGTTGTCGCTCTTCAGAAGCTTTTCTTTGTTTTTTTTTATTTCATTTCAACATTTTTTTCTTTCGAATTTCATTTTTTGTAATAATCTTTTTTTTCAATTCAAGTTACGAAGATTTGGTTAACCTTTTATCTTGTTGATTAATGATTCAGATAATTTATTCAATCAATTGATTGGACTTGATAAAACCTTTAAGGTGATTCCAATCAATTGATAGACAATTTGCTAACAAGCCAAACATGGATCAAGACGAAGGCAACTTGATTGATAATTATGTTTTAATTCAACTGATAATCTCATGATATATGCAAGTTTCAACCTTTTTTTTTGCCGTTAACATTTGAAGGAAAAACTTTACAACTAATAATTCATTAGCAATGAAAAACTTTTCAAATTGAAATTTTTCATTCCAAAGGTTGCAATATTCAAATTATTATTATTAAAGGTACAATTCAGGATTAATTGATGAGAGAAATTTCACTTTTCTTCTTTTCTCAGAAAATTGAAATTGAATTTACTAATAAAATTTAATCAGTATTGAGATTATTTTTCAAACAAAAAGAGTTTCAAAAGGTGTGTCTCGAGTAACTCACATTGGGTCAAGTATTTTCCTTTATTCAGGTTAAATCATCTCAGTTTTCAATGATTACCATTAATCAGGGAAAATTAATTTTCACCCAAAATTAATTGACAAAAATCTTCTTTTAGGTGAAACTTTTTTTTTCTCGCCATTACAGGGAAACAATTGACCAATTGTTGTGGACAGTTGAAATTGTTTAAAATATACATTAGCTTTTTGACACCAAACACCAAGCCCAAAACCTGAAAACCGGAATGAAAGAGGAAAATGTTGGTGAAAAAAGTTTTTCGAATGGAAAAAAGTAAACTGAAAAAGAAGAAAATTGTAACAAAGAAGATGAGGAGAGAAGATGAATGAAGATGAAAGATGAAAGGAAACCTTTTCAAATAAAGATTCAGTTAATAATGAATAAAACAGATTATCGTTTGTATTTCAATTGAGAGAGAATAATAATTTTCTTATTCCAATTTTCCCTCAACTGTTATACTTTTTTTTATTACCCATTCAATGGATAATATTTATCAACAATTCAAGGCAATTGATCAAGTAAAATCTGTAATAATAGTAAATGTTGAAGTAAATGTTGAAGTAAAGGTGAAGAAGGTAAAGATGATTAAAAAATGACGATTGAGTGAAGATAGAAAATCGAAGGTTTCCTCTTTTCTTTTCCATCCTCTTTACCTGAACAGCTTCCTTGGCGAGCTCAGCTTTTCGTTCAAAGTTAACCTATTGTCACGATTAACTCAACAATCGTAAGACTCTTCTGTTGATTTAACCATTTAATCACTTGTTAACCACTTGATATGAATGTGTCAAAATTAATCCGTTAACTCGTTCAAATTGAATGGCAAAGCTCAGAAATCCTTGTAAACATGGAGAAAATGGATAAAAAGAATTGAAATGTTTCTCATTGACCAATTATCGTTATAAATACATGGTAAAGTGTATCAACTTTTGTAGTTCATTTTAATGATGATTAAAGGATGAGGAAAGGTAACTTGAAATGCTTATCATGATTGGCATATTCTTGTTTCACTTTTCATTCCTCAAATTCTGATGATGGATCAGAATTTCCATCAATCTCATTTTCCTTTCAAACTCAGCCTCACCCCTTTTCTTCATCATGGCGATCTAGTTTTCATTTCTTTCCTTCTCAAACGTCTTTACCATTTTAATGAAGACACAAGCACTCATTAGCGCAACAACAAACGAAATCCATTTTTTTCGCTCTTTTTCGCTGCGTTTCCATCGACTTATCATTAAACTGTTAATATCTTTATAGCTCTTGTTATCACTTTTAAGGCCACTTTTGGTAATCATTTGAATATTTAGTCAGAGATGAGGAAATGAAAAACTTTTATCTCCACTTTTCCATCAATTTGAAAGAGTTTTTTCTTGTTCGAAGATTCCGTTAAGGTGGAGTTGATTGCAATCGTTTTTATAGGTAATCTCAACATGCTTCCAAAGATGAACATTATTGTTGCGATTATTATCAACTGAGAATGCTCATTTGCCATTCAGTGAACCTCCTCTTCATTTTCATCTTTCACTTTCATCTTCACTCCAGTCTTTATCATCATTGTTTAATCTATTCTGTTGAGCATCCTCAGCTTCAACATGTTCAACACTCATCACTCTGAGCATTATCATCATTACTGTGGGTTGGACTTGAACTGTCTTGAACATGTTCAACATAATCAGAAGAAAATGATAACTTGGAAAAAAAATGTCAGACTTTTACATTCCATTGTTTCTAATATCATCATGAACCAATGAATCAAATCCTTTTTATCCTTCAACATGAAAAACATTTTGTCAATCTTGTCTTTCCAATTGATCTTAATTAGAAGATAATTTAACTGTTTAACTCGTTTCTCACCTGAATTAACCTTAATTTCCAATCGATATGTTAATCAACTTGTTCTTCTAATCACGAATCTTTGTTATTTTCTTCTTCATCTCCATCTTACCTTGATTACTTGTTTTTGTTTTCTCACTTTTACCTGCAATTCCATTCAATTTCTCACCCTTGAAGTTTAATTTAAAACAATTTGATATCAATAAATTAACCATTTAATGAAGGAAAAATGCGAAAAGAGTTTGATTAAAAGACAAAAAGGTAAAAAGAGAGTTAAAAGGTTAAAAATTGAATTCCAATGAACCAATAATCAACTCATCGTTATCATCATCATCAACGATTATTAATTGGTCGAGATTATTTTAAACTTATCTGTAAACATCTTGAGAATGTTTAACCAAAAGTTAACATTAACTTTGCTTGTAAACCGTTAACATGAACATCGCCTTTTCCCTTTAATAACAAACCATTGCTGTTATTATCATTACCATCATCATTAACATCATCTTGCAATGCGAATAAAATGAAACTCTAATCGAATTGATTTGGATGAAAGTTTTTTCTCTCTCGATTAATCCATAGCCTTAGGCTGAATATTGCTGATAGCAATCACGATTTGAAATCGATTCTCTCCTCATGGTACCATCATCATCATTATCGTCATCAATGAACAGAAGAAGAAGAAAAAAGTTTTGATCGCAATTCTGGACGATTCACTGATTTAACCTTCTCTTTGTTTCTCTTTATTGTATTCAACCGTTTCTGATTGAATAACAAACGACATGATGGCACTGATGGTGTTTCATGTCAACGTGACCTGAATGGTCAATCGTTTATGGTTCAATGTTGATAATCAAAGTCTAAACATTTGAATCGCATCATTTTGTGATCACTTTTTTTTGTTTCTCATTTTGTTGAATTTCCATTTCAATTGCAAATTGATGATCAATTGACTGTTATACAAAAAATGTTATCATGTTATCATGAGAAGTTGATGTTGGTCAGTGAACAAGCATTGACAAAAGAAACGATTTATCCAAACGTTCAAATGTTCATCATTACCGTTCATCAAGTTTTGGCCTTTTCCTAATTCACAGTTCATTTGATGGAAAAACATTTGGAAACTTGTTTTGCCCACTCATGCGCAAATAATTTATCGATTCAAGATGAATTCAGAATTGTTCATTTATTTATTTTTCGCCATTCTTCACTGGACTGGTTATCAATCTGGGCTTTGCTATGATCTAGTTTAATCAGGCGTTGGTTGTAATCAACTTTTCCTCTTCTTCTTCTTCTTCTTCTTCTTCCATGATGATGATAAACGATTCAATTCATTCTAATGATTACCTCCTTCTCATCACGACGGTAGCATCGTGATTATAATGAACGTGAAAATCAGAAGCATTTCAAGATGTGTGTGTAATGATTATTATTGAAAGGCCGTTTTAGACAATGTTGATATTGCATTCAGTTTTTACATTAGATTAGTTTAAAAATCAATTGTAATCTAATCGTCATTTAATTGTTGTTAAAACTTTATCTACCGTTTTCCACTTGATAATCAGTTGATTGTTTTGACCCTTTACATTAGCAATTTGTTTCATCGTTTAACGGTTAAATGGTTCAAAATTGCTTCCAAATCAAGTTTGTCTAAATATTTTCATTTCAATTCGTTGATTAAACATTACTTTTCAAACGAATCTTTTTTAATAGCAAATTTTTAGCTTGCTCACCCATTTCATCTCAACATCTACATAATATATCAAGTAAAAATAGGAATTTTTTGAGCAAAGATTGTGGCAAAAGGAAAAGAATTCTAAGGAAAAATCTGAAAACCATGATTGAACTACAAATCGGAACTCGGGTTACTGGAAAGTTCACGTTTAAACAGGGTCGGGGAAAAGATCTGTATCTCTTGCTATTGATTTTGGATGATAAACTTTTTCTATTCAGGTTGATGGTTTATTGTTGGATGAAAACTGTCTTTCGAGTAAAGAGTTTGAGTAAAAATATGGAGTCTCAACTGTATAAAAAGAGACAAAAGTTTCAACTTTAAACTTGATTTTGTCAATGATTGTTGATCAGAAAAACTTTAATTGAACAAATGGAATCGATTTATGCCTTCAAAGGTTCCAACAAAGGTTCAACTCTCAACCCGAATGGAAATTTTTTGTGCTTAAAGAATGGCTTTTTTCATTCCAAAATGAATCTTATTAATGTGGCTAAATCTAAAGATTTCAACCTTTTCAATTTCTTATTCTGACAATAGTTTTTTACAAATCGTGTTTTTTCATGTCGATTGTAACCTACTCAGTGAAAAAATTCAGTCAAGATCAGTCATTTTTGCGTGAAAATGGTGGCAACGGAAAGAGTTCTTAAAGAAATCGAAGATCAAATAATGACCATGATTTGACTGCAGCGACAGAAAATACTTGACTTTTCTAGGAACTCAGATCATGTCCAGTATTCCAAAACATTTTGGTGGGAAGAAAATTATTTTGTTTAGTTTAATGATGTTAGGGTTTATTTTTGGGTGAGTTATAACTGTCAAAACTTTGAATTTCGAGTCAGGGTTGCGACCTGATGAATCTTCGGGGCACAAGAACTGGAAACATTTCGGTGATTAAAAAGTTTTTCTGTCGAAGGTTTTTGAAAAAAACAGTCAAACTTAGATTTCATTTTTGTTCAGCTGAACCAGATTTTATTTCATTTTTTAGTTTGTCTCATGACAATGGTTTTTCACCAACAAGAGTGTCCAAATGTGAATTGAATTTATTGTATTCAGGGGAAAGGAATTTACGATCAGTCATGATCGGGCTCCACTTGTTATTATAATGAGGATGATGATACTCTTATCGTGATCACTTTCTCACGTTGAAATAAGGATCATTTGTTGATTGACAAGTTTGTTAAAAATAATAACATCTTTAAATGTTTACCTTTGCTTTGCGCTGAAGAAGAGTCCAGAAAATGATGATAATTGCAACATTTGTATTGTTGATGATTGTTATCAAGATAGTAATGATAAACGGATGAATCAAACAATGGGAAGGAAAGGTAAAAAGGAAAGGACAATTTAGCAAACAATTTTGACGGTCAACCAATTGTTCAACTCAACTGTTGAACTGATCCCACATGATTGGGGTAAAGGGTGGATGATGGGAAGACAACGGAGGATGTTAAGTTGAAAAGTGAGAGGGAAAAAGAATCAACTTGTAGTCCAATTTTGAGGTCATTTTTTGCAACATGTTAAAGTAGCTTGGAAATGGTGCAAAAAAATAATGATTGGTAAGAAATAAATGATCGGCAGAATCAGGGCAAGTTTAGAGATTCTTTACGATTCTTTATTGGAGAGAAGAAGAAGAAGAAAAAAAAACTGAAAATTCTTTAACAATCCTTCTCTTCTTCTTGTTATTGTTTAGTTTTTACCTGTTTTACACCAAATCTCTTTCATATAACTTGATCTGATCTCAACATTGATCCGATGAGGAGTGACCTGGAAGAGATAATAACTTGGTAAAAGTGAAAGTGTATTTGAAACAAAACGTAAACGATAAAAAAGTTTGATTGTTGCAAGGTTGTATTCAAGTTTACCAGTTTACTTATTGTTTGTTATCATTATTATCCCAATCATTAGGATTATTATTGTTAATATAATTGTTATTAGCCTGTAGGCCACGCGTTAAGTAACCTGAACTTTTTTGTCTCTCGAAAAGAGCGTTATTTTCATTCATCCCTTTTAAAAGGGTAAACACAAAAATTTATTTCAATAATTAATTGGAAACAAAATTTTTAGGCTCATTTATGCATTTACTCATGAAATCATATTTACTCTGTAACCTTAATTGTCACAGTTTCATTGAGGGTGAACATTTGTCGTCGATTAGCGAGGAAAAGGTGAAAATGAGAGACTTTCGTATTTATGCATTTCAATCATTAAGATTGGATACTTTTTTTGTGTTGCTGATGGACAAGATAATTAGTGGCAATAATAATGGTAATAATAGTGATTACGAGTCTAATTAGAATGGTCAGATGATATGAAATGTGACGAGATAAACTTTACTGTCAGCTTTAATTTTGTGTGTCACTTTTCATGGGAATAAGTGATCTAAATGAGAGGCCAACCAATGCGATAAGGAACTGCAACAATAACAACCTTTTACGACCATTCGTTTTAGTTCAAGTGTTGATACGAATTATCGGAAACTGTAAACTGGGCTCGAAAAATCGTCCGACCGAAGTATCTTGTAGGTAATAATAATGATGATTATGATGGGGATGATGATTGTGATGAAAGGAAGAGAAAAGTTGACACACAAATAATCTCACTTTCAGTTTCTTTTTTTGGTAAATCTCTTCTTCTGTTGATTGCAATGTAACGTTAATGGTAACTGTTGTTGCGGTTCACCGAGCCGAGTCCAGTGCTACGGGAAAGGTCCGATTGATTGTTTTATATCAATCATCAACACTCTCGTGAGAGTCTACAGAGGATGAAGAAGGAGATGGAAGAGGAGAAGGATGAAGAAGGAGTCAAACTGGTTGATGTTGATGTTGGATGGTTTACCTTGTCTGTGACAAAAACATAGAGACAACAATATACCCAAACCTGAACTTCCGTTTGAAAAATATCTCAAAATTTATCTTCTCTTGCTTTTTGCCATCTTCATTGTCTTCCTCATTTTGCTTCTTAAATCTTCTTTACTTTCAGTTTTCTCAGTCTAACCTAGCAATCAGTTAAAGTTATATCCTGAAAGGAAACAGAAACCAAGCAATGTTACCAAAGATGAAAACAAGATTACCTTGGAAGGTAAAATTCTTAAGACTCTTCTTCCCTTTTGGCCTGAGTGGTGATACAGATGATACTTGATATACTAATGATGAGAAGATGAAGAGAAGTGAAAGGAAGAGTGAAAAGGAAATGTAATTGCACTTGGACAATCCATGATAACTTTACTTTTTTGTTCAACTTTTCCCATTTTTTTACTAAAATTTTCATCCATTTTTACCTTATTCATCTTCATCTACATTTGATTGTACAATAATTATCATGTATAATGAGATTAATTTAATGTTTGAAAGATTCGTCTTGGATCATCGAATTCAATCGATATCTTTTCTTCATGATTATACTTATTATTTTTGGGATAATTCATTGAAACTTTAAAGTCAAACATGAAAGTGAAAGCGACTCGACGAGAGAAAAAAACTGGCCTAAATTGTTCTCTTGCAGAAACTGTTCAATCGATTGATCAACTTTTCCTTTTCATTTCGAGATGAACTTAGAGATGAAAAGAAGAAGGAGAAACAATCTTTCAATCTCAAAATTAAAATGTTTTCTATCCAATCCTTAACATTGAGTAAACACTGATTAAGAACTTTTCTCCGCTTTTCTCATTTCATCATTCAGCCTCAATAAGAGTGAGAAAACATGAGAAAAGATTATTCAGTAAAAGTGTGAAAATCATTTGAAACTCAACATCACTTCCAGTGGAAGATGAAAGTTTTGGGTTGCGATTCATGGTGAAGATGAAAACAAAAGCAAAATGTTGTGCGTTTTCAAACTATCAAAACCTAACCTTAAAATTGTTGCCTTAATCGTTCAATATCGTTAAACAAAAAAGGAACATCCAACAAAAAAAAAAGAATTTCTGATTTACTAATTTCTCTTGTTTACTCTTTTCACAGTTATTCATTGAAATACTTAAGGATATCCTTCCAGGGAAAGAATTGCTTCTGGTTTTCAATGAAGTTCTTCTGATTACAGAAAATAATTCAACCAAGGATTCAGACAAAAATGAAGGTAAGAAGTTAATTATAGTTGCAATTGTAATTATAAACCATTTCAAACTGAACAAAGCTCATCTCATGTGTTTGGATAAACCATTTAGCATGTAATTAAGAAGCAAAACTGTTTTTCCAGGTTTCAAAGTTTTCTTATAAAAATTGACTTCAACATCATTTGGTGAAACTCAATTTTCTAGGCAATCGCCAAATGAATTAGCATTCATTGTTGACCTGAATAATTAGCGATTAGTTGATGCGGTTGGCCTGGTAACGAAACGGTCCACAAAATTGTTGAACAGCGAAAAGCAAAAAGATATCATTTTCATCTCGTTTTTTTCGTAATTTTTAATATTCTTTTGGCTTTTCGAACTTTTTGCTCGCATTCTTTTTCATATCCGAAAAGTCAAAAATAATCATTTATTGGCAAGGTTATCATTCATCAGAATATCTCTCTTTAGGTTAAAGCAAATAATAATAGAGTTGACAGTTGACAATGTTAGGTGAGTTAAAAGTGGCAGGTTAATTGTTAGAGGATATCATAACTCGGTCATGGTGATCAATTGAGAGATTGAATGGAAGAAGAAGGAGAGCAAAAATGGTTCAATTTAAGGTGAACATTTCAATTGTGACCAAGAGTGGAACAAAAAATGTTCAACTTTAAATTGTAATTAGTCAAGAATCCAGCAATCAATTGTGATAATTAGAAGGCAAAAGGTGAAAGAAGACAAAGTGAAGAGAAAAAGAGAAAGTTTGAAGGAAGAGAGAAAAAAAGATTGGCAAAAAAACGGTAAACTGATTGGAGAAAAAAAATGAACTGTAAATTCACGATCACCGGAATCACAATTGGAGGGCAATTGGCAATTAAAGCTTGTTATTATTGTAACAATTAACGTGCGACATCGCACAATCATAAGTGAATATAATGCAATTATCAATAGAAACTAGTTTGAGTCGAGAGAAGAGAAGAAGAAAAAAAAATGTTAAAGAAAAGGTAAAAACGTAATGAATGTGTAACGAACAAAGGAAGTACTAAAAGGAAGAAAAGGTTTTCCAACGAACGATATCGGTTTTATCTTCTCTTTCTTTTCTTTCCCTCTTTGAGCACACAATTGGTTAATAATGAAATGTGACTCTTTTTTGGAACCAGATTTTTTGGTAACTCAGGTTTAACCCACAATAAACTCACCAAAAATACCAGCTCAAGTACAAGTGAAGAAGTAAAGTTTAGAGATAAACTGAAACACGGTGAACTGTAAATTGATTGTTTACTGTTGCCAGTAGAGAAAAAGAAAAATATGATTATGATTAAGATTATTATCGTTATGCTAATGATAATTCATTAAGCAATTACAATCCCATGGATGGTTGAGTACGACTTTGATTGTCAATTGGTGTGTTTACTGGTTGTTGATGCTGCCTTTGACTTACTGACTGACTGACTGACTCTCAACAGCTCACCGGAGGGAATCACTTACAGCACAAAAAGTTGACTCCACAAACGTTCCAATTTCCGTTTTTCCAATTGATCCAAGTCCAATGTATTCATTTAAAATCAACAATTAACTTGAAAGTAAACAAAAATGTAAACACACACAAACTGATCAACAATCCGTTGTCATTGGTTTAGTGACATTGGTGTTTAAGTGTAACACGGTTTTTACCCGAAGGTTACAAACCAAGCTTTAGACTTTTTTTTTGTTTTGTTTTTTTCTTACTTTTTGCTTGTTCGTTGTCATTCTTGTCGACTGTTGTTCAGTCATCATTATTACCATTAAACACATAACAATTGTCAGCAGCTGTTTAGGGTTACATGTGAACCATTTTGATGGTTGATTCGATGAGGAAACTGAATGACAATTCTTGACATAAGTTCCGTTGGCGATGTTGCTAATAATAACAATCAGTTGAGAGTTTTGATAGCGGGTGGCGATGAGGAGTTTAAGGATGAGAAGGAGGATGATGAGGTTACTGGTGTATTGGTTTCGCTTGGTTAATTCCTGAGGTCTTACCTTTTCGGGATTTACTTGGGTTTACAGGGTGAAAGGTGAGAGAAAAAGAGAGAGAGAAAAAAGGAAGGAAAAGAAAACCAAGAGATCACCTTGATTGTTGCTAATTTATATTGCATGTTGATGATGATGATGATGATGACAAAGTCTGCCTTTGCTGTGGGAGAATCAAGTTTCCTGTCTCTTGGCGTCTTTACAGTTAAACCTGGTAACAATTATTGTTATTGTTATCATTTGATGATAATAAACGGATCCATGGAGATGAAACAAAAATCAACTCTAGCTAATTCGGGATGTTGATTTGACACCGGTTTTTATCTTCTTACCTTTGACCAAGTCTCTTTACTCACTCACTCATATGTACAATTTCACATCATCATTAGGATGATAATATATCCTTTAAGATGATCATCATTATGATGGTTGTGATGAGAGAAACAATTATGTTATCCGTAATTGTAAAGGTAATCATAATAGTAATTAGCTTTTTCCTCTCTTTATTATCAAAACCAATATATTACTTGAAACTGCATTTTCCCATTAAGACTACAGTCCTTTACGCGTGCCAAAAGTACAATATTGTTGTTTCCTCTTGTCGCCATCTTCATCTTTTCATCTGCATCTTACCTTCATCAATGTCTTTTTTTTCATCATTGTAACTGTCGTTTTACCTTTTGGCCTTTTGCATCTGTTTGTTGCCTCAATGAATACCTCAATTAAAGAAACCTTTATGACCTTTGAAATGTCAACGATTAATTAATTTACCTTTACCCTTGATTGTAAACCATTCAAACCTTTAATTGTAAACTTGAAAAGACTATTCAGTTTTTTTGTGTGTATTAAAGTTTCAACCAATTATTGATTACTTTGCAAATCTTTTCAACCTTTTTTTTTTGGTTGAGAAAAGTTCATTTTTCAACTTTTCGCCGTCCAAACTATGAATGAGCTTGACCATTGATTTCAATTTTTGCTCAATTAATTTTCAACTTTCTTTCTTTCAGGTTTACCTTTCTTTAATCTGTTTGGATTAGGAAGTTCAATTAATCAACACCAACTTCTCGCTGCAATTGCCGCTAATCTTGCTTTCTCCAATTTACCAGCAACAAGGTAAGATTTAATAAGCAAATTAAAAGATTTGATTGAAAGGTTGGACAAAAATAGTCAATGTCAATGAAAAAAAGATGAACCAAAGATTATACGTAAATGAAGTGAATCTTTTCTCGTTACTTTTTGTTTAAAATGTCTAATGATGAACTGTCAATTTTTGATCATTTTGATGGTTTATAATGATGATATGAGATGAGTTTTCATCTCAAGTGTCGTTAACCCGTTTTCAGGCCAACAACAGGTTACTTGTTCAAGTGCCGATGGTTTGGGTTAATAAGTGAAAGGGAAAACTGTGCGATGATTATGTGGATCATTATTGAAGGAGAAGAAAGAAGAAGAAGAATGATGATTTTGATGGTGATAAGATGATGAAGGGATAGGAAATGAGTGTAAATGAGCTTAAAGTAAAAGAAAGTGAAATGATGTTTAAGATGAGCTGTGAGATGAGGTAAAATGGGAGTGAAAATTGGAATCGGATAGACAAAAATAGTGAAAGATTGATAAGAAAGCAAAAAAGTTGCCTTTTTAAAGTATCAAGATGAATAAAGATGAAAATGAAACTGAAAATATGATGAGAATGAGATGCTCGGCCGATCCTGAGCTATCAGAGCAGATTGTTAAAGTTATTGGAGCGATTGGTTAAAGCAAAATTAACTTGAAAGAAATAAGAAGATGGTAAAGACGAGAAAAGATGATGATGATGATGAGAAGGGAGAGTTAACCGTTATATTACAATTTAAAGTGAACATTGGAGAGAGAGAGAAAGTTAATCATAATTAAACAGTAAACAACAATAATCAGTTCTTTTGCTATTCCAATCAGACCGAGAACAATTATATTCACACATGACAAGATTCCCTCTCACTTTTCCCATTCCTCAACATTATCTTCATCATGATAATCAGAATGAACAGCAAAACTGAATCATTTTTATTCTTTTTTTTCACTTTTCCTCTTTTTTTCATCATTCTCATGATAGCATATATTGATTACAATTATAACCAACATTAACTGTCAACAAGTTGACAATCAGTCAACTTGCCTGTTTAGATTAACTATTATTATTGCTATTATTAACAAAAATAATAACAAATGATGATGATCATGTTTCGCTCTTCCAAACCTTTTTTTTCTTCTTCTTCTTCAAAATTCTCTTCCTTTTCTTGAATCTGAATAATGGACAAATCTAAATCAATGAAACAATTGGGCAAAACTGACGAGGTTTTTACATTGTGATAAGTGATTGCAACCATTTGCCTTAAGCTGAGTAAGATTCATAAAACTTTCTCATGATGATGTTATTAATGTTGAAGAAGCCAAAACCTTGCTGTAAGGCAGATAAATTGAATAACTTGTCTCAATTAAATACCAGTTAATGTTGATTGTCAATAGTATTGAAAACACCCAAATATTTGTCTCAACTTTTCTTCCTTTTCATTATTCCATTCATCATTTATCGACTTTTTGATTAACATCAATCCCGATCAAATGATGGTATCAATAACGGAACTTGGCACAACCAAATTAACCAGATCAATCATATTCAACTTTAACCAATTTACCTTTAACAATATTTTTTTCATCTTTGCCTTTTTAACCAGAAAAACAAAACAAAACAAAATCATTTACAAATGTTTAATATTTTTAATATCATTCAACAGTTAATTGACTTAAATTGATTGGAAGGACAAATGTGCTTTAAACTGATTTAGATGGCATTTGATTGCTGTTTATGTCACCGAGTTTTCGGTTTACAATTTAGTTTATAAAAGGTTAGGTTAAAAGTTAGGTTAAAACCATTGATCCGGATAAAGTGTTGCTACTTGGTTATTCACTGATTTACAGTGTAATCATTGTAATAAAGCAAAAAAGACATTAAAATCAAGAGTTCACTTTCTAATTGTTTCGCTGATTAATTTGTCTCTTTGCGAACCATTTTCACTGAATGTCACTATTGACGGTAAAAAAGTGTTGTTTCAACGTTAAAGGGACAAATTGGTTTCTTCAATTTACAAGGTTGACACTTTACAATAAACTGGTTAAAAGTTATTAATAATTAGTCGATTAGCCTTTTCAAGTTTAGGTTAAAAGTTGACTCTAGAAGTGCAATTGAAATGTTTCATTTTGATTGTCTTTACATTAAACATGTGTTTAACCATTTAACCCAAAATCAATCATCACGTTTAATCATAAAGATGAAGCAAAGTTGAGCACTTTTTTTTCTGCTCAACTTATCGCCATTCAAGATGATCATTTAGGATGTTAACTGATCGGTTGACAAGAAGAAGAAGCAAAAAATGGATTCATGTTTTAAAGCAATTACTTGGTGACAAAAATATACTCATTGAATCGTCATTAACCAGTGACTATCACAATCATCTCAATCATCGTCATTAACATGATTATAATCATTGGTTGACAATTAGAGGAAAACTTTTCTTTGATTAATTTTGGATCAACATTTTTCGCCCAACAATTCTCAAGCCTTACCAATCCATTGAAGAGAGAGAGAGAAATATTGGTTTAATTTGTCAACATGCAAAATGAAAATTGTGATAATAAAAATTGTTGCAAAAAGTTTCAATAATTAACTTTATGCAAAACACAATTTAAGCACAATTTACTCGTAATTGTTTTCTTTACGTTTTTCCGTCTCTCTTTACTATTCACATCCTTCACCATCTTCATCGTCATCCTCATCAACTTCACCTTCCACTTCGATATCACCTCAACCCTCCTTCCCTCTCTCACTCGATCCTCTCCTCGATCATCAGCCCACCCATTTGATTCGCTTCTCAATTTTACTCCCAATCATTTTTCGTCTTCTCTCTCTTCTCTCTCTCTTCTCTCTTCAACTTTCTCTTTCGTGAGTACGCAAAATACGTGTCCGAGCGTGCGTTTCAACAAGTAGCTACTTAATCATCATCTTTCTCGTTTCACTTTCTTTAAGAAAAAGAACAACAAAAAAACACTTTCTCCCTCGAACGGCATTTCACTTTCTCTCTTTTTCTCTCTCTTTCCATTAGTGCGTTATCATCATCATTCTCGATCTCTTTCACTCTCTTTTTGTTACTGTACTTAGTACGATCTGTTCCTGCCTTTCTCTCTCTCTTATCATCTTCTGTCTCCTTCTTCATCCAGAGGAAGCTCTCAATGCATTTGTTTTACTTTCATCCGATTTGAGCTTCGAGCAACTAACGTAACGGCCTTGTCTTTACGGCGGCCACCAAATAGTAAATAACGATCAACTGTAAACACTTTTCACTTTCAACTTGAACACCAATTTGCTTTTTACCCAAAAAGAGTTTCCCTTTTTTTCGCCATTTCTTACACTTTTATTTTTGTCAACTTTCAACTTTGAAAACTTTTTTCATTTCAATCGTATTTTCACACAAATTGTCTTCAAGTTGAATTGATTAGACAATGTGACTTGTGATTTATTATTTGTTCATCTTTTACCATTGTTCATGGATTTTCTCAATCAAATTTTCTTTACTCTCCAATCAATATTTAACTAATTGTCGACTTTTTTGTCTTCTTCTCTGTGATTAACTAGATCGGTTGATCATCGTTCTTCTGGAGCATCATTTTCGGAAGATTCAGTTGAAAATTTATCATCTTCTTCTGCTCTCGACAGCAGTTCATGTGGAGCTAAACACAGTGAATTAGGTGGGATCCATACTTGTAACCAGTGCGGTAAAGGTTATGGTAACAAGTCAAACTTAATCCGTCATCAAGCCTCACATGATGAGAATCGTCGTTATCTGTGTGAATCGTGTAAAAAGGGCTTCACTGATCCGTCCAACCTTCAACGGCATATAAGATCACAACACATTGGTGCTCGGTCACACGCTTGTCCAGCCTGTGGTAAAACTTTTGCAACTTCATCGGGACTCAAGCAACACACTCATATTCACAGTTCATTTAAACCCTTTCGATGTGAAGTATGTTCAAAATCGTACACGCAATTTTCCAACTTGTGTCGGCATAGACGTATGCAAGCCAATTGTCGATCACAAATAAAGTGTACAAAGTGTGGTCAAGCCTTTTCAACGGTAACTGCACTCTCCAAGCACAAAAAGTTTTGTGAAGGTGAAGGTTGTGAAGAAGCTGGTGAAGAGTTTGAAGACGAAGAGGATAACAACAAGCAAGGTGCTAATCCAATCAATAATAACAATAAGAATAATTTAGTTAAAAGTTTATCATCATCAGCATTCTCATCGGCATCATCCACATCATCATCGACATCTTCTTCATCGTCATCATCATCATCAACCACTACAACAACATCAAAAACAATGGAAACTTTATCAACAGTAAAACGTGAATCTTCACCCAAACAAGGTTCAATTTGTCCAGAATCCAATGGTTATCTTAAATTTCCGTCAATTGCCGAAGCAATCAGATGTGAAGTGCCTTTCGATCTCTCTAAAAGCACAAGTCCAACTCCAAGTAGCAACAATGAAAATGCTAACTGTAATAACATTGAGTTGAGAAAAGGTTTAAACAATAAAAGTGAACCAATTAACAATAATAATAAAAGTTGCAAGTCAATCTCATCATTGTCCAATCTAAGGATACCAATTGGTGAACAGTCAGATGTTCAAATGAACAGTCAAAGGGAAAGTGGTCAATCTGGTCGTGAAGAGCCGTTGGATTTGAGAATAATCAAGAAACGAGGTTCAATTCGTTTGGCTCAGTTGGAGATTGATGAGGAAGATTCAAACATTGATACAGATGAAACTGAAAGCAATGCAAGTTTATACCAAAATTCATCTCAAGTCAATGGAAACAAAAATAGTCCAACCTGTAATTTACGAGATTCATCATCACAAAATGGTTCAGCAACAAGTAATCATCATTATCCAAATAAAAATGAATCAAACAGAGTAAACAATAATCACTCAAATAGTAGTAACAATAGTAATAATAATCAACAAAATCATCATCATTCTAATCATCATGTTAACCATCAACAGCAACAACAGCAACAACGTCAAAATGTCCAAGCAAACCAGGAGAATCTTGAAAATTATCGTTCAACAGGAGAAATTAAAATTGACGAGTCACCTTCACCAATAGGATTTTTACCTCATCTCAATGGTTCAAATGAAATGAACAGCAATAGTTTTACTCGTCCATTATCACCCAATACCGGTGGACGAAGTCACTTTCCACTCTCATATCCACGACCTTTTCATCCATTGCTTCTCGAGTCAATGTATCGCCTTCAAGCAGAAAATTTATCCGCTGTTGCTAAACCACTACCTCTATCGACACCCGCATTTCCCTCACTGTTTCCCGATTCAACTCGATTCTTACCTTCTTACCCATCTCGTTATCAACCACCTTTACTTAATCCTCTTTTGGGTTCACCTTTATCGGCCACCTTTAATGATCTAATGAGACATCATATGCAAAACAAGTTGACTTCAAGTCCAACATCTGGATCAAGTGGTGAAAGGTCCAAACTGTCAAACAATTCAAGTTCAAATGGTAAAGGAGATAAAGATCATCACCATCACCATCATCATCATCATTCACACCGAGATCACACCAGAGACAGGGAGAAGGATAAGGATAAGGAAAGGGTAAACAGTGATGCCGTTCATGAAGATGGAAATACTGTTCTTAATGAGTTAATGTCTTCGTCTTTGAGTGAATCCAATCAACTGAGCACACCTCCTTCAATAAAATCAAAGGAACGCTATACTTGTAAATATTGTGGTAAAAACTTTCCTCGATCAGCCAATTTAACGCGACATGTTCGCACTCACACAGGTGAACAGCCATACAAATGCAAATACTGTGAAAGATCCTTTTCAATATCGTCTAACCTTCAACGGCATGTAAGAAACATTCACAACAAGGAGAAACCCTTTAAATGTCCTTTGTGTGATCGATGTTTTGGACAACAAACCAACTTGGATCGTCATCTAAAGAAACACGAATCTGATGGTCCAAACATTTTGGATGATCGATCACCTCGCAGCTCGTATGGCGATGCAACACCAAACCATCATTACTCACCTTTGACCAATGATTATGATAAAGAAGGGCATTTCAATGAAATACGATCATTTATGGGTAAAGTGACTGATTTGAGTAAACCTTTGCTTCATGGCATTGAATTGGGCAACCTGACAAGTGGTTCAATGGCTCGAGACTTTACTTCTCATGCAAATCTAAATAGTTTAGTTGCTCTTGAACACAATAAACGGGAATTGTATTCGCCCATGAATGGTACCAATGATGAGATTGGCGGTGATGAGACTGCCAATGAAGATGACTTCTCTGATCAAGAAGATGCAATTAAAGTTAAAAAGTCTAGACTCAATTCAGATTCCTCTTTAAATGATATGGATGACGATATTGGATCGACTGTTGATTCAGAAGGAGATCGATCTGATTCCGAGACTCCGTCAATTCTTTCAAACAATTTAACCAAAAGAACTTCAAATTCATCATTAAATATCAATTCAAACAACAAAGCAAGTCGAGGTAATTCAAATAGTCCATCACCCATTCGTCCAGTTCGCAATGACATTCGATCAGTAGTTGCCTGTTTGTCCAAAAAGGCTGAAGCAAAGTTAAAAATGAATGGACAAGAAAATGGTAAATCAATTGACTGTTCATCACCAGCAACAACCAAAAGTTAATTTTCACTTTAATCTAATAACGCCTGTTGATCAACTCACAATCAAGTCATGTACAAAACAATCAAATTGTAAACTCACTTCTTTTGTAATAACTTTATCCTCTTCACTCTCAAATTGCAATTCAATTAATTTAAAATGTAAATTGTCTATCGACTAATTCAAGTCAAACAAGATCTCAGTTTGGGTTTGTTGATGTAATTTACAAATTATTACAGATAATTGTCATCGGTTAAGAGTTGGAATCCGCTTGAAGACCACTTTGATGACCACGGACGAAAATTGGACATTTTCAGTTTATTCATTGAAACATTCATCATCGTCACCTCATCTTCAAACAACTGCACAAGATTATTAATTATAGCTGATGAGTTTACAATTTATCCAAAGAAGCAAAATATTTAAACGAAAAACACTTTTCTTTGTATTCTTTTCCTTGTTTCATTATCAAACCAAATTCATTGCTCTTTAATTTATAACCTGACTTTCATCATTCTCATCATCACCATGAAACATGTTTTTTATCATGAAACGGAAAATTCCATAATTCAATATAATATACGTTCTTCCATCTTAACTGTTCAATTGGTCAACATGAACATGAGCGAAACCATTAATTGTTGCGTTTACCATTTTAAGGATTAACTTGAATATTCCAATCAATCTTTTCCATTATTTAAATATGAATTGTGTGACATTTTCATGCTTTATTCTGATTCTGATTGGCTGAATTTATGGTGAAAAATCATATCAAAAAATGGATTTCCAAACTAAACTTATTGAAACCAAATGAAAAGCAATCATCATTATTCAACTAAATCAAGTTTCCATGTCTTGTTATTTCTTATCCTTAAAACCATCATCATGTGTAATCCTTAATTATATTATCAATTTATTATTATTATTATAACTATTATATTAACAATTATATTATCTATTAATTATGAAGCATTGCTTGTCATCTTTGTTTTTATTACCATAAACCAACAAAAGAGTCTCTTCAATAAGCTTATATAAATGTATAAATAAAATGATAAAAGTTGAGACAAAACTATCATTTTTTATTCCTTGATATTATTGTATTCAGTTTCACAGAATCCAGTTTTCTTTTAGTTTCATTTGAAAATAGCGCTTTCGCTCAGGTTGGAACTTGTTTTGGGCCAATATCCTAGTTCTTTGTTAGGAACCAAACCTTTCTCAAATTTTGTCAGTGTTACTTCCTCTTTCAGGTGAAAAAAACTTGTTCCTCCACGTGTGGCTAATTCAAAGATTCATATACATATTGATATTATTTGTTTAAAATGGAGCAACACAATGATAATTCTGATAAAAGTAAGTTTTATTTCTATTTTGTCTTTAATTTGAAATAATTAAATCTTTACCTTGCGTTTCGTTAGCAACATTCAAAGTAGAGTTTCTAGGTGAATATCATGATGTAGTCATTGATTGGAATGATGATAAATATGAATACAAAGGGAGACAATTATTCGAACAGGTAAACTTTAAGTTTAAACTTAACTGAAATTAAGTAATAACTTAACCAAATCTCATTTAATCGGCATCATAGCTTGAATCAATTACTGGAGTACCGCGTAAATTCAACCTCGGAATTCTTCTGCATAATTTCCAGGTGGAAGATGAGACTCCACATTATTATAACATTTACAGCTTTGTAGAGTAAGTTACCATTTCTATCATTAACAGATCTTCATTCATCTTCATCATTAACAGATATTGACTGCCTTTCAATTTTTTCATAGTGCCAATATTTCCCCTAATAAGGAGATGATTTGTGATTCAATTAGAAATGCTGAAGGACGTTTTCATCTCGCTTATAATGCTGTTCATCCACATATTAGTTATTTTCTAGTAGCTGAAAGTTCGGTGCCAGAAGGGGAATGCAGTTTTTATTTCTGTCGATATAAAAATACTAAAAGTTTCTTTAACAAGGTGAAGGATATCATCACTAACGATGAATTGAACGCAAAAATTGCGTCTGCTTTCCAATCAAGAGATAGTAATTTTGATGAGATTCTCAGACAATTCGATGTTCTAAAATATTTCCGTTCTATGTGTGATGATCTTTATACGAGAAGATTTGTAAACGAAGAACTAAGACGTATTTATTGTCAAAGAAACCTTTATTTGAGAACACGCGGCTGATTGGACCAACAAGAAGAGTCTTTTCAATAACTTAAATAAATGAATAAATAAAATGATGAAATTTGAGATAAAATTATTATTTATTACTTTATATTAATGCATTCAGTTTCATAGAAATTAGTTTTCTTTTAGTTCTATTTGAAAAGAGCGCTTTTGCTTAGGTCGAAACTAGTTTTACCTCAATAACAGCTTAGCAGCGTAAAATAATCTGATAATAAAATAACTTTATTGCAATTATTTTGTTAATATTGTATTTAATTATTACATTTCCCTTTGCTCTAGAAGAAATTGTAGATTTGTCTTTATTATCATAAATCAACAAGAAGAGTCTCTTCAATAAACTTAAATAAATGTATAAATAAAATGATGAAAAATGAGACAAAACTATTTCTTTTGCTCCTTGATATTATTGAATTCAGTTTCACAGAATTCAGTTTTCTTTCCGTCTCGTTTGAAAAGAGCGCTTTACTCAGGTTGAAAGTTGTTTTTGGGCCAATATTCTAGTCCTTTGTTAGGAGCCAAAACTTTTTCAAATTTTGTCAGTTTTACTTTTGTTTTCAGTTGAAACAACTTGTTCTTCCACCTTTTTTCCTGTTAAGAGATTCATACTCAAATTGATATTATTTGTTTAAAATGGAACAACACAATGATAATTCTGATAAAAGTGAGTCCATTTTACCAAACGAATTAACCCATTCACCACTTGCATTTTTTATCAATTTCAGCAACATTCAAAGTAGACTTTCTAGGTGAATGTCATGAAGTAGTCATTGATTGGAATGATGATAAATACAAATACAAATACAAAAGATTTCAATTATTCGAACTGGTAAGTTAAGTTTAAACTTGACTGAAATTAAGTAATAACTCAACCAAATCTCATATAATCGGTTCTACAGCTTGAATCAATAACTGGAGTACCGCGTGAATTAAACATGGGAATTATTCTTTACCAGGCGGAGAATAGACAGCCACGTTATCATACCATTTCCATCTTTTACATGTAAGCTACCATTTCTATCATTTTCAGATTCATTTATGTTGACTGTCTTTCAATTTTTTCATTGCTCCAATAGTTCAGACTACCCTAATGATGAGGAGATCTGTGATTCAATTAGAGATGCTGGACGTTTTCGTCTCACTTTTGGGGCAACTTATGATTTCAAGCAACCTTCTATTTTTTATGCTCTAGTACCTGAAAGTTCGGAGCCAGGAGGAGGATGCAGTTTTCATTTCTGTCGATATAAGCATACTAAGAGTTTCTTTAACAAGGTGAAGGATATCATCACTAACGAGAAATTGAATGCAAAAATTGCGTCTGCTATCCAATCATTAAGAGATGATGGCGATTATGTTGAGGTTCTCAGACAATTCAATGTTCTGCAATATTTCCGTTCAATGTGTGATTATCATTATACGAGGAGAATTGTAAATGAAGATCAAAGACTTGTTTCTGGCAGAAAACACCCTTATTTGAGGACACGCGGCTAATTGCACCAACAAGAAGAGTAAACTCTTCAATAAACTTAAATAAATGGATAAATAAAATGATGAGTTGATGAGAAGTTGAGTTAAAATTATTAATATTTATTACTTGGTATTATTGCATTCATTTTCTCAGAATTCACAGTTTCTTTCAGTCTCGTTTGAAAAGAGCGCTTCGCTCAGGTATAAACTTGTTTTTAGAACCAAAATCTTATTACTTTGTTAGGTACTGAAACTTTTTCAAATTTTGTCAGTTTACTTTTGTTCCAGTTGAAACAACTAGTTCTATGATATTATTCGTGTTAAAATGGAACAACAGAATGATAATTCTGATAAAAGTAAGTTCATTTTACCAAATGAAATAATCCATTCAATACTTTGCATTTTTTATCATTTTCAGCTACATTCAAAGTAGACTTTCTAGGTGAATATCATGATGTAGTCATTGATTGGAATGATGATAAATATAAACTCAAAGGGATACAATTATTCGAACAGGTACGTCAAGTTTAAAATTAACTGTAATGAAGTAATAACTCAGCGGAGTCTCATTCAATCTTTACTCCAAAACTCATTATCAGCTTGAATCAATAACTGGAGTACCGCGTGAATTTAACTCCCATATGTTTCTGCAGTATCACCAGGTGGAAGATGAGGAGCCCCTTTATCATTTCATTTACAGCCATGGAGAGTAAGCTACCATTTCCATCATTAACAGATTCATTTATATTGACTGCCTTTCAATTATTTCATAGTTCCAATATTTCCCCTAATAAGGAGGAGATCTGTGATTCAATCAGAAATGCTGAAGGACGTTTTCATCTCGCTTATCAGGCTAATTATGGGTTTAAGGGATCTTCTATTTGTTATGTTCTAGTACCTGAAAGTTCGGTACCTGAAGGAGAATGCAGTTTTCATTTCTGTCGATATATAAATACTAAAAGATTCTTTAACAAGGTGAAGGATATCATCACTAACGAGAAATTGAACGCAAAAATTGCGTCTGCTATCCAAGCATCAAGAGATCCTGCTAATGAGAATGATATTCTTAGACAATTCGATGTTCTAAAATATTTCCATTCTATGTGTGACGATCTTTATACGAGGCAATACATGCATGGAGATGAACAATTAAGACGTATGTTTTGTCAAAAAAACCTTTACTTGAGAACTCGTGGCTGATTGAACCACCAAGAAGAGTCTCTTCAATAAATTAAAATAGAATAATAAATAAATGATAAAACTAGACAAATCTATTATTTTTTTCATTTTCATTGCATTCAGTTTCACAGAATTCAGTTTTATTTCCGTCTCGTTTGAAAAGAGCGCTTTGCTCAGGTTGAAACTTGTTTTTGGGCCAATATCTTAGTACTTTGTTAGGAACAAAAACTTTTTCAAATTTTGTCAGTTTTACTTTTGTTTTCCGTTGAAACAACTTGTTCTTCCACCTTTTTCCTATTCAAAGATTCATAAACATATTGATATTATTTGTTTAAAATGGAGCAACAGAATGATAATTCTGATAAAAGTAAGTTTATTTTATCAAGGGAAATAATCCATTCAATACTTTGCATTTTTTATCATTTTCAGCAACATTCAAAGTAGAGTTTCTAGGTGAATATCATGACTTAGTCATTGATTGGAATGATGATAAATATATTTACAAAGCGAGACAATTATTCAAACAGGTAAGTTAAGTTTAAACTTAACTGAAATTAAGTAATAACTCAACCAAATCTCATATAATCGGAATCACAGCTTGAATCAATTACTGGAGTACCGTGTAAATTCAACCCCGAAATTCTTCTGCATCATTTCCAGGTGGAAGATGAGACTCCACATTATTACAACATTTACAGCTTTGTAGAGTAAGTTACCATTTCTATCATTAACAGATCTTCATTCATCTTCATCATTGACAGATATTGACTGCCTTTCAATTTTTTCATAGTTCCAATATTTCCCCTAATAAGACGATGATTTGTGATTCAATTAGAAATGCTGAAGGACGTTTTCATCTCGCTTATAATGCTGTTTATCCACATATTGGTTATTTTCTAGTACCTGAAAGTTCGGTGCCAGAAGGAGAATGCAGTTTTTATTTCTGTCGACATAAAAATACTAAAAGTTTCTTTAACAAGTTGAAGGATATCATCACTAACGATGAATTGAACGCAAAAATTGCGTCTGCTTTCCAATCAAGAGAATCCAATTTTGATGAGATTCTCAGACAATTCGATGTTCTAAAATATTTCCGTTCTATTTGTGATGATCTTTATACGAGAAGATTTGTAAATGAAGAAGAAAGACGTATTTTTTGTCAAAGAAACCTTTATTTGAGAACTCGCGGCTGATTGGACCAACAAGAAGAGTCTTTTCAATAACTTAAATAAATGAATAAATAAAATGATGAAATTTGAGATAAAATTATTATATAATTTATTACTTTATATTAATGCATTCAGTTTCATAGAAATTAGTTTTCTTTTAGTTCTATTTGAAAAGAGCGCTTTTGCTCAGGTCGAAACTAGTTTTACCTCAATAACAGTTTAGCAGCGTAAAATAATTTGATAATAAAATATATTTATTGCAATGAATTTTGTTAATATTGTATGCAATTATTACATTTCCCGTTGCTCTAGAAGCAATTGCAGATTTGTATCAAAAAGCTCACACCTGATCGGCATATCCAACGAGTAGAAGGGATTTTTCAATGCATAATCGGTGTACAGGTCATAAATTTTCCGCAAAAGAACTTCCTTGCGTGGACTAAAAGAAGACACATCACTCATAACAATAATCTTAAGACCAGTCAATGTTTGAAAACAGTTGAGCCTAAAATTGTCAGTCTCCAAAACCTCAATTCCAGATGCGATGCTGCGTGATTTGCTTGGATCTTTGATACAATTTCGGTTGATTTGCAGGGAGGCAATGGCACACATGGAATGGAACATAGAAGCGAATACAATTTTCTCATTTGAGCTTAAAGGTGCAATTCCAAACCTGTCGGTAAATAAAAGAAAAATTAACATTTTTGCACAATTCAACAGTTTTTTACGTACTTCAACGTTAAAGGGTAGTGAGATTCTTGCGCCAAAACATCCTCCAGAACATCTTTATCCCCGAGTTTACGACTCACGACAGGCTCGCCATTGACAGCCATCAAACTGTAGCCAACTGTTGAATTGAAATAAACAAAATTATTATCATGAATCAAAATAATTAACGCATAAGCTACTTACCTTTGATCCCATCATGTTGGCCAAATGTAACAACAAGTCGATTGTCTCTCCATGAAAGTTTCAAATCGAGGGGGTATTTGAACGTCCTTTCAATTTCTGTATCAGCACGGTGGTGATCGCAATGATAAATCAGCCCACCATTCTTGCTAACCATAAAAACACTGTAAATTACCATTATGATCACAGTCAAAAATGTAAACAATCAACATGAAGGCGTAACAGAAGGTAAACAGACAGAGGGACCTTATAATAATTTAGCATGTATAATAAAATTTATTTACATCGATATTTCAATTCTAGAAAGTGAAAACTTGTGAAAATTCCTGAAAACTTCCATCGGTCAATTGAAAATTAGTAATGTAAAATTTTTAGCAATCATCATTGTCTGTGAAATAATAGGAATGTTATAACTGACAATTTGAAAATATAAATCTCGTGAGGCGCAGTAAAAGTAACTTACGGATACTTTTACTGTATAGTATTGTTGATAAATTTGCGCATTGTAAGTCCAGCCTCCGAAACCAGAAACTTTTTGTTAGCTTCCAGTTTTTGGTCAAACTTTTCAACCTTGTTTTCAATTTCTTTAATTAATTTATTTACTGATTTTGTTTATTTTTTTTAAGATAACTCATCAAACATGGGTTGTGCCATTAGTTCTGAACATAAGGCTGCCATTGAACGGAGTCGTAAAATTGATCGAGACTTAAGAAATGAAATGGTTAACCAGGCTAAAGAAGTTAAACTTTTGCTTCTAGGTGAGTACAATTTTACCTCACATGAATCAACAAGTCTGTTACTCTGTACAGTTCCTTTCTCTTCTTTCCTCTTTGTTTCTTTTATCCGGCATTCATTGATTTCTTTTACCAACAGGCGCTGGTGAATCTGGCAAGAGTACTATTGCCAAGCAAATGAGGATTATTCATGAACAAGGTTACACTCAAGAAGAATGCATCCAGCACAGATCCGTTGTTCATTCAAATACAATTCAAAGCTTAGCTGCAATTATCAAAGCTATGAGGATGCTCAAGATTGACTATGGAGATTTAAAGAGAGAGCAAGATGCAAGAAAATTCTTGCAATATATTTCAACTCAAGATGCCACAATCACACCTGAATTGGCAATCATCATGAATCGGCTTTGGCGAGATGATGGTGTTCAAATGTGTTTCTCGAGATCTCGAGAATATCAGCTCAACGATTCAGCCAAATAGTAAGTTTATGAGCTTTAAAATTGATGCAATACTAAAATATGTCTTCTCTTTAAATATTAGTTATCTCAGCTCACTGGATCGAATATCTCAACCAAATTACATTCCGACTCAGCAAGATGTACTCAGAACTCGGGTGATTACCACTGGAATTGTTGAAACTCAATTTACGTTCAAGGGATTAAAATTTAAAATGGTAGATGTTGGGGGTCAGAGAAGTGAACGAAAAAAGTGGATCCACTGTTTCGAAGGAGTTACCGCAATAATATTTTGCGTTTCTCTTGCTGGTTATGATTTAATGCTAGCCGAGGATGAAGAAGTTGTAAGTTGTCTCCTCGATTGTTTAAAAATTTGACTCAAATTCAAATGATTTAATTCATTGTTTCCTTCTCTTGATTCTAGAATCGCATGATTGAAAGTATGAAATTGTTTGACTCTATTTGCAACAACAAATGGTTTGCTGATACGGCCATCATCTTGTTTCTCAACAAAAAAGATTTGTTTGCTGAAAAAATCAAAAGATCTCCATTGACTGTTTGCTTTCCCGAATATCGAGGAAATAATAATTACGAGGAAGCTGCTGCTTACATTCAGATGAAATTTGAAAATCTAAACAAAAGGAAAGGCTTCAAAGAGATTTATACTCATTTGACTTGTGCCACTGACACCAAAAACATACAGTTTGTTTTTGATGCTGTCACTGATGTTATTATCAAAAACAATCTGAAAGAATGTGGACTTTTTTGAATTATTTTACTGTATTTTATTTTTTACATTATAAATGACTTCAACTTATAAAGCATCACTAAAAGTAATTTTTATAATAAACTTTTCTGAAATGTATCATCAACTTCAAATTAAAACAAGCTGAAATAATTGATTGACTTGGCTTGTCAGGATTGGTAACTGTTGATCAATTTTGATTATATTTCGAGTAAAGCAAGAAAATTTTTCTTGATCGATCTTGATTATGAGAGAAGAGATGTTGAAGAGAGTGATGTTATATAGATGATGAAAAGAAAAGAAAAAAGAGGGAACGGATAAAGAGCGAAATTCAGCACTCAAAATAACTATCAAGTTGTCTTCTTTACATGGGAATGAATTTTCCTCTCTTTCATTCTCCATCTTTCTTTCTTAATCTTTTTCATTTCTCTCTCACACAATCATCATGTTTGTCTTTGCTTTTTAATCATCCTTCTCCAGATCACACTCTTAATACAAGCATTAATTCTTTATCTTTTTTCTTTGCTTTAACATCTTTATCCAACCTCTTTCAGGATCTTTTCATTCAGAGCTATCTTTGCCTGGGTTTCCTGAATCTTTTTTCGTTTGATTTCCTCCATCAGAGCATCTCGAAGAACCGCGATTGGACTAGTTACTGAAAGCCTTGGTGGTGACACACCACGCACCCAGTGTCGAAGGTTAATGGATCCTTGCTTTTGTCTGTATTCATTTAAAAGGTTTTGCAAATAATCCATCTGTAAGGTTAATCGATTACGATTATTTCTTGATTTAGGCGAGGAACCTTTTTCATCTGGATGGGCGGCTGATTCTCTTATATATTGAATCAATTTTTGAACTTCATAGAAAAGTTCATCCTCGCTTGGTTGTAATGAATTATCATCTCCATTCAAAGACGACTCTGAATCACCATTATCTTCAGTTTTAACTCTACTTCTTGAATCACTTTTAACAAATCCAAAATTTTTGTCTACTTTCCCTTCATCAAAATCAGCCGACGATGATGAGCTTATTGAACCTGATTCAACATAATCAGATGGATCTCCATTAGAATCATGCATCATGGGACCTTCAAGAGCTTCTCTTATTAATGTTGTTGCATAATCCAAACTTTTACCTTCATCGGGATTGATTAAGTGAGACGGAAAAGATATAGAAGAGGTAAATGGATCACTAAGCACTGGTGATGGATAAATCTTTGGCAATAGGATTGACGATGATGGTGTTCGGGTTAGGTGTTGGTGATTTTGTTGACTATGAATATTGAAATTAGAGATTGAAGGCGCTGGCATTGATTGAGATTTGTGAGATTCTTCAGTATTGAATAAATGAAATCGATCATGAAGTCGACTGTTATCTTTATTGTTATAGCTTTGGATGAAAGCTGGTTCGCTGTTGTCTTCAGGATCAGACACAGAGAAAGATGATATTAAATGAGATGACGACGTTGCAGGTAAAGATGATGAAGAAGGGGAAGAAGGAGCAGAGTAAGCTAGTGGCGATTGATCATGAAAACCACTTGTTGAACCATGATGCTGATGATGTGACGGATTTTTGTCGGTTATTGAAGATGGTAAAGTACTAGATTGGCTGTAGTTGATTAAAGTCAATGGTATTAATATTGTCACTAGTTTGATGCAAATTAAATGCATCTTTTGATTGTGACAAATTTATCCTTAAATTTTGGTTAAATCCTCAAGTTTCTTGTTTCTTCTCTTTTCCCTTTGGAAGGTGTAAAAGTGAAACGATAAGTTTGAAGTGGAAAGTTAATCAAATAAACTGAGTAAGCACAACAATAACAACAAAAAATGAGTCCAATTGACTGATCGATTCCCAATCAGGCCACACAAGATAAATAAGATAGCAACAACGAAGATAACCAAGATAAAACGATGGGACGGTTGAATCGTTTGAATTTAAGGCAAGATGAACAAATTTCAAGACAATACCATTAATAACTGTTGCAGCGTTAATTGTTAACCTGGAGACTTCAACATTGTCACTTGTTCAACTTTCAAGGCAAAAATGAATCTTCCCTGGATTTTTAAAGATAATGTTGAGAGGATAAAGATGAGATGGAGAATGGGTGAGAAAAACAGTAAAGTGTAAGAGTGAGATTGAGATGATGATAAGATTATCAGAAGATATTTTTATACTAGATCTTTGAGATCGCTTGAGAAAACAAAGGTGAAATGGAAATCTGAAAAGAAAGGGGAGAAAGAGAAAGTAAAGAAGCAGACGAGAAAGTAACAGAAAAAATTAGACAGAGTTTCTGTGGGGAAAAAGAAAGAAAGAGATGAAAGAATGGGAAAAAGAGAAAGAGAGTAAGAAACGTTTGGTCTCGACTGTTTCTTATCTATTTATTTAATCGCAATTAGCTGTTGATCTGTTTAAATGACGTTTTTCAAAAGAAGAAGCTTTTCTTCTTCTCTTTTTTTCCCTCACCAACATCAACTTCATGATAGTTTTTATTTAATCTTCATGTTAATGAAATTTAAAAATAACATGAAACATTCATAACTGTCCATGTGAAGGCGATGAAAGGTCTCATCAGTCATCAATTCAGCCAAACTTTAAGGTTTATTTTCAAAATGACATTCTCAGCGTCATCATTACCATCACCATGATAATCATGATCAGCATTCAATGATTGCAGTTTTAAAACTTTTGGCAAAAAGCCTATGAAGATAAAGATGCATAAACAATTTTGACGGATTCTCTTCCGTTTTTTTTTTCTCATTTCTGATGATTTCTGTCTTAAGATCTTTTGACAGATAAACATTTTTTTAAATAAACAACAAAAAAAATCCTCTTTTGCGTTTAATGATGTATCGATCGATAGTCAACTCACTATCGATTTGCATTCGATTGTTGATGCGTTAAACTTTTCTGATTGGGTGAAGGTGGTTCAAACTAACCAATGGAAAGTCATTCTTGTAAAGCAGTTTAAATTTAAAAAATTTTGCTGTCAGTTGCGATATGACTGTATTCACCGTCACTCTTCCTTTGTAATTTAAGATAGATGTGGTTTTTTTAACACGTTTATACACCTTTTTTTTAATCAATTTTATAATTTTACAATCTTTTGTTCGTAAAAATCTATTTTCAATATGTCCACCGTCAAAAAAGTTTTTGGTAATCGGTCCAATTTGACCCTGCACATCGATGAAGACCACCGGATTAGTCTGAAAAGATCTGTTGAAGAGCCTGCCAATTTGCTGGTCGCAAAGAAAAGTAAATCCGAGGCTGGCCGTAAAAAGAAAGCTGATTTGGAGAATCAGGGCCATGTCACCCAATCAATTGTGAAAAAAGTGAAAAGTATATCAATTTGTGAAAAATTAGTCGAGAAGCAACCTGTTAAATTGGATGTCAAATTGGATTTCAATGATCCCAAGTCTTGCTACACCAAACCCACCGATCTTCCTGATGACCTTGAGGATTATGATCTCAAACAAGTTCATGACAGTTATGCTGAGCCTCATTATGTTATGGATATCTTCAAATATTACCAGACAAAAGAACTGCAAAGTTTGACAAAGAAATACTTGAATAATCAATCGGAAATTACAGAAAACATGCGAGCTATTTTGGTGGATTGGTTGGTTGAAATTCAACAAAATTACACATTGAATCACGAGACTTTATATTTGGCCGTTAAAATGGTGGACCAATATCTCATGCGACAAAACATCAAGAAAACTGATTTCCAACTTCTCGGTGCAACAGCTATGTTGATCGCAGCCAAATACGATGAAAGAATCCCACCCGCCATTGAAGATTTTGTTTATAGTTGTGACAATCAGTACAAGAAAAAGGATATAATCTTAATGGAGATGGAAATTCTGAAAAAGTTGGATTTCAATATTGGTTTCCCTCTATCTTATCGTTTTCTGAGGCGTTATGCTAGGTGTGCAGAACTTACCATGGAAGAGCTGACTCTGGCTCGTTTTATTTTGGAAATGTCGTTGATGGAGTATGATTTGATTGAAGAAAGGGAATCTTCGATTGCCGCTGCTTCTCTTTTGCTAGCCTTGCGTATGAAACATTTTCCTTCTAAAGATGTTTGGACCAAGACTTTGGTTTATTATTCTGGCTACACTGAGCAACAGGTGCTGCCTTTGATGTTTAAACTCAATAAAATCATATCTGCCCCACCCAAACAAGCTCTTTCCTCAATACGAGCGAAATACTCCCACCGAGTGTTTATGGAGGTCGCAAAAATTAATCCTTTGCCCTCAGAAGCTTCATAAACATCATCCTCATCATCAAACAGACAAAGCATCCTTAATTCAAATGCCATTTTCCATCAGCTTTTGTAATATTTGATTATTTGCATTTATTCAATAAAAAAAACGATAGAACGAAATTATTTGCATTCTTTTTTATCTTTATCTTTCGTTTTCTGTTTGCGGTTTGCAAGGTGGTTGAATGTTGGATTTTTGAAAAGACCGCCTGCTGAATGAGAGGCTCTGCAATGTGAGTGAAAATCTTGAATGAAAGATTTTTCATTGATGAATGTTGCTGTGTTTTTGTGTGCTGTGCTTTTTTTTATTATGATGGGTTTTCTAGTTGCAGATCGGTTGCTTCAGCTCGGGAAATTTATCAACGGGACTTTATTTGGACGCAAAAATCTGATGTTGACGAACTGCCTTTTATCAACAGGTCTTGGCTCTTTAGGCGATGGCATTCAGCAATATTATGACATTTTAACGAATCAAATCAAAGATGAAAAAAAATTGTCAACTGGTGATCATAAATTTAATTTTATTCGCAATCTTCACATGTCGGCTGCTGGTTTTACAACAGGTTTACTGACCCATTCATGGTACATTTTTCTAGACCGATATTTAGGTACTAAAAGATGTTTAAAACTAATAACAACTAAGGTGTTTGTTGATCAAATTTTTTTTAGCCCGATTAATTTAGCCGTCTATTTTGGAACTGTATCTTTATGTGAAAAATCAAATTTAAAGAAATTCAAAGAGGAGCTAATTGAAAAGGGGATGGAAAACATTTATTTATGGGAATGGGTGATCTGGCCACCTGCACAATACATAAACTTTTACCTTATACCTTTGCGGTACAGAATGTTTTTTGATAATATTATTTCCTTAGGTTTTGATATTTACTCGCCGTATGTAAAATACATTGTAGAACTAAAAAGTGACAAACAAATTGAATTTAATTAAATAAACTAATAGAAAAAAAACATCAATACAAATTTATTTTCGGATTTTAGCAATTTTAGCACCGGTACGCCTTTGTTGTTGCTCTTTTTCGGTTTCAACGAATTGTATAGTTTCGTCCTCGAAACGATGAACATCAGGATGGTACAAATCAACAGGCAACTCATTATCTCCAGGGAAATATGTAGGAAACGGTGGTGGATTTTTCTCAGTTAACTTTCTGTGAATAAGAAAATAAAAAACGGTAAATGAAACATTGCATTAAGAAAATAGTACAACAGTAAACTTACTTTTCAATTATTTTGGTGTCAAATATATAACAAAAGTTGCCCGTCTCGCCCGGTACTGCCGGTCCTCTCACATAAATTACATTTTCTTTAGTATTTATTCTCATAATTTCGACACCATTCAAAGTTTTTCTTTCTCGTCCCATATGTCCAGGCATCTTTTTACCTTTGTGTGGACCACCAGCACGCCGACCATGACCGATTGCCCCAGGTCTTCGTTTCCATTTTGTTGTATTTATTGGATGACCACCAGCGAAATCCCATCTTTTAACAACTCCTTGAAAACCATGTTCAATTGTCAATCCAAAAATATCAACCCAATCGCCTGGACGAAAATGAGTAGCATATAAAGGTGTTCCTGGAGGCAACAATGCATCATCAGTGATTGGTACTTTAGTCAACTTTTTCTTGGGTGGCAACCCGGCTTCGACGAAAAGTCCAGCATATCCTGCTGAGTATTTAATAAAATGATCACTTTCTGCACCGATAATAGCACATGCTAAACCCTGATATCTATATCTATCTTGATGAATGACTTGATTTGCAAATTGCTCTGAATTGTAGCATTTGATGACATGATTGTCATTGACTTGCAGGAGAGTTGTGAGAATTCGTTGGCCATCTTTCAACCACATCGGATAAACTCCTGTTGACACAAAAAAAGGAAAATTTTAATCGTTTCGTTGTAAAATTATCGCAAAGGATGAATGCAAATGAAATGAATAATGAAAAGATTTTAATAAATACCTATCTTCCGAGCAATCAAACCAACTCTTCGTGACTCTGGAGTCCATACTTTTTGAGATTTGTTGAATAGATCAGGAACAATTAAAGGTGTGCTAAAATTGGTTTGGAAATAGTCATCGATAAATTTTTGATTGTCTTTGGTTAACTCTGGTTTGAAACTATCAGCTTTTCGTTTGATCCACCATCGAAATGGATGCGTGGTTCTTCGCTTGTTGTACAAGTTCTTAAAAAATGCAGACATTTTAAACAAAATAATAAATAATCAACAAAAATCACTGTTTGTTTACAAACACATGAATTAATTCACAAGTTGTAAATTACAAAATTTGCAGCGCCATCTTTATATCCACCAACCTAGGATCTTTGATTAGCGGTACATTCAAGTAATCTTCCATTAACAGAATTTATTAACAGATTTATCAGAATGAATTGATCCAAATTGAATTGGAATACGGAAATGTGGAAACTATTGTTTCAATCAAAAATCAATATGCAAGACAAATATGATAAAGTTAACAAATTAGTTAAACAATTGGCTTAACCCAATAAGATTAGCAAATAGCGAAGATGTGTTGAAATTTAATGTAACGCTAATTCGGACAACAATTGATTGGCAACGGATGTGGAATTAAATGATTTTATATTTAATCTTTTCCAATTTCAAGTTGTTAAATGTTGCTGAAGGGATGGAAATACTTGAGATTCAGAGAAGTTTAATAAACAATCAACAGAACAGGAAAAATGATCACAGTCTTTTGTTTTCATCAACATTTTGTTGCTTTTTGTTTCATCGGTGAATTGGATGAGAGTTAACAACAACAAAAAAGTTTCCTCTTTTGAATCAATTGAATGAATGGATTGAAATTTTATCATGAAAATGAAATAAAAGGTGACAGAGATGATGTTGATGATGATAAGAGGAAGAGAGGGAGTCCTCACTGGCCATACTTGTTCTCCTTCAAACATATTTTCAACTAATGTTTTTAATTCATTTTATCATCAACCTTCACAGTTTACTAATTGTTGTATTCGGGTTTATACACATTTCAACTCTTCGTATTCCAGCCATTTTATCCTCTAATTATTCCTGTTGAACATTCATTATCATATTTTAAATAAAAAGTCAAACCTCTTTTAAATTTTAAGATTTACTCAATTGGTTTGCTACGTAATCAAGACAAACAAACAAGCAACACATAATGTTTAGCTTGCAAGTAAATACATTGTTGATTACAATTACATTTACACTCCAAGGTATGTTTATAATCCAATATCTATCAATCTTCTTGATCAATAATCATTTTCTTACTCTAAACAAATTGTAATCAAATTATCTGATAAATTGAAACATTGATCTAATCTGCAACTTTCTTATTCTTTTGGACAGTCATTTCTTGTTCACTATGTCCTGATGGCTGGCGATTGATCAATCGGGAAACATCTAAATGTGTCCGCTATTTTAAGGATAATGTTAATTATACTGAAGCTGAATACATTTGTCGTAACATTTACGAAGGCCATCTAATTGTGATTGAATCAAAGCAAGAGCAACGTTCACTTGTACAATACCTTTATGGGGAAATTGGTTTCACTAAATCTCCTGTTACTTGGATTGGCATTAAACTTGAACCTCCTAACAAGTTAATCACAGCTGACTCGTCAACATCTAAATATACTAATTTTGATGCTGAACCAGTTGACTTTTCATCTGAAAGGTGCATGAAAATATTTTCATTGGGAATTAAAAATGAAAATTCTGAACATGGCCTTTGGACACCAGATAATTGTGGTTACGGTGATTCAGGTTTTGTCTGTCAAAAGTTGATCATTGACAGAGGCAGGGAAATACCTCAAGGTGATGATCCTTTAGCAGGTAAAAATGAAGGTAAGAAAGAGATTTCTTAAATATCCTCTAAATTTTAAACCAATTTTTGATGTTATTTTGATCAATTTACATTCTAAGGGAATCGATGAATGCTACAGTTTCTTGCTTCCCTTTCGGTTAACTTGTCATCAATTGTCAGGGTCAATAGCAAACAATAAGTGATGATAAATAAGTAATAATGATTTTTTTATTGAACATTTCTTTGATTGTCAACAATTTCAAAATACAATTTCATCCAATTTCCTGTTTTTGGCCTCAGAATCACTTTCAGAATATGTTCATCAGTAATTTAATCAATTGATCTAGATCATCTTTTGTATCTTTTATGTGTCAATTGATTGAGTGAAGTAAAAATTGAGTCAATTTGAAAAATCTTAAAGTTGCCTTTGCTCCAAATTTTCACAAGTTATCCATTTCCAAATTAGAAATGGATATTGAACATTTTAACATCAAAACTGTTTTTTATTGAAACCCTTTTCTTCCATTTACTTATATTATTTTGTTTTTATTTTAATTTTCAGTTGTAACAACTCAATTCCTTTTGGACCAATTCAAAGAACAATTGACTTTAATCAAAGAGATTTGCGAAAGCCAGATGAAAGCAATTGAAAGGTTAAGCAGCAATCACATTTATATGCTTCAACATGTTAAACAAGCAAAAGATTTATAATTTTGCTTAATCTTCTGGATGTGAAAAAAGATCTTGGAATTCCAATCAAGAATTTATTAATGTAAAACAATCACTAAATGTTGATGTTATAGAAGTCAATATGTGGATGTACAAGAATCACCATTCTGATTGTTTCAATTCAAGTGCAATGACATTTTCCTAATAAACAATCTCGACGTTTCTTTTTTGAAGCCAAAAATTGAATCTATTTTGAACAATTTAACCATTTAATGAGCTCGGTTTTTAACATGTATTAAGGATATTTCATTCTGGGACGAATCTCTTGCTAAATTAATGAAAATGGGATTCTCCTTTGGTATAAACAAGTGATTATTAGATGGAGTTAGATCAAGCCAGTCCAATGTACATTCAGAATAAGAGCCTTTCGATACTCATTTAAAGTAACCGAATGAATGAATCTTTTTTGTCGACGATCTTTTCGACCTCATAAATCAATAATAGCGTTTTATCCTTACAATTTATCATAAGAACTTCATACAAATGTATTCATGTAGATCTAAATTTACTCATGGATCTTTTATTTCTTTCAATCTTGTACATTAATTAATTTTCTGGAAATAAGTGTAGATTTATTTTTCTTGTTAAACATTCTGATCAACCTTAAATTTATTATTAAATGAGAAACGGAATTAAATTGTATTAAATTATAAATTTGAACTGTGCGCTTAAATTTGCATCAATATTTGCGCAGGTTTCACACAGCAGAGCGACAGCCAATAGAAGATTGAAGTCACTGTGTTTCCTGTATACATTTTTCCTGAGATGAAATCATAAATTACATTTAATTAATTTGATTTATAAATAAATTTCATTCAATTTTCATTTATCCCTTTGATTGTAATTACCTCAAAATACCTTAAAACCTTTGTTGTTGTTCAATTTCAAAAAATCATTTTGCCTTTTCTGTTTTTTATCTTTCATTGTCTAGATGCTGATACTGGCAAATATTTAATTCTCTTTTTGTAAATTTGCTCCACTTCACCGTCTTACGATGAAGATTGATAGGGCCAAGTTAAAGAAAAGCTCATCAGAAGTGGTAAGTTTTGATTCGTCAATTTTCTATTTTCTTAATCATTCACAGCAAACCATTTTTCTTTGTGTGGAAGCAAGAAAAAGTGTGGTTTCTAATTTCTCTTTCTTTCTTCTCTCTCTCTCTGTCCTATCTTTACTTTCTCTTTCCTCCCTCTTCATAAAATTTTATTTTTTCTCACATTTTTTTCTTTATTTTTCTCTCAGCCACCAGATTGTAAGTTACTTGTTGAGAAAATTCGAGGATCAAATGAGAAGGAACTCCTCGAATTACTCAAAAACATCAAAACCTGGAATTATGGCAAGGTGAGACCTCAAGGTTCTTTTCTTCATCAGGACTTTTTCTAATTCTATTCTTCTATTTCGGCATTTTTGCAGTGTGAGCTTTATCATTGGATCGATGTTCTCGATCTGTTTGATTCAATATTGGCAAAATGCTGTCACAAGGAGCGGGACACTCAATGGACCTTACCTGTTGATCTCCCTAATAATTCGCTGGTTTGTTACCTTTTAATAAGCTAAAAATTCACTACGTTTTTAGTATAAATATTTCATTATTTTTCTTTTTTTCAATCTGCAGAAGGAACTTTGTATTCCTATTCTTCAATTTACTGCTCTTTTGATAGAACACAGCTTCTCCAAACATGTCTATAATTCTATGGAGCATTTAACAACGCTCCTCTCCTCGAGTGATATGCAAATCGTTTTGTCTGTTCTCAACTTGCTTTATGTGTTCAGCAAACGATCTAATTTCATTACACGTTCGAGTCCAGACCGAAGGAAAGCCCTCCTTACTCGTTTAAATTACTTAGCGGAGGTAAGCAAATTTCTCGAATATTTCTCATGCACTATCTGTACTGCGATTTTTGCTGCTTCCTCGTATCAATCGAATGATTTAGTGCAAAATTAATTTGAATGTTGGCACAATTGTTGAAATATATGATATTCAACAATTGACTTTCAATTTTCAAACAAAAGGCACATTTTTCTTGCGCAAAAATTAATTCGTCTGTTTATTTTTTATTTCCAGAGTTGGGGTGGCAAGGAAAATGGTTTTGGTTTGGCAGATTGCTGTCAAGATTTCAAAATGTCCTTTTATCCTCCAAGTGCCACTACCCTTCACTTTGAGTACTATTGTGACGAAAGTGGTTCACTTTGTACAACTGGCAATAAAAAGTCATCTAGCAGTTTAAATACCATTCATAAAGATAATGTGGATCAGATTAAAGATAAAACCATAGCGCAAGTTATGGAGGAATTACTTGAAACACATAATGTCCCCAAAGAGAAACAAATGCTTCTATTCACACATCTGCGTTTGGCTCACAATTTTTCCAACTACCGCAAGAGATTGCAATGTGTACAAGCGCGTCTTCAAGCTCTCTCTATCATAGTCCACAGTAACGCAATGTCAATGTTTGATAATTCAAATAACATTCTCTATAATGGGTTCATCGAGGAATTAGTTGATGTATTAGAGTTGGACGAGCCGAAATTATTAGACATTAAAGCTGCAGCATTGCGTACATTAACATCTGTAATTCACCTCGATCACACTACTCAACTAAACACAATTATTGATGCCACTGGTGCTGCATCTTATCACGGCTTCTTACCGACTCTCGTTAGAAGCTGTATTCAAGCACTTATTGACGATAACACCACTTTGTTTCCTCTTTCTCTCGCTACCGCCTTGTTCTCCTTCTTATACCACCTTGCCAGCTATGAAAATGGTGGTGAAGCATTGGTTTCCTGTGGTATGATTGAATCACTTCTCAAAGTAGTAAGCTGGACTGGCAGTGACCCGGAGCATATTACATTTGTAACTCGTGCCGTTCGCGTTATTGACTTGATTACAAATTTAGATATGAATGCTTTTCAAAATCACGGAGGACTCAGTGTTCTCATTAACAGATTAGAATATGAAGTAGATATCTGCCGTAAAGAGTGTCCATTTGAAATTGATGCTGGAAATAATCGTCGAGAATCTCAAGATGGAATTCTTACTGATCCATCACAAAGTTTAATTGATCCAGCATCAAGCGAAAAACCTTCAGGGTCTAACACGATGGAAATTGATAATGGTAAATCTGGTCAAAATATTTCGACAATGTCTTACAACAGAGATCTTCAAATTTATCCTCAAAGAGCCGCTGTTCTGAAGTCAATGTTTAATTTTCTTAAAAAGGCAATTCAGGATTCATCTTTTTCTGATAGTATTCGTCATTTAATGGATGGTCCTTTACCTAAATGTCTCCGACACATCATAAGCAATGCTGAATATTATGGTCCATATTTATTCATGCTAGCCACAGATGTTGTAACTGTTTATGTTTTTCAAGAGCCTTCTTTACTTTCTTCTTTGCAAGAAAGTGGACTGACAGATGTCGTTCTGCAAGCTCTGCTTGTCAAAGAAATTCCTGCTACTAGAGAGGTCATTGCAAGTCTACCAAATGTTTTCAGTGCTTTGTGTTTAAATACTAGAGGTTTGGAAGCATTCACTCCTCTGAAACCTTTCGAAAAAATATTTAAATTACTACTATCACCTGATTATTTGCCTGCTATGAGACGCAGAAGAAGCAATGATCCTATGGTCGATACCGCCTCCAATCTTGGCAGTGCCATGGATGAACTTATGCGACATCAGCCAAGTTTGAGAGCTGAGGCAACTAGTGCGATCATAAAGTTGCTCAAACAACTATGTGAACTTGGATCTGATCCAAATTTTGTCTGTTCTAAGCCTGCTGCTAAAGGTCCTGAATCTAATCCCGGCCAAAATGACAGTATAAGACCTGTGATGCCCGGAGGAAGTGCGGAAGCTGGCTCGTCTGATGAAGAAGACGAAGAAGATGAAGAAACCACCACAGCCGCTCCCCCTGGTTCTCTTATCCCTACTAAACCTGTACAGGAACTAGCTAGTACATCATCAGCTCCTCCTAATAACAACAAGCAACCAGTTCCATTAGTCGATTATATTTTACATGTAATGCGTTTAATCGACGCAATTCTCTCGAATAATTCCACAGATGACCATTGTAGGGAATTTGTTAAACAGAAAGGGTTGGAACCCTTGTTGAACATTTTACGATTACCAAACCTTCCAATTGACTTCCCATTAACACCTGCTTGTCTTGCAGTCTCAAGTGTTTGTAAATCTCTTCAAGTTCTCACTTACGAACGTGAAGTCTTGAAATTAGGACTGACAAATTTGAATGAAGTTCTAATCAGCCTTAAACCCTTGCATCAACCTCTTCCTGCCCCTGGAGGCTCTGTACTATTGGAAGAACTTGTCCAAGCAACCAGCAAGGCTCAAGGTACTGGATGTGATCCTCTCCAATCAGCCAGTTTGACACCTCTTTTACACCATATGTCAGCAGCTCATGCTTACATCATAATGTTTGTACATGTATGTAGGACAGGTCAACCTGAGATTCGTAATCTTACTGTTACTCATTGGGGCTCAGACATTGGACTTAACGTGTTGCGAGGTTTGAGTCAATTGTACACTTCTCTGGTGTGGGAAAGCACAGTTCTTCTTGCTTTATGTTCTGACTCGACTGCAACAGCTACCTGGAAATTCGGTCGTCACCAAGTTGAAAAGCTTGCATCTCTCACTAAAGAAGGGGATGCCTCACCCACCGGACGTAATTATGACGAAAATAAAATGGAAATTGAAGAATCTTGTGATGGTCTCAATGGTGATGCTGAAAGCAGCAAAAAGAAAGACGCTAAATCTAAAACAGGACCTCAAATGAAACAGATAAAACCACTATTATCAAGCGCTTCTCGTCTCGGTCGTGCTCTTGCCGAACTTTTCGGATTACTGGTGAAACTTTGTGTTAACTCTCCATTGAGACACCGACGTAATCATCATTCCATACCAAGCATACCTGTTGCACCATTTCCTGCTGCACGTTCGGTTGCTACTCATTTAACTAAATTGCTTGCCAAAGGTCTTTCATGGACTCCACCACCGACTTCACCCATTCCAAAATTCAGGTAAATTACTATTTTATTTTTTTATGTTATTGTATCTTGTTTCTAAGCATCTGGTATCTACGTACTGTACTTTTCGCAATCAGTACGTTCGAGATGATGCGAAATTGATGACAACTTCATCGTTTCTCTGGACGATATATCTGCTCTGGGGATGGTAAAAATTTGTTGTAACATTTCTTTTTTTTAATCTAGGCTAACTTTTTATACATGCTCTGTTGGATTTACTTCGCCCATGCTGTTTGACGAACGCAAATTTCCTTATCACCTAATGCTGCAAAAGTTTGTTCAGTGTGGAGGTCAGGATGCTTTCTTTGATACTTTCCACTGGGCCTTAACTCAAGGAGGCAAGGTCCCAATCGAAGAAGGTTTAGAACACCCTAATGTTCCTGATGGAACTGGCGAGTTTCTAGATTCTTGGCTAATGTTATTAGAAAAAATGGTTAATCCAAAAATGGTTCTTGAATCACCACACACAATGGTAACTAAAACTACTCAACCTAATTTTGTACCATTCGATCCGGTTGAATATTTAATCAAGACACACAAAAAAGCATTCGAATGTGTTATGCATTTGTGGAACAAAAAACCTTTAAAAGTTTATGGTGAAAGAATGTCAGAATCTGTTCTTGCCATCTTCTGTCATCTTCTGAAAGGAGAAACAATTATCCAAGAAAAACTTTCGAAAGAAAAAGAACCGGAAGTTAAAGAAAGTACCAGTGCTCCGATGCCTACAGTCACTGTCAGAGCCACTCGAAGAAATGAACTTGAAGAGCAGGGTATCAGTACCGAACACTTACAGCAGCTCATGGACATGGGATTCGCACGTGAACTCGCACTCGAAGCTCTTGTTCATGCTAATTCTCTTGAACAAGCAACTGATTATTTGCTAAGCCATCCATCGCTCACTCGTTCTGGTGGAACAGATTGGGAAATGTCAGAAGAGGACCAAATGATCAGAGCTATTGCAATGTCTCTTGACGAAAATGCTACCCCAGAAGGTTCTGCAGAAGGGACATCCAAAGAAACGCCCGAAAAAGAAAGTGAACCAATGTCCAAAGAAGTGATTGATGAGTTTACAAACGAGTTATTAGTCGGTTGTCTTAAATTGTTGGACACTTTGCCAGAAACGGTCTATAGAGTCTGTGATTTATTACTAGCTGTCTGCCATCGAAATGGGGAAAAATGGACTGAACAAATGTTCAAACAACTGATATCAGCTATCAGCAGTAATATTGATAAACTGTTAGAGAGTGCTCAGCCAATGACTTCTTCAGACAAACGAAGTATCTCTGAATGGGCATCACAAATAAGCTCTTTGCCAGAGGCTTTCAAGGCTGCCACACGAATTCATCTTTTCTCTCTGCTGTTTGAAGAGAAACGTAATCAATGTGCTGCTTTGATTTCCGAGACCAACCTGATAAATAATTTAGTGCAATTATTGGAATCTGCCCAAAATGCACTGCTTTTAATTTCATCAAACAAATCAATCCCTCTTTCTACACCTAAATGGTTAAGCCCTGCTATTCTGTTGATTGACCTGTATGACAAGTCAGCCATAGCCTCTGCAAGAAAAGCTCCATTACTAGCTTTATCCAGGCGTCAATGGAAATGGTTTGATGATCGCAGTGGCAAATGGACAATGTACACTCTGAATAATAACAAGACTATCGATGACGCTTATAAAAATGGTGAATCATTTGTAAGATTTACTGCAAGTCGCAGAAAGTACACTGTACAGTTTAGCACTATGGTACAAATTAATGAAGAAACTGGCAATTGGCGACCAATTATGTTCATTTGTGATGACAAGGCCATGGAAGTTACAGAAGAATCTACATCTTCATCTAAACCATCCACAAATTATATCATTGTTAAAGGACTAGAACCCTACCAGTGTACAGCTTTAGTTAGAGCTTGTACCGGATTTATTGGAATCCCAGTTGACCCTGACACTTTACATGCAGTTATGAGACTAGTTTTACGGTTAACCCGTAATTACGAGCAAGCTGCCATTTTCGAAGAGCTTGGAGGTGTTAGAAGTATTTTAAGTTTAACTCAATCATCAGCATTCACTGGATTTACTTCATTGGCTACACTAATTATCAGACATGTAATGGAAGATCCAAATACTTTGCGTTATACCATGGAGCGTGTGATCAGAGCAACACTTCACAATCCTACCATAAATTGCAAAGAAATGCACTATATACTTCGAGTTTTGGGTCCAGCTGCCTGTAGAAACAAAGATCTATTCTTAGAGATAACAAAATCTATCCTTAGAATCTCGCTTTATCCTCAATCGAAGCGCGAAGAAGATGATACTCGTATGTTGAGTGCTCAAGCAGTTCAAACTCTAAGGCTATTACCAACAAAACAACCAAATGCTGTAAACTTGCAAAACAACATCATCAAAGAAGTAATTTACGATCTTTTGAATGCCTTAACTGTCAAAACAAATGGCTGCATTCAAGATGACCTGTCAATATCTATTGAAAAATCAACTTCAACTGGTACTGTTTCGTACTGTCCGGTTTTAGCGAGAGGTATCGCTCGTGAATCATCATCTTCTGATTTAGTACAACAAGATGATGATGAAATAGCTACCTCTGAAGAAGCTACACCTGCTGATTGCAAATCAACAGCTGCCAAAGATGAAGAATCGGCCAAAAAATCGAGACCTTTACTTAATCAATCTTGCATTATGCGTCTCCTGGCTGAACTCATAAGATCATATCCTCTCGTTGCTAAATTAATAGCTGAACACGTTTATCCTGCTGGACATAATGATTTAATTACTGAAGAGTGTACTGCTTTATCTTTCATTTTGGATCATCTTCTACCTAACACACAGAATGTGGGAGACAAAAATTGTCCTGCATTGACTCGTGTCCTGATTGCAGCTTTATCTTCATCTAATCATTGCCCTGATGCTCAAACAACCCTTGTCAATGAAGTTAAGTCGGCTCTATATCGTGCCTTAGCTTTGCCCGAGTCAAATGAAAAACATGTCAGAGTTCAGGCCATTCTTGGTATTATCAACACCATGATTGATTCGTGTCCCGCAGTCGCTCAAACACCTCCACCTCAAACTATTCAAGGATCGTTCCGTGGTCAGCCAGCTGGTCTCAATAACATGGTTAAAATAATGTTGAGACGTGGAATAGTTAATGATTTGGCAAGAATCACGCATTCATTAGATTTCTCTTCGCCTCATATGGCACTAACAGTGAATGCTGCCCTAAAACCACTGGAAACTTTATCTAAGATTATCAATTTACCGACTTCCATCTTTACTCAAGCAAAAAGACCTAAAGCTGGTAATGTTTCATCTTCAAACACTGAAGCAATGGAAGAAGATGCCGTCAATTCTGGAAGTACTGGTCCTGCAAACAATCTCGTAAATGAAACTAATGAAGAAGCTGCTACAGAGACAACTGGAAATGTTGAACCTGAAATTTATGATTTGAACAGCAGCGAAATTACTGACCAACAACGCAATACTCGAACTTATGATGCTGTTGAAGACAATGCTGACAATGAAGCTGTTGTTATTGAAGAAAGCATTCATTTCGATGTGTATAATGATTCTCATTCTCGATCTAGCAATTTAATCGATGAAGTTATTCGCAACGAACATGATAATGCCGCTATGGAACCAGAAGAAAACCATGATAATGTTATCAATTCTAATGGAGCTGAATCCGAATCTGATGATGAATCTGATAGTGATGAAGAAGATGAAGATGATGACGATGACGATCAAAGTAAGTTAATGCAATTTTTCTCATTTAAAATAAGTTTATTCATTTATTTTGATTCTTTTTTTTTAGGTAATCCAGATGAAGAAGAACGAGACGAAGAAGATGAAGATGAAGACGAAGATGATCATGTAGACGACGATGACGTCGAAGATGATGAAATATCTGCTTATGTTAACCAAGAAGATATTGACGACTCTGTTCTTAGGAATTATGATAGAGATAGTGAACATCTCGTATTTGATATTGAAGACATGATTCCGGCCTCTGTCTTTACAGAAGGCAGTTTAAGATTAACTACAATATTACCTATGCTCGAAAACGAACAGTTGTCCAACACTGCCGATGCTACTCAACCATCTGTTCCTCCAGCTCCAGGTAGTGTTTCAATTTCTCATCCATTACTTGTTCGTCCTGGTGAGATTGGTGACTCTGTGGGAATGAATCCAGCTTCTGCGTCAACCACGGCAAGTATATTAGCATCCAGACCTCACAGGAGCAATCGCCAACGAATGTACAGACCCCCTGTTAGTAGCAGCACAGGAGCTGCTCATCCCAATTGGACCTCTGGTATTGCCAATCGTCATCCAAATCCACCCGTTATATTGCAGAGACTGTTAGGACCTTCCACGGCTCAGCAAATTCTTCAATTAACTTCAGGTACAAGTTCAACCCATCCTCCCAGGGTCATCTTTACTAGCAATGACTTTCAAATTATAACCGCTGATGAAGATTGGTTAGATTTTTCTGACTCTGGCTTAGTGGCTGGTGCTGGTTCTTCATCCGTTTTAGGCTCTATCCCCTCGGCTATGCTCAGATGGACTGAGGAATCTCGTGTGTTGGATGGTGAATCAATGCATGACTGTGTCGCTCAACTAAAGATGAGTATCATTGAGGTATGGGAAAAATATCGAGATGAGGAACTCGCTGAGCGTAAGGAAAAGAGAAAGAATATGCTCGAAGAAGAAGAGAAACCCAAGAAAAAGATGGCTCGTGATAAAGGCGAAAAGAATGGTTCTAAAGAATCCGAGTCGAGACCTCAAACTGAATCCACTGTTTACGCACACACTGAAAGACTTGCAGCATCAATTGTTGAACAGGTATTAGGCCCAGTAATGGCTTCAACTAATCTTACCGGAAGTTCTGATTCTCAACAACAGGCTGACGATACCGAATCTTCGCAGACGATCTCAAGATCGGAAGATCAACCTCCAACAGATGATGGAAATGAGAGAGAAGGTGAGTCTAGAGCTCCAGAGACTGAAGCAGATATTGAAGCTCAAGCTGAAACTGAGACTGAAACTGAGGCAGAAGCTGAGGTTGAAGCTGAGGTTGAGGCAAGAGCTGAAGCTGAAACAGAAGCAGAAGGAGAAGGTGAAGGTGAGGTTGAAACGGAAGCCGAGGCTGAGGCAGAGCCAGATGACGATGATCAACCGTCCTCTTTATCTCCATCAAACGACACAACGTCAGTTCAAAATGACAATGAAATTACTGAGATGATCTGTTCCTTGAGTACTCGTGAGGAAGAAAATCCACGTCCTATGGATATTGATGAAAGTCGTAGACAAAGAAATCCATGTCCATCCAGAGATGATCCTCCACCACCACCTGAACGTGCTTCTAGCAGTGATGGACTTGTTGCTACTGGAGCAATAACACCTGAAGATTTGTCTACAGCAAACAACAGTAGCAGTGAATGCAATGCTGCTCCAACTATCAGTGAAACAACAACTCAATCTGAGCTCAGAGGCAATAGTGCATTACAAGCTCCAGAACCTGGCAATACTGTCGAGGTTGCTAATGGTGGCGCTAATGCAAATGCTTCCACCTCTACCAACAATTCCCAACCTGTTGGCTCTTCAAGTGCTTCCTCGAATGACAACTCTGTGCTGCAAAATCTTCTTGGAGATACTGAGTTGCCAGAAGGAGTTGATCCTTCATTCCTTGCTGCTTTACCTGAAAATATCAGGCAAGAAGTCATTGCTGAACAGTTGAGACTGCAGCGCCTTCAACAACAACGTAACACCGCTACTACAGCTACTGCTGGCCAGCCTTCTGGTTCACAACCTGCCGCACAACCTGCGACAGGAGAAAATAGTGCCTTGAGTGAAGTGAATCCCGAATTTCTTGCGGCTCTACCTCCAAATATTCAAGAGGAAGTTCTTGCTCAACAAAGAGCCGAGCAACAACGATTACAAGCCCAAACTACGAGTCCAGATGCTCCAGTAGATCCTGCTGTCTTCATCCAGACCTTGCCTCCAGGACTTCGTCGTCAAGTCTTAGCCGACATGGATGATAGTCTTTTGGCTCTTCTTCCTCTTGATTTAGCATCAGAGGCTCAAAATCTGCGCCAAGAATTGGAGGCACGACATCGTCAATTTTCCGAGAGGTTCCTTGCATCTCATGCGACTACTACACTTTCAAGAATACTCAGAAGTGCTTGTAAGTATTTTTTAAATGTTTTTACCATTCTTAGCATTTTTAGCACATAAGAAGGAGTGAAATTTAACTTCAGAATTTCGCTTTGACACTCAGTGCTTATATCAACAGTGCCGATCCATGATGCTGTATTCTTTTTTAGTCTAGCATAGAAAAAAGCTCTAACATTTACATTTTTATTTTAAATTGCAGCTGGACGAACCCGTTACGCAATAAGTACAGCTCAGGGTGGAAATTGGTTGTGGGATCTTGGAGCTCGCGGTACCAATCCATCTAATTACAGTACTTCATCAGGTCATCCTCATCAAGCACGCCCTCCTTTTCCTCCAGGAAGATTTAAAGGAAAACAGCTTCTCGATCACGAAGCACTTTGTTGCCTTCTTATTTTGTTGTTTGTTGATGAGCCAAAACTTAATGTCTGTCGCCTACAACGTGTTTTGAAAAATCTATGTCATCATAATGCAACTCGAATCTGGGTCGTTAATTCATTGTTAGCAATAATGGAAAAAACGAGAGATACCAAAGAGTTTGTTGAACAAAAACCTCGTAAATCTAGTAGTAGTGGATCCATACTTAGCAACAAGTAAGTTTCAATCCGTGCTTTTCTGATTTTTTTTGCCCAATGATTAAAACTGACACCCTGAATAATGTCTGTTAGGTGTTAGTATTTGTAATCTCGCAGATTCTTTCTCTTTCTCTTTCTCCCCTTCTTTCTCTCATTTCTTTGCTATTTCTTTACTCTTTACCCTTTCTCTTTTCTATTCCTTTTCTCTTTTTCACTTTCATCTGCGTTGATTATAGAGAAAGCATCTAACTTGCAGCGCTGATGGTTAAGATTATGAGATCTGAGGGCTACTTTTTCAGTTTTTTTGTATTGTCATGTTTTTTATTCCAAATTAATCAATCAAATTTTATTATCTTTGTAGATCATCTAATCAATCACCGTCGTGGCTCTCCATTTCTTTGGATGCTGCTCTTGGTTGTCGAACCAACGTATTCCAGATAATTAAAGGAGGCAGCGGCAAAAAAGGCGCAGGACAATCGAGTCATTCAATCATTATCCACCCTCAAGCAGCACCATTGGTTTGCAGGCACGTTTTAGATACTCTAATTTCATTGGCAAAAAATTTTACTCATCCTCTGAGGCCTGAGTCACTCAAAGAAGAACAAAAGTTATCACAAAGCTCTCAATCATCCGATCAATGTAATAAATCATGTAAAGACCCAGATTTTTGGGAAGTGCTTCTTCGACTAGACTCATCCAATTCAACTAAAAAAGGTAAAAGTGTGATAAAAAGCCACGGTTCAAGTCCTTTTCAATCAAACAACCCAACGTGTGCAAATGAAAGTGAATCAACATCCCAAGAAAATGAAACTTCTCCTTTGGTGCAAATTATTAATTTATTGTCACATCCCGTCGTCAAAAGAAGTTCACTTCTGACGGATAAACTTTTGCGCCTGCTTTCTTCGGTCGCAATTTCCTTGACTCCAAATGATGGTTCACAATCTTATTTCGCACCTTCATCACAACCCACTGAGCAAGGTGGTTCATCCCATGAAAATTCATCAGATAAATCTAAAGTTAAAACTGAAAATACATCAGACAAAAAACTTGTGATCAATGAAGATGCTATCAAGTTGGCTGTTGAAGTTCTCACATCCAAATCCTGTTCAGAAGCCGGACTAGAAGATGCAACATCATTACTTTTACGTCTTTCTCGTAGCTGCCCTGCTACTCGTGACATCGTTTTAAATCTTCTGCTTGAAGGTGCTCGTGAATTAGGTTTTACTGTTAGTCAGCACATTACCAAACTTAATGAAGAACTCTCAAAGTTGAATATTTCATCAAAAGAACCTAGTGACGATAATAATGCTGAATCAAATGCTGATAAGATTCTTAAGGGAATAATTCAGGATAGATTTACTTCGGCAAGTATCGTGATAAATGCTGCAACGCATATCAAACATACTTCTGCCAGTAAAGAAGTTCAATTGCCATCTATGGCTGCACTCACATCAAAAACATCAAGCCAGAGCTTTTTCTTACGGATTCTGAAAGTCATTGTCCAGTTGAGAGAATCCATTAGAATGCACAAAATTCGTTGCCGTTTAACCTCATCAACTGGATTCACTCAAACATCATCTGAAACTCCCAACACTTCTTCTGCAACAACTGAAGGTGCTTCGTCTGAAATTCAAGAAGCAGATGTCGATGGACAAGAAAGTTTGAGTAGCAAACTAAACTTGCATACATTGTGGGAATGTTTAAGTAATTGTCTTCTCGAGCTCGCAGATGCTCCAGATCACCATGCTGTTCTTGTATTACAGCCAGCCGTGGAGGCATTTTTCCTGGTCCATGCTTCGGAAAAAGAGCCAAAACGTCGTCGTGAGAATCGTCATGAAAGCAGAGAAACGCAGTTGGCTCACGTCAATCAAGATCTTTCTGCTCTTTCTCCGATGGTGGAAAGCAATTCCACTGATGCCAATGCAACTGTATCTAATTTGCCAGTTGATACACAGAAGTTCCTCCAATTTGCCGAAACCCACAAAGTTGTTTTGAACCAAATTCTGCGACAATCAACCACTCCTCTAGCTAATGGTCCCTTCTCGGTGCTGGTTGATCATACCAGAGTGCTAGATTTTGATGTAAAGAGACGTTATTTCAGGCAAGAGCTTGAGAGAATGGAAAATGGTGCTCGTCGAGAAGATTTACCTGTTCACGTTCGTCGTGAACATGTGTTTGAAGATTCTTTCAGAGAACTTTATCGTCGAACAACCGAAGAGTGGAAAAATAGATTTTATATCGTTTTTGAAGGAGAAGAAGGACAAGATGCTGGTGGACTTCTTCGAGAATGGTATACAATTATATCTAGAGAAATTTTCAACCCTATGTATGCTCTTTTCACCACTTCACCTGGTGATCGTGTTACATACATGATTAATTCCGCATCCCACTGTAATTCTAATCATCTTCAATACTTCAAATTTGTGGGAAGAGTCATCGCTAAAGCTATCTATGATAATAAATTACTTGAATGTTATTTCACAAGATCATTTTATAAGCATATCCTTGGAAAATTAGTGAAGTAAGTATAATTGAATGAGCAAACATCAACAGGTATCAATATTTTATTCAATTTTTTAATTTTGATTCTTTTTTCATATTTTGCAGTTATCACGATATGGAAAGTGAAGATTATAGTTTTTATCGAAGTTTAGTTTTTCTACTTGAACATGATGTCAAGGAATTGGATATTGAACAAACATTTAGCCTGGAGGTTCAAGAATTTGGCGTTACAGAAATCAGAGATCTCAAGCCCAATGGCCGCAACATCGAGGTGACTGAGGAAAATAAACACGAATATGTTAGACTGGTCTGTCAAGAAAAAATGACTGGGTCCATTAGGAAACAATTAAGCAGTTTCTTGGAAGGATTCTATGAAATAATTCCTAAACGTCTTATTTCTATTTTTAACGAGCAAGAACTGGAACTTTTGATCTCTGGTCTGCCAAATATTGATATCGATGACCTTAAAGCAAACTGTGAATATCACAAATATCAAGCCAATTCTTTGCAAATTCAATGGTTCTGGCGAGCATTGAGATCATTTGATCAGGCAGACCGAGCTAAATTTTTGCAATTTGTGACTGGAACATCAAAAGTACCGTTGCAAGGTTTTTCTGCTTTAGAAGGTATGAATGGTACTCAGCGATTCCAAATTCATCGTGATGATCGATCAACAGACAGGTTGCCATCAGCTCACACATGGTAAGTTTTTTTGTAAAGTTGTGCTTGCAAATTGTGTATTCTAACCCTTTTTTCATTACAGTTTTAACCAGTTGGATCTCCCTGCTTACGAAACTTATGATAAACTTAAAACCATGATGCTGAAAGCCATCCATGAGTGCTCCGAAGGATTTGGTTTTGCATAGAATCGTTTCAGGATTCCGCCTTCCATGTGATTACAAGCGATTGACCCAAGCTAATTATGTGATTTGGAGCTACGAAATTTTCAGTTTCGAAAATGATTTCAATTTTGTGGATCTCTCATAAACTTACGCTTTTCCAATAAAATGTGATTAATTGTGATTAAATATTTTAATAATAATGATTCACAATGTATCTTTTATCAATTATAAAAGCTAATTAATTCAATTAAACCTTTTAATAAAATGTTAGATGTAAAAATATAAACCGCCTGTTTCATTTTTATTTCAATTTAAAATATCAACAAAAAAACTTATTCTGTTTCAATCTGTTGATTGATACTTCAAATTGAAATAGGTTCACTAGCTCAAGGAAGTGTTAGCGAAAAAAGATTTTATAAAGCAAACTTATTTTAAATTCATTGATACCATTGTATTCAGTTGTAAAACTAATTTTTTCCAGTTTCCTTGAAAAGAGCGCTTTTGCTTGGGTCGAAACTTGTTTTGCCCAATAACCTAGTTCTTTGTTAGGAACCAAAACTTTTTCAAATTTTGTCAGTTTTACTTTTGTTTTCAGTTGAAACAACTTGTTCTTCCACCTGTTTCCTATTTCAAGACTCATATGCATATTGATATTATTTGTTTAAAATGGAGCAACAGAATGATAATTCTGATAAAAGTAAGTTTATTTTACCAAATGAAATAATTCATTAATTGCATTTTTCTCAATTTTAGCAACATTCAAAGTAGAGTTTTTAGGTGAATATCATGATGTAGTCATTGATTGGAATGATGATAAATATATATGCAAAGGGAAACAATTATTCGAACAGGTAACTTACTTTAAACTTAACTGAAATGAAATAATAACTCATCAAAATCTCAATTAATCTTTCACTCCAAATTCATTCACAGCTTGAATCAATAACTGGAGTATCAAGACAATGTAATGCCGAAATCAATGTGTATGAGCCTTGGTGGGATCCCTTTAACACACAATATCATATTATCAGATGCGATGAAACTTACGATCTCAGGTACAATTAAATGTTAAGTTATCATTTCTATCATTAATCAAAACAATTTATCACAAGTATATTTATATTGACTGCTTTCAATCCTTTTCATAGCCGGTTTGCTATCACTAAGGAGCAGATCTTGGATTCAATTAGTTATGCTGAAGGACGTTTCCGTCTCGCTTATGAAAATCACTTTGACATTCGCGAGAAAAAGGCTGTAATTTATTATTACCTAGTAGCTGAAAGCTCGGTGCCACAAGACGAATGCTGTTTTTATTTCTGTCAATATAAAAATAGTAAAACTGTTTTCGACAAGGTGAAGGATATATTCAACAATGATCAATTGATTGCAAAATTTGTGTCTCTTGACCAACTACAGAGATTAATCGAAGTGGATGAGATTCTTAGACAATTCAATGTTTTACAATATTTCTTGCCTATGTGTCATGAAAGATATTGGCGACAGGTAGACGATGAGATATGCCTTTACTTGAGGACACGCGGCTGATTGGACCGACAAGAAGAGTCTCTTCAAAAACTTAAAAAAATGAATAAATAAAATGATAAAAGTTGAGACAAATCTATCGATATTTATTCCTTGATATTATTGTATTTAGTTATTGTTTCAAACTTGACCTCCACCTGCTAATACCTTTCCCTGTTTATAATTTGACTTTTACTTTAAATGACTCGTCTAAGAAATAAAGGTAATTTTCAAACAAGTTTAGATGCATGATTTTTCAGGTTTATTCATTCAATTGAAGTAATCAGCCACGAATTCTTAGATATTGTTCGTGGTTTATTGTTACAATACCATCTTCGTCACCAAAACTCTGCCAATTATTTAAATGGCAATAATTCTTAAAAAATTGTTGAACATTGAACTCTCTGTAAATCTTTCCCATTTCCATAAACAAATGTATATCACCGTTATGTCGCACGATTTCCTCTATCGGTTGGATACGATGTGAAATTTGTGAATTCAATCCATCATTAGTAACAAGTTCTTTGATCCTGTTAAAATAACTTTTAGTTTGTGTGTGCTGACAAAACATGCGACTGCATACTCCTTCTTCAACCCAGGTCTCAGGTACCAAATCATAAGAAATACCAATGCGTTTCAAAGACATACTGTCATAACGAATTTGAAAGCTGAGCTGAAATCGTTCGCCGTCAAGAATGCATACATCATGGATGTTGTCCTTTTCAAAGTCACAATGGAACCTAAAATCATTGAAAGGAGAGCTACGGAAAAAGAAATTAATACATAAAAGGACTAATTGATGTTTCGATTAATTATAAAATTTAAGATTACTGTCTATTGTTGAGAAAGCTCAGTCGACGTCGATGAATTTGGTCACCGAGTCGGAACCAGATTTCATCATTTGGATAATCCTTATGAAGATGAGGTCGAGTTTCATACAGAATGAATGATTTTTTATATTTGATTGGTATTCCAGTCAACGATTCAAGCTATTTAATGAAATAATAATGAAATTGGAATGAGTTGTTGGTCAATGATCGAGTAATAAACATAACTTACCTGCTCGAATATTTGTTGTTGTTTGTATTCATATTTATCATCATTCCAATCAATAACTATGTCATGATATTCACCTAAAAACTTTACTTTGAATGTTGCTAAAATTGAGAAAAAATGCAATGAATGGATTATTTCATTTGGTAAATGAACTTACTTTTAACAGAATTATCATTGTGTTGCTCCATTTTAACGCATATAATATCAATATGTTTATGAATCTTGGAATAGGAAACAGGTGGAAGAACAAGTTGTTTCACCGGAAAACAAAAGTAAAACTGACAAAATTTGAAAAAGTTTTTGTTCTTAAAAGAATTAAGATATTGTGAAAAACAAGTTTTTACTCGAACAAAAGCGCTCTTTTCAAAGAAAACTGAATTCTGTAAATTCAATGATATCAAGGAATATTGAAGGGCCTCTTCTTGTTTTTTTATTACAATAAAGACGCAGATGACAAGCAATGCTTCATGATTAATAGATAATATAATTTTTTATATATAATAATAGTTATAATAATAATAAAAAACTGATAATGAAAGATGAAAGGCCAAGTGTCCTTTATCTAATTCGCAATGGTTTATTTCTTAACGAATATAACCGCACATTGAATATAATCTTAAATTTAAACTCGGATAACCTTTTAATTTTTTATTACCTAGTAGCTGAAAGTTCGGTGCCACAAGGAGAATGCTGTTTTTATTTCTGTCGATTTAAAAATACTAAAACTGTTTTCAACAAGGTGAAGGATATTATCAATAATGATCTATTGAGGGCAAAATTTATGTCTCTTGACCAACCACACATATTTATCGAACGGGATAAGGTTTTTAGACAATTTAATGTCTTACAATATTTCTTGCTTATGTGTCGTGAAAGGTTTTGGCGACAGTCAGACGATGAGATATGCCTTTACTTGAGGACACGCGGCTGATTGGACCAACAAGAAGAGCCCTTCAATGTACTTAAAAAAATGAATAAATAAAATGATAAAAGTTGAGACAAAACTATCGATATTTATTCCTTGATATCGTATTCAGTTATTGTTTCAAACTTGACCTCCACCTGCTAATACCTTTCCCTGTTTATAATTTGACTTTTACTTTAAATGACTCGTCTAAGAAATAAAGGTAATTTTCAAACAAGTTCAGATGCATGATTTTTCAGGTTTATTCATTCAATTGAAGTAATCAGCCACGCATTCTTAGATATTGTTCTATGTTTATTATTACAACACCATCTTCGTCATAAATTCTTGCGTGCCAATTAATTAGATGGCAATAAAACCTTAAACATTGTTGAACATTGAACTCTCTGTAAATCTTTTCCATTTCCATAAACCAATGTATATCGGCGTTTTGTCGCATGTTTTCCTGTAATGGTTGGATACGATGTGAAATTTGTGAATTCAATCCATCATTAGTAACAAGGTCTTTGATCCTTTTAAAATAACTTTTAGTTTGTGTATGCTGACAAAACGCATCAGTGCATACTCCTTCTTCAACCCAGGTCTCAGGTACCAAATCATAATCAATACCAATGCGTTTCAAAGACATACTGTCATAACGAACATGAAATCTAAGCTGAAAGCGTTCGCCATCTTGAATGCATACATCATGGATGTTGTCCTTCACAAAATCACAATAGAGCCTAATATCATTGAAAGGAGAGCTATGAGAAAAGTTAGAAGAAATTAATACATAAAAGGACTAATTGATGTTTTGATTAATTATAAAATTTAAGATTACTGTCTATTGTTGAAAAAGTACAGTTGACGTTGAGGGACTTGTTCACCGTATCGGAACCAGATTTCAGCATTTGGATAATCCTTATGAAGATGAGGTCGAGTTTCGCGCAGCATGAATGATGTTTTATATTTGATTGGTATTCCAGTCAATGATTCAAGCTATTTAATGAAATAATAATGAAATTGGAATGAGTTGTTGGTCAATGATCGAGTAATAAACATAACTTACCTGTTCGAATATTTGTTGATGTTTGTATTCATATTTATCATCATTCCAATCAATGACTACATCATGATATTCACCTAAAAACTTTACTTTGAATGTTGCTAAAATTGAGAAAAAATGCAATGAATGAATTATTTCATTTAGTAAAATGAACTTACTTTTATTAGAATTATCATTGTGTTGCTCCATTTTAAACAAATAACATCAATATGAATATGAATCTTGGAATAGGAAACAGGTGGAAGAACAAGTTGTTTCACCGGAAAACAAAAGTAAAACTGACAAAATTTGAAAAAGTTTTTGTTCTTAAAAGAACTAAGATATTGTGGAAAAACAAGTTTCGACTCGAGCAAAAGCGCTCTTTTCAAAGAAAACTGAATTCTGTAAATACAATGATATCAAGGAATATTGAAGGGCCTCTTCTTGTTTTTTTATTTTAATAAAGAGACAGATGACAATCAATGCTTCATAATTAATAGATAATATAATTTTCTATATATAATAATAGTTATAATAATAATAAAAAACTGATAATGAAAGATGAAAGGAATTGTGTTTCAATTATTTTGTTTATTCATAGCTCATGAAAGTGTTGATAATCTTGATCATCATTGAATTAAGATTGATCAGTAAGAAAAGATGTAAGGTTGCGAAGGGTTTGATTGAAGATGAAAGACAGGTAAAGATGACAAAGAAAACCAAATTGATTAATTGTTCAGCAATTTTTAGGTGAATTGAAAGGTAAAGATAACAAGAAATGGTTTAGTTTGCTTTGTGTGTTGAGTGTGAACACAAAAAGAGATTAATGTTTACGTTCTTTGGGCACTTAATTAGGGCAGTAAATTGAGCTTCATCAATACTGTTTGTTGACTTTCCCATGGCTTCATGATGTTCATCTTCATGATTCTTTGATTTGCTCATTGAAGCTTCAGTTCCATTGCAAACTAACTTGTTGATTGAGTTGAACGTGGATCTTTCATTATCTGCTTCTACATCTTTATCATTCTTCTTGCTCTCTGTTCCTGGATAAACAATTTAGCTGATTGATTACAGTTGATAGTCTTGATCACTTTCTTTCATTTGATCCGGAACAATTGTACAAGTTGTAAAAGTTTTCTTAAAAACAATCAATAACTGATTAAATCGTTTGAAAATCGCCAAAAAAGCCGATTGTTATAACCAAATAAAATACAATGTTTGACGTTAATGAAGTGGTTCCATCTGAAATATAAATGAAATTCATCAATTGTTTGTAAATTCAGTTTTAAAAAAACGATTCACCTTAAAAGATATTAAAGTCACAAGAATGAGTTAATTTTAAAAAAGGTTCAACCATGAATTACTAATTAATCTTCACCCAAAGCCAATTGCAAATTTAATCAAGGTAAAGAGCAAAAGGCTGAAATGATAATTTGATTGTCACCTGGAATGAGAATGGCTTATGATATTAATATAAATATTAAGAAGAAGAATCTATAGAAATCATGATTCCGGAAGAAAAAGAAAAGCAATTCTGAATCAACATCTAAACAAGTAAACCATAAGATGAATGGTGAGAGAAAAGGTTAATCCTATTTCCACTGAAATCAATGGTAAGAAGTTAATTCTCATTCTTTATACACTTTAATATCATGATAATGTTGAACCTCTTCATGGTTATCAACACAAGCAGAAGATCCTTTGAATGACAATGACAAAGTTACCTGTTACAATTAGCATTTGCTCCTTTTGAACAGTTAAAAATGATCCATCAGCTGAAAGTTCACATTTATATTTACCACTTGTTTCAGGTACAACTCTTGATATGACCAAAGTTGTCCCACCAACAGATTTAGACACCTTTTTTGTCAATGAAAGGAAAAAGAAAATTGTTTTTAATTGAATTATCTTTCAACTTTCATCCAATCAACTTAATGAGTCTATCAAGAGATGAAGACAATTGGCTGGAAGAGCCAAAAATTGAATAAACTCTTGATTTTCCCTGTAAATAATAACTGATAACTTAATAACAATAACAGTGATTATAATTTATCGCTTTGATGCTCCATTGAATCGGATAAATCTGTTGTTTTTTTTGCTGCTTTTCAGTTCAACGAATCAAACATTTTTATCGATATCAACTACAGAACAGTTAATTGAACAGATTGAACAATCAATGATGAGATACACTTTCGAGTCTTATTGCAACTTGATTAATATATTGCAACAATTAATACTTACTTCAAACGGAATCTCTTGCAATGGAAATATTTGAATCTTATTTTTATTATTTGGTTCGTATCTGTAAAATTCAGACTCGTTTTTGTACCATTTCAGGGAATACAAACTATCACCATCTAATTCGTAATTACAAATGAATTCGGTTGAATCACCAGAGGAAAGGATTGTTGGAACATAAAATTTACTTATTCGTAAACAATCAATCCCTGTAAATAGAGAGTAAAATGCATTATTATCAATATTATAATATAAGGAAGGAATGGATTGGGTGAAGAAGAAGAGGAAAAAACAGAAACAAAAGATTACAAGTTTGTTGTTATTTACTTTTATTATTATTTTCCTGATTCTATTTTATCATCAATAATAATCTGAACAATGAATTTCATTTCATTTCATTGTCAAATGAGTTGAATGTAACCACTAATAACAACTCATCTTGGATTAGACTTTTCAAGTTGCCATTGCTTCTGCTTCTTCCTTTCACTTTACTCTTGACTCTTGTTCATTCAGCTTTTCTCAACTCAATTGCATGTTATCATTAGGATTTTCAAGTGACTTTCAATTGTTATCAGTGATGATGATTGTTCATCTACTATTTACCTGATTGAAGAGGAAAGCGAATCAATAAATATGTTCAATGAGACAGAACGAAATTGAACATCAATTTACATTGAACAATAGTAAATAAAGCTTGACAGAAGACATATTAATTTGAAAATATCAATGTCAATGGTTAAAGTTAAAGTTGGAAGAAACCGAAAAGTTCAATATTGAATCAAACTGATTGTAATTTACAATGCAATTTGATGAGATTTCCAGAGAAAAGACAAGAAATTGAAATTTGTAAATCAATTTATCTTTATCAATGCAAGAAAAGAGTGAAATGAAGAAAATGCGATTCTCTATTTTCACGGAAAAAGTTGACCCAAGACAAAGCATTTCCAACCAATTCACTTCATTTCAATATCGATCCGTTTCTTCATTTTCTGTCAATTTACCTTTCAGATATTAACCAAAGGTGGAAATGAGAACAAAAAAAAGCTGTTTCTTCATTTCTTGGTGTCATCACAATCAACTGAACTTTCGCATCATTTCATAATGATTATCATCAAAACGATGAACAGAAGCAATGCTTTTAACCATTCACAATTTACTCATAATCTTTACCCTCAGACTTCAGCTTGGTTGAACATCAATGAAAACACTGAAAGATAAAAAAATGTGGATCCCGTGAAAACTAATCTGAGAATCACAATATTCACTTTTCCCTCTTTTAATGATTAACCCATAAAATTGAATAGGAAAAGGTGGAAATATAAATTTGCTGGTGAACAAAAAAGGTAAACTCGTTTAGCTGGATAATCAAGAATAATCAATTGATTACTGAAATGAAATTTGGTGTCAACAAAATTTATGATTGATAACGTGAAATCACTTAAATTGGCATTTCTTTTTTAAACTCACCAACAATTAATTGTTGCCCTTAACAATATCACAAACAACGGTGTAAATGAGAAGTTAATGTTTCCAACTAACCTCAACTAAAGGCTAATTTCAGTTTCCAAATCAATTAACAACAATTGAATAAAGTCATTAATCCAAAAGTCATAACAATGTTTAAACTTGTCATTGATTTGTCAAAATGAATAATTGCAATCAGTTTAAAATGTATTTCTGTGTTCATTGCAGTCAACATATTTTGTTAATTTGAGCAAACGTTGAATTGACAATTTTCAATTTTTGCATTGCCAATCTAAATTGTGATTAATCATTTTCTAGTAATCATAGGAAAGATTAACAATTAGACTGATTCAAGTGGGAAAACTACTGAGAGTCTATCAAGTAATGTGATGAAAATGATGAAGTGAAACCACAAAAGCTAAAAGGTTTCTCCAAGTTGCTGATGTCAGACTCTATTAGATGATTGTTTCACCAAGATGATGATGGATGAAGCTTTTAAAATAATGTGATGACAACAATTGATGACCAATGATTATGATTGTCTTGAAGTGCATCGTCTGTAGTTAACTTTCAATCAAAATAATATCAATAGTTTTGATTGAAAATTCAGACATATGTTGAAAGTTTTGCATTTGCAACAAAAAAGTTAAGTTTGATACAACATTAAAAATTTCATCAAACTTTATATTTCAAAGTGAATTATCTCATTTCAGGATTAGTATGAAAGCTCATTAAAATAGCAACACGAAGTAGATTGAGTTGAAGCTCGCTTATGATAATAGTAAGTGATGAGAGGAATGATGAATGAAGAAAATGTTGCTTAAAAGTTGAGCCAATGAATTGATTGAAAATGAGTTATCATAATCCGTTTCAAGGAAAAATTGATAAGCAGCTCAACATTTTTCATTCTTCTTCTTCCATCTTCTTGAGCTTCAGCTCTTTCAAGGCGGTTGTAAAACAAACACATGGAAAACATGGAACATGAAAAGTGTGAATAAAAAAACAAGTCAAAGGTGGTAAACAAGGAAAAGGCTCAATAATAATGGATGAATATGAAAAGTAAACTTAAATTTTAATAGAAAGCTTAAATTTCTCGTTAAAAAAGATCACAACTAAACTGAATCAAGCATTTCATTAGATTGCCAATGAAAAGTTTTTTTTCTAAGAGCAAAAATCAAAGCTTCCAATCGAATGGTGTCCAAATTTAGCTGCAATTAAAGAAGGAAATTTGGTTAATTTAGTTGATTGCCTTTAATGACACTTTTGTTAACATTGAGCAAGATATTGAGAGTGAATCCAGAGATAAGTGGATTCATCAATCATGATGTGAACATTATGTTTTGACATGAAAATGCGTTTATCTATTTTGTTGTGTTTTTTGCATTGAAAACATGAAAAACTATCTCTACAATAATAATAATGTTAATCAGGCTTAAACTGAGCTTTTTTGATCAGTGATCATATTTGATCTGTGAGTTAACTTTGCTTGATAAAACCATTTCAAAGGGTAACTTTGAAACACAAACAACAATCAATTGTTTCAATTTGGGAATAATGCATTTGACATGAATGTAACAAGCAAAAAGTTGAATATATTGAAAGCCTGGAGCAACCTTTCCTTACCAAATATTATATTCAACTTATCTGATAAATTTGATGAACTCAGTGCATTTTCAAGTTCAATTTGGAAAGTTGATCTTTATTCAAGACAATTTGTTTTACCAAACCATTTAAGATCATTTTTTTCAGATCCACTCTTTTTGCTGTTGTTCAGGTCAAACAGAATTAATATTTTCATCAGTTTTCTTTGAATGTTTGAGGGAAGGCAAAAAATTGGAGCAAACATAGTTTCTCATCTGAATAAACAGGTTAGTTACATTTGTATGTAACTTGAGCCTGAAATGGTCATCAAATGGATAATAATCATTGAAAAGAGTTACTTTCAATGAACTAATTCAGTTTATTGCTCTTCTCTTTTATTCATCTGTTGAACTCTTCAACTTCTTATCATGTTTAATGGTCAAATGTTTATTTAATAATGAATAGCTTTTTTCAATGGAAAAAGAAAAAGAAACTTTCTCAAAGAAAACTTATTGTCTCGATCAATTCATCTTGTTTTGTTAATAATGCATCTGATTAACATAATAATCGTGTTTCTCTCAACATTTTTCAGCTTGAAGTCTAGATGAGTTGCATGGAAGTTGAACAATAAGAATCTAAATTTAATTGAAGGTTGATATAACTTGGTTTTTTGCAGTTTGACTCGACATTGAATTATCAATTAGATGTTGGAGTTTATCAATCAATTGCAATCCTTTTTTCACTCCCAATTGATACAGAAATAAAAACTTTACTCCAATAATAGATGGTAAAGGTTGCTATTGAGGTTTGGACAAACAAACCAGATTGGGTTAGTTAAAAGTTACATGAAAATGGAGTTGACTTTGAAACAAGTTTATTCACTTTTACTGTATTAACAGCTATTAGCTTTTCTTTATTCACTAATTGCAATTGATTTGACTCCAATTAAATCTGTACATCAATCAATTGGAAAAGACAGAGAAGAGAAAGAAAAAGAAGAAGAGAAGAAAGTTAAAGGTGAGATTTCATTTCTGATGCTCAGAGATGTTTCCATGATAATAATGAATAGATGAAAGTTTTGTTGTGAAAATGTTGATTGTACAGTTATCTTATTGCAATGAGACTTGGGACTCAACTGACGATCAAACAGCTCAAATCAATTAACAACTTTCATCAACCTAATTGAACAAATGATAATATAAAGATATTCAAACGCAGCTTCAGCATTTACAATTGAATAGTTTTACATCTCAATGATTGAAGCCACTGACATGTCGATCCATCGACTAAATGTTGACATTTTTAAAAGAATCAAGAAATAAGATTAAATTTCGTTCGCAATGTTCTGATGGATTGCAATTCAACTTATTGTCGTATAAATATCAATGTTCACCATAATCATCATTATATTATTAATAACATCTTGAAACGTTTTCTTCTTTTCCTTTTTTTCTCATTTTTTTCTCTACGAAATTATACTCTTCTATTGTAAGTTGTTTCTCATTCTGTCGATAACAATTGAATATTGTTGAATGTTTAATGTTGATTCTTGATTGTTGCTAATGTGCTCCAGTTAAATGAGAGTTGAACATGTGAAGTGAGATTTAACGGTGAGTTGGATTCAGGTGAACATTTGCTTCAACAAATTGGGTGAATCACGCAAAAGGCAGGTTAGAATGTGAATTAAGAATTGAGTTAAGAGACTAAATGATAATAATTTGAGTGAATCTTGTAAATGGCCTATTGATTCGTCAATTGATATTTAAAGGTTAATGTTGAGCACAAAGTTGAGCCCAATGTTGAGCTCTTTGCAAATGATTGGGAAAAGGATAAAAAATTAAATCTTTGCTCATTTGGATTTTGTCAATGATAACATTTACCATTTGATGTGTCAAATGTAAACGGAAAAAACAGGAAAAATTGAAACCAAGAAAAATATAATTTCATCTCATTTCATTTGCTGAGAAATAAGAATCTGAATCGAAATTGAAATGAGAGGAAAAAAACTGTCTCACGTCTCATTGACATTGAAATTATTTCAATAAACATTGTCAAATGGCTTTAACCTTTTACCTTTGAGATTTTGTTGAACCTCCATGAGGTTCATGAAGATTTTCAAATCTTATTCTTTTTTTTCGAATCATCATTTCGACCGAACATGATACAGTAAAAAGAAGAAGAAAAAAAAGTTTCAAATGAAATGCAAGATGAAAACTTGAAACTAATGCAATTATTTGAAAAACCAATCAACAATGAATTCGTTTCATCTTTCCTTCAACATCTATTCTGTTTCTGGTAAAAATGGAAAAATGTTGGAATTCTCATTTGGAAATTGTTCTTTTCCATTTTTCAACTTGTTTCACGATAATCATTCATTGACAGATGAATGTGTTTTTTGCACAAATGATAATATGAAGAGAAATGAGGTTTGTCACTGGTTTAGGTGAAAGTGAAGAAGAGGGAAAAATAAATATTAAGAAATTCATATTAATCTCAATATTCTCATGATCACTGTTCCATATTCATTTCTTTATTTCAACAGATTCTTTTCTTCACTTTTACACTTTCATCACCATAACACATTCCTCATAAATTTTACTTTTCACCATTTCTCTTGAAACATTTTGCACAGAGTGAAAAGTTTCCAAAAACCAGGGAAAGGTTGACAGAAGAAGAGAGCAAAAATTTCAAATTTCAAACTTGATTTATTTTCATTTCATCCCTTTCTTTTGCACCACAAATATTCACCTTTTCAGGGAAACAAGGAAACAAGTTAATAACAATTTATCGTTGAGAAACATTCATCTTAACTAATACAAATTAGCTTTTAATAATGTTAATATTAGAAAACAATTTTTAGATGAAATCTTTTAACGAATAATTGAAATTGATTGTGGAACAGGAAAACATATCAAATTAATCAATGAATTGATTGACAATCTGAGGCACATTAAAAATGAAGTTTACATGCATTAATGAAACCCAAACTCATCAATCACTTTCCATGTTAGATGAACATTAATTAAGGTTGCAACCACAATTGGCTCATTAACAGTGAAAATCAGAGGAATCAGGAGAAGAACAGATTGGGAATGAATTGAAAACTTATCAAGACTTACCTTTAAACAAGATTGAATTAATTATTGAAATTATCCAAATAAATAAATGGTTGATTAACATTTTGAAACTTTTCATCGACAATTGAAATTTTACTTTTAGAGAACAAAGTTTTGAGTTTTAACTTGAAGTTTTATTGTAACATAACATCAGATTCAACTGATTAGTTGATGTTTAAGTTATTAACTTTAATGATCATTGGAAAAAGTTGATCATTTAATGATGATTATTGTTGGTGAAAGTTGAATGAGTGAGTAAACAAAAGCAACAAAAAGAGCAACTCAACTCTTAAACTAACTGGGAGTGAAATGACTCGATATATTAGAAGTGAAGAGTCACTCCCAGCTCTCCCAGTCGCTTTCCTCCTCTTTCATCATTCTCATCATTTTCATCGTTTTCCTCTTCTCTCTCTTTTCTGTACAAAAATTGTCTTTCTTTCAACACTGAAAAGTTGAAAATTTTCATCATTTGGATCCAATTGAAATGTCATCTAATTATTTACCATTCACCTGAACTGGTGTAAAATAATCATGTTTACTCTGAACGATTTAAATTTGAAGTTAAAAAAGCTTTACTCGTCCCAAGTGTAATGATGAAAAAACATGATTTCAATATTTTAATTCACATTGTCAGTTTGTTGAACATAAACCTCTTTTTTTGTGTCAAAATCAAACAAATGCCATAATCATGTTGAATCAATTTTCACTGATAATAATAATCGTGAAAAAAGGTGAAAAAAAGGTAAAATGTTTTGTTTCGATAAAACAAAAGGTTCAAAGTTATCAATATTGAGTAAATTGGAACGAGTTTTTTGCCTCTCAATTGTTAGATAAAAAAAGATGAATTCATTTGGAGAGAGAATCGCTTAAAAGTAATGCAAAAACAGTGGATAAATGATGAGCTTAAAGAAGGAGGAAGATGAAAAAGGTAAGATGATGATGGCGAGAGGAAAACTCAATAAGATGAACGATTCTTGTGAACATTTGTTGATCAACTATTATATTCAGCTAAATTTGGAACAAACGAAAAGAATGGAAAAAGAAAAGCTGAAAAGATTCTCCAGAAAAACTAGCATCCATCAAATTCATAGTTTCTTTTTTTTCTCTTCCCTTTTTTTCCTTGTTTTACAATCTTGTTACAGTTTAAATTATGACTTTTCAATTTTGACCTTATGCTTGAGAGGAAAATAAAATAACCAGGTAAATGGTAATAATAGAAGGATATTCAGTGAAAGAGAGAAGTTCCAATGGTAATGGTCAATTCGGTTCAACATGTTTAACCAATTTTACTTTTCTTTTTGCGCTCCAACAAGATCTAATTTTTCAACTCTCCTGTCTTGCCCGTAAGACATTTGAGTTTAACTTGCTTCAAGGTAAACCTTGAATCTATCATCATTCAATTTTTAGCTGAAAAAAACGTCTCTTCTTCAAGTGAAACTTGGCAGATTCAAAAGTCCACTAAAATGGGTTTTTTTAAAGGAAAGTCAAACCAATGAGATGAGAAGTTGCAAGACGATGATGATGATCATCAGAAGGAGGAGATGAAAAGGAAAGGTTTGAAAGAGCATGAAATAGCATGAAAGAGCATGATACTCTTGAGAACTCTAGAACTGAGTCTGAGGTAAATTTGAAAGCAATTGCTGGAAATGCAATTTATTTGAGACGAGTTACCCTTCAATTGGTTTACAATTGCAACACAATCAACTGACCTTTTTTTTATTCTCATCTTTTTTTAGTTTCCTTATTCTTTTTGCATTGTTGTTTCTCTGTTCATCTTTCAATCTTACATGATGATCATGATGGAGATAATATTTACTCCCAATTACTCTTCCTAATCATCATCAACATCACCATCAACATTGTACTCAACTTTAACTGAATTTGACAGGCAATGAGTTTACACACTGGTAACTGTATTATTGTAATACTTTGGTTAACCATATTTGCTGTCTTGTTGGCTAATCATAACATAGCCACAAGTTAACCAATTTGCTAAACAACAATTGTTCATTTTTCAATCAACTAATGGCAGCAAATAATTTAAACAACTTTCACAATTAACTTTATTTCAAAGTTGATCAACATTTTTCATTCTTGTTTTCAACACTTTAATTGTTGCCTTTGGCAGTGATAAATTGTGAAAATATTTCAAGTCAACAAAAAGAAAGCGAGAAAATTATTAACTTTTTCTGGTCAACAAAGCTTATAATGAATGAAATGGTTTTGCCTTTTGCTGTTGATGGCAAAATAATGTTATTAATAATGTTGCCCTTTAAGAGTAAATATGAGTTAATAAGTCCAATGGTCAGTTTGGGTTGAAATGTATTCAAAATGGTAATAAAAAAAAGAGTGGAAAGAAAGGAAAGAAACATTCCAACAAATTGTATTCTCTAAGGTCTTTAAGATGATGTAGATGAAGATGAGGATGAAAAGGGCAAATAATGGTTAGTTTTTTTTGGGCAAACAAAATTGAGTTCCAAGGTGGAAATGGAAAATCGAGTTTCGATCTTTTTGCTCTCTCTTTTTTTCTGGTCAAACTTTTCATTCACATTTTTCTTCTTGATATTGAAGCCTTTTGAAGGTGAAAAGCTGCACGAATCACCTTTTCCATTTTGTCCAAATATCGATATTTGTTGAATGTATTGAATGTTAAAATTGAATGAAAATGAAAATGAAAATATCGAATGATAAGAAAGCAAATCAATGATAACATCAATTTGACATTGAAAAGTTATAAGTGTGAAATGTTGATTGTAATATTGGTTGTTGAGTCGTTTTTTTCACATTTAACTTCATGACAAGTTAAGAAGAGTGAAAATTGAAATCATTTTGAGAACTTTTATCCTTTTCTTTTTATAATATTATATAATAAAATATCTTTAAAGCTGAAAAGTTGATCACAACAAAACCAATAAATCTGTTTTTCTGCTTTTTGGAATGAAAATAAAGAAGAAGGGAAAAAAGAGAGAGAAAGTGAAAAGTGAAAAAAAGAAAAAAGAAATTCTCTGTTCATATTAGTCTGATTCTTTTTCTGGTATTATTCAGTATTCCATCTCACAGTATCATGGAAGAAGGAAGGAAACAATGATGAGAACCGGTAATGATAAAGGTACAATGAAGATTAATCAAGAATAGAATCATGACTTGAATGAGTTTTCACCATTTTTGGTGTAAAAAGAAAAAGATGAATCAAAGAGATGGGAAAATGATGTAGATGATACTGATGATAATGAAGATGATCAGGATGATGAGCATGATGAGGATGGAGAGTAAAATGATGATAAAATTATGGAAGCCGCGTTTTTGTTTCACGATTTAATGATATTTGGGAAAAAACAATTCACTAGAGAGATTGAGTTACATTCATTGTTCAATGGAATCAATATTTTTGGTTAACATTAAAGGTTAACAATTTTGGCATTCTGTTGGTTCAAGTTGTTGGCCTTTTGTTTTGTGTTGATTTAACATTACATTTTGTTGGCCATTCAATGGATATTAATAGATGATAATGTAACTCTCGTCCGTTTGCATTCAATTGATTATATTCTGATAATGGTTTAACAATTGAAGTCAACTGATTGTACAAAATTATCTTTGTTAACAAATTGTATCACAAAGTGATATTACAATGTTGACCTTTTCTTTGAACAGTTCCTAAGGCAAGAAGAGCAAAAAGATTCATCCAAAGTCATAAGTCAATGTAAATGAATATGAAAACACTTTTGTCGACTTTTCTCAATCATTAAGTAATCATTAATATTTGACTTACTATCATTATTCATTGTTCCTATCATCATATCAAAATGCTCAGTAATGATTGCCAAGAATCGTTATGTTTACTAATCGTCTGAAGGTTCTCTGAGCGGATTAAATCACGTAAATTCATGATGGAACAGATGCTAAACTCGGTTCGAGAATTCTTCGTTCTCTGTTCTGAAAATCTTGAGTCAATTGTTAACTTTATTTTTTGACGAGTCATTTTGAAATAAATTTAGTCACATTTTGCAGTTCTGTGACACTATACACGGAAATAAGGTATGAGAAATACGGAGGTCAAGATTGAAATAATAAATGAAATAATACAGAAATAAATGTTTAAAATTTTATTTAGATTTGTGAACTTGTTGGAATAAATTAAATAAGAGAAATCGATGAAAGGGCATCTCAGTCTATTAACCGTGAGTTCGCAAATAGAGATTTCTTTCACAAAACATATATCTAAATTGCTCATTTACGTATCTCCTCGTATAAAGATCATCACAAATTGAACGGAAATATTTTAGAACATCGAATTGTCTGAGGATTTCCCTCTTTTCTCTATAATCTCTTATTGGTTGGATAGCAGACGCAATTTTCGCATTCAATTTATCGTTATTGATGATATCCTTCACCTTGTTATAGAAACTTTTAGTATTTTTATATCGACAGAAATCATAAAAGCACTCTCCTTCTGGCACCGAACTTTCACGTACTAGAAAAAAACAAATATGAGTTCTCTTAAACCAATAATGAGCATCATAACCGAGACGAAAACGTCCTTCAGCATCTCTAATTGAATCACAGATCTCCTCCTTATTAGGGTAGTTTGAACTATTGGAGCAATGAAAAAATTGAAAGACAGTCAATATATTGATGAATCTGAAAATGATAGAAATGGTAGCTTACTCATCAGTGTCGTCAATGTTATGATAAAATGGGTCCCCTGGTGATGTATTGGCTCCGTCTACCACATGGTGATACTGCAGAAGAATTTCATAGTTGAATTCACGCGGTACTCCAACTATTGATTCAAGCTATGAATGCCATTGAATGAAATTTGGATGAGTTATTATTTCCTTTCAGCTAAGTTTAAACTTAACTTACCTGGTCGAATAATTGTCTACCTTTGTGTTTATATTTATCATCATTCCAATCAATGACTACTTCATGATATTCACCTAAAAACTCTACTCGGAATGTAACTAATGCAATGGAAGATAAGAGTTAATTATTTTAAATTCAAGATAAAATAGAAATAAAACTTACTTTTATCAGAATTGTCATTCTGTCGCTCCATTTTAACGCAAATAATATCAATATGTTTATGAATCTTGGAATAGGGAACAAGTGGAAGAACAAGTTGTTTCAACGGAAAACAAAAGTAAAACTGACAAAATTTGAAAAAGTTTTGGTTCCTAACAAAGAACTAGGTTATTGGGCAAAACAAGTTGTGATCTGAGTCAGAGCGCTCTTTACAAACACAACCGTAAAAAACTAAATTCTTTAAAATTTTTACAATGAAATCTTTGAATTAATGTCACATTTTGAGTGTTGTGACATTATACACGGGGATAAGGTATTAGCAGGTGAGTTCAAGTTTGAAACAATAACTGAATACAATAATATCAAGGAATAAATATCGATAGTTTTGTCTCAACTTTTATCATTTTATTTATTCATTTCTTTAAGTTCATTGAAGAGACTCTTCTTGTTGGTCCAATCAGCCGCGTGTCCTCAAGTAAAGGCATATCTGATCGTCTTGCTGTCGCCAAAATCTTTCACGACACATAGGCAAGAAATATTGTAAGACATTAAATTGTCTAAAAACCTTATCCCGTTCGATAAATATGTGTGGTTGGTCAAGAGACATAACTTTTGCATTCAATTGATCATTATTGATAATATCCTTCACTTTGTTGAAAACAGTTTTAGTATTTTTAAATCGACAGAAATAAAAACAGCATTCTCCTTGTGGCACCGAACTTTCAGCTACTAGGTAATAATAAATTGAAGTATTTTTCTCGCGATTGCCAAAGTAAATGTCATAAGCGAGATGGAAACGTCCTTCAGCATAACTAACTGAATTCAAGATCTGCTCCTTAGTGATAGCAAACCGCCTTTGAAAAGGATTTAAAGCAGTCAATATAAATATACTTGTGATAATTTGTTTTGATTAATACGAGAAATGATAACTTAATATTTAATTGTACCTGAAATCGTAAGTTTCATTGTATCTGATGGTACGATATTGTGTGTTAAAGGGATCCCACCAAGGCTCATACACATTGATTTCGGCAATATATTGTTTTGGTACTCCAGTTATTGATTCAAGCTGTGAATGAATTTGGAGTGAAAGATTAAATGAGATTTTGATGAGTTATTATTTCATTTCAGTTAAGTTTAAAGTAAGTTACCTGGTCGAATAATTGTTTCCCTTTGCATATATATTTATCATCATTCCAATCAATGACTAAGTCATGATATTCACCTAAAAACTCTACTTTGAATGTTGCTAAAATTGAGAAAAATGCAATGAATGAATTATTTCATTTGGTAAAATGAACTTACTTTTACCAGAATTATCACTCTGTTGCTCCATTTTAAACAAATTATATCAATATGAATATGAATCTTGGAATAGGAAACAGGTGGAAGAACAAGTTGTTTCAACTGAAAACAAGAGTAAAACAGACAATTTTTGAAAAGTTTTGGTTCCTAACAAAGAACTAGGTTATTGGGCAAAACAGGTTTCGACTCAAGCAAAGCGCTCTTTTCAAACAAAACTTTAAAAACTAAATTCTGTAAAATTGTGTGCAATAAATCTTTGAATTAATAACTTTGTCTCAACTTTTATCATTTACTTATGTTTATCGAAGAAACTTAATTTTATTATTTTTACATCTTTTGATGTTCGCATTAACTTTACTTTATTTGAATCTTTTCATCAATCTCCAACTGAACAAGACCAATTTAACCTAGTTTCTTGATTAGTTTCAAATCCAACGACTCTTCATGATGAGATAAATTGAGATTAAATAAAACTCTTCATTCTCTATTCTCAACATCTTTTCAATCATTTCATGATTAAGTGATAAATGGAAAAGTTATCAGCAGATGGCTCCTCAATATCTGCTAACAGTCAAGTCAATTGTGATTATTTTATCAACTTTTATTAACTAATATTAAACAAATATATTAATTACTAAACACCGAAATGCAATGACTGCGAATATTTATTAGAGTCGCCTTCAATTGTTGTTCAAAGGAACCAAATTATCGATCGAAATTTGAAAAATGTTGATTCGACTCAATATAAAGAAATAAAATTCTGATCTAATTCAGGTCTAAACATATGTTTAACAATAAAATGTGATTTAATGCATGATATTTGAAATGTTTCTTTGATTACCTTTTATTAGTAAATTAGTTCAATGAAACCTTTTTACAAAATCAATGGTTATCGATTACGACCAATGAAGCCAATCATGTCAACGCCAACAACAACAATCAATATTCTTGATGAAGAAGATGAAGAGTTGGATGAGAATGATGATGATGAGTTTGATAATGATGGTGAAGATGTTGATGAAGAAAATGTTTTACTATTTGATGATGTTGCCAATAACAATCGAGAAAAGAAAAGTTATCCAAAAAAATCATCCCTCAAATCGGCATATGATCGTCGTCGAGTGAACCATCAAGCCCGAAATTTATCATTAGACGATGATGATGCTTCAATGACAATTGGTAAAATTAAAATAATTAAACCGATTGGACGTGAGAAACGTTCTCGACTCAAAGTGTGTTCTTGTGCTATTCTGTTTATCCTTTTAATCAGTTGCCTTGTTTACCTGATTTACAGTAAAAAATTTACTCTTTTAACTCAACTTTTGATAAAATCACCTTTATTTGCATCAACATTAACCGATTCATTGACTAAACCAGCAACCCATCGACCTTTATGTGACCGAATAAACATTGAAAATCAATGGAACAAAACTTTTCCAATGTTGACCATTGAATCGGCATTGCGAATGGTCGATGTCAACCAAGATGGAAACGTTGATGTGATCATTGCTTTTGGCACAGGTAAATATCGACTGGTAAACACATTTCAATATTTCGATTTGATCATTTTCGATGTTAATTATTCTCTTAGGAGCTGATGTTGCCTTTTATCCATCGGTTGTTTGTCAGGTTTACTTCAACCTAACAGAGGATCAATCACGACAAGGTAAGTTAATCATCATGATTACCTTGCCTTTCATTATCGTTTTGTTCACATTTACATGCGAATAAATCAATGTCACGAACATTTCTTTTACATAATCAACAAACAAAAAGAACAGCAAAAAGAGACAAACATTTTCACTGTTGACCAACAATTAGACAATTTAATTGACTTTGCTAAAATGACAATTTATGTGAAAGAAAAAAGTGAATTTCATGAAAAACTCATTCAAATCTTGTGTTCTTTCCTTTTCCATTGAAAACAAATGTAAATCAATTAACAGGTTGTGGAGGAGGTTTAATGGCTTTAGATGGTAAAACAGGTAAACTTCTTTGGCAGGTTTACACCAAACATGAACTATTTGCAGTTAATTGTGAATTAGATGTTAATGGTGATAAAGTTAAAGATTGCATTTGCGGTGGCAGAATGGCGGTAAGTTTAACTTTTGGAAAAAGTCATTTGTTAATTTGGTGATTACGCTTACGGTTTAATTTGAGCTTCTGTTTATTTCAATTTCAATTTTCATCTCAAAATTAAATCATATTTTGATAATAAAGTCAAGACTCAAGGTTACACTTGAGATTGCGATATTTACTGCTTTAGCTAATTTTGTTTAATCAAGATTACATTAAACAGTCAAGGATTGAAGTGTTGAGCAGCAGCAAAAAAATGAGATGATTGAGGAAGAAGGAAGAATCATATTTAGCTCATTCAATTTGATTGATTTTAAGGTTCGTCGTTTGTAACAATCGACCTTGAACATTTGGTTTTTTTTCTTGTTTCGGTCTTTCAATAGCTGACCATTTTGTGTTTACCAAGTTTTTGCTGCTTTAAGCAAATCAACATGTTTCATTAATCATGTAATCAAGCAATCACTTGGTGTGAATGAAACAAAAAATTATCAAATTATCACCATTCAGCTTCCCTGTTTAACCTGTTGACTCGTTCATTGAAATTAGACGAGAAAATGAGATTAAATTTTGAAAGTTGGATTAATCATTTTCTCCGTTCTTTAGTCCATGTATGCAATCAGTGGATCCAATGGTGAGGTCATCTGGAGTTATCTGGATAAACATGATGAACCCATTTGTGATACTTCCAATTTCTATACACCTTTGTATTCGACGAAAGATCTTGATCATGATGGTTTACCTGATTTAATTTTAATGCACGGAGGTGACCCTTTGAGATCGCCTCATGAAAAGAATCGTCTTGTTGCTCGATTGATAATTGCTTCATCAAGAACAGGTAAACATTGATGTTCATCGATAAACTGATTTAAAACTTGATTCTTTTGAAGGTGAAATTCTGAGTTGGAGTAAAGTACCTGATAATGGTGAAAGTTATTATTCACCTCAACGTTTGATTAGACCTGATGGTAATGAGCTGATCTTGTTTGGAACCGGAGGGGAAACTCATTCGGGTTCACTTTGGGTTGTTCCGATGGACAGTTTGATTCATGGAAATATGCACAAGGCTCGTCCAATTTACACTGATTGTTGTAAAGGTAAATCCATTTTTTGCCTTTTCTATTCAATTTATTAAAGTTTTGTCTATTTTTCAGGAATTATGGTTCCTCCAGTTTTGGTTGATATAAACAATGATTCAATCCTTGACATTGTCATGTCTCTATTCAATTCAACTGTAATTGCCTTCAATGGTCTTACTTTTCACATTATCTGGAAATACAATTTTCCTGGAAGTGAAACTTACAGGTAAAATTGAATCAAATTTTCAATTTAATTTTTCAATTGTTTTATCATTAAACAGCTCTCCTGCAGTCGGCTATTTCAATGATGATCGTATTCCAGACTTTTTTGTCTCTTACCAGTTTGGACCAGGATTTCCTATCTATTATTATTCTCAGGTAAATTGAAGTTTGACGAGAAAAGGATTTTTCTTCATTTCTTATTTCTCATCTGTTAAGGCGACTGTGTTGGATGGAGCAACGGGCAAACCTTTATTGTCGCAACCGATTACAATGTTGGTTGGAACTCAATCGTCTCCATTAACAATAAGCACAAACGGAGCCAATGATTGGTTCCTTTTTTGGCTGTCAACTTGTGACAATGTTAATCAATCGATAGCAAATCTGGAACCGTTCAAAGTGCTTCCAGGTAAAAATGAGTAAAAGAGGAAAATTGATTTTTATTTATCTAAATGTTGCCACTTGTTTCATTAGGAACAACTGTCCATCAAGCATCCAGAGCCGACTTTTGCTCAATCAGATTTAACTCAACTCTTTACACACAATTGATTGCATTGACTCGCAACTCATCTCATGTCGTCTATGATTCACGATTCAATAAAAAATGGGAAAAAGTTTCCCTTGATTATGCAGCAATTGGCCAACAATGGCTTCAAGATCATCAGTTTAATCAAGACAATCAAGATAATGTAAATGCAGATGATCCATACGAGACTTTGGGACAATTACCTGAAGCATCTTCAACTTCTCAGTCTCCAACTTCACCTTTCCCTTCAATATTTGATTATCCAAATGATTATCCATCTTTACCTTTCTATCAAAATAGACAGTCAATCAATGAAAACAGGTTACGTCGACATGTCGGAGTTCATGATGGCGATGGTGTTCAACGAGTAATCTCAACAGGCACATTGGCTCCATCCCTTAAACCTGGTTCAATTGATTTGATTTTCACAACTTATTGGTTTCCAGCAACAAAAGGAGTCAATCGAGTATCTAAAAGTATGCAAAACTGTTTGGATAAATATTTGACTCCAGCAACAGAGGATAAACTGAGACTTGGTCCAGAAGCTCGTTTCAAAGGTCATGATCATGATGCATACGTTGAACTGGTTGAGGAAGCATGTGCCAAATATGCTGGAATCAATCTGAGCAAAGTGAAAGACGAATACAATCCCTACAATCGACCGATGGGAGCACTTACAGTTTACCGCAAAACAATTCAATGTGCCAACACGACAGCAAGTGTTCGTTCATTCAATGAACAAATCTGGCCAAGTTACATGGGCAAACATGCAGATTCTTTGGTCAATTTCATCTCTTTAGACTGAACTCTGAAACTTTGAAAACATTTGATTTGATTTCACTTTCAATTTTCAATTTGATCTCTTTACTTTTACTCCATTGCAATAATAATTATAGCAATTGGCTTTTAATTTGATGTAATTAAATTGCTACATTATCTCAACACTCCATCCAATAATTAGCCATGATTTGAGTAAAGATTTATTCCAAGATGAGATTGTTTCCTATGAATTAAGAAACAATCAAATAATGCAAATTTAAGTTCATTGATCTACGTTAATGTAAACTTTCCCTTTTCTTATTCAGCAATCAGTGAAAAAAAGGGTTATTTTTAGATCGTTAACTTGAAAAGAACAGCAAAATGAACCTTTCACATTTGCACTGTGATCAAACGGCAATTTGACTTGAGGCTAAAATGACGGTTAAACAATCAACGGCAACATCAACAACAAAACTTCCTTCTTTGAATACAGTTTGGCAAGTTGAAAGTAAATTGACGATTTATCTTTCATGTTGATTTAGAGTTGAATGAGTTTTCTCAAGTAATAAAAGTAAAAACTGAAAAGGGAAAGTTTCAAGATGACACTAACCAGAGTTAGGATATTGACCGTAAACCAGAATCTAATTTATCTCCGAGTTAATCAATCATCAAACACGCATTTGTTTCCGAAGAGAGAGAGAGAAAAAAGGGTTTTTCTGATGCCACGCGATTGTGTTCAAGTCTGGGTTCATTGATGGTAATTAAGAGGATCCAACAGTGAATCTTGTTTTTTGTTCATGTTGTTACTCTTTATCTTGGTTAACCTTACAATCAAATTAACGGTTAAATTACCTTGGATGGTAAACTGTCAAGAAATAGAGGAAAGATGAAAAGCGAAATTGTTAACACAATAATGTTTCAAGTAAAATTATGCAGATTAATGGTTAAGGACAGTTGCTCACAGTTAGAGGTCAATGGTTTGTCCGATAATTGTTCAACAATTAGGATTACTGAGAGATGTGTGATTACATTTGGTAAAGGGTAAAAAGGATGAGAAAAGAACTTTGATTTTCGAGTTTTTCGAGTTTAGGAGGAAAAAGAACAGTAAATGTTAAACATTTGGACACAAATCAATTTAATTGTTGGATAATGGTTAATAAAGTTAACCTTCAAACATTGATAACTTTACATTGCTTAAAATAAAGGTAAATAGGAATCGATTGTTTCATGAAGCCATTTTTACGTTTCTTTTATTGTTCAATTGAACCTTCAAGTAACATTGTAAATAAATTGTCAGCATCTATTTACATTGAATCTTTGAGAAACAACAAAACGAGAAATTGATGAAATTTAAATAACAACAGATAAATAGTCATTGTAAATGTTAATTTAATTTCAATTTGGTTGGCTTTTTGTTTTAATTTAATGTTGATTTGTCAGATATTTCACCATTTTTTTTTCATTGAAAATTCAGCTTTGGGATTGTTCATTTTTCCCAGTCATAAATTTTTGCTCAACTTCGGATAAAGCCTTTTCAATGGTAACCATGAGATTGATTAGGTTAACAATAAAGTGTGATCGACCCAGTCGCGATCTTTCGTGTTTACCCTCTTTTTTGACACAACCACAGCCTCCAATGGGTCCACCACCAGCACCAAATCCGTAGATACCTTTGTAGTTGTATATGATGAGCAGGGGAATGAAAAAGGAACCAAGGGCAAAGATGATGATTGCAGGATACATGACTTTGAGAAAAGATTTTTCAAGTTGTTCCTTGTCTTCTTCTGGTTTTGCAGGAGGATACTTCGGAGGCCAGGGAACTGGAGCCGGCCATGAAGGATATTTAATACCGGTTGGAGCTTTGTATACATAAGGTTGATAAACACGTTCATCGGGAACCAAATATGGATACCGTTGAACTATCAGAGGCCTTAAACTTTCAGAATTAACTATTGGTTGGTAATTCTGTTTAACTGGTTGTTGGTCACTTTCAGCGTTTCGTGTTGTCAAATTATTATCAACAGATGAACCATTGTCACAGTAAACCCATGGAATTGTGGTCAGCAAAAATATCCACTGAAAAGGAACCATTTCTCATCATAACTTTACCCAAAAATCAGTAAAAACAAACATTAAGCAATGACATAATCTTGATATTGATGCAACTGAAATGATACCGAGAAATGAAGTTGATGAGGAAATGATGACAACCCTTCGTCTTGTCAGGTCAAATGAAACCTTCCGTTGGATTAACATTGTTACCAATCAAATTTAATGTGTCACATATTTAAAACAAAAGGTAATTAGTTTGCCGAGAAAAGATGTTGACTTTGATCCAGAAAAGGTAAGACATTGAATCTGTTGTTTGTAACAAAAATGTAAATAAATCAACAATGAAATGAAGAAGCTTTGGACACATGTTTGTTCATGTTCAGTTCCGATTTATATTTCCTCTTAACCCAAAGTCAACAACCATTTTTTCCTTGAACCAACTGAATAAGGTAACTTTTTTCATGATAACTCTCAGAAGGTGGTAAAGAGTTGTACAAGAAAACTATGTAATCTGTAATAAGGTAAAGTCAAAAGTTGCATATCATGTAATCGTTTGATATTCAAGTTGATTAAGCGTGGGTTTCAACTTCGAACTGAATAGTCCATCAAAAAATGGTTGATTGGTTAGTAACTACTAACCGTTACCAGATTTTGGGTTGCCTATTGTTTTAGTTTTAGTCAAATCTTCATGGTTCCTAATAGATGATTATTTAATTTTGACAACATCACAGGTAAAGGAAGAGTTATCTTTAAACGGTAAGTTAAATATTAATAGTTAACCTTTGATGGATTGTATTAAGATCAGGAAAAAAAACACAAACCAATCTCAAGCCAACTGTTAACTCACTTTTCCTTTTCAATCTAAATCAATCAGAATTGGAATTAGCCAAAACTGGATAAATCAAGTTAATTCCAATTAATCAAATTTAAATATTGTAATGTTGATTTCATATCTTTAATCATTCAAATTGATTGAATCTCATTCATCCATTTATTCATTTTTCTTAAACATTAAAGGCTACATCAGCATTTTGACGATTTAATCACGAAAAGCAAATATTGACTCAGTTTTATGATGAATATTTATTTATATTTGATAATGAACTTGAACGATTTTCGGTTAATGTTGAAATTTTTGGTCATTTGGAGATTGAAATGATTTAATGAGATTCAGGGATTCAGAGGAATTGCACACTTGTTTTGGTTGAAAGGGAAATTGATTTTGTTTTGATGGTGTAAAATGTGGACATTTCCAGGGGACTCGAAGTGATAAAGTTCTAGGTTTGCCCTATTTATGGTAATTACATCATGAGGCAAAATTTTCCAACTTTGAAAACAAGTTTTGAACGTAATTGAAGAACCAGTCCGTTGGTAATTCCAAGTTTAAAGTAAAAATATTTACATTCTGTAAAGTTAATCAATTGAAAGTAATAATATTTCATTAGTTTTTGGAAACTCAACAAAACCAGAATCAACTTTCCGTCAAACAGTGATTAAAAAAAGCTTCATCTTCTTATGACTCGTTGATCTTAACAAAATGTATCAAGGTTAAGCCAGTCATCAGGACTATTTATCAGGTTTATCCAGGCAAATAATCATTGAACCTCTCATCTATTCATCTATTAAATTATCTCTGGTCTTTCCCACCGATGGTCACCGTGAAGAGGGTCAAAAATCACTTTTTTTGTTCACTAAATTATTCACTTTGGTTGGCACAAAATCTGGTTACAAAATCTGGTTAAAAAACATTTTTCTGGTTACAAACATTTTCTGGTTATTTAATGGAGAAACAATAAACACTTTCAATTGAAATAATGGTCAGATCATGCAAACAAAATTGATAATATTTAGTTAATATTTAGTTGATATTTGGTTGATATTCAGTTAATATTGAGATAATGTTGAATTGCCGCTAATTGTATTTTAATGGTTGTTTTTAATCAATGGAACAGCTGAGAGCAATCCTTTGGGAAATTGTTCATTTGTTGATTGGTTCAACAAGTAGTTTTGAATGGTGACGATTGAGGGAGGCGCTGTTTGCAGACAAGAAAGGGAAATGAAATGAGGTTTTGCTTGATTGCTTTCCCCTGCCTGTCTGCCTTCTTTCGGTTTGTATAAAAAGAGAATTTACTTTTAAAATCAAGTCTTTATTTTTCAAATTGCACGTTTGATTTTAACTTTAGTGGTTTTATAGATTTATATATATATTTTTTTATTGGAATTCATCAACAAAAGTTCAACTTATGAGTAACATTGCGTCCTTCTTTACCGACAAATATCATGACGTTATGTCAGCGGCGGATCCGAGGGTGGAAAAGTGGCCGCTCATGGATTCACCTCTTCCGACGATTACCATTTGCCTATCTTATGTGTATTTTGTGAAAATTTTGGGCCCCAGGTTGATGGAGAATCGGAAACCCTTCGAAGTTAGAGGTGCTATGATTTTTTACAACTTTTTGATGGTGATTTGCAGTTCTATTCTTGTTTTCAACGGATTAAGGTACCAGTGGCTTAACGGATCATCTCTCAAGTGTGAACCTGTTGATTATTCAACAAATTATGTGCCAATGATGGTCGCCTACAACTCATATTTTTATTTTTTAACAAAATTCATCGAGTTTATGGACACCGTTTTCTTCGTAATTCGAAAGAAAAATTCTCAAATTTCTACCCTTCATGTTATCCATCATGGAATCATGCCATTCAGTGTTTGGTGGGGAGTTAAATTCGTCCCAGGTAAGTGAAAGTCACCGATTGACTCGACGATCCTTTACACCTTTGATAACATCTTTTTGACAATCTTTTCAAATTTTCTGGTGCTGTTCCCTGATTTATTATCAAGATTAGTCGGGTATAATTACCTGTATCTGTTGCGGAAGAAATTGAGTTTTCTTTAAAAAAAAGTGTTATCGATTTAAAGGTGTGAATTGATCTCAACTGATCTCTATCTACTTTGTTGATTTTTATCTAATTATGTTTCATTTTTTCTTGACAGGTGGACATGCAACTTTCTTTGGTTTCTTAAATAGTATCGTTCACATGGTGATGTACACATATTACGGATTAGCAGCAATCGGTCCACACATGAACAAGTATCTTTGGTGGAAAAAATACCTTACGGCATTCCAAATGATTCAATTTGTGATGATTGGAGCCCACTCATTCCAGCTGCTGTTCCGCGAATGCAATTTCCCGAAAATCTTTGTCCTCTGGATCGGATCACACGGTGTCCTTTTCTGGTTCCTCTTTTCAGATTTTTATAAGAAAACATATTCTCAGAAAAAGAAGGATGACGATGCCTCATGTAAAAAAAATTATTTATCTTTTTTTAGTCAAAATATTAAATGATTGACCGATTATTTGAATTTAATGTAATCAAAAAATTTGCTACAAGCTTGAAATCATGTTGAAGGAAATGATTGATTTTATTAAAATTGGCTGATGATTTACTGTTCATCAGATCGATTGATTTTATATATAAATTGCCTGATGATTTACTGTCAGATGTGTCACTGAATTATCAGATTCTGTAAATCATGTGCATTGACCAAATAAACCAGGAAAAACACATTTTTCAATTTTTCCCTAAAAATGACAACAATTTAAACCATGACTTCCATAGGCAAGTGAAACATTACGTATGTTTCATTTTTGGCCCAATTATTTCATCTTTAATTCATTCAATGATAATTATCGGTCTTTATCAAGGTAGACTTAATTTGGTTTCCAATTTTGATTTCATTTTTGCTCTCACTTTTAATGGATTTTACTTTTTCCAGTTTAAGGTCACCGGTAGCTCAATGGTTATTACCCTAAAGGTAAATTGATTTCTTTTTCTTCTCTTTCCATCAGTTATTTAATATTAAATAATTTTACGTTTTTAGCTTTAATATCTCTCTACTTCTACCATGGTCTTGAATTGCACTCGATGGACTATTTAATGGCAGCGCACAAATTGATAACTGATACAAGGAATTGTGATGCTCCAGGCAGATTGAAAATTTATCTTGACCCAGAAGGAACGCCATGAATGTCAATAAATGGGATAACTCTTTGTGTAACCAGATTGTCTCAACTTGTAACATATTTTTAAATATCATGTTAAATCGTGCATCTAATCTGATGAGATAGGTTCAACCTGAAGAAGCAGGTTTGTCAATGGATGAAAGATGTCTTCAAGCTTCAACCTTGCCAAGTTGACCATCTTTACCTTATTAGACTTCAAGGTAACCAGACCAACCTTCAACTAGAGATGAAAGTAAAATTAGGCCAAGTTAGGTTAAAGGTGAGTCCAAGTTGAGTCTGACAACATTTCATTATTCAAAATTATGGGAAAAACAAAGTCTCTTATGAATTAATTTTACCTTATCACGAGTAGACAAACAGTTTGTAGACGGTGCAAAAAGGTAAAGGTCAACATGAAAGATTGCTACAATCAACAAATTTAATTTACAATTAAAGCCTTTGGTTGTTATTTTAAAACTTAACCCAATTATTTCATTGTTGATCAACTATTATAATAGGCATTCAATATTGACTGCATTATGAGGTTTCATTTACAAAGTAATGGTAAAATTGGTTTCATTTACAATTGAGTTTTACCCATTTTTTTGTTCAACACAATTACAATGAAAGATCAATGGTCAATCTAATTACAATTATTTTCTTTTGCAATTTTCTTTTTCTCTCTTTTATCAATTAATGAATATCACTGATTTTTTAGGCACTTATATACCAACATTTATCTGGTTAATTGTTGATTGCACAAAATACTAACCAGTATTTAATTAGCTTCAATGGAACCAAGTTAAGTGAGATTGGCCATAAAAAAACTGTCAACTAAACTACAATCAGCAAACCAATCCGGACAATAATTTGATTCAGAACAATTTGATCAATTTAAAGGTCAATCCATGCGTTTGATGGCAACTAATCCATTCTGAATCAGCGGTTAATCAATAATCAAAAGTCGATCAAAAATCAAATCACAAGCAAGCAAGGTAAAGAGGAAGAAGATTAATTTGATTTCTTCGGCCTTTTTTTTCTTCTTCTCCTTCTCACCATTGATTATATCATTTAATACACAAATTGTTAACCATTTAACCAACTTTTTATTGATCTTCAATTTAATTTGAAACCTTTCTTTATTAACTTAATCATCTAAAAAATGGATTCAAAGTGTTAATCGACATTTTCACTGTTGATACAAAAGATTGGTTGTTTTTCAGAATCAGTTGATGGTTTCACTTTCATGATTTACATTTTTCAAGTGTGAAACAATCAACAATTGAAAGTTGAACATTGCAATTAACTTGAATATAATTGAAAAATGAAATGATCTTGATCTTTGATTTTTCATTTTTGGATAATCATTATTATTTAGTTTATCAATTCAACATCTAATTGTGCTTCATAATAAAGTAATTTATTAATTAAAATTAGTGGGAAATAATCGTTAATAATGCTATTTTGGTTTGAGGACAATTTAAGGCACAATTTACTTTTCCCAATCAGTCTTAATTGTGTCTTGCAGTCTAATCCTTGACATTATACCAGGTTGACTTATATTCAATAAATTGTGATAATCTGTTGATTCAATTGATTTTTTAAATTATGAGAAAACAATTCAACTCTTGTGGTCAATTAAATGCTCTTTACGTTTGGAAAAGGTTCATTGTTTAAATATTGATTTATCCATCAATAGCAATTAGTAAGAGATCGTCTTGAATTTCTGGTTTTTTTCTGGTTCTCCCATTTTGTCTCATTATATTTCTGGTATTTCATAATTTGGGTAAATAATGTTGAGTGGATTGAGCTTTACAAGTCACCTGAATTGGCGGTGATTTTGAATAAACCTTGAAAAAAAACGTTTGTTTCCTTTTGATGATACAAGTTGATTGTAAACTTGTCAATCGTTGGTTACAGCAACAAATCAAATTGTGAATCAACAATCCTATTAATACGGAAACATCATCATTAAGATCCAAATTAACGGCTTAAATAACCTTTCCTCAGGGTACATTCAAAGTTGGTCATGGGAAGGAAACGAGAAAAGGATTGAAACAACTCAACACTGATTTTTACCTTAATTCAATATTTTGATTCTTCTAATGGTCATGATCAATGGATCAATCTATTTCAGATTTCCTTTTAATTCCATGGTCAGATAGTGTCTACCCTCGGGTTAAGTAATCATTTGAGCCGTTAAGTTTTGGGTTTAGTTTAAGCTCGACAAGTTTGTCAATTTTTTCAAATAATATTTCAATCATCTGTTTACAATGATTGAAATATTATTATTACAAACAACTAACCAATAAATTTTATCATGACATTAATGAGACAATTATTAAAATTGTAAAATGAAATATTCTCAAAAGTAGAAACTAAATAAATCTGTAAATAACAATCAATTTTTCTGGTGAAAATCACTTTTTTAACACAATTCAAGTTAGATTGTAAAATCTTTAGTTGATGTCCTTTGGTTGAGTCTATTAAGTAAATTTGAATACAAAATGAACTCTAAGTGAAAGTGGTCAGAAAAATTCGTTTCGTGTTGAAAATGAAACAAATATTGTGTCAATGTTATGTTAACTTGACCTTTTGTGGTCAAAGAGAGCCATTCGTGCAAAAAAACGATTAGCAAGTGGTCAATAGATGACAGTGAATCTTGTTTCATCACAACATCTCCTGATATTAGATGAGTTGATTTGGTCACATTGGTCACAGAAATCAGTTCAGCCATTAAATTACATTTAATGTAAATTATCCTGAAGTTTCTCTCATGGAATTGTGACAAACGAATCCTTTTATTGATAAATGATCTTCTGACTCGCAATTAATTGTCATTAATTGTCGATTTTCAAAGGCATATTACTCGAAGTAATTTACTTCTATTGAAGTTTGTCAAAGAAAAACAAGTTTCCAAATTAACCAGTTTTACTCTAAGCGCCAATTTTAAATTTAAGCGGCAATTTCTGTATTTCCTGGTTAATTTACAAATTGATTGCTCCAAGTCAACCTGAGTAAATGTTAATAAACGGTTTTTACATAAATTTATCATCTAACAACACTTTTCATGCAACAATCTCATCTATTAACGTATGAATTTCATTTCAGACAAAAGATTGCACCAAAATCTGTAAAATTACGTATTAAACCAGTCCATTGGTAAAAGACAACACAGAGATCAATAACTTTCTTATTATTATACAATATGAAGAACCGGTTTTATCAAATTATTGCACCAGATTCAGCAAAAATGAATGGTTGAATAACCTGAGTCTGATATGATTTACTATACTGACCGAAGCCTTTTTCAGCCCTTTATTTTTTATCGGAAATCTGACAGTTCTGATCCTAGACTCGTCTCAGTGTATGAGATGGTTCGAGGACAAACTTGTTTATCTCTACATTTTTAATTTTCATGATACATCTGAATCATTCATAGCATATGACGTTTAACTGCTTGAAAAAATAAACTTAATACTGTTAAACCAACTTGAAGTAGTAATTAACTAGGCACTCATTAATTCAAAAAGCAAGAATAGTCTTCTGGTACCTTATTATCATCTCTGTCACATTTTAATTCGTGAATCTTATTATGTCTGAAAGACGACATCTACATCTAGAAACACAGAAAGGGATCGATGAAGTTGATAGCATGCCATGATTGAAAAGATGTTGAGAATAGAGAATGAGGAGTTCTCGATCTTAATTTAATTGATCGTTAAGAGCCGTTAGATTTGGGAATAATCAAGAAACGATGTTCAATTCGTTTCTTTCAATTGGAGATTGAAGAACAAGATTCAAATAAAGTAAAGTTGGTTCGAACATCAAAAGATGTAAGAAACAATAAATAAAGTTTCTTCGATAAACATAAATAAATGATAAAAGTTGAGACAAAATTATTAATTCAAAGATTTATTGTAGTACACAATTTTACAGAATTTAGTTTTTTACGGTTGTGTTTGTAAATAGCGCTTTGACTTAGATCACAACTTTGTTTCGCCCAATAACCAAGTTCTTTGAGGAACCAAAACTTTTTCAAATTTTGTCAGTTTTACTTTTGTTTTCCGTTCAAACAACTTGTTCTTCCACCTGTTTCCTATTCCAAGATTCATATACATATTGATATTATTTGCGTTAAAATGGAGCGACACAATGATAATTCTGATAAAAGTAAGTTTTATTTCTATTTTATCTTGAATTTGAAATAATTAACTCTTATCTTTCATTGCATTAGTTACATTCAAAGTAGAGTTTCTAGGTGAATATCATGATGTAGTAATTGATTGGAATGATGATAAATATCAACACAAAGGGACAATTATTCGACCAGGTAAGTTAAGTTTGCACGAAATGAAATACATATAATAACTCATCAAAATCTCATCACAGCTTGAATCGATAGTTGGAGTACCGCGTGAATTCAACTACGAAATTCTTCTGCAGTATCACCAGGTGGAAGATAATAGGCCATTTTATCATAACATTGACAGGCGCAGCCTTAGTGCCTCCTTGGACTCGAGTTTATCGTGTACAACGTGATATACTAATGCCTTTAGTTTCATCCGGAGTTGAACATGGAAATATAAGAGAATTAGCATTAGCCAGAATGGCTGACTAGGGAACCACATGTAGAGATATAAGAACCAGGAAAGTTGGTATCCAAGAAATCTAACACAAATGGAGGCTGGGAAACCTTCCTTTCTTATGAAGACGTTCAACAAGATATTTTAATTGGTCTTTTAAGATTAAGAAATTGTTCACCTGATACTTTCCGCCCAGAATTGAAGGGCTTTTGTTCAATTGTAAGAGAATTGCATGTTTATGGTAGTGTTGTACCTATAAGTGGAAAGGATCCAACCAATTTCAACATCAAGGATTCGGAATGCTCTTGATGGAAGAAGCTCAAAGAATTACACTCAATGAATATGGATCTACTGAGATCGCAGTTATTTCAGGCATTAATTTTACTTTGACTTTATTGCAGATTCATTTTTAATACTCAAAACTTGATATTAATTCAACATAATTTCTTTTTCTCAGGTGTTGGAACCAGAAATTATTATAAAAAACTTGGTTACTCGTTGGAAGGTGTATATATGTGCAAATCTTTAATTTAATCAAAAATTGTTATTGAATTGAGATTCACAAAATGTTTTGTGTATTTTTCATTAAAAAATTATAATGTTTAAAAAATATGTTGTTTAATAAATACTTAAAAATTAAGTATTGCTTCAATCGAGTTGATTAAATCATCTTCCTTCTTTGCTTGTTTTTTTGCAAGTTTTATCAATTCAGGATTATTCGATTCCCATGCAGAAGGAATCGTTAAACGAAGAGCATTCAGTGCCGATTCCACTTTGCAAGCATTATTGCAAATTCCTTATTCCTTATTCCTTCCACAATTTCCTTATTGATTGTCTTTTTTCTGGGTCAAATACAGTGGATCAAATTTCGTATTCCAGTTCTAGTTTTAACTCGATCTACTGTTGATGACATAAAGGTCGATGGGTTGCTGGTTTAGTCAATGAATCGGTTAATGTTGATGCAAATAAAGGTGATTTTATCTTCTAGATCATTTAATTGATCACAGCTAACTGTTCAAGAACGAAATCAAGAATAAAACAAAGTTAAATTGCGAATCTCGAAAAATCATTTTTTGTTTATTGTTAGTTTTGACAAGCACGGAAAACAATACAATATATAAAGTCAAAACATCAAATTTTTGTGTAAAAATTTTAAATAAACGGAAAGGATTCTACGGGAAATATTTCCACAGACTAATGATACGATTGCACTACATGTCTGAAAAATAGTCAGAGGTTAATCATAATTCAGGTTGCTGAGAAATTCCCGTTTAAATAGGGTAGGAGAAAAATGCAGAATCCGTATTTTGTAGCTTTGTGTTTGGGGAAAAACTTTTTGGTTATTTAGGTTGATGGTTTATTGTTGAATGAGGAATTTATGCAAAACTGTCTTTCAAGTAAGGGTGAATCCGATCAAGAAAATTATTTCTTGATTAGATAAAAAGTGTTTTCATCTAATCTAAAAACCAAGCTTTTTCGTGAAAATAGCTAAGCTTTTTAGCTATTTACCTAGCTATCTTCGATTTCTATTTAGTCCCAGTCTTTTCATATTCAAGAAAAATAGTTTCTATTGAATTTTCCCTGCTTTGACTGGGTGTTAATAGCATAAAACTGATTAATAACAAATCAAAAACTAATTAAATTAAAATTTAAACTCGGCTCAACTAAACCACGTTTTTTAATCAATGAAAGCGCAAAACACTAATCTTAATAAAAATATGAGTTCGGAAAAGTTAAAAATGTGACGTAGTAAAAACGTCACACTTTGTTCACTCTTATCTTTTTTATTCACATTTATCTCTTTTTATCTAAATAATTTTCTTGATCGGATTCACCTTAAAGAGTTTGATTAATAATTTGGTGCCTCAACTGTACTAGAGAGTGAAAAGAGACCAGACGACTTCGAAGTCAATTTCATCATCGATTGTCCATCTAAAAAATTTTTAACTCATAATTTGAGTCTTTAAATGTGGATTGAATTTATCGTACACTGTGAAAATTAATTTGCGATCAGTCATGATCGGGGCTCCACTTGTTAAATTTAAATACAAAACACAACTAGTGTAGCAAAAAAAATTTAATACACATCGCGTATCTAATATTTCCATTTTCATATCCATTTTGCCGGCCTAGACATAATATATGTAATATTCAAAAATTAAGTGTTCAAATTGAGAAAGAGAAATGGTCCAAATTATTCTCCTCTTTCTTTATTCTGTCTATTCCCCTGTCTTATTTCTTATTCTCAACAATGGTCAGAAGGGCAAAACTAACTCTTTGTTTTAATTAAAGGATTATTGAGGGGAGTTGAATTTAAGACTCCAAAGTGGTAACTTGAAAATGTCTGGAACTAGTGCTTGGTCAATTGGACCTGGTGATTATTTAATTATTAGTTTAACTTAATTTTAGTTAATTTAAATGGAATTATTGGCCACCAAATGGTTATTATTAATAAATGTTATTAAATGGCCAAAATTATTACATATATGAAAATATTTATTCGAACTACAAACCACGAGTTCATTACTATCTGTTCAGATGGTAAATTTTCTGACTCAATATGGTGGAAATATTTCAAAATTGTTTATACGTTCATTGAAATCCACGATTAGATAGACTAATCCATGGTTAGATTGATCCTTACTTATTCTCAAGCCAACTAATTGATATATTTAATAATATTTAATATAGTAAGCTACCAGATGCAATAACCGTAGACAATAATTTGGTCTCAATTTGTTTCGAAGAAACTTGCTTTTATTGTTTCTTTCATCTTTTGATAATCGTACTAACTTTTGTGCATTAATCTCTAACTGAACGAAACGAATTTAACCTAGTTTCTTCATTATTCCAAATCTAACGGCTCTTCATGAGAAAATAAATTCAGATCGAAAACTCTTCATTCTCTATTCTCAACATCTTTTCGCTCTTTCCATGATTAAATGATAAATAGAAAAGTTATCAGCAGATGGCTCCGCAGTATCTTTAAACTGTTAAGTCAATTGTATTAAGGTTATCAAAAAGTTTTGACGTTTTTATCCACTGACTTTCACTTCGATTTTGAATAATTCAGATTTATTCGATGGGCTCAATAATTTCAAGGGATACAAAAGCATCTATATTTTTGTGTTTAGGCCATTTTTTGCCTCGATCGGAGTTAATCAACTATAATTAATTAGCTAATCAAAATTATTAAGAAGAAGAAATTTGCCAAGTGCATTTGAAAGTGGCAAAACTCATTGATATTCTTAATGAAAAAATTAAAATCATATCAAAAATTCACATTGATCGAAAACTTAATGGCCATATAACTGTTAGATCATAATGTGCAAAATTTGGATTTCTAATTTTTATCATTATTAAATTTTCAAATTGAGATTTCGAAAACTCATTTTTTGACCATTTTTTATGGGATTTTCCAATAGGATTTTCATTCAAATCGCAAAATAAGTTCAAAAACCCCTTCTATGGAAATTTTATGTTAAACCAATTTTTACTTACAAGGGAAGGTGCCTAAGTGGTACGGTCCGATTCGGGAAATTTTATGATAAATCGATAGAAATGAGGGAGAAAACATGTCTGGTGAAATTTTAGGACTTGCAAATTTTCGCTTCAATTTTTATTCTAATTTAAAGTCTAATAAGGTCCATTGGAATAAGCTGAAAATGGCAAAAACAAAGACATTTCATAAAAAAGCAAACATAATCAATGTTGTTCAGAGCTTCATAATGGTAATTTTTCATAGGTGAAGTTGACTTTAAGAATTGAAAACTTGAATAAAAATTGAAGCGAAAATTTGCAAGTCCTAAAATTTCACCAGACATGTTTTTTCCCTCATTTCTATCGATTTATCATAAAATTTCCTGAATCGGACCGTACCACTTAGGCACCTTCCCTTGTTAGTCTACCAAGTCTTACACATATTAATTACTAAACACCGACATCCAATGATTGCGAATATTAATCAGAGTCGCCTTAAATTGTTGTTCAAAGGAATCAAATTATTAATCGAATGTTGAAAAATTCGATTCGACTCAATATAGCGAAATAAAATTCTGATCAAATTCAGGTCTAAACATATGTTTAACAATAAAATGTGATTTAATGCATGAGATTTGAAATGTTTCTTTGATTACCTTTCATTAGTAAATTAGTTCAATGAAACCTTTTTACAAAATCAATGGTTATCGATTACGACCAATGAAGCCAATCATGTCAACACCAACAACAACAATCAATATTCTTGATGAAGAAGATGAAGAGTTGGATGAGAATGATGATGATGAATTTGATAATGATGGTGAAGATGTTGATGAAGAAAATGTTTTACTATTTGATGATGTTGCCAATAACAATCGAGAAAAGAAAAGTTATCCAAAAAAATCATCCCTCAAATCGGCATATGATCGTCGTCGAGTGAACCATCAAGTCCGAAATTTATCATTAGACGATGATGATGCTTCAATGACAATTGGTAAAATTAAGATAATTAAACCAATTGGACGTGAGAAACGTTCTCGACTCAAAGTGTGTTCTTGTGCTATTCTGTTTATCCTCTTAATCAGTTGCCTTGTTTACCTGATTTACAGTAAAAAATTTACTCTTTTAACTCAACTTTTGATAAAATCACCTTTATTTGCATCAACATTAACCGATTCATTGACTAAACCAGCAACCCATCGACCTTTATGTCATCAACAGTAGATCGAGTTAAAACTAGAACTGGAATACGAAATTTGATCCACTGTATTTGACCCAGAAAAAAGACAATCAATAAGGAAATTGTGGAAGGAATAAGGAATAAGGAATTTGCAATAATGCTTGCAAAGTGGAATCGGCACTGAATGCTCTTCGTTTAACGATTCCTTCTGCATGGGAATCGAATAATCCTGAATTGATAAAACTTGCAAAAAAACAAGCAAAGAAGGAAGATGATTTAATCAACTCGATTGAAGCAATACTTAATTTTTAAGTATTTATTAAACAACATATTTTTTAAACATTATAATTTTTTAATGAAAAATACACAAAACATTTTGTGAATCTCAATTCAATAACAATTTTTGATTAAATTAAAGATTTGCACATATATACACCTTCCAACGAGTAACCAAGTTTTTTATAATAATTTCTGGTTCCAACACCTGAGAAAAAGAAATTATGTTGAATTAATATCAAGTTTTGAGTATTAAAAATGAATCTGCAATAAAGTCAAAGTAAAATTAATGCCTGAAATAACTGCGATCTCAGTAGATCCATATTCATTGAGTGTAATTCTTTGAGCTTCTTCCATCAAGAGCATTCCGAATCCTTGATGTTGAAATTGGTTGGATCCTTTCCACTTATAGGTACAACACTACCATAAACATGCAATTCTCTTACAATTGAACAAAAGCCCTTCAATTCTGGGCGGAAAGTATCAGGTGAACAATTTCTTAATCTTAAAAGACCAATTAAAATATCTTGTTGAACGTCTTCATAAGAAAGGAAGGTTTCCCAGCCTCCATTTGTGTTAGATTTCTTGGATACCAACTTTCCTGGTTCTTATATCTCTACATGTGGTTCCCTAGTCAGCCATTCTGGCTAATGCTAATTCTCTTATATTTCCATGTTCAACTCCGGATGAAACTAAAGGCATTAGTATATCACGTTGTACACGATAAACTCGAGTCCAAGGAGGCACTAAGGCTAATATCTGAGCCAGAAAATCTACTAAGACACTAGGAGGATAACTTCGATAACGACCAGTCCCATAGTTCATAGAGCCCTGTACCTCTAATCACTAAAGTTGGGTAAATTTTCAATCCATCTACTCGAAAATCTGGATTTTCAAAGAATTCAACAAACTGCTCTAGATCACGTTTTAAATCAGCATTTGGTAAGTTTGGCATCATATGAGCTACAACTTTAAAACCGCAATCTTTAGCGAATTGAAAAGTTTCGATAACATCTTTTCAGTTTCTTTCTCTAACATGTCACTTAGATGACGATTGAGACAGTAATCTGGTCTTGTTTCTATAGTTATTTCAATGCACTTTGTCCGAGATTTTTCACTAAATTTAACTGCTTCAGAAACTGAAGAGCTCGTATGTCCAGATAGTGCATCATGCAAATTTCTGATGAAATAATCACGATACTCTTCAGGTAAAGACATGAATGTTCCTCCCATAACGATGAATTCCACTTTATCAATTTTCCAATCCAGATAATTATCTCCATTTTCAAAATGTCGCAGAATGGAAACTGAAACGAGCGATTTCGGGAATTCTTCCTTCGTAATCGGAGCAAATCGACTATCTTTGAAAGCACTAGATGAATATTATGTAAATATAAGATGTTAGATATTGAAGGCATTGACTAACATGACCTAGTTGCATTTGTTACTGCATACTCACGAAGTCCAAGTTGAAGGTTCATTGCGTTGAAGGTACCAATACAGTCTCTTATTTTTTATCTTCTCCAATTTCCCAAGTAACAAAAGGGGACTGAGAGAGTTGAAACGATGATTGAATCATGAGATAAATGGGTTGAAGTCGCTCAATTATTGATACTTACTAAGACTAGCTAGGGAATAGTGGTGATTTTGGGGGTTAAGTTGGGTGAACATGAGAAAAAGGACGTTGGAACAAAATCTGAAGCATGGCATCAAGGCGAATTCCTACTGGGAACTACACCTAAACGATTTACTGCATTTGCCAAACCTCCGTTAAAATTAGTATTTCCTTGTGTTGAAGATGTCAGAAATAGTTTAGAAGGTTATAAAGCAGGAGGTTCATTGCCTTACAGTGATTCAACTCATCAGAAACAATTGTATCTAACAAAATTTCTTCATCGATGGAAAAGTGATAAAAAAGGAAGAACTCGTGCCTCGCCACACATTAAATCATATTTCAGAGTTTCTCCTGACATGAAACAAATTCACTATGCAGTTCTAACTAGCGCAAATCTCTCTAAAGCAGCCTGGGGTGGTTTAGAGAAACAATCTTCTCAACTTTGCATACGATCTTATGAACTTGGAGTCCTATTTCTACCAAAGATTTTTGTAAGTATAGTTGTTTAATATTTGGAAGATAAATATTTGAAAACTCCCTTACTCTTTCTAATGATATTTTTGATATTTTTATTGATTTCAGGGACAACAAGATACCTTTGTTGTTTCAGACGGTCTGGTAGTGATCGGTGACGGAGAAAAAGATCCTATTTCATTCCCATTGCCTTTTGATTTACCTCTAACTCGTTATGGAGATAAGGTAAAAATTTTTTGTAGTTTCTTTTTGCAGAGATTAATATTTTAGATTTACATTTTTTGTTTAGATCAACCATGGAGATGGGATGTTTGTTATAAAAGTATTCCAGATTCTCATGGAGATGTGTGGATTCCTTCTTGAAGAAAACTTGAAGAGAAAAATGAATTTTAAAAGATTAAGAAAAACTAAAAATTATTTTTGTAATGAAGGAAAGAAAACTGATATAAAATTTTATTGAAAGAAATAAAATATTCGAGAAAAAGTTACTATCTTGCATTGCTGACAAAGATTATTGAAACTGATGCTATGTTATCATTAGGAATAAATTGAGGCTTTGCAGAGGCAATGAAGCTATAATTGATGATCTGAAAAATAATGAAAAAAGGAAATTAATTATATTTAAAAGCAAATCCATAGTTTAATTTTAATCCATCTTACCGTTAACTAAATTAATCATCATTGTTATATTCAGTCCTCAGACGTATAACTTCACCAAATATCTCAATAAGAAGAAATTTCTGCGTATTTTTATGACTGAGAACTAGACCCACTACATCTTGCTTCGTAAATACCCGTTGGTCTTCGCCCATGAAATGATAAAAAATTCGAGGACAATTTGCATGGTCAGGGATTCCCGCCGCTTGTTTAACTGCGTTTTTGAATTCTGACAATACAGATGGTGACCGAAGGTCAGATGTTGTAAAAGTGAAAGGAAAGTTGGGTGGCATCACACCAAAAAAAAGCGCCGTCAGATGTACTCTGTAAAAAAAGAGTAACGTTTTATGAAAAATCAATAAATTGCACAAAGTTGATGATGCACAACATTCACGCATATCACAAAACACACATAAGAAAGGCAAATGGTGATCGTCGGAAGAGGTGAATACATGAGCGGCCACTTTTGCGCCCTCGATCTGCCACTGACATAACGTCATGATATTTGTCGGTAAAGAAGGACGCAATGTTACTCATGAGATGAACTTTTGTTGATGAATTCCAATAAAAAAATATATATATATATACAAGTATAAAATCACTAAAGTAAAAAAGAGGATTAAACTTACCATACTGAATTTTTTAACTGTTAAGTTCACTAAATGTATATCAATATAACTCTAGAGGCGGAATGATTGCTTCTGTAGATATTTTTCTTCTGTTCCAACGTCCTTTTTCTCATGTTCACCCAACTTAACCCCCAAAATCACCACTATTCCCTAGCTAGTCTTAGTAAGTATCAATAATTGAGCGACTTCAACCCATTTATCTCATGATTCAATCATCGTTTCAACTCTCTCAGTCCCCTTTTGTTACTTGGGAAATTGGAGAAGATAAAAAATAAGAGACTGTATTGGTACCTTCAACGCAATGAACCTTCAACTTGGACTTCGTGAGTATGCAGTAACAAATGCAACTAGGTCATGTTAGTCAATGCCTTCAATATCTAACATCTTATATTTACATAATATTCATCTAGTGCTTTCAAAGATAGTCGATTTGCTCCGATTACGAAGGAAGAATTCCCGAAATCGCTCGTTTCAGTTTCCATTCTGCGACATTTTGAAAATGGAGATAATTATCTGGATTGGAAAATTGATAAAGTGGAATTCATCGTTATGGGAGGAACATTCATGTCTTTACCTGAAGAGTATCGTGATTATTTCATCAGAAATTTGCATGATGCACTATCTGGACATACGAGCTCTTCAGTTTCTGAAGCAGTTAAATTTAGTGAAAAATCTCGGACAAAGTGCATTGAAATAACTATAGAAACAAGACCAGATTACTGTCTCAATCGTCATCTAAGTGACATGTTAGAGAAAGAAACTGAAAAGATGTTATCGAAACTTTTCAATTCGCTAAAGATTGCGGTTTTAAAGTTGTAGCTCATATGATGCCAAACTTACCAAATGCTGATTTAAAACGTGATCTAGAGCAGTTTGTTGAATTCTTTGAAAATCCAGATTTTCGAGTAGATGGATTGAAAATTTACCCAACTTTAGTGATTAGAGGTACAGGGCTCTATGAACTATGGGACTGGTCGTTATCGAAGTTATCCTCCTAGTGTCTTAGTAGATTTTCTGGCTCAGATATTAGCCTTAGTGCCTCCTTGGACTCGAGTTTATCGTGTACAACGTGATATACTAATGCCTTTAGTTTCATCCGGAGTTGAACATGGAAATATAAGAGAATTAGCATTAGCCAGAATGGCTGACTAGGGAACCACATGTAGAGATATAAGAACCAGGAAAGTTGGTATCCAAGAAATCTAACACAAATGGAGGCTGGGAAACCTTCCTTTCTTATGAAGACGTTCAACAAGATATTTTAATTGGTCTTTTAAGATTAAGAAATTGTTCACCTGATACTTTCCGCCCAGAATTGAAGGGCTTTTGTTCAATTGTAAGAGAATTGCATGTTTATGGTAGTGTTGTACCTATAAGTGGAAAGGATCCAACCAATTTCAACATCAAGGATTCGGAATGCTCTTGATGGAAGAAGCTCAAAGAATTACACTCAATGAATATGGATCTACTGAGATCGCAGTTATTTCAGGCATTAATTTTACTTTGACTTTATTGCAGATTCATTTTTAATACTCAAAACTTGATATTAATTCAACATAATTTCTTTTTCTCAGGTGTTGGAACCAGAAATTATTATAAAAAACTTGGTTACTCGTTGGAAGGTGTATATATGTGCAAATCTTTAATTTAATCAAAAATTGTTATTGAATTGAGATTCACAAAATGTTTTGTGTATTTTTCATTAAAAAATTATAATGTTTAAAAAATATGTTGTTTAATAAATACTTAAAAATTAAGTATTGCTTCAATCGAGTTGATTAAATCATCTTCATCCTTTGCTATTATTCATTATTACCTAGTTGCTGAAAGTTCGGTGCCACAAGGAGAATGCTGTCATCATTTCTGTCAATATAAAAATACTAAAACTGTTTTCAACAAGGTGAAGGATATATTCAATAATGATCAATTGAATGCAAAAGTCATGTCTTCCAACTAACCATTGACAAATATTTAACTGGATGAGATTCTTAGACAATTCAATGTCCTACAATATTTCTTGCCTATGTGTCATGAAAGATATTGGCGACAGTCAGACGATCAGATATGCCTTTACTCGAGGACACGCGGCTGATTGGACAAGAAAAAGAAGAGTCTTTTCAATAAACTTAAATAAATGTAGAAATAAAATGATAAAAGTCGAAAAAATATGATTTTTTATTCCTTGATATCATTGCATTCAGATTTACATGTACTTTTCCATTGAATTTCTTTGAAAAGAGCGCTTTTGCTTGAGTCGAAACTTGTTTTGCCCAATAACCTAGTTCTTTGTGAGGAACCAAAAATTTGTCAGTTTTACTTTTGTTTTCCGTTGAAACAACTTGTTCTTCCACCTATTTCCTATTCCAAGATTCATATTCATATTGATATTATTTGTTTAAAATGGAGCGACAGAATGACAATTCTGATAAAAGTAAGTTTTATTTATATTTTGCCTGGAATTTGAAGTAACTCATAGCCTTTCATTTCATTAGCTACATTCAAAGTGAAGCATTTAGGTAAATATCACGACGTGGTCATTGATTGGAATGATGATAAATTTTCATACAAACCGCTACAATTATACGAACAGGTAAGTTAGGTTGGCAATTTATTGACAACGAATAACTTATTCCTATTTTGTTTTTGTGAATTTGTAGTTTGAATCAATAACTGGAATACCAAGCAGATATAATAACGAAATATTTCTATATCACCCATTTACAGAGCAGTTAGACTATTATGACATTTACTGGAGTGTCGAGTAATTAATCATTTTCATCACTAATCGAAACAATATTAACTTTTTCATCTACATTGCCTACTTTTCAATTCTTTCATAGGTATCCTGAGCGCAATGGCCCCAGTAAGGGTGAAATCTGCGATGCAATAAGTTTTGCTGAAGGAAGTTTTCATCTCGTTTGTGAAGCTACTTTCAGCATGCAACATTTTTGTATTTGGTTTACCCTGATACCTGAACGAGTAGTTCCAGAAGGAGGATGCAGACATGATTTTTGTCGATATAAAGCTAGCAAAAGTTTCTTCAACAAATTAAAAGATATCGTCAATAACGATCAATTGCATGCGAAAATTGCGTCTCTCGTCGCGCCATCAAGGGATTCAAGCGAGATTTGCAGACGATTCAATGTTTATCAATATTTTAGATCTATTTGTAATGCTCGTTACTGGGAATATGCAAATGAAGGGATAAGACGCGTATTTGTTGATATGAACCTTTATATGAGAACTCGTGGTTAACATTCATCAATTCATTTTTTCATTTTTCATAACCTGAGTCTGAGATGATTTACTATGCTGACCGAAGCCCTTTTCAGTCCTTTATTTTTCATCGGAGATCGGACATTTCTGATTCTAGCCTTGTCTCAGTGTATGAGATGGTTCGAGGACAAACTTGTTTATCTCTACATTTTTCATGGTCATGATACATCTGAATCATTCATAGCATATGATGTTTAACTGCTTGAAAAAATAAACTTAATACTGTTAAACCAACTTGAAGTAGTAATTAACTAGACACTCATTAATTCAAAAAGCAAGGCCAGTCTGCTGGTTCCTTCTTATTATCTTTGTCACAATTTTATACTATTTTCACTGTCAAACTCATAACAATAAGGTTTATCTAAATCACATTGCAATTTCATCACAGACTTTTATCGAGATTTGCGGTTGCTATAGTAATATTGAGATAACATGTACATGTATTTTTGTTAGACAGGTCATAATGTGTAAACCAGATTTGCCTCATCTTTCAGTTTTTCACAACTTGGTCTAATCTTAAACAATAAGTTTATTCATAATAATTTGAACCATTGGATTATTTATAATTGTTGATTGTGTGTTACAGTTTTATTCAAATCTTGTATTTGGGAGTTATTGCTTTTTCAAATTTCAGTTACCAAGGCCATAACCAATCACAATCTCACTCCCATTCTTTGTTTCTTTGTCTCCTTCTGGATTCATCTTCATCTTTGCAAATTGCAAACTTTGTTTTTTTTGTTGATATTTTGGTTCTAATTTAATTAATTTGCAACTTCATTGTGTCGATAATCACCTTTATTTTGATTTGTGAATCTTATTATGTCTGAAGGAGCCGATGTTATCGAAACATGTGAGTAATTTTTTAATATTTTAGCCGCTTCTCAAGATCGATGTCTTCCAGAGCTTTTATTGTTTGTTTTTGTGTATTAATCTATTTCAAAATTTATCTTCTTCCTATTCTTACAGGCAAACCAAGCTGTTTTCCGAAAATTATAGATGAAGAAACACAGAAAGCAATCGATGAAGTTGATAGCAATTTCCTTCGGTATGTAATATAACGTTGTCATATTTCATTATTTATAATCTCTTTGTTTTTTAACTTAATTTTTCTGTTTTTATTCTCTTTTCAAGAATCTCTTTATTTAAGCAGAAAAATTCTGCACTCTTGAGTGATCCTGGAGATGAATATTTGATGAGCCATAAACGACGAGGAAAATGTGTCATTTTTAACCACCGATATTTCGATGAAAAGTCTCTCAATGAGAGAAAAGGGACTGAAATCGATGCTCATGCATTGAGGAAATGTTTCAATGAATATGGTTTTGATGTAAAAACTTACGATGATCTTACCGTTGCTGAACTTATTACTATGTTGAAAGCTCGTAAGTTTAACTCTCTTCCGATCTTTAAATCAATTGTTTCTTCTCTTTTTAATTCCACCTTTTCTTCTGCTTTTTTTAATTCTGCAGTCTCTAAAGAGGACCACTCGGATGCTGATTGCTTCGCCTGTTGTATAATGACACATGGTGATCAAGCAAATTTGTGGGCAAGAAATGATAAATATCCAATTGATCTGCTTTTCACACATTTCACTGCCGATAATTGCCCAACACTCGCTGGAAAACCAAAACTTTTCTTTGTCCAGGTGAGCTTGAATAATTTTTTTTCAGTTTTTTATTACACATTTTACTCATTTTCATTTCAATTTGGTTATTTCTAGGCATGTCGAGGAGACAAATTAGACCCGGGAGTTATTTTGAAAATTGGTGGCGATGAAACGGATAGTGCTCGTTATTATACAATACCTACTTGGGCTGATTTCTTAATTGCTTACTCCACGGTTCCTGGCTACTATTCGTGGCGCAACACTCGAGATGGATCTTGGTTCATGCAATCACTTGCTGAAGTAATGTTAATGCATGGTAACGATTTATCTTTTCTCGATATCATGACAAAAGTTAATCGTAAGGTTGCATATGATTATACTTCATCAATGACTAATGACAAGAAATTCGATAAACAGAAACAAGCCCCTTCAACTGTTCACATGTTGACTCGAAGACTTGTTCTTAGATCTAAGAAAACTAAAAGTGAGGTCCGAGTAGCTGCATCTAATAGTGTCAAAGATACAAACCAAGTCATCGAGAATATCAACAAGCAAATGGTATCAACTGTAATTGTTTCGAACAGCAGTTCCACAACAACTGCAGTATCAACAAGAGTCATGAACACTGCAGAAGTACAGCAAATTCAAACTAACGCCATAACTCAACAAGTTACAAAAGACGTAAAGATTTAACACCAGTTTTTATTGCAAGCTCAAATTTTTAGATGAATTCAAAAATTCTGTTTCAAGCATCACCACCTTTAATCTCAATTCAAATTCAATTCTATGCATTATTTTTGTTTCAAAAAAAACTCGATTCTCTCTATATCTCTCTGCCTTTTCTGTCTCTGGTGGTTCAATCTATTTTATACTTTTTTATTAGTCTACAGCTCTAAATTTCAAGTTTAATTTTGAATTTCTGATAAATTGCTTTTTAATTTTATTGTACTATTTATTAAAAATTCTCACTAATATAATCTAATGTAGAATGACCTTGAATTTTATTTTGAGCTGAAAGATCAACATGGACCTCGTTCTTCATCTCGGCGAAGTAAACAAAACTTGAATTTTTCTATGGTTAGATCATCAAATAATAGTCTAATAGATTATTGAGCTTCCAGCTATGGGGATAATTTTGTGTATCAACATTCACTCATTTCCCCTAACACTGTTTACTTAACTACATCCATATTTTAATTAGTCATAATTTAATACATTCAGCAGACTGAATAAAAAAAGGAAACCGATGGAGAGCATCTACAACCTAACATTTATGTAGTCTACAAGTCATTAGTACATTTTTAAAAATGCTTCTTGCATTAAATCATAACTAGTCCAAAAGAATCATATTTATAAATAGAAGATAGTTTAATTTGACACCAAGAATTATTTATATTAATAAAACATCATTGCCTATTTGATTTTAATAAGGTAACAAATTTGTTTATAAATCGCGCTGAAATAACTGTTGGGTGGGAATAAAACCTTCAAAATGCAAACAAAGAAAATCTAACAGTTTACATTTCAGTTTACCTTCTTACTTCTGTTTATTGTAGTTCTATGATCGTTTTAACTACGGTTATTAGCAGATTAGATCACTAATAGCTGAGTTTCCAGGTAGATTTAAAGGAAAATGTCGCAGCAAACAGCAAGATATGGTGAACAGGCATACAATCAACAATGTAACTGCCATAATATGAATTCCATAAATCTGTGTCAATGTTCACCGAATCCGTCAAGTTCACGGAGTGTATCTCGATACAACTCCAGAGGTGGAATGATTGCTTCAGTAGATATGTGTTTCTTTTGTTTTGACGTCCTTTTCTCTCATCTTCACTCCACTGAGCCACCTAAATCACCACCATTCCCTAGCGAATCTTAGTAAGTATATAATTGAGCAACTCTAGCCCATTTATCTTATGATTTCATGATTTCATCACCATTCCATCTCTCTCTTTCTCTCACTCTCTCAGTCCCCTTTTTGTTACCTGGAAAATTGGAGAAGATAAAAAATTAAGAGGATGTATTGGTACCTTCAATGCAATGAACCTTCAACTTGGACTTCGTGAGTATGCAGTAACAAGGTATGTATTTAAATGCAACTAGGTCATGTCTTCAATATCTAACATCTTATGTTTACATAATATTCATCTAGTGCTTTCAAAGACAGTCGATTTGCTCCGATTACGAAGGAAGAATTCCCAAAATTGCACGTTTCAGTTTCCATTCTGCGACATTTTGAAGATGGAGATAATTATCTGGATTGGGAAATTGGAATCCACGGGATAAGGATAGAATTTTATACTGAAAAGGGCTATCGAAGAACTGCCACCTTTCTACCTGAAATAGCCCCGGAGCAAGGTTGCAAAATGAGTTTAACCTATTTTTCATTTCTTTCACATCTGTCAAACCATGCTATCATTTCAATTTTTAATGATTCAATGCAATTTTCATTTCTATCGACAGGGTGGGATAGATGTCAAACTATCGATTCTTTGCTACGTAAAGGTGGATTTAAAGGGCCTATATCTCCGAACGTTCGTTCGTCTATCAAATTGACTCGCTATCAAAGTGAAAAAATTACTGTTAGTTATCAAGAATACAAAGACTTTGCACGCACAAAATGTTCCTGATTGTGGAATTTAGTTAACGGTAAGATGGATTAAAATTAAACTATGGATATGCTTTTAAATATAATTTATTTTCTTTTTCTCTACTTTTCAGATCATCAATTATAGCTTCATTGCCTCTGCAAAGCCTCAATTTATTCCTAATTAATGATAATCTAGCATCAGTTTCAATAATCTTTGTCAGCGATGCAAGATAGTAACTTTTTCTCGAATATTTTATTTCTTTCAATAAAATTTTATATCAGTTTTCTTTCCTTCATTACAAAAATAATTTTTAGTTTTTCTTAATCTTTTAAAATTCATTTTTCTCTTCAAGTTTTCTTCAAGAAGGAATCCACACATCTCCATGAGAATCTGGAATACTTTTATAACAAACATCCCATCTCCATGGTTGATCTAAACAAAAAAAATATAAATCTATAATATTAATCTATGCAAAAAGAAACTACAAAAAATTTTTACCTTCATCTCCATAACGAGTTAGAGGTAAATCAAAAGGCACTGGGAATGAAATAGGATCTTTTTCTCCGTCACCGTCCACTACCAGACCGTCTGAAACAACAAAGGTATCTTGTTGTCCCTGAAATCAATAAAAATATCAAAAATATCATTAGAAAGAGTAAGGGAGTTTTCAAATATTTATCTTCCAAATATTAAACAACTATACTTACAAAAATCTTTGGTAGAAATAGGACTCCCAGTTCATAAGATCGTATGCAAAGTTGAGAAGATTGTTTCTCTAAACCACCCCAGGCTGCTTTAGAGAGATTTGCGCTAGTTAGAACTGCATAGTGAATTTGTTTCATGTCAGGAGAAACTCTGAAATATGATTTAATGTGTGGTGAGGCACGAGTTCTTCCTTTTTTATCACTTTTCCATCGATGAAGAAATTTTGTTAGATACAATTGTTTCTGATGAGTTGAATCACTGTAAGGTAATGAACCTCCTGCTTTATAACCTTCTAAACTATTTCTGACATCCTCCACACAAGGAAAAACTAATTTTAATGGAGGTTTGGTAAATGCAGTAAATCGTTTGGGTGTAGTTCCCAGGCTCTGTAGGAATTCGCCTTGAAGCCATGCTTCAGATTTCGCTCCAAGTGAGCCAATACTGGAAAATTGACCAATTACTGGCCAATTAGCTTGAACGTTTTCACAAGTTGCATGATTTGATGATAAAATTTTTCTTAATTTCATATGCCCAAATTTATGCAAATCAGCGCCAGTATGCCGTCCTGAAATAAAGTATGAATTAGTGATTAGAGCAAAGTTTCATGAGTCACATGCAAAGAGGGTTACTCTTTTGTCAGATATCAAGAATAAACTTACCAGGAGTTGATCCAATGATGAACACTTTGGCTTCTGACATATCATATTTCTTCAATAACTCACACCAATGATCAACGGCTTTGCTCTTATATGATCTTAAATATAAAATTAAATCCGTCTGAAACTTAGTTGGAGACTTGTCTCTTGGTTCCTCATCTTCTTTAAAAAGAGGAAATAGTGGTGACAACCAAACTCCTTGAGTTTTCTCTCGCCAATCTTGTTCAATCAGATTTGCTGTATGAATTACAACTCGAAGAGTATCTTCGTATCGCAGTAGCATCATTTTAGTGTGATGTGTTCCAAATGCATCATTTAATCTGGCTTTGGCTAAATCAATATTTCCATAAGGAGCTGTTTCAGCTTCTAATTGAGCTGTAGTTTCTCTTTTATCCTGGTGAACTAAAAGCATTGGTAAATGACGAAAACACGGTGGATACTTGTCGATAAGCCATTCGACCTCAAACATGTAATTAAATTGAGCTGACTCTTGGAGCTGTCCCCATTTACTTGATAATATTTCAATAATACCAATAGAACAAAAATTATTGACACTTTCATCCATTCCTTTAACTTTGGTAAGATACATATTAAGAGGATTGCTTTGAATTCTTGCGGTCTTGGTGATTGGTGATTTTGATAAACTGTTAGATGAGCTTGTTGAGTCCGATCTTTTTCTTTTGTTTAAATGAATCTCATCTTTTGCACAATTTTGATCTTCAATAATTTCCGGAGTGGCATCTTCATTAATACAAGGAGTACAAGGTTTCTTTGATTCATCACTATCCATAACGGCTTCTTCTAACCAAGGATGACTGAATTCTTGGAAATGTGATGGATTTTTTCGGTAACAAGCTGGACCGTATTTACACTCCTCAAGAGGCATCTCGATTACACAATAAATACTGAAATAATAAAAGATTTAAAAGATGAAAAGTTCAAAAACAGGAAACAATTGTAAGCATAAGAGCATTTGTTTACAAAAATGTTTTCCCAAACAGCTGTTTCTAGTTGCATCTAGGCGGGAAATGATTCAATAATGACTCAACCCAAAAATCACCATAAATAGTCATGGAACCAGCAGAATTGTTTTGATTTTCACTATTTCGATGATAAATTCAATCAAAAAATGTTTGATATTATTTTAAACACTGTTAATTAAGTTGATATTTGAACAAAATTCGAATGAAATTAAATCTTAGTTATCTTTTTCCTCGCTAGATGGCGAATGAAGTAATCTCGAAAGTGTTGACACAACTGTTAACTTAACAGTGTTTACAAGTGAACTTATCTTTTCTGATTATGTAATGCATTGATTTGGAACTTGATCTAATTTTTTCACGATTAACATTTTATCGATACTTAAATTAAATAATTGATGACAGAGGATACTCTACGTTTAATCAGCTATTGGAGGGACATAATGAGCAAAGAACCAAGGTAATTAAGCAACGTTTTTCATTTTACAATTATTTTTCCTTTTCATCCTGTAACCTGTATCCTGTAATCTTGAAACTGTATTAAGAAATGACCTGATTTATCTAATACAAATCATCTATTTTCTTTTCTTTTTTTTCAAACCAGATTAATCACGACCTCAACAGATTTTTCTCATGTGACTATGATGATTGTATTAACATTATGCCGTAGACTTACTATTGGAGTCAATATAAGGAAAAGACTAATTTTTTATTTGGTGATGATTGTTGTTGGTGGTCTCCTTGGTGATTATTTACCTAATTTTGTATCCACAATAGTCCCATTTCAATCAAATAAGAAGGGAATTCTTAATCAATGGTTTGTCAAAATTGGCTGGTTTTGGACAATTGTACTTCTGGGCCCTTTCATTCACATGACTAGTCAGATCTCAGCAGCTAGTGATGCACCACATAAATCTGAAGTCCATCAAAGATCTTTAAGAGATGATACTTCACCATCATCTAGATCCTCACATTTAAAAAATTATCGTGATTGTAATTCGTCGCTCATAATCAAGTTATGGCTAACTTTAAGTAACAAAGATCTGCTGCGTTTGTGGATAAATACTCTTTTCTGGTATATTTCAACTAGTGCCTTTACTTGGTTTGAAAATGCAACAACCTCTTGCACATCTTCTGATTTTACAACAGAAGATGCTTGTGCTAAAAGTGGCCACAAATGGATTGGTTTTGATATTAGCGGTCACACATTTATATTGCTTTTCTCCTTGCTAGTTATAATGGAAGAGTGTTCCGTGATGAAGGGTTGGGAGCCTTTTGGCGAAAGATTATTCATCGCGCAGCAAAATCGGCAAAAAACAATGAGACAAGATTATCCTCAGCATTTAATTTACGCCAAATACAAAATCTTTATACGATGTTTTTTTCTCGCACTAACCGCTCTCACCTTGATCTGGAATTTCATGCTTTTTCAGACTATATTGTTTTATCATACAACTTTACAAAAGATAATTGCTTACTTTTGGGCTGTTGGTTTATGGTTTTTTGGTTACAAATTGTTATATAAATCTAAATATTTTTCATCAGTATTTAAAGTTGAAAATCTGCCTCATATCAAAGAATAAATAACTTTTACAATCGATTCCTATTCTTTCTTTATCATTATTGTCACCATTGTTAACTGACTCACAGCTCAATTAGTAAAGTGATTTTCACCAATCAATGGTAACGAAAGAAACAATAAAAGTTATGATTGATTAAAAGGTGGCTATTATAATTGTTATTTTGAAAGTTCAATAATAGTAATAATACAATGAATTTGTTGATTGGATGTTGATAAAGAAGAAGAAGAGATGAAACAAATTTTATCACAATGCAGTAAAAAATAGGAAAACGGACGAGATAACTTGATTGTGAGTGATGTAAATTGAACGTAATAAATCAACGAATCAGTCGATCATCACCACGTCTTCGTTTTAAAATGTAAACAACCAAGAAACCAGTGGTAGCAACCATACCAATAACACCGATTGCGATTCCCCACACAGATCCTTTCTTTAGTCCAGTTCTAGAGGCCTTTTCAGGCTGTTTTGGAGCTGGAGTTTCAGGTTCTTTCTTTTCATTTGGTTTCTCTGTTGTTTCATTAGGTTTTTTCGATTCCTCTGTAGTTGAATCTTTTGGTGGATCATTACTGCCAGGTTTTGCATCTTCTTTATTTTCTTCTTTCTTATCCTCTGGCTTTGGGTCCGGATTGGGCTTTTGCTTATCATCAGGGGTTTGCTCGCTTTCTTTCGACTCATCAGGTTTCGTTGGTGTTTCGGGTGGACTTGGTAATGTTTGAACTTCAACCTCAAACGCTGGAGGAAGGGCCATTGTTGTGGTAGAGTTGTCTTCATTCGTTAATTCTCCTTCCTCTATACCAGAAGCTTTTTCTGGATCTGTAGATTTCAAGTCTCCAAGTGTTGAATCATTACTGGCATTTTCTGAATTGGTAATGGACGATAAAATGAGTAGAAGAAAAACAATTTTAAAATACATGATTGATGAAACAATATTCACTGGACACTTTTTTATTCAGGTGTAGTTACTTGAATCGATAATAACTTGTGAATGCAACTGTCTTCTTTTGACTGTTTATCATGAAACAGTGAAATTTTATCTCACTCTGAGTGATTCATTTTGCGTCAATAATTCATCCATTTTCACTTGGAACAGAGTCTAGAGATAACAAAATAATGTTGAAGAAAGCAAACGTTTTTGTTCTTGATCATGATAATCACTATTGGTGTTGATGATAACCTTTCTTTTACTATTTCAATTTCATTTATCAGTTATAAGAATGGAAAGAAGAAAAACATTATTTATAGAGAAAGTGCCTATCACGAGCCCGTTATAATACAAATATAAGTGTGATTACTATCAAATCAATACTTTGAGTTTCTTTATGTTAATGCTTTAATTGCTTATCAATGAGCATAGTTCACTAATTCAACTGACATATTGAAAGGGTAAAACAGTGTAATTAATTGGTATTAACTCAATCAAGGATAAACCTTGATCGTTTCTCACAATTGCCAATCTTGATGTTTATTTGATTACAATTTCTTCTTTTTTTCTGCAAATTCATCATCAACTGAAACGATTAATTGTAACCAACTAGCAGCTAATTAGAAAAAAATGTTGACAAATATGCAATTGTTAATGAACACACAGTAACAGCAATTGAAAACAATCTGATGAATGCAAAATACTTTTTAGAAGGTTAATCAGAGTTGGAGAAAAGTAATAAACTTGAAAGATTATTTTGAATTGACTTGTTTTCCTCAAGAAAACAATTGTTGATTGAAATGTTTCAATTTATCCTTATGTAATAATTTCTTAAAATGAGCTAACCCATGTCAAGATGGGAAAATTATTAATCATTGATTAAGATTAAACACTGTTTATTATAATTATCTAGACTCTTTCATTTCTTTCATTTACAAATCCAAATCGGACATCATTTTGCTTTGTACAGTTTGTTTCCGAGCGATCTCTGTAGCATCAGAAATTAACATCTGAAGCTTTAGATCAAGTTCATATAAACTCAATATTCAAGGCTCAATATGGATCTACTTTGGTCAGAGTAAATTAATTCAATAAGACTTGTGACTCATTATTAATTATGGTAACTGAAATCGAAGCTTATTCCTTATTGAAGGCTAGAGAGTATTAATTATGTCAATTAATTGGCTTAAGAATAAGTAAAGATCAATCTAATCATGGATTAGTCTATCTAATCGTGAATCTAAATTGAATGCATAAACAATACTTGAAATATTGCCACCATATTGAGTCAGAAAATTAACCATCTGAACTGATAGTCATGAACTCATGGTTAGTAGTTCGAATAACATTTTTCGATATTATGTCTAGGCCAACGAAACAGATATACCAAAGGTAATAAAATTATCCGAAAATTTTAAACAATTTTATTCAAAACATGTAATATTATCCAAGTTCATCAAGAATTACTTTCTTGTTGAAAGACAAAAGATTAAGTAAAACTATGAGGAAACCAGAAACTGACTTAACTTATTAACTAACAGCCATTAAAACATCATTCAAGGTGGTTTGGTTTCCTTGCTTCTGTTAAATCAACAAACTAACCTTTACTTCATTTTCACTTTACATTTGTATGGTTAAATGTACAACTTAAATAAATGAAACAAAAAATCAAATTGTTAATAACTGTATTATTGTCATTCAAAATTATTTGTTACTATGTTCAATGGTCACTATATTAGCCTGATTGCTCCACTTTTTTTAATACTCGGTATGTATTAAATTTTTGTTTTGCTACACTGGTTGTGTTTTGTATTTAAATTTAATTTTCCGTGTTTGTCAAAACTAACAATAAACAAAAAATGATTTCTCGAGATTCGTAATTTAACTTTATTTTATTTTGTTCTTGTTTGCTTCTTAAACAGTTAGCTGTGATCAATTAAATGATCTAGAAGATACGTTGAAAAGACTTACCATCAATGTTGGTCAAATTGTAAATCGAGTTAAAACTAGAACTGGAATACGAAATTTGATCCACTGTATTAGACCCAGAAAAAAGACAATCAATAAGGAAATTGTGATTAATGCTTGCAAAGTGGAATCGGCACTGAATGCTCTTCGTTTAACAATCGCTTCTGCACGGGAATCCAATAATCCTGAATTAATAAAACTTGCAAAAGAACAAGCAGAGGAGCTTGATGATTTAATCAACTTGATTGAAGCAATACTTAATTTTTAAGCATTTATTAAACAATATAATATTTAATGAAAAATACACAAAACATTTTGTGAATCTCAATTCAATAACAATTTTTGATTAAATTAAAGATTTGCACATATATACACCTTCCAACGAGTAACCAAGTTTTTTATAATAATTTCTGGTTCCAACACCTGAAAAAACGAAATTATGATCAATTAATATTAAGTATTAACAATAAATTCGGAATAAAGTTAAAGTAAAAACATTACCTGAAATAACTGCGATCTTAGTAGATCCATGTTCATTGAGTGAAATTCTTTCAGCTTCTTCCATCAAAAGCATACCGAATCCTTGATGTTGAAATTTGGTTGGATCCTTTCCACTTATAGGCACAACACTACCATAAACATGCAATTCTCTTACAATTGAACAACAGCCCTTCAATTCTGGGCGGAAAGTATCAGGTGAACAATTTCTTAATCTTAAAAGACCAATTAAAATATCTTGTTGAACATCTTCGTAAGAAAGGAACGTTTCCCAGCCTCCATTTGCAACATAATCTCGACGAACGAGTTCAACCTGATAAGGTTTGATTTTGTGATGAATTTCTTGGATACCAACTTCCCTGGTTCGTATATCTCTACATGTGGTTCCATAGTCAGCCATTCTGGCTAATGCTAATTCTCTTATATTTCCATGTTCAACTCCGGATGAAACTAAAGGCATTGGTATATCACGTTGTACACGATAAACTCGAGTCCAAGGAGGCACTAAGGCTAATATCTGAGCCAGAAAATCTACTAAGACACTAGGAGGATAACTTCGATAACGACCAGTCTTCCATAGTTCATAGAGCCCTGTACCTCTAATCACTAAAGTTGGGTAAATTTTCAATCCATCTGCGCGAAAATCTGGATTTTCAAAGAATTCAACAAACTGCTCTAGATCACGTTCCAAATCAACATTCGGTAAGTTTGGCATCATATGAGCTACAACTTTAAAACCGCAATCTTTAGCGAATTGAAAAGTTTCTTTAACAGCTTTAACAGTGTGTCCTCTGTTAGTATCACGAGCAACATCCTCATAAACAGACTGCACACCGATTTCAAGTCTTGTACATCCATAAGATAACATGTCACTTAGATGACGATTGAGACAGTAATCTGGTCTTGTTTCTATAGTTATACCAATGCACTTTGTCCGAGATTTTTCACTGAATTTAACTGCTTCAGAAACTGAAGAGCTCGTATGTCCAGATAGTGCATCATGCAAATTTCTGATGAAATAATCCCGATACTCTTCAGGTAGAGACATGAATGTTCCTCCCATAACGATGAATTCCACTTTATCAATATCGTGACCCAGTTGTTTCAGTTGGTCCAGTCTATTGCGTGTTTGAACAAACGGATTGTAGTGAGCTCTGATTGCTCTCATTGATGTAGGTTCATAACCAGTATATGATTGAGTAGAGTATTCAAAATCAGAGTCCGGTCCACCAGGACAATATACACATATGTTCCCTATAAAAAATGAAATAAAGGTAAATTATGAGTCAATAAAAAGATATCACACATTTTCAAAACATAAGGTTCAATAATTAAATGGACTTACCAGTCATGTTTATATGAGGACATCGGTGAGGCTTAGACATAACTGCCACAACCACAATTCCACTGGCTGTTCTGATCGGCTTAGCTCGCAACTTGGGAAGCAGTATTTTCCTATATTCTTGAGGAACACCAGCGATTATGTCAACCAACTTCGGTTGATTCTCAAGACCATATTTGCGAGATATGTCACACTTAAGTTTTGTCAAATTTACATCCTTAGCCTCCTCATGTGCTTTAACCAAATGCTGAATAATTTCATTGATAGTCACAACCATAAGTTGTTGTTTGGTCAAACCATTTCCTGTCAGAAAAATACAATAGATTAATTAAAGTTATCATGAAAAAGTTAATTCTTACCTTTATTCTTTGGACGAGTCATTTTAAAACAAATTAAGTCACTGAAATTTATTGCGATGAAAACAAATGGTCACAAACATAAAACCAGCAGTTTGAACTCGGCATGAACCCTAGATGGCATTACTAGCTTACTCTGCAAAATTCACAATTTCGTTTTTTTGAAAGCAAGCTTAAACGCTATTAATGATCTGTTGAAAAATCGGTATATTTTATTTTGATTTGATTTTTTTTTGTTTACCATTGATACATCTTTAAAAGTATAAAATTCATCTGATAATATTTCGCATCAGTGTTAATCATGGTGAAACTTTTCTTGAAGCCCTTAGATGATGGCTCAAAGTCGGTTGAGATAGTGAAAGGGAAGACAGTCTTGGGAAGAGGACCATTGTTAAATGTATGGAATCTTATTTTTTCCCTATTCTTTTGTTTAATTCATGTTCTACTTTGTGACTCTGCTAATCACAATTAAACTCGAAAGGATTGACAATACTGATGGAACTGTCATTCCGGTCTATACCGGCCTTTTTGGTTTAACATTATGTGGACTTGTGTCTCTCTTTTCTCCTTTCTTTTCAGCTCTCTTTTAATGCCTCCTTTCTTTTTCTCTCTCTCCTTCTCTTCACAGTGTGCTGATAAAAAAGTATCTCGAAACCATGCTATTCTTGAGTTTAAGGATTCTGGCGAACTATTTCTAACTTCCGTGAGTTGAAAATTAAGCATAAAATTAATAAACTATTTTAGCAAAATTTAAAGTGCGCTATTGCCATAACCCCCCAATAACTTTTTGCTATTTATCTTCCAGACCCATGTTAATCCTTGCTACTTCTCTACCGAATCCGATGAGACAGCCAAAGTCTTAAAACAAAATAAGACACAAAAATTGTCTCAGGGTGATATATTCAGCCTCTTACCTAATGGTTATAGATTTCAAGTAGAATTTAGTGACTCTGATGGTTCAGAAGCACAACCAAAAAATGACATTAAATCTGATAAAGAACCTGAGTCATGTAATGGTGACAGCGTTAAAGATTCATCAAAAGTATCTAATAATGCCGCATCTTCAGAAGTCAAAGTTGATGATGAGGATACGAAAGATACTGAAATAAAAAAATCAGATGAGAAACCTAGTGAAAAATCAAAAGGTTAGTGGTTTTTGTTTTGAGTCTATTAAACCTAATGTTTCTAATTATCTTACATTGTTTTGCTTTTTAGGTAGTCGATCTAAAGTCGATAGTGAAGAGGAAGATGACGATGCTAAAGATGATGATTCTATAGAAGAGCCAAAAGAAAAAAAGTCAGCTAAGCCTGCTAAAAAAGAGAAGGAAACTAAAGCTAAAGAAGTTAAAGGTATTGATTTATAGTTGATGTACGATTTGCAAAACCATTCACGACTTTTTTGTTTTATCTTCCAGGACGAAAAAAAGCCAAAGAAGAGAGTGAAGAGGAATCAAAATCTGAAGATGAAGGAGATGAAGAAGATGAGGAAGAAGAAGAGGAAGAAGAAGAAGAAGAAGAGCGTGAAACTAAAAAAGGTAGAGGTAGAGGTGCTGCTGCTAAAGGAAGGCCTCCTAGAATGGCTGTTCAACGTCACAAGTCGTCTAGAACAGTATCTTTAGATGATTATATTGTCAGCGATGATGATTTTATGGATGGTGAAAGCGAGGAAGAAACTAAGCCCAAGAAAAGAGGTAAAAGAAAGAGTGACGACTCTGGAAGTGACTGGGAGATGGAGCACAAAGGTAAAGGCTCTAAGCGAAGATATGATTCAGAAAGTGAATCCGGTAGTGATTGGGAAAATGAGAAAAGATCAGATAGAAAAAAGAAGAAGGTAAGTTCGCACTGCTTTATTTACTTGTGTACAACTATTTTTCAAATTTTTATTTGTTTGTTTTTAGACTGTCAAACATTCCGTGAAGCCAACTCGACGATCAAACAGGGTTAAACCAGCTAAAAGAGGAGGAAGAAGAGCTCGGGATGATGATTCAGAAGAAGAGGAGGAAGAAGAAGACAATTATGAAGAAGAAGTAGAGAAAGAAAAAAGATCGCCTTGCAAGCAAGGTAAAGCTTGTGGACGTAGGAATCCATCCCATCGGAAAGAGTTTTCTCATCCTGATAACTCTGATTTTGAATCTGACGAGGAAGATGCTAAGCCAGTAAAGGAAAAATCTCAAAAACAGGATAAAAATTCTAAATCTCAAAAGAAACCCAAAAAAGTCGAGGATGAGGAGGAAGAAGAAGAGGACGGAGAAGAAGAGGAAGAAGAAGAAGAAGAAGAAGAAGAAGTTAGAAAAAAACCAAGTCCACCATCTAAAAGAGGAAGACCTGCTGCTAAAGTAGCTGCTGGTAGGCCTAAACGAGAAGCAACTAAAAAGAGTAAGTTTATTTAAATTGTTATTCATTTATTTTTTGTTCATTTTTATTCAAAATTATTTTTATTTTAAACAAACAGGTAAAAAAACATATGATGATGACGAAAGTGATGAAGAATTTTCAGAAGAAGAAGTAATGCCAAAGGCTAAAAAGAGGGGAGCATCTCGTCGAGCAAAAAGTGAATCCGAAAGTGATTACGAAGAAGATGATGACATCGATGAACTCAAACGAGAAGCAAAAGGATTTATGCGGAAAAAGGCCAAAGCGTAATCTAAATCTCCTTGAAGTGGTCCATTCCTTGTGGATACAATTTTCTAAGAAAATAATTCATTGTCACCTCTCATTCACTCATCTTTCCTTAATACCATTTCTTCATGTTATCTTCATGAAGTTTCCTAATTGCGCCGAACATGCTTCAACAAATATTATGGCTGCGGTCCCATTGCTAAAACATTACCTTTTTCATCTGCAAACCTTTAATTGGTTATAAACTTAATTCCTGTCATATCCATTTGTTTTTTTCTCGCAGAAGTATACATTTAAAATCCCATTTTTCCGTTGAAACAAGAGTAATGATATTTGCAAATTAGTGGTCAGATAATCTTAATCTTTTAATCAACTTTCATTCATATCTCAATCAACTTTTCTTGTATCTTCTTTTATAATCATTGGGAGACGTCTGTTCCTTCCAAGAAGCAATCTAATGTCCAGATGAACTCCCTGTGAAGTGACTACCTGTAAGAAGTAAAATATTGACATAAAATTCACCAAATTTCATTATTAATCGAAAAATTTAGTGTTTTTAATTGTTATTTTAGCAATTTCAAACTAACCTTTTTGTTCATTGAGTATAACTTATTGGTTATATCGCGGGCAACCATATAACTCAATGCATTTGAAAAATCAGTTTCTTTAATTAAATGGTATTCTAAATTACATCTCTCCCAAGAAATGTACCGACACGGGACAACAGCCATAATAGAAACATTCATTTTATCATCGGAATTGTGGCAATTAGATTCAAATTCAGGCGAATCCATAAATTCCAAGGGCTCAATCGGATGTAAATATTTCCCATTTGAAATTACATTAGCTCTAGAGAAAAAATCGATCAAGATTGTCAATTCTTATAATTGTCTACGGTTAAATCACTTACCTTCCTGAAACCAGTAAACTTAATCTGTCGTTCTTGGTTAGCCCTTGAATTGAATAGGCCTCACCAGCCTCTAACCTATGAATCGAGGCCAAGTCATCTGATGACAATCGTTGAAAAGTAAGTTTTGATACTCCCATTGGAGCGAACATTCGGTTATAAACTCTTTCCAGTGATTTGGAGTAAAAGTTGACTTGTCTTAAAGTATAAAATAAGTGAATCAGATGTCCAATGTTTACAATTAACATGACAACGTTCCAAGTGAAAACCAGAGGCGAGCAAATTACTTTGATTGACCAATCACAATGCAGTATTAGACCAATAACCAAAGCACATCTTGAAATTAATGGACCACTTTCCAAAGGAAATTCAATGAAACCTAAAGCCAAGCAGATATTGGCTGAATGAAATATCCAAGAATCCATTTTAATTGAAGCAAATTAAATTTCATCACATATTTAGTTCAATACAGTAAAGTTTGATCGATATTAACACTAAAAATTGTAAGATTTGATTTTTCAGATGATTTCATATTCAAATAGCTTAAGATTCTGCGGAGATGAATCGATCAATATCACTTTCATATAGTCCAAGAGAGAATCAATATCAGATCAGCAGAAACTGATTTCATCTAGTGTGCAAAAATAATTTAAGCAAGTTTGATTATAAATATAGATTTGGCAATGATTTTTAAATTGTTTTAATTTGACAAAATATATTAAACATTAATCTTGTATAAATGAAATTTAAATTCAGTCGAGGAATGATCAAAAAACAGATCTTTATCCATTAGCAAGATTTCAACCTCCCAATGCAAGTCTTTGTTAGAGTTGAGTGCTTTTTCAAATTGCGACAAAACATCAGTTTTTCGATCTGTGAAAAGAAATATCATTGATAATTTTAAACGATTTGACCTGTTGATTACATCGAGTAAATCAGAAATTATAATTGGATCATAAACTAAATCAGAACCAATAATAAGATCTGGTTTGATTGTATCCAAACACTTTGAGTCGTTTTCATCTTTCCAAAGAAATGGTAAAACTTTGCAATTGGAACATTTATTAATGTCAATATTACGTTGGATGAGTGATAGCACTTGAGGATCACAATCAGTGAAATAAAAGAAGCTTGGATTAATTAACTTGCTGATTGCAATTCCAGTCAAACCCACACCAGAACCAAGCTCCAGTATTGTTTTGTTTTCAAATAGATGTTGATGACTTAAAGCAAATGAAATGAATTGTTTCCCGGCTTCCCAGCAATGTAAACCAGTTGTTCCCTCTTCAACCAGACTATCTGTATCTTCAACGGTAATTACTTGTCCTTTGATTAAATAAGAAGTATAATTGATATCTTTCTCTTGATTATTTGCTATTAGGTTGGTATAATTTACGTAAATTGCTTCAGCTATTTCAATATTACGAGACTCAAGTAAAGCAATCAGCTTTTTCAAAAACAAAGATCGATACTTTAGACAGGCAGGAAATTTGATTGCAACTTCATGGAGAATAGTCAATTTCAATAACTTAACTTGATCACATTCCGATAAACCACCCTCGTTTAGATTAGAATCCTATTTAAAAGATACAAATTAACTTTATTCACTTCATGGATAATTTACTCACAATTGAATCCAAAATTTTACTTATTGCAGCTCTGGATAGGTAAAGTTGAGTTATTTTATCGAGAGTTTCCATTGAGAAAAAAATACACCAAAGTTATCTGTTAATATTCAAGAAAAAGTAATACAGATTTTTAATTTCTTCATTGAGATCAAACAAAAGCAACTTCCATTGGCAGAAATGCATAAGAACGCGGCAAATTTGACGTTCAAAATAAAAATGTTAAAAGGTCATCGTTTACACGTATTAACTTACCTTGGGTTTGGACAACTAAATCAATAATAAAATAACTTTAGCTAATAAATCAGTTGAGAAACGACAAAAGTAACAAGTGAAACAAATTTTGACTGAAGCTTGCGAATGAATCATCTGTCAGCTGTTAATGTGAAACAATCCACGTGAAGTGAATAGCTTTTGAGTGTTTGCCTTAAGTTAATGTAACTTTTAATGTAAATGTTATTTAGTAATGTTGATTCGTACTCTTTGCGAGGATAAAAAAGTGTCTTTTTTTTATTTCAAGAATCAATTGACCAATTATACATTAAAGAAAATGCAAATATTAATTTAAATAAAAACATTAAAATAAATTAAGCCTTTTTGTTTTTCATTGGACACAAAAATTCTTAATTATAAATAAGCGATGATTGGAGTATTGTATTAAACCTGAACAACTATTGGAAAAAATTAAATTTGATTTTAATTTAATGATAGCTTAGAAAAGGTTAAGTTGTTTAAGGTTCGTGTTAAGTATTGAAAATGACCTGTGGGTCCATCAATGATCCAAGTTAGGCACATAAACAATTTTGAATCAGTAAATAGATAGCAAATTTGCAAGACAATAGAGGCAAGTTAAGTTGCTGTAGTTTAAGGCTTTTCAAGGTATGATTAAGGTTATTGAATGAGATGAGATTTGGTTGATGTAATAATCGGAAAGCTGAAACGAGTAAGGTCAACAGCAATTAAAATTTAAAAATCTCTCAAACATAAATCCTGCTTTATGATCTATTGGGTTGACTTTATTTCATTATCGCTATCAAATTAACCATGGCAATGGAAACATTATTATTTCAAGGGCTTTTAATCGTTCGTTTTCCTTCTTTTTTCCCAAATTGTTCGCTCTATTGTCTTGTTTTTGGTGCTGCATGTTTTCCCCAAATTTAACGACAAACTCAGTGGACCCTGTAATCGGCGTAATTAGTGTAAACTCCTTGATTAGGGTTCTGATAGCGAGGATCTAAATTGAGCATTCCGTATGAACTGTTTGGATCAAAATCAAGTGTGGTTTCATCAGCAGCTGCTTCTAGATCAAAATTGTTTTCCTTTTCTTTGTTAACAACTGATCTTATTGACCTCTTTGACTTGTTCTTGGTTATTTTTGGTGCTGCTGTTGTTGTTGAAGTTGATGACGGCTTAGGGGTGGTCGATGTGGATATTGTTGATGGTGAAGTTAACATTGAATTAGGAATGGTTGGAGAAGGCATATTGATATCAAAATTTTCAGATCCACTGCCGGTTCCAAAGTCAAATTCATTGTTTCCATTATTGTTGCTACTTGCGAAGCCAAAATCATCATTATTGTTGTTATTACCGCCTGTAAACATAATTAAATAAAAAAAGCTCAGTAATCTTGCAAAATAATAATTATGATAACAATTGTCAATGAAAAACAAAAACTAACCTCCAAAACCAAAATCACCATCTCCTGAGTTACCACCAAAATTGAAATCACCGTTACCAGAGTTGCCTTCGGAAAGTCCAGGGAAAGAGGAACCACCTGATCCACTATTACCGCCAAAAATTGGAATAGGAAGAGCAGATCCACCTCCAGATGATCCACCGTTTCCAGCTAAATTAGCCAACTCACTTATTCCATCGCCTCCACCGCCACCGCCACCAGTGGGTAAACCAAATTCACTTGGATTAAAGCCATTGTTAGCACCATTATTACCAGCACCAAGAGTGGGGATACCAGGGAAACCTTGTGGTGCTCCTCCACCGCCGCCAGCCCCAATAGCAGGAATACCTGGGAATCCATTATTATTATTATTGTTGCCACCAAAAACTGGGAAAGGAGCGTTATTGTTGTTATTGTTATTACCACCAAAGCCGGGTAAATCGTTGTTAAAATCAAATGGTATTGGTGGTGGAGGAGGTGGAGGAGGAGCAGCGCCACCATAGCCTTGTGGATTTACCCCAAAGTTTTGATTATTTCCTCCTGGATAAGCTGATCCTGGTTGACCCTTTGAGAAATTGTTTAAATTGTTATTTTCAAAAATTAAATTTGTTTCCTTCAATAAATTCAATGAATGTCAATATAAAATTGTAAGATGATTTAAAATGGATCATGAAATGTATAAACAATAAACAATGAGCCTGATAGAGGGTTAAGTAAGTAGCAAATGGTAATTAAAATAATGAAATATAATTTTGAACAGTCATGTGTGTTCATGTACGTGCAATGAGTTTATCACCAAAGGAGATGAAAACAGTTTGTTGAAAATGTCAACCCTTTTCACGAATCATTTAACCTCAGCCAGTTGTAAGTTGAATTTTGTTGAAACAACCTGCAAGCACTTAGAGTTGATCAATCAAGCTCATCATAATAATGAACTGATGAATATCATTTATTATTAACAGGTTCAAACCTTTTCATGCAAATTCAACATCAACTTTTTCTTGGCTTACAATTTACTTCAAATTTATAATTACTAATTACTTTGGATATCATTTTGTCTCATCTTTTCAACACAACCGATTAACAGAAGCGTTCCCGGAAGGATGTCACTAAAACTGGGTTAGTGTCATTATTTGTAGCGCTTATTGATAAACCGTTTTTAAAGTTGATCACCAATTGAGAAGCAATGTGTTTATCAACATTTGTCTGGTTAATAAACTGGTCAGTGATGAATAAAGGCAATAAATAGTCGTTTTTTAATTGATTCAAACCAATCAAATTGACAAGAGTAACAATTGAAGAGATTGACACAAAATTAACATTATCAAAATGGACAGAAAATGACAATTAAAAACCGAAGAAAATATTTCAATATAATTTGGTTAAATCAACAACTCGCTTCACCAGGAGTTTTAACCTGTAAACTACGAAGTGAGGCAGCTTTGGATGGATCTAAATTTTGATAGCTAATTGAATCTTTGAGTGAAACTGAAAAAGAGCGATTCATAAGGTTAACTCGCAGGTAAAGGAAAACGGCAATCAAAGAGGAAACAATCAACATTAAACCAATAATGACAATTGAAAGAGTAAGGACAACTCCAGATACACAATAACGATTAGAATTATCAATTGAAATTAATGATGTTGATGAAGAAGCATCTGATCCAAAAATGTCTAGAGTTTCAGTTTGATCGGTTGTTGCTGAAAAATCAAATGAAATGTCACCAGGAGCAACAACTCGGATAGTTTTTGTTGTACTAATGTCGGTTGAATTGTTGATTGATCTTCTGGTTCGGAAGCGAGGATACAATGGATGAGATGCCAGTGTTTTCGGATGAATAAAGGTTGCTGCAGGCAAAGGCCAGGTTCGATTGAGATCATCAAAATGAGGCGATTGACTGGCAACCAAAACACGAGGTACAGCACCAGCATTGGCCAGAGAAGGACCAGTGTATTTACCATTGCCATTGACCAAGTTGACTGGAGTTGACTGTTGCTTACCAATGGGACCATTACCGGCAGGTTGTCTGTTGCCTGCAAGATCAACTGCTGTTGCTGCTGGTCGAGTCTCTTCACCTTCATCGGGATGAAAGGTTGGCTCTGAACCAGTCTCGGAGCAACTTGTGGGTGGACATGATTCACGGCAAACTTGAATGACACATTGAAAGTGAACATTGACGGAATCGGGAAACTTAAAGGCTCGGAAATAGGCATAAGAAGCAACTGATGCCGAGTAACCAAAGTTTTTAATCTTTTTAAATTTGGACATTATTCGAGGTCGAGTGATGCAACCGTATTCATCTACCAGTTGGATGGGTCGGTGATGGCCATCATGGGCTACACAGTTGCGAACCAACATGTCAAATTTACCATCATCGTCTTTGATTGCCAAAACCATTGTCATTGTTTGACCAATCTTGACTAAGCCAGTGGCCTCACTATTGAATGGTCCTTTGCCTGCTTGAATTTGCATCCAACATTGAATGTTATCACCGAGGAAGTTGGTTGTTACTGCATCCATCATTTCAACATTCAATGATTTAAATGAAACTGTCTTTTCGTAAAAATCATACCAAGTGCACCGTAAACGACGAGCTTGATCCCAAACCTCTTGCACTTGGGGATCGTGTTGAATGATGATTGTTGACTCGGTGAATAACCAAGGTTTAGATGAGCCTCGGGAACCTTGGGCTTCATCTGAACCCACCATTCCACAGGCATCAAGTCTCAGGTCAAAGCTAATCTCTGATCGTCCAGTTGAAGCTGGAGTATGAACACACTTAGGATCATTGTAATGTCCCTTTGAAAATATGACACCATAAAAAGGTCTATCAAAGTCAACCTTAACTGACATTGAATTTTTCTCACAGCGAACATGGATTCCTTTTATTAATGGCACATCGGGACGCTCCAAAGGCCATGGACCTTCATTTGAACGTGGTTGGTTTGGTCCGTGATTGGGAGACGATGAAGGTCCATCTTTACTCTCATCATCATACGATTCACCTTTCCCGTAATAAGATGGGTTTGAAGATGACTTAGGCTTAGGCAAGTAAGCAGGTGAACGAATCTCTGGATCATTTGCTTCCTCTTCTTGTAAATCAGTTTTACTGTCAATCTCTTTACACTGACCATTCTAAATTGATATGGAATGCCAATCAGTTAATTTGAACAATTCTGAACCCTGTTTAAACCGACACCAGTCAATATTGATCTTACCTTGAATAAGAGCACAATCAATGTACAATGGAAAAGTTGATTGAAACGTTTAACATTCATTTTGCCTTCTTCAACTGTTTAACCAAATCACAAATATCAATCAATGTAAAAGTTAATCCAATTGCAAACAACAAAATTGTACAAAAAATGGCTTTAAATTACTTTCATGGAAAAATAAATAACATGATAAAATGATGAATTTATCCAATTTGTTGAACAATATTCACAGTTAAACAGTAAACAATGAATCTGATTAATTTCAGTTGAACCAAAGTAAACAAATGATGAGCAAAGGATGAATTTAACAAACAATTTGGTTGTTTAACAAACAAAATGAATTGTGAGAAGAATCAGTTTCTAAATAATAACTGTTTACTAATTTTGATTAACAGTTAAACCCTTTGGATGTTAACCGTTAACAAGATGAAGATGAGCTGAATAAAGGCAGTAGGAGGAGGAGGAGGAGGTAAAGGTGATAGTGGGGTTATTCGTGTTTTTTGGTGTTTTTTGGTGGTGATCAAGGTGAAACAAGAAGACCTGATTTTGATTATGGAAATGCTTGCAAAATGTATTGATAATAAGTTTCACACAAAAAGTCAGTAAACAGGAAAATTGTAGCGTCTCAATGATTTAACCAGGACTTCAGAGGAATAATGGTGATCATGATAGATGATGATAATGGTGTTTGTCATCATTGATGATCATCAATGATTCAGTTAAACGTACCTTTCACCTGATTCATTTTCAACCGTTTTTTTTCTGACTCTACATAATTTAAGGTAAAACTTATTAGGTGATTTGAATTGTGTTGAATGTTGATACAAGGGTGAAGATGAACAAGATGCTTATGATGATAATGACACGCTTATTTCCGTGTCATTCGTGCTACAAATTTTGACTTTTAAATGTAAATATGATTGATTTTTTCTCTCTCTTCCCTTCATACTTTAACTGATTGTTATTCACAAACCGTTAAGTTTGACTTGATTTGCTCACAATGTTAACCGTTAATTGAAAACTCTAGTGGCATACATTTTACCATCTAATGAGTTTAAATTAATCCAATGAAACAAGTTCAAAGTTTCACCAAATTGGTCAGTTTTGAAGAGTAATCTCGATCATGGTTTTTCTTGAAATCTAAAACTCTGACTTCATGTAACTTGAATAGCAAAAGTCTATTTTGCGATCAAAGTTAATTTAGGCAAAGCCTTGAGACTCAAGTCTTGAGTATTGGCATTATTAATGTTTTAATGTCATTTGAAGTTATTCAATTCATTGTTGATTTGATATTTGAAACAATCAATTGGTGAGTTTCGTATAAAGATATTGATGCTTAATTGGTATTGTTTCATTGTCTAGATTATTGTTTCTCATCGATTGAACGTTACACTAATTCAAATAATTGTTGGAACGAGATTGAAGATTATACACTTTTTTTATTCAAACCTGACAATTATCATGCTATTCATGTAATATTTATATTGAACCTGCATTTACTGATCACTTGATTGGTTAGTGTTTAGTCTTAAAAAGATGTATCACTAATTCAAGATGATTGGACTAATTGCAAACAATTAACTTGGACTGTCTTCTTGTTCGCTTTGCTTCACTTAACTGTTAAATCATCTAATGTACTAAATCACTCTCATCTTGAATTAACATATCATCTTCAGTTCCATTCATATTGCATCAATATTTTTAATCATTAATCAATAGTAAGGTTAACTTTTTCAGCAACATTGAGTTGATATTACAACTAAATCTTGATTTAGTTTTAGATATACTTTGATTATTTTTTGAAAATGTAATCCAATTGCTGATTATTGCACATAATCAGATTACTTAAAGCTTGACGATTGATTTTACGATTATAATGTGACCGGAAAAAGAGAAACAAGGTCAAAAGTTAATCACAATCATAATGCAAGAAACAATCGAATTAGAAACATTATTAAAATTAAAGTTGACCTTCCATTTAATTGCAATCAATACGGAAACTGATCGGTTGGACTGAAATAGTCGCACTTGAAAAACCTAAGAAAATTTAACTGTTCATTTCGATAGAATTGAAATTTCTATTATAATTAAAATTCATTTCAACTAAAATATTGAAACATAAATATCTGAGCAAAATTGTAACAAGAAAAATCTAGAAATGAATAAATTTGCGACTAAAATTGAATCAATGAGATGGATCCAAAAAATCATCTTACACTTGACATTGACTATCATTGATACTTACTTGAAATCCTCCTGGATTGGGTTGTCCATTTGGTTGGCCATTTGGCTGTCCAGTGGGTTCACCATTAGGATAATTATAAGTGTAACTATAAGGCTGTATTCCAGTGTTATAGCCATATGAATAGGGACGAATTCCTTGGTTAAATGAATAAGTTTGAGGTGCATTTGCACCTTGTCCTTGATTATTGTGATTATTGGCATTTCCAGAGTTACTATTGGGATCACTGTTTTGACAGTAAACACGGCATATTAACAAACTAGATATGGCAACAAGTAAAGATCCCGATTTAATGAGAATCATGATGACCAGAAGATAATTTAATGGTCAACTGATGAGAAAGGTTAAAATTAATCCAAACAAAGGCAAATGTCTTAAAACAAAAGGTTGACAAAAAGTAAATTATCAAAGAACCAGAAAAACACCAGAAAAAAGCTGTAAGATGCACAAAACGTTAAAAGGTATACCAGATGTTGGGTTAAGTTGCGATAGCTGATAAGACAATAAAAATGGTTAATGTTTAATGATGATATTGCTGTTATATACAAGTAAATAGTTTCCGGTGTAATACCTAAACTCACTCAGAACACTTTCACTGAATTTTATAAGAAATTTACTTTCAGATAACAAAAAAAAGCAGAAACAATATCGTCAACCTTGACTCAGCAACAGACCGTAACCCTTAACTTGCAGTAAAGTGAAGAAGCAAGTAGAGAGAGAGAGAAAGAGTGGGATAGCCGGGTCTTTACTTTCCCTCTTTTTTACCATTTTTTTGGGTCTTTTTCAATTCTAATCCAACACCCACTTTGCCACCCCAAAGTAGGCAACTCATGTTTCCCTGATAGTCAACATTGTTGACAAAATTCTGGTTAAGTCCCGAAATTTCATCAAATGTGATTCATATTTTTGTTGCTTTCAATAACCCTGAGCTTTTTTTTTGTTTACTTCTGACTTTTCTTGCGTCTTCAGCTTCATGATTAACTGAATACAAATTTCATTATGTTTGGTGCTTGCTTTTCGGGTAAAATGTTGAATTTAACACCGGAACTTACCAAAGCGAGGACATTTCGTGTAAAGTCTTATTCATTTCCTTTACAACTCATACCAGAATCTTAACTGATTTTTCTCGTTTTACAAAACTCTATTGAAACTCATGCCAATACACCATTGACAATCAATGTTAGTCATTGATAATTGCCTCTAGGTCATCAAAATGTCGTGTAAACTGAGAAAAGGGAAAATTTCATTTCGCTTGAATGTAAAAAGGTTTACTGAATTTTCCATTGCTTTTTGTTTGTGAAAGTGAAATAAAATTGAAATATTTTTCAGACAATTTGTTAACCTTTATTTAATGAGATTGCAATAATTAAATGAATATTAGCAGCTCTTAACGAACCTATAAGTTAATGATTTGAATTGGGTGAAGATGGATGGAGTTTAAATGTTGATGAAGATTAAATTAGTTAGTTATCTTTCATTTAATAACATTAATTATTATTGATGGATTTGGTTACTCCAATCATTTCATCAATTTCTTTCATTCTTTTCTCATAATCGGCGTCTTCTTCATCAGATCGACCCGGTTCAGAGAGAGTTTCCTGTGAATCAGATGCTTGAGACTCGTGGCCTTCTTCAATCTCAGAGAGGCGAGCAGCTTCATCACGAGCAGCAGTTTCAATTACTTCAGCATCTCGACATTCAGATTCTAACTTTTCAAATTCCATCAATGAGTTTACAGATAAATTGTCATCACCTTGACTTCCCCTACCAATGACAAGTTTATTTCCCACCGAACCAAATGAACCAATTGAATCAGATGAACCATGATGAGCAGGTTTACTAACTGTTCCCGTCTTGGCTGCTATCACTTCAGCTTCGAGTTTCTCAAATTCTTGCAGTGATGAGCCAGTCGATGAACCTTCATGAGCCTCAACAACAGTACCAATGTGTCCAGGAGCAATTGATGAAACAGGAATTGGTTTCGATCTATCAAAAGCTAAGGTGCGAAAATCTTCGTGTGCAGAACCATTATTCTGATTAAATTTGGATGAATTAAGGATAAAACCAATTTCGTCTTCTTCTTCGATTCGACCCAATTCACTCGCAATGCCGGTCATTCCCTCAATGGGATTCATTGAAGACGATCCATTGCCCATGATGAGACCGGTCGATGAAGATGAAGGCGAAATGCTTGCAAGTTGAGGAGGAACATTGAAATTATCAGTAGACGAAGGGGTCATCATCATGCACATGTCTGTATCATCGGAACATGGAGATTTTTCTTCCCATGTTTCATAAGTTCCAATGGATGAAACGGCATTTGAACCAAAATCGTTTGGTGGTATTGGTGATAAAGGCCTGGTTCCATCGCCTTCAGAGTAAAGTTGAGTTTCATCGCTTCTCATTGTAAGCGTTTCACCAACTGTACCCGATCCTTGGCATGGTATTTCAGGGCTTAAATCATAAGATAACTGGTGTCGAGCCTGTTCAGACAAGATGGACGAAGCAACTGAACTTTGAGATATTAATGGTGTATCAGTTGCTGCTGCTTCCGAAGGTATTTCATTGATGTCGTTGACGGATGACAATGATCCACCAAGAGTTTCCCGACCACCTTCAGGTAATCGTAGACCGGGTGAAAACTCACCAAGAGAAGAACGATCAATGTCGTACCTTTCAAAGTCAGATATTTCATTAGCATCTGAACCAGAAACAAGGCAAGCCATTTCGGGTGAAGATGAAGTAACCAAAGTTGTGGTTGTGGTCGTTATAACCTGATCTTTCAATGAACAGTGGCCCTGTCCTTGGCTCTCAAGTGAAGACATGGCATCACCAGTGCCAAGATTATCACTACATTGTCCAAGAGCTTCAAAGCTGTTGATGGAATCAGTTAAACCCGAAATGGGCCCACCATTAACACCAATCCTATCCGACATTTGACCTCCACCGGTTGAACTGTCAAATGAATTGTTTCCTATTCCAACAGCAGTTCCAAGACTGGATGACAACCATGTTACAGAAGCATCTGAAATTGATTGTTGTTCACCGTCATCATTACCACTTGCTTGAGATGCTCCTGATTTAGTTGTTGTGGTTGTGGTCGATGTTAACAATGACATTGTCTTTGCTGTTGTCTCAATGGGTTCAAGAGGTAAACCTGGAACCGCTGAAACTTTCTCACCCAACATCTTTTCTGGTGTCTCTTCGAGTAAATCAGTCATCTGTTCATTTGTTATTGGAATTATCTCAAATGGACTCGATGAACTGGAATGATCGGGTCTCTCGATCAACTCCCAATTACAGCTACCAGCCATAAAGGGAATCTCGATGCCACTTCGAATAACATCTTCCGGTATTTCAGATTCATAAGGCTCTTTAACTTGTGAAGAGGTTAAATCATAATTGACCGGAGTTGATGATCCATCGTCTTCATCTTCATCATAATCTTCTTTAGGATCATTCTGATCCAATTGGACACCCTCAATGATTCTCACTTCTGGAACAAAATCTTCTTGTGGAACAGGAGTTCGACTTTCATCGGCAAAATTTCCAGTAATCAAGGTTTCACTCGTCTCAGAATCGGTGTAATTAAATGAATGATCCGAATCAACCGAAATGGTTGATTCACGAGAAGATTTAGCTGTTACATATGAATTGGATTCTCCTGAAGTGGTTGCCTGATGAGCGCTAATGTAACTCGAACTTTCCTGTGAAGTTGCAGCCGTTTCATATTCAGAACCAGAAGGTCCAGTCAATGAGCTACCCTGACCATGGCTAAAATTGGGAACTAAATGGTCAAAATCAGATGATGTTGGTCTAGAGCTTCCAGGAGAACGAGATGATTCAGATAAACAAGACACGAATTTTCTATCACTTGATGTTGGAGTCGAAGATAAACTTGCTCCAGTTAAATTGGCCAACCTTTCTGAATCGGTCGAGAATCGTTGCTCTTTACCCAAACTGGACCCAAGACCCAATTCATCATTACTCTGACTTTTGGGTTTAACTCTCATTTTAACAACCGACTCTTCCTCAGTAAATTCATCAGTCTTAATTATCGTCTCGGATCTTGTCTTTTCTTCGGTTGTTTTGATTTCAGTTATCAAATATTCTTGGCCATTTGAATCGGCAATTATCTCGGATGTTTCCTCCTTTTCAACACGAACCTTTTCCGAACTAATTGAATCTTGAATCACTTTAGTACCAAACAATTGCTCAGAGTCAACCTTTTGGTCTATCGATTCATTTTTAATTGGCTGTTCCTCAGTCGACTGTTCATCCGACAATTCAACCAAATCTTCATCTGAAATCTCAACCGATTCCGTTAAACCCTGTGATTGAATCGTCTCCTTGACTTTACCCACAATTTGATTGGCCAACACTCGAGCTTCCCTTTTCAATTCACTCGAATCAGTTGATTCACTTTTCTCCGTTTCTCCAACCTCTTCATTAATCCTTTCCTCAAGACGAATCTTCATTCCATTTGAAGTCATCTCACTGACCTCATCCGACATTTCAATTGAATGTTGATGAATAGTTGTTTCCCAAACGACAACATTTTCCTCAATCTCACTGGCTGAATGAAGTCGAGAAGAACCATGAACAATTGTCGACAATTTATCATCACTTTCAGTCGATTCCAATTTAGCTTGAGACGAAGCAACAAAAACATCATCAACATCTGAAACAGCAATTTGTTTCTCCTTAAAACCCATTAAATTATCTTGATTAACATCAGTTGACTCTTGGTAATGTTCAACTCGCTCACTATCCAATTGTCTCATAACTTCATCTTCACCCTGAAGAGTCTCCGAGTAAACCTCTGAATCTGGACTAACCAATGAATTTCTCACTGGTTCAGTTTCATCTCGAATAATCTCAAATGGACTGACTGCACCATCATTCAGCTCTTCTCGAGCATCAATGGCATCAGCACCTTCAAAGGCACTATTGACAAAAGCCATTGATCCTTCAACCTGAATAGGCACATCATCGGCCAAATCAACCAATTCAGGTTTATCCGTGGATTCTGTAGCTGTTGCCATGTTGACAACTTCCTCTGTCGGTGAAACACCAACCTTAACCTGAACTTCCGGAGTTAAATAATCAGGAAAATCGATAACTGGTGATATAACCTGTTCCATTGTGGCAGTGTCAACTATTTCCGGCGGAGAGGGTTTAGTTAATGGTGATACACGATCAACATCAATATTCAAATTATCTGGTTCACGAGGAGATAAATTTCCGGTTAAACCGTCAACAGTTTCAGGCTTTGTTAACAAGGGTAATCTATTAGTTGATTCAACACTTTCCATCGATTCAACTGCAGTTAATTGTGACGTGCAAACCTTACTGTATTCACGTGCATCTGTTAGTTTAGGTAATCATTGAAACAATTGGGTTAGTATTGAAATAATAGTTAAAGGTTTAGACAATTTTTTTGGTGGAAACAAAAGGTTTCTTTAGGTTAGGTTATTGTTTCTTGTGTTGCTTTGTAAATCATTTCAACAATCTGTTAACATGCTCAACCAGACAATCAACTCCAATCAAACTCAACATTTAATTCAACAGCAAATTAATCACCTATGATGAAAAATTAAGAGAACAATTAGAGATTGAAATTCAATTTCTTTTCTTTTCCAATAGCAATCTTTAAAATTGAAGTCAAAAAATTTCAACTAAAAAGGCTGACAAGACTAAAACAATCAAGATTCAATCGAGTTCAGCCAAATTGATTAGCAATTGAAATGATTGTCTCCTAATTTTTCACCACACTTTAACCAACAAATTAATAAATTGAGTTACAAACAAAAATATCTTCAAATGAATCGTTTTTTATGAATCAATAATTCAAGTTGGACAATGATTTAAATATGAATTTGGTTACAATTTAAAGCGATAATAATACTTGTAATACTCTATCCAGGCTAATATTGAGTCTAATTGTTGAAACAAGAATCGAGAGGAAAAAATATCATCTAATACAATTGATTGTAAACTTAATACTAATACATTTAGATCATTTAATGATCAATTTTGTAGTGAAAATAAATTTGGTTAACACTTTGAGTGATACAAATGTTACATATTACGACTGTGTTGACTTAATTGTTAACTTAAACCAGATACCAAGTTGAAGATTAAACTATTAACTGGGAATGATTGTTAACTACTATTTGATTGTTTACTTGCTATCAATTAATTGTTACATTGAAGCAAAGGATTTTAATAGGAAAAGGAAAGTTGATCATTGCTGATGGAGTAACAATTTGGTAAACCAAACAGAGAGTTAATTGTTTAAATCTCTTAATTGTTAACCTAATCTTGTCTTTAATCGCAAATCAATTCAACCTTGATTTAATTTCCGTTTAAAGATTAATAATTGATATTTCCGTTTTAATGGCAACAATTAGTTTTAACTTGATTATGTTCAATTAGATTAACGAATAGATTTTTCAAGTAGATAAATTGTTTAAACATTTTGAGTTGGATTTAGACAAATGTTTCATATTATTTTCTGATGAACTTTTTAAGTGTTTGTGATTCATTGGATGAGAAGCTTTTCAATGGTTTGTCATGATTTGAAGCCTTAATTGTTGACTGAGTTCGAGCCCAATTAGATCGAGCTCGAACTAATTTATATTCCAAATCATTTGATAAATGGCTGGACGAAGTATTTAAATCGAGAAATGATCGACTAACCGTTAAATTGTTTAACCTCTCATTGGTATCATAATATTTGATTGAAACTTCACGTTTAGATGCTACTGAAGATGATTTGTTTGATTGTCTAAAATGAATATCTTCATTGCCATAAATTAAATTTCGAGATGAATGGTAATCATCGAAATTTAATTTCGATTTAAAACAATAATCAGAACTGAATGAAGGTGGAGATGATGATTCTCGTCGACGAATTGGTTGATCAATTTGTGAATATGTCAACCTCGATGGACGATAATTAGATAAATTAGAGATTGAATTATTGCTAAACCAAGGGCCCAAGTAATCGGTATAAATCTTGCTCTTATCTGACTGTGCTTTTGTCTCGACTCGTCGAGTATAATAGTTCAAGTCTTGAACTGAAGTGTAATATGGAGTGTAATTGGACAATTTACACTCGAAATTGTTTCTGCTTGACCCACTAGTTTTGACTCGTTCAGATTGTCCATTTATGTTGAATGAACTGGTTGTCCTACGAATATAATTAGACTCATTTGAAGGTCTTGATCGATATCGATTAACTTCAAGTGAATGGGAAACTAACTTTTCTGGTGATTGTCTTCTTCGAACTTTGTGAGACAATGAAGATGATGGTCTTTTAATCGATTGACTTGACAAGAGTGTTATGTCAGGGCAACTATGATAGATGTAATCGTGTTCAATTTGTCTAAAGCGTTTACGAGAATCACTTTTCAATTGATTTATCCGATCACGGATGCTATTGAATAATGAAGAATAATCAGTTGAAATGGAATAATCTGAGTTAAATTGTCTTCTTCTGTAATCATGAGTTGACGTAATTTTCTTGCGACGATGAGAACTGTAGTCTAGAGACTTCACCAATCGATTATGATCAATATAAGAATGGTAATCATTGAATCTAGTTGAATAGTTTGACTTGTATTTCATCTCATCATTAAGACGATTGTAGCTATTGAATTGATTGTTTGTTGAATCGATGGAATTGTATGTTCTTTTAACCCGTAAATAATCATCTTCAACAGCATCAATCGTTCGATGGTAAATATCATTCAATGATTCATAAGAACGTCTGAGATATGATCGAGAACTGGGTAAATGTAACTTGTAACTATCAAAACGACTCAATCTATCTTCAGTCATTCGCGATTCGGCAAATAATCTTAATGATTCGTTTGACTTTCCTGAGTATGTTGAACGAATGGACGAACTTTTTGGTTCTATTGAAGTAACACTCTCACTCATCTGATTGTAACCTTTACTAACAATTGGAATGTTTGGTCTATCTCTTGATCGAGACAATGAACGTCGAACAGATCTAGTTGAACTTCTTTCTCTTCTGTTTGGACTCATTGGAGGAATCATATCGCGACGAGAACGATTACTGATGTTCTCAGGTTGATTTTGTTCCACTCTAGGAGTTGAAGTAACTAATGGTTCTCGACTGAATTGCATCGAATGATCGACTGTCTTCTCTGTTATTCGAGACTCAAAAGCAACGTCTTTACTTGTATCACGAATCGTACTAACTGGAGATTTTATTACTGAAGTGTCCACTTCTGATGGTTTCATTTGACCATTTTCATTCCCATTATAATCTACTTCTTTTTTGGTTGCAACTTTTCGTTTGCTTTTCGATTTTTCTTCAGTTTTTATGGCCGATAGTGACACTGGCGATGAAGGTGGCGATGGTGATTTAAGTTTGTCTGATGGTTTGATTGATGGTTGATTTGCAATCGTTTTGTCGACTTTACTAGTGATAGATTCTTTTAAAGTATTGTTCTTTTCTGATTCTGATTGACTTTTATTCTGCACCTTTTCAGTATTTGCAACGATATTGACAGTCGCTTCTATCGTTGGACCTGGCTTAAGCAGTGAATCGACTTGATGGTCAACTTTTGTTTTGATAGTTGCTTCAGTAGAAGCTTCTGTTTCTTGTTTTGATGGCTTTGATTTTGTGTCCAAATTGAACACTGTATCAACATCACCATTGTTTGTTGATTCTTTTGATGATTTACGTTTAACTATCACAGAGTTTAGCTCTTCTCTATCTTCTTCTTTTTTCAGTGAACTTGACTTTCGTCGCTTATCTGAAGGCACTGAAACTGGCATTTTCCATGTAAGAGCACCTCCAATGAAAGGTATTTCTAATTGTACGCTAACTAATTTATCAAACTCTGGTTTTGCTAGCAATGACTTACGCTTAACAGACAATTTATCAGCCTTTTCAGGACTCTTTTCCAAACGTTTTCCTTCAACAACATCGTCTTTCTTAACCACACTCGATTTGTTTACTGCAGTTTCTTCAATAGAACCATCTAAATTTGAACATTTTTCCACCTCGAGTTTGCTTTCTTCAACTTTACCAGATTTATCACGAATTGCACCTTTACCATCTTTTCCCTTCTCGATCGAACCACTTGACTCTAACTTGTTAGATTTGCTTTCAACTTTAGACTCGCTTTTATCAGATTCAATCTTATTTTTAGGCTGAGTGGAGCCATTAGACGAAGTTGCATTATTTTGGTTAGATTTGCTTTCAACTTTAGGCTCACTTTCACCAGATTCAATCTTATTTGCATGTTCAGCATTAGAGGAAGTTGTAGTATTTTGGTTAGATTTGTTTTCTGGTTTATCCAATTTGCTAACTTTTTCACCATTTTCATTCTTTTTAGGTTTTGATTTCTTCTTAGATTCTGGTTCAACAACTTCAACCTTTTCATTGGGTTTATTTTGATGCACAACTTTCGAAGAATCATCAAATGGTTCATCTAATTGTTCTTTTACTTCATCAGCATTTTCGAGTTCAACTTTCTTAGGACATTGTCTAACATCAATAGACCCAGATGTACAGTTATATAAATCGCATTTTTGTTGAGTAGATGAGAAACCAAAGTCAGTATTGGGCTTGAAAGAGGCAAGCTCACCAGTTGATTCTAATTGCAATGAATCGACACAATTAACTAATGCTTTGTTTTCAGTCAATACTTTCTTTTCTTTCGTGCAGATCAATGGAACCTCATTCAATTGAGCACTTGGTTCTTCGAGTTGTTCATGTAAACTTGCTTTAGCTTTTGCGTTCGCCGCCAAATCTACATCGATTTCATTCTTTGCTATCTCTTGATATGCAGAATTGACTTGCATCTCATTTTCATCGATATTTTTTTGCGGTTCCAGAGAAACTAAGTTAGCTGCACAGCTATCAACCTGCGAATCAGTTATTTCTTCTGATGGGGATTCGTCAACTAACAGTTTTGCTTCTTCTGTTTTGATTTGGTCTTTAATAAGAATTGTTGGTTGAATTTCAATGTTAACAGAATCGATTAAATTGCTTCTTTGCACTTCGACTTTATCCAAAACTGATTTCTCACTATTGTCAATCGTAAGTTTCTCAGTTGTTTCAGTTGGCTGTTCAAACAGATCTGATTTGACTCGCGATTCAACAAATGTAACTTTAATCTGAGATGGTTTCGCTAAATTGCTCTCAATTATTTCACTTGCATCGATAGTTTTGGTTTCATTTATGTCTGATGGACGCAGTTCGACATCTTCAAATAGTACTGAAGCCAAAGTGTTAATAGACTCGTTATTTAACGTTATTTTCTCGATACTTTCTTTGCTCTTTGTTACTGAATCCTTCTTTTTGTTAACTTTTGGATCTTCAATCAATTTGCTAGCTTCTAATAATCGTTGTTTAGAAACTATTTCTACCTCAGAATCATCATTCGACACTTTCTCTTCATTAACAGTTTCATTATTTGCTGCATTAGCAATTTCTGACTCTGCCTTGACGAATACTTCTACTTTTGGCGTTTTAATAGAGACTTTTTCGTTACACGAGCTAACAGCATCAATAATAGAAATCTGTTCCTTCAAGTTCTCACAATTTTCAATCATTTTAGATGATGAGTCTTCCTTTTGCAAAACGCATGACTCGATTGCTTGTCTAACATCAGCTTGGTCAATCGACGAGTCACTTGCATCGCGATCATTTGATTCATCGACAGCTTCATTCTCATTATCATTTGCAACGAAAACTTGTTCTCCATCAGTTGATGATACTGTCATTTCATTTGTGCTTTGACTTTCAGATATTGAGCTCAATTCGTTGCATGGACTAACAGTATCAACCATAGAAGTCTTTTCCTTCAAGTTCTCACAACTTTCAATCATTTTAGATGCAGAGTCGTCAGTTTGGAACACTATTGACTCACTAAAAGCATCTTGGTCTATCAACAAATCAGTTAAACCTCGATCATTTGATTCATTCTTATAATCGTTTTCATCGACAACTTGTACTTCATCACTTGATGTTATTGGCATTTCATTTGTACACGGACTTTCGGATAGCGAGGCTTTCTCATTGCACGAACTAACAGAGTCCATGATAGAAATCTGTTCCTTAAAGTTTTCACTACTTTCAATCATTGCAGATACCGAGTCTTCATTTTGCAAAACGATTGACTGAACTGATTGACTAACAACAGCTTGATCTAATGACAAGTCACTTGCATCTCGATCATTCGATTCATCAGATATTGAGGGTGTTTCTTTGCATATGCCAACATTATCAATAACAGAAATCTGTTCCTTCAGGTTTTCACTACTTTCAACCATTGCATATACTGGTTCTTCATTTTGCGGAACGATTGACTCTATTGTTTTAATAACACCAACTTGATCTATTGATGGTTTATTTTCATGCCAATCGGCAATTGTTTCATCTACAACTTCATACTTATTATCATTTTTATCGACGATTTGTACCTCATCACTCGCTAATATTGGCATTGCACTTGTGTTTAGACTTTGCGCTATTGTGCATTTGTTGAATGGACTCTCAGTATCAACCACGGAAGCCTGTTGCCTCAAATTCTCGCAACTTTCAATCAGTGTAGAAACTGAGGTTGGATTCTCTGTTTCAAAGGCAGTTTCTGACTCTGCATTCACAAATGGATCTACTTTCAGCCCCTTAATAACTTCTATGCTGCCTTGAAGTTTTTCAACTTCAACAGTGTTTGAATCATCTATTTGCTTCTCGGAAGCTTTTGCTGAATCCTTTAAACTTATACGACTAATATCAACAGTTTTAGAATCCGATTTTTCATCTGTACGCAAACTTAAGTCTTTGTTATTGGGCTCTTCATCTGCATCTGTTTTAGCATTCCTTATTTTCGCATCCATTTCTGTTTTTTCAATAAATACACTTTCGATCGGTTGTGACTCGAATTCTTCTTTTACCTCTTTTTCACTTTTCATTGATTGAGTTTGATCGCGCATTATTTCGTCTTTGAATGTGTTTTCAATAACCTCAGCTTCATGGTCAGCATCTAAAATTGGACTCAATAGCTCTTCTCGTTCACTAGACTGAGCAATTTCAATTTTTGGTTTAGTTACTTTCTTTTTTCTCTCTGGTTTCTTTGGTTTGTCAACCGATTGTTCAGGAACAGCTTCGTTTACTTTTTTCTCATCCATAAGATTCATTTCTTCAGGCATATTTACAATATCTGAAGAAATCGCAGCTAAATCTGATTGCTTTTCATCTTTTTTCAAGTTTTGTGGTTCATTCGTTTGTACAAGAGTAGATTTATCGCTATCTAGAGAAGGAGACAAATTAGATTCAACAAAATTCAATTCTTTTCCAACATTGAAAGTCGTCATCTCATCTGATTGACTCAGTTCAGTCGAAAAGATGCTCTCAGATTTGCTGTCAACAACAGAATCAATATTCTTCTCAATTGTTTCTTCAAAGTTTTCCAGATGACATTCAACCTTGATTGGATTCTGAGGTTCGATTAACTCTGTTTTTTCAGACATTTCCAGTGGTTTTAGTTGATCTTCTTGTACTAATAAAACTTGATCTCCCGAATCCTTAACAATTGGCTCTTCTGATTCAACTTCTTGAAGTTTGAAAATACTAACTTCACATGGAAGCATTTGAGATGAAGTAGAAATAACAGACTCAGAATTCAATTGTTGGAATCGATCGCCACTGGAAGCAACTTTTTCCTCTTTTAAGTCCATTTTTGGCACCGTTTTCGATTCAGATTCGTTCTCGAAAGTAGTATTTGAAGTATCTTCAGCATCTTTTTCAATTTTAATACTTTCATTTTGAGACTTTTCTGTCTGATCATAAGTTTGACAACTGAGCTTTTCAGATTCACGCTCAGTAGACGAAATGTCAATGGACTCATTTTCTTTCACATTGTTATTGAGCGAATTTGCATCGATTAATTCATCTGAAGGTGCAATTGTTGGCAATGAATCTTCAATAGTTGTTCGTTTCTCACACTTTTCAGCATAATCTTGAATTTCATCAACTTTTTGTTGCTCAGATGCAACTACTTGAATAAACTCTAAATTACTTTCATTTGTCGCGATATCACTTAACTCAATTGTTTCGCTCATTACATCGGTTGGGCAATTTTTGTATTCAGATATCAAATTTGGCTGGGCAATTGTTTCAAAGTTAATTGATTGTTCTAACTCTGAATCTGGATGGAATGGCTCAGATATCTTTGGCTCTAATTCCAATAGAACTGAAAACTTTGATTCACTAGAAGTATCATCTTTTTCCTTGTCCGTTTCTTTCAACTTCTCCATTTCATTCTCCGAAACTTTCTCATCAACAGTTTGGTCATTGATACAACTAGCCTTCAACACATCTAAAGATTCATTTTCATTCTTTTCCTGAACAACCTTAGAAGATGTTACAGCTTTTGGTAAGTAGTCGATCTCAGATACTTCAGCATTTGCTCCACGATTCGGTTCTAATTTATCATCAATTAAAACAGACGATTCTTCAATTGTAGCTGCTTCCAATTTTAGTGACTTTGTATTCATTGTTTCTTCATCAATGTCATCAAGTTCTGATGCAATTGAACCTTTTTTAAGTTCGATAGTTGGCTCTTGAACAGAGCTTAGTAGATCTTCTCTCACATTTGCGTCCAGTGCTTCAAACACCTCAACTAAATCAGACTGTTGTGTATCAATCTCAGCCTTTTCAACTTTTAAAACGTTTTCCACTTCATTTTGTTGTGCTGTTTCAAATGTTTCTATTTGTTTGATCTCAGAAAATGATTGGAAAGGCTCAACATCATTTGATGGTGATTGTATTTCATTAGTGCGTGGACTTTCAGGTATAGAGACTTTTTCGTTGCACGAGCTAACAGCATCGCTAATAGAAATCTGTCCCTTCAAGTTCTCACAACTTTCTATCATTGCAGATGCTGAGTCTTGATTTTGCAAAACGATTGACTCGATTGCTTGTCTAACATCAGCTTGGTTAATCGACAAGGCACTTGCATCGCGATCATTTGATTCATCGACAGCTTCATTCTTATAATCATTTGCATCGAAAACTTGTTCTCCATCACTTGATGATACTGTCATTTCATTTGTGCTTGGATTTTCAGATATTGATCTCAAATCGTTGAATGGACTAACATTATCGACCATAGAAGTCTTTTCTTTCATGTTCTCACAACTTTCAATCCTTTTAGATGCAGAGTCGTCATTTTGGAACACTATTGACTGAATTGCTTGACTAACATCAGCTTGGTCTATCAACAAATCACTTAAATCTCGATCATTCGATTCATTCTTATAATCGCTTTCATTGACAACTTGTACTTCATCACTTGATGATATTGGCATTTCATTAGTACACGGACTTTCGGATACCGAGGCTTTCTCATTGCACAAACTAACAGAGTCAATGATAAAAATCTGTTCCTTCAGGTTTTCGTTACTTTCAACCATTGCAGATACTGGTTCTTCATTTTGCGAAACGATTGCATCTATTGCTTTACTAACACCAACTTGATCTATTGATAATTTATTTTCATGCTTAGCAATTGTTCCATCTACAGCTTCATTCTTATCATCGTTTTCATCGACAATTTGTAACTCATCACTTGGGGGTATTGGCATTTCATTTGTGCTTGGACTTTCAGCTATCGAGTATTCGTTGTATGGACTAACAGTATCAACCACAGAAGCCTGTTGCCGCAAGTTCTCCCAGCTTTCAATCAGTGTAGATGTTGAAGCTTCATTTTCTGTTTCAATAGCAATTTCTGATACCGAGGCTATCTCATTGCACGGACTAACAGAGTCAATCATAGAAGTCTGTTCCATCAAGGTTTCACTACTTTCAATCATTGCAGATACCGAGTCTTCATTTTGCGGAGCGATTGACTGAACTGATTGACTAACAACAGCTTGATCTAATGAAAAGTCCCTTGCACCTCGATCATTCGATTCATCAGCTATCGAGGCTGTTTCTTTGCATATGCTAACAGTATCAATAACAGAAATCTGTTCCTTCAAGTTTTCGTTACTTTCAACCATTACAGATACTGGTGCTTCATTTTGCGAAACGATTGACTCTATTGCTTTACTAACACCAATTTGATCTATTGATGATTTACTGTCATGCTTAGCAATTGTTTCGTCTACAACTTCATTCTTACTATCATTTTCATTCATGATTTGTTCCTCATCACTTGTTGATTTTGGCATTTCATTTGTGCTTAGACCTTCAGCTATCCAGCATTCATTGTATGGACTAACAGTATCAACCAAAGAAGGCTTCAAGTTATCACAACTTTCAACAATTGCAGATGCTAAGGCTTCATTTTCTGTTTCGATAGCAGTTTCTGACTGATCCTTTTCTGAGAACATAAGTTCGTTTTCATATTCATCTTCTATTCCTAGAGATAAACTAACTTGATCTGACACTGAATCCGATAGATCAGTACTTTCATCATCTTCTAACCTCGATTCAGGTAATACTGTTGGACGATTTAAAATCTGTAATAATCTTGCCTTCAACCTATCAGCCTCCGAAAATATAAAATTTGCTTCTTCTGCTTCTGCTTCATCTTCAATCATCTCATCTTCAGGCATCTCATCGGCTAAGTACGTCAACTCATCATATTCATTGTTAACATCATCTAAATCTTCAGTCAGTTCTTCTGCTAAAGTATCCAAAGAGTCGACTTGATGCCGCAAAGATTCCTTCATTACTTCAATAGGCAATTCGTCATACAACTCGTCGTTTGATAAGTTTTCAGCATTATTTTCAATTCTCATTTCTAACAAGGATGGAATAAATTCTGTCTGAATGATTGATTTGTCCGATTCAATTGAGTTGATCGATTCCATTGAGGATGACGACTGAATGGTTGCAAAGGAATTTTCATCAGAAGAAAAGGGAATTGCTGTTTTATAACTTGAACTTGATTGATCAGTAGTTGCTGTATCATACTCAGATCCAGATGGACCCAATCCATCGACAGTCACACTTTCCGATGAATCTTTTCTTGCAGAAACAACTTCGTCATAAGTAACATTCGGCAGTTTTGATGCATTAACATCAGCATCTAACTCTGGAGTATTTTCATGCCTCAATTTCTCTGGATCATCGTTTTCACAGAACTTAGAAAATTCATTCAAAGAAGAACCAGTAACATCAGTTTCAGAAGCAAAATTGGACACATTACTTTGAGCAGAGTTGAAGTCGACAAACAAAGATTCAGTGTTGATTATTGATGTGTTTAGACTCAACATTAAACCACTATCAATGGCACTGGAATTAGAGTCGATCGATTTCACCATTTCATTGTCCGATTCAGAACTTATATTGGAAATTTCTTTAGATGGAATCTGTTCTTGCAGTTCATATGATGCACAATCCAATGATTTTGAAAGATCTTCAGATGCATTTTCACTCATTTGAACTGGTTCGATATTGGATTCTCTCATCTTTTCATTGTCTTCTCTATTAATGTCGATGAAATCAGACTTCGCTACGACTTTGCTGGAACAAGCCTCAACTGGATTCATCATCAAACATTCAACTGTTTGTGGATAATTTTGATTACTCATGTTGATCAGATCTTTTCTAGTTTCTAGTTCTAGTTCTAGTTTCTTTTCTAGATTGTCTTTACTTTCCATTTTTGGTAAAATTTCGAACGATGGTGAGATCTTTTCCATCAATTCATGTTCACCGATATCGTTGTTATTCTCGTCTAGCTGAGTTGATGAGTTATCTGACATGTCATCATCTACTTGATCATCATTCAGAATTACTGGACGATTCAAAAGAGTTGCGATTTTATCTTTTATTGCACCTAACACTTGACTTGCATATGTTGAAGTTTCATTTTTCATTTCGATTTCATTCATGTATTCTTCATAATCTGGTTCAATATCTTCTGATGATTGTTTCCTCAAGTAACTCTCACGATATCTTGAAGGTGAATCGGCTTCCATTTCATAATCGAAGTCAAGCTGATTCTGTTCATAACGTTCTTGATCGTAATTATACCAATCAGAGTCAACAAGATTTTTTTCATTTCCTTTTTCATCGTATCCATCATAACTAGATACCAATTGACTAATCTCAGCATCCAGTTCCTCAAAGTTCAAATCTTCATTCAACTCAGCTCTTCCGATTGATTCTTCATTTGAATTCAATTCTTCAAAGATTTGTCTACGACTTGAGTTTTCTTGTATATCGTTAGCTGTTTCTTGTTCATTTAATATCAAATTATTATTTTCATCATATTTTTGCAAAGAAACAAATTCTTGAGCAAATTTATCAAAAGTTTTTGGAGTTTCACTCAAAGCTGAAAACTGATCAGATATTTGATTATCTTTCTCTGAATCTGAATTAGATGAAACTTCTTCATAAAATAATTCTGGTGATTCTGTTCTTTGTTTTTCCTCCATTTCTTCAGGAGGCGTCATTGAATCGAAAGAATCTACTTCATTAACAACATTTTTTGAAGATTCGGGTCTAATAAAAGGAACTCCAAAGCTTTTCTGAACAGAAGGTGAACCATATTGACTGAGAATCCAATTGTAATCCTCAGAAGGTGGAATATCTTCTGAGGAATCACCAATATAAGATACTGAAGATTCGGCAATTATGTATGATGGATATTGAAAAATAGTGTCATTTCTTTGTTCAACCTCTTCATTCAAATCTAAATCAACTTGTGCATCGTCTTTAAAATCTTGTTCTTGATCGTCATCAAGATATGCTGATTCATATTCAGACTGTGATTCAGTCTCTTCATTATCTGACTCATTAGCTGGTTGAATGTCATATTTTCCTACTAAATCAGCTTCTTTTGATACACTTTGACCTAAAATTTCTGAAGACTGAATGATATCATTTTTGGCAACAATTTGTTTCAATTCCGTCTTTTCCATTGATTCTTTACGACTTTCTTCAAAATCTTCTTGTAAACAATCAACCAATGAAGTAATTTGAGGTTCTAACATTTTATCGCAACTATGAGTGTTTGAGACTGCATTTTCAGAATTCAATATCGTTCCCAATTCATAGATTAATTCATCTTCATCGTCTTCATTTTCCAAGTAACCTGAAATGGAATCTTGCAATAAATATTTATCTTCATATTCATCGTTAACTGACTCAAGAGGATAATCAATATTCACCAAATCATTTGAATTTTTAATACTTTTAACTTTGGTAAATGCTGATGAACCTTGTTGACCAGTAAAACTGATTTTCCCATCAATAATTTCAACTGAATCAAGATCAGTTTCAAGATATTTCGGCATTTCTTCAAATTCCTGTTCACAAGTTTGTGAGCCAACAGATGAAACTGAACCTTCACTTGATGAGGATCGTTTAGAAGCCGATCTTAAGGTTCGTTTAACCAACTGCTTCTCATATAGCTTTTCATGAACATCAGATTTATTTTCTTTCTCTCCATCATCATCAGATAATCTATTATCCAAACAATCATTGGAAGTATCAGATCCATGAGAGCGACTATCACGACGAATGGACAAGCTGTTTGGCTTGCCATTGCAAGTATAGCGCTGTTCATCACTGTCCCAACCCTCATCGTCAAGCCAAGGAATATCGTTGCCTTTATACAAGATACAGGGAGGGACACTTGATGAATCTGATTCATTGGCTTCTTCATTAATCTCATCATTGGCTATTTCTGCTGTTAGAAGTGCCAATTCGCCTGCAACTAATGCCATTAAACCTGTTTCAATGGCTTCATTAGCGGCAATTAAATCTTCATAACGCTGACGTTCACTGGAAGACATTTCATCGCTTGAATCTTCTCCATAAACTGAACCAAGTTCAGACTTTAAACTATCAACATCCATATCATCAACATCAAAATACTCTTCAGAAAACAATTCTCCTTCCGAAGTTGTCTGAGTTGCTCTATCAGCAGCCCAACTAGAAAGACGATAATCGATTGACATTGGAAAAGAATCGTCATCAATTGAATCTCTAAAGGTTGACACTGATGGACGTCGACGTCCTGACCCTTTCCCAGACCATTCAATTGCACCACTTTGAACACTATCAACACCAGGAGAACCAAATCTATGGATTGATTCACAACCATTCCATGATGGGTTTAAATATGAAACATTTGTCTGAATCCAGCGACTAATTTGGTTTGTGCGAAGGGTTGTCTGAGTGGCAACACTTCGCACATCAACCAATCTAAACCAAGTGTCTTTGGTCAAGTGGTTGGGATTGGGGAATGTTGAGGAGTCGTGAGGAAGCCAATAAGGGATTGGAACAGAGGATAAACCAGGAATGGAAGGTGAAGTTAAACTAATTAAACCTGATTCAACGCAATCAACTCTAACCATTTCAATGGCATAGAAAAGTACTCGTTCAAGACTGGCTTCAACAAGTGACTTGATCAATTCACGACCAATGTAATAATACTTTGGATAACCTTGTTCACTTGGTATCTGGATTAAGGCAATTTCAATTGCTTGACCTATCAAGTCAAGACCTTCGTCAGTTAAAATGTTTTTCATTGACTTCCAATTTGATAGATAGATGGGTTGTACAATTGCGATTTGTTGATTCAGTGTGGTAACTTTATCGTCTTTATCGGGATTACTTGACTTACCAGAAACACAATCATCTGGATCACGTTCAGTGTCACGTAAAGCTCGACTAAACTGTTGTCTAAGTGGACTTGGACACCTTTCAACTGGGTCAAGACCCTTCCACACTTTATACACAACCGATTCATTCGTTGATGTTTCAGGATCAGTTGTTTGGACGGTTGACCGAGAAATGGGACGAACAAGAAGTCGAGCTATTTCACCTGTTTCTACATCAACTTCATTTGCAGGGAAATCTTTTACTGAAACATCTGTTCGATTGCGAACAATGAGTCGCATTGAGCTTGATCCCAATGCCGATGATGATCTGTTTTCACGAACCTCATCATTATCAAGACTAGAAGGTTCTTCAGTGGAAACTTGATGCAAAGTTGATGCACTAACGTCAAGTTTATCGTTCATTTCAAAACTCTTTGGTTCATTCGCGTTTGATTCAAGTCTTGTTTGGCTCATTGACTCTTCATTTTCTTTGTCAACTTTGTCGAGGTCACTTTGAGCCAATTCAATTTCTGCTTCTAACTGATTTAAAGCTTGATATAGTTCATCTTTTGACATGTAATGAGAGTTACTCGCTCTTTCATTAAACTCATCAACATCAACATGAGAAACATTGCAACCTAAATTGCCACCATAATCATGTAATAAATTCAAGTTACCGTTGATATCGTCCACTTGTTCATCTTCCTCCTTTAACCCTGAATCTGCATGTTGACTTGACCGTTGAACTAAGCAAGTGTTGTAGGCTGTTCGAGCTTCATCCATACTGGCCGTGTCAATGGAAAAGGATCGACGACCAGTTGACTCGAAATAAGCTCTTCTCTCCTGGAATCCACCAACAGTCTCAACAATCTCACCTTCAGAGGGTCGCCTTTCACCTTTATTCATTCCCGATGTTTCAATGGACGATGAACGATAGTAGTGAGGTGTTGATGGAACCGGCTTTACGGTGGAATCGTGCGATAATTTGGCAAAATAATCTTTCTTTTCTGTATAACTCATCTCATGGTCATCTGATCACCAAGCAGGATTAGTCCAGTTAAGGTTAAGATAAAGTGTGTGTGGTGTGTGTTGGCCGCGTCGACAGTGGAAATAGGATCAATGAAGGGAAAAGAAAGAAGAGGAAAAAATGTCGTGCGAGTGCCAAGGAGAAAACAAAGGTTTAATTTAGCAATCAAAGCCAATTATGATGATTGAAAGGTTTGAGGTTTAATTTGTGATTAAATGTAAAAAGATGAAAGTGAGAGGTGAAGATGATCAAACACTAGAGGTAAATATAACGATCCAATCTTCGCACTCTAACTATTCTAATCTTGTCTTCTTCTCTTTCTCTCACAGTCTCTTCTTAACTGAGAAAGTGGAAACGGAGCAAAGTTTATCGAAAGGGAAAAAATCGAAAAAGAAAAGTGCCAAAATCGCAATTCCTATTATTGTTAAAGTAGCAAAATGCAAATCTTAACCTAGTTATTATCATCACCGTCGTCTTTGGTTGGTGTCATTTTAACTGGAAACATGAATGAATGAATTGAGATGCAAAATTCAATTTAAAGGTTTTAAGTTGCAATTTAAATTCAAGCTTTGAAATTTTGTCATTTGATGAAATGATTGGAAACCATGACAAGTCCCAAGACCAATGGATAAAAAGATTTAACTTATTCAGGCAAGTAAATTAAATGCATTTTTTGAAATGAAACAGGCAAATAAAATATAATCATGCAAAGTAAAGTTTATTGGGAACAAATCAAATCGATGCAATAATAATTTTATTTCATCAGTTATTTAATTTAAGGGAATAAAGGATTGAGGACCAAAAAAGAAAGAAATGATAAAATAATTGGACAACCAGGGCATTAACAAACAAAATAAATAAAAGGATGAAATCATTTGATTGAGTGTTGACGTGGGCAGAAAAGATGAATCCAAAGGCTTTTCTGGTTCTTTTGGAAACTTGGTTCAATTGGAGGGCTGATTGGTCGGTGTTGGTTGATGGTGGTGATTCTCCGAGCAGATGGGCAAAAGGTTGTTCATTAACTGTATTCTGGTGATGATACAGTAATAAAATGGCATGCTGGAAAAAAGCAAAATGAAAGCACAAAAAATAGACGCAAGCAGAAGCACATAATGAATAAAAGAAACGACATTTCATGCAGTCGCTGGTGAAAAGTGCAAGCAAAAGTCTGAATCTGCAAGTCCATTAAATTTGCGAATCCCATTGATTTGGATTTTAAAAAAACAATGAAAATGAAAGCAAGACGAGAGTGGGAACAAGTAGGTTTAATGGAACTGAAAAATCATGCAGTTAAGTCATTTGTTACTTGGAAGGACTGAAGGGTGAAATCAAAGGTCAACAGGAATGGTTAATGATGAAATTAAATTTTAGTTGGAAAAGGGTTCAACTGAAGACGACAGCAACGACATCACTAACCACAAAAACCTGAGTCTAACTCAATGACCACAAATCCTGCTGGTGGATTCAACTGTTGCTTGCTTTTCCCGAAATGAATGTCGGTAAAGTATTTTGTTATTTTTGATGAAAAAATTAACTTCTAATTTAGTTTAATATATATTTTGTTTAATTTATATATATATTTATTAGAGATTGATCGGCAAGGAATGAGGTTCGTTTAAGACAATTGAGACAGAAAAGGTAAAGCAAAAGAAAGACAGGCAAACAGGTAAACAGAAAGAAAGAAAAGGTCACAAAGCGTACGCTCATTCGTCTTGCCTACAGAACAAAGCACTTCTTTTTCAATATTTTTCCAGATAAAATGTGAGGATAGTTTAGGGTAAAGGTTGAATGATTTAATTAAATAATTTTGTGTTTGTTTAATGACAAAAGACGATCGCCAAGACGAAACAAGTAGGATAATATCAATGTTAATAATAGAGTAATGTAAAGATTGAAATATCTTGTTGTATCATTCAACTGGTTTTTCCGCTAAAATGGTCTTCAAGACTAAGGCGATATTAAAGCATATTTTTCGAGCTCTAAATTGAGCAATTAATTGTTAGCATTTAATTGATTAGTTAAGTTAGTATTAAAGATTTAAAGTAGAGATCTATGCAATAAGCTCAAATAAATAATGTTATTGGGATTGTTTTGATTCTAATTTTGAATTTTTTTGTTAACAAGTTAAGACGCTAACCATTTAACATGTTGAATGATACTAACAATGTAATCTGATAAACTTGGAACCAAAATAATCATCAATATAATAGACTTGTATCTATAAAATGGATCAAATTGACTTTTTCTGCTTTTTGGGTAAATTGTCTAATTTTCTAGATCAAGATTGAGTCTAAACCTTTTGGAGACCGTCAATTGTTTACTCAGAAAGGGATAAATGTTCATCTGGCGGGTAAATTATTCATGTGCGGATGGATATTGGATGGTGCGTTATCGTTTTTTCAATATTTAACTGTAATTTGATTAATCAGATTTTTGGTAACCTCTGGATGAAAGGTTACTTACTTTCTTCCTTAACACTTTTATCCTCGTTTCTTTCACAGGTCGTGCTTTGCTCTATTATGTGAACAACATCACCGGAGGCTTCAGTTTCAAACCATTCTGTAGACAAAAAGAGAAGAAGAAAAAAAAATGATGACAATTTACTGATTATTTTTTGATCACAAAATGTATTGAATAGTTTAGGCTTAAATTAAGAATTAGCAAATCAAATGAGAGAAATGATAAAATGGCAAACGCAGCAATAAACAGTTCTTGGAACTGGTTTAAGATTAGATGACGATTGATTATTTGGTTAATTGTTAGCTAATGCAAAGACAGTTATTAGTTTAAATTGAACAAAGCCAGTTTGTAACAAATTAAAAGGTATTTAATCATTTTAGCATTTGTTTTCAATGAACAATCAATAGCAGGCGAATGGTTGGACTTGATAAATGGAAACAAATTGATTAAAGTAAATCACAGCAAGTATTTGAAAATAAATTGTTAATCAAATGAAGTAGTATCTATGAGACGATAATTAGATTGTAAAGGATTGAGAATAAGATATTCAATGGATTATAAGCTTCAGTGAAATCAGCAACAAAATAAGGATTAATTTATTGATCAACAATACTAATTTAGAGTTTATTTAAAGGACACTTTTAATCAATAATCTCTTCTGACGAGATTTGACCGACAATTTTCACATCTTATGGCCTTCTTTCAGATTCTACTGATGCAGAACCCAATTGAAAATCGTCGTTTAAAGGAGCATCTTCATCTTCCAATTCAAAGGATTCTGAATCAGTAGAAGGAAGATTTGAAAGGTTATCCTGAGCTTCGGGTGAAACATCATCGTCTTGGTTCATCGATCTAGAATTGTATTGTTGAAATGATGATCGAATGAATTGCCTTCCATCAGATTCCGATTCAGAATCTGTTTCACCTTGTCCCACTGTAGGTAAACTTGCAGTCAAATAGTTGCTTTGTTTCGCAAACTGTCCACGAGTTATTCGTCGTTTGGAGCGAACATTGGCCGGCTTGTGAGAAACTTCTCGTTCAGATAGTATTTCCTCTTCAGTTACAGGGTGTGAAGCATCAGATGCAAGTTCACCACATTTGGACACAACAATGCCTGGCGCTAAAAGAGATTCGTCAATTTCACTGTTCCTTTTGCCTCGAGAATCGTGGTCAGTTGAAGAAAGTCGAGCAAAATGGCCTTGCAAATAATCATCAATAATGTTGGATTCATTATTATTATGACTTCGATCTGTATCGTCCTCAGTATCGGAGTCAATGTCTGAAGCTTCGATATCTGACATTTCAGAATCTGGTGAAGATTCAGGAATATCGACTGGAAGCTCATCACAACGTGAAGTTTCATCATCAGTGGCTTCATCTTCACAATCAACTTGTTCAGTTTGAATCAATGTTCCTCCTTGTTCCCGTTCCTTGAAACAAGTAACAGCTCTCAAAGGTCGTCCCAAGACTCTTTGGATGTAAAGGGAGATCTCTTTAGCACTTCGACGAGGAACTTGACTACTTGTTTCAGGCTGTTTTGATGGACAATCATCTTCGTCGGAAGAATATTCAATGTCAGTTAAATATTCGCCATTGCGATCATCTTCACTTGCAGAAAAACAGTGAGATGATCGTCGTTTCACATCATCAGTATCATCATCATAAAACTCTTCACAATCAGTTAGATTGTCATAATCGTCGACAGGCACAGCTAATATATTTCGAGATTCAGAGTTGCAACCTGAATCATCTTCTTCATCACCTCTGTGATTATTTGGTCCTTTTTTAATTCCTCTTCGCCTCATCTTAAAGGCAATCAAAGAAAGCCAAATTTAAAGATGAATTTAAATTATTTAAAGGAAAAGATGAACTCTAAATGATTGAAACTGAAGAGAACAGCACCGAAATCAAGAAACAGAGATAAATTAAAACTGGTCATTGAGTTTAATTGATCAAAATTTTAAAAGTCCAACAATCATGAATGACAGTGAATGCAACAATGAAAGCAAATGGAGTTCAGGAATAGACAGTAACCATCAAAACTATTAATAATTTGTAAGGTTGCCGTGAAGCCAGCAAAGTATAAAAGATGAAAATTGCATCGATAAGCGTTAGAAGAGTCAGAGCTGCAGAAACAAGTTTCAAGATTTTTAGTCAAAGTTATAAAAGGCAAGAAAAGAGTTAATCCTGAATTGAAATGATAAAGGCTTCAAAAGAGAGAAATCAATGGAAACATGAAGACGAATTAATAAAGGTTCAATAAATTTGTAAACAATGAAAATAGCAGAGAAAAGAGAAATTTTGGTTTGAGAATTGGCTGGACAAAAACAAGATCCAATAAATGGAAGAGAAGCAAATGCGAAAACAGTTATTTGCTCATTGAAAGAGGCATCAGCTTCATTATTATAGAATTTTCATGTTAATTCTGATTGATTTAACATCAGTTTAAAGCTCAAATAGCCAACATACAAGTCAAAGGAAAGTGATATTAAAGTTGAAAAAAGCAATAAGCACTTTTGTTACGACGAGGATTCGGATGAGGAATTGATCAGTTTAATCTACCCACTACGAGAGGCTTACCTTTATCGTCAATTGTGATCTTCTTGGTACGAATAAGTTCAAAAACCTCATCATAAACTTGACGAAGAATAGACTCCGCAATCAATTGGTATTCCTCTTTATCTGAGTTTCCTAAATCAGGAAGGGGTTAGAATAGCCCCGAAGAAGGCAAAGTAAATATACAAATTGCTTTTTTATTGATTTGTTTAGCAAACCAAATGTGGTTTGTGGTTCAAATAATCAAATGATATTTGGGTTGATAATTTGAAATAAATAAAAAACATTGCATTCAATGGGAATTGAATAACACAGATAAAGAGAAGCAGAGTTTTGTTTTGGATTGGAGTTTTCAACTCATTCAAATAACTTGTAACACGACATGGAATTGCACAAAATGTCAACATGATTGAGCAAATTATTCTGATTGTTTAAAGACATTTGCTGTAGACTAAAGAAAATAAAAATAAGATTGAGCCATGGTTCAGATTAACCCTTGACAAACACTTGAAGCTGAACCCTGATTTTTGTGACCCAATTGTCAGACAATTTCAATAAAAGACGAGATTCTTTTCTCACAAAATAATGCACATTGAACTTTTTTTCTTGAAATCGGATGGAAGAAATCAAGATATTCACATGTATAAAGCTTGGAATAAACATTATATCGATGGAATTTTTAATTTCAATCACAAAATGCTTAATGCTAAATGTTTATTTTTATTCAGAGACAAGAGTAAGAAATCAAAGTAAAAGGTTTAAATTCAATTTCTCAACATATTGTATGAAACTTGTAAATTGTTGATTAATTGATTAGATGAATAAACTCTCGAAAGATTGATTGATCAAATACAATTAAAGGCTTTTTCAAAGTAAGAGTAAAGTCAAAAGAAGGGTTGATAAAGTAACAAACAATACACACAAAATGCTCTGAATAACAGAACTAGAATTTCAAGCAAATGATTAGTAAATCAATCTATTGATTTGGTAAGATTAACAATCGTATTAGACATCTATGAATACTAGCAACAAGCAATTAAATTTAATCAAAAAATGATAGCAGTTAACAGATAAAAAAAAAGTGGAAAAGGAAAACAAAATAAAGGCAAAAAACGGTAAAATAAAGGGATAATCTAAATTGGTCAGTCATCGATGGGCAATCGAAAAGAATCATTAAGGTGAATACTTTCCAGTTGCCCAGAATTCATTAAATAGCTTAGATAGTAAACAATCCATGTATTGATTAGTTAACCACTCACCATTTTGTTCAACAGTTATTTTGGTTCCAGGCTCTTCGGTGACACTTGCAATGCGGGAAGAAACGGCATTTTCACTTGCGTTAGTCGTTGTCGTGGTTGCACTAGATACTGTCGCTGTTGTTGGCTCAGACTTTTCATCCTCAGGTAAACTCGAAACTGATACTTGACTAGTATCCTGTTCACCCGATTGCCATGTTTCGCTTTCAAGAGGTTTACCAGATTCTAAAAGTTGTTGCTGTTGCTGTGATTGGGGTTGTTGTTGTTGAAGACGTTGTTGAACTGATGCTTGGATTTGATCTTCAACTTCTATTGGAGAGAATTGAGAAAATTTTGATTAAAATCATTTCAAGCAATTAATTTTATGTGAATAAATTGTTGAAAGAAATATAATGCCAGTAAGCATGCTTGTACGAAAATTGTTAGACAGAGCAAGGGTTTAGTTGATTTGTAAATTTGTGAAATCTAATCTGTTAAGCTGGATAAGAAGCTGCCTGGTGATCAATGGTTATGTAGCAGTTGAGCGACTTTTGAATGTTACTTATGTTAGCCAATTACTCCTTTGATAATCACTTTGACTGTTTACCTTGAATGATTGTGGTCTTTGTGACTTGAGTAATGGAGTGAGTCAAGCCACCTTCATCGGTAAATTCAACCTTTTCCTCGGTCTTTATTTGCGATTCAGCTTCATAGGTGGGTTCAGGGACTGGCAAGAGCAGGGGTTGGATAAAGAAAGCAAGCAAATGAGCATGGAAAGTAAATGAAAAAAAAGCAAAATACAATTAAAAGTGACGACGAATGCAGCATTTATGGGCACAAAAGACAAAAGAAAATGAAAACGCTACGAAAAACAAATGAAAACGATAAACACAAAATATCCCAACAGACAATGTAACGAGTGACCGAGGACAACGAGCGATAGCTATCGTTTCTACCTAGTTGGTTAGCAAAATGGAAACATCTAATGTTGACTAAATATAACAATAATCTTACTGGAACTTTTATCACCATCAGTAGTATCAATAACAGGATCACCAGTTGGAACTTGAATTTCTTCTTTAATTATGTATAATTCATTTGGAGTTGATTTTTCTCCTCTATATGCAGCTCTTTCTTCCGAATCTTCACGATCCTCGTCTTCCAAATATTTCAGGTATTGTTTAACCGCTGTTTCCCTTTCTTCATCTTCTTGCCCTTAATTACAATATTATATATAATTTATCAACCAAAAATAATAATGATAATAACCAAAAAATAGGCAGATCAACTGATAACTCATCAAATTAAAATGACTCAATCAATTACCTCTGGCTTCTTGAAGAGACACTTTATTATTAGCTGCTGCTGTGGGTACATTTACTCCAACACTTTCTCCTTCACTTTCCTCCATTGATTCAGCGTCCTGAGAAAAAAGACGAAAAAAAAGATAAACATGAGAATCATGAGAAACATAAATATTAAATCAAATAACAAATTATTTACCTTCATAATATCTTTATCATCGAATGCAACTTCACGTTCAGTTGGAAGACCTTTTGAGCTTTTTATTATTTCATTTGCTTCATCTAATTTACCGTTTAATTTGATTCCATATTCAGCTAAATATTGACTATGGTTGGGATAATATTTGGTGACCAAATCTTTCCTTCCAATGTCCCATAAAGCTTTGCAAAGATCTTTGTTATTGAATAATGACTTTTTAAGATTAATTGAATACAACATTGCTGTGGCTTGTTCACTTTCTTGGTTAGCAAATTGTTTCTTAATCTTTTCTGTATCACCAGGATCAAGATCAAGATGAGAGGCAACTTTAATCCAGTCTTTGGCTAAATCTTGTCCCATTTGCATTATTGATGGATCGGCGTTCAAAATAATATCATCATCTGCATGATATATTCAAGAAATCAAAGAAAAATACATAGAAATAGGTGAGACAGTTGTCATAAGTTGAACTAATGGAAAGAAACTATCAAATTCATCAATAATTAACAAAAAATGATAAAAACAAAACAAAACAAAATATCATGTATCGATAGCTCTGATTTTATTAAGCACAAGAAGACTGAAAATATGAAAAAAACAGAAATATTTGCTTATTAGAAAATATTAAAAGTCAAAAGTCAACTAGTCAGCAGTGAAAAGCACTCATAAAGTATAAAACATTTGTAAAAGCAATTAGAATCAAGATTAAATTTTAAATCTTTAAAGAGGTAGTTAACTAATAATCCATCTGATATTTAGCTATAAATAATATAAATGGATCAACAGTATCAGCACCCAATTTGATGAATCGGAGCTATCGGTACTTGATGATTCAATTGGCAACAGTTGATTGTTCGCGATTGGTTGGCAGTTAATCACCTATTGCTGATCTTTGGATGGTCTCTCTGATTATTTGGACATCATTGTGATTATTTAATGGTTCCTCTTCCACAATTGTGTCTGGTAATTTGATGTTGAGGTTGCATATTGGCACTTGTGGAGGTTCACCTCGAGTTTTTCTCGGTTCTTTCATAAAGGCAATTTTACCAAAAGGTTCTTGAGATGAATCTCGTACTCTAATCAAAAAGGGAAGCCTATTCTCACGGAAAGCATTAAAGGTAAGATTTAATTGTTCACCAGACTTTGTTACTGGAACCAGATTACCAGCAAACTCAAGGTATTGAGGTTTACCTTCCAACACCTCAACATCACGACTTTTTGCAGTTTCAGTAAATTGTTCTTGATGTTCTAACGTTTTATCTTCTTTATCATCGGTCATACAGAAGATTCTCATTTGAGCTTCAGCAGGATCATGGCGTTTAGCAAAAACAACAAATTTAGACATAAATGGAACAGCAGTTGCTTCTCGGTAAAGGTCAGTAGCATATTTGGTAGCTTCATTGACTTGACGACAATCCATTAACCAAAATCTGTAAATGAATAAACAAACGATTGAAATAAAAACACTAAACACATTTGAATTGATCAATTGACTTACCTTGCTGAGACCGTAGTTGTAAATGAAACACAATTGTTGACAAAACTTAGAGGTGTAGATCCAGTTACATCTTCCCATTGAGCTTTAGATGTTCCTCCTGAATTGAATTGAAAAAAAGACGGAGTTAGAATACAATTGAATTGGCAATTGAAAATCACGATGAGCAAGGTTTTTCGTTCAAAGTGAATTTAGAAATTATAATTTCATTATAAGCGTTGATAAAGAAAAAAAACAGTAAAATTGTAATTAAAATGCAACTGTTCAGAGGTATTATGTGTTGGCTTGAGTAATCAACTTGAATTTAATAATTTGTTTTGACTTGAACGAACCACCTTTCCAATAATGCATTTTTTGTCTAACAATTAATGTCTAAATCAGTCGGTTTTAACCAGGTGAGTCTTCCCTTGATGAAATAAGCTCAATTAAATAATAAAAATAAAATAAAAAACATAAATTAATTAAAACAATCGGTCAACAAAATTAATGATTAAAACCAGTTAGTTATTGGGATAATTGTTAGGATTGAGTTGGTTAAGGAATCGCAAATAAAGTAAAAAGTAAAATCAATGAAAAAATATAACTTAAACAGCAATTATTGATTTGTTATTCATGTAAATGCCAAGATTTGTGAAGCTAACATTTGTTGAAGCAAAGCAAGCAATTAAAACACAGTTTAATCAAGAAATGTTTCATACTCAAGACGGATTAAAATGAAGATTCATTAAAAGATTTCAACAAAAATTATCAAAGGTTAAAACTTGGTAGTCCTTAAGGTTGAACTGAAGACAGATTTAGATTAAAAAGATAAAATCCAAGCCAACTTTTCATCCAACATTTGATTTATTTAATTAAAAGAATCAAAGTGAAACTTCCAGGTGAATCAAACTCAACGAGCAACTTTCTGAAAACTCTATTTTCTAAAAAGTTCAATTTTTGTGCATTTCATTTGAAGTATTTTTAAACACAAATGTAAAAGGTCAACGACATCAGAGAAAAGCATAAAATCAAAACATTTCGTCTCAAATTTCATCTGACATGAATCTACGAAAAAAATGAACCTTTTGTGATGAAATGATTGTTATTGTGTCTAAAAAGGTGAGAATAAATTATGGTGATTCATCTGAAACCTGATTACGATTAAAGTAAACAATTTAACATAAAATGAGTCCATGGACTACTTGGCATCCAGTGTAAGACTATTCTGGTGCAATGACAAACCAGATTCTCAGGCAACCATTCAAATTGGCAAAAGTAACCTCCTTTGATAAATTGAAGCAAATATGAGGAAAAATCCATTGGATTGACAAGCATTGTTACAGTAAAGAAAAGATGAGGAAGAAGAATAAATCTTGACACTTTGAACTTTCCAAATATAGCTTATAATTTAAAATGATAATTTGTTGATTCCTGTTTTGAAAATGGATATCAATGAATATTGTGAGTAAACGGAAAACAAAAGGTATTTTATATCTTGAAAGACAAGTGAATTAATTGGATGAAAAGCTGGAAAGGTTTGGAGGATGAAAAGTTATTGCTTGTAAATGCTAGTGAGGACAAGTAGTGAAGAGGATAGAGAGAAGATAAAGAATGATAAATGTAAATCAAATTCTTGTATCAGTTGAACCTTTTCGTGGGTGTTTTGTTGTTTTTAGATTAAAGGTTAAAATCGACATTTATTTAATTATGAGCATAGATCAAAGGGAGGACAAACCTGACTTTGTACTACCTGTTATACTGCAAAGCAATCTTAATGTTGGTGTATCTCCAGTGTAACTGTTAATCATTCCTCTAGTAGCTGCTTGAGGTACAGGTATGGTCAATGTGATTGGCTTATGAAATTTACGTCGACGAGGTTCCACCGTAACAATTGGACTCACGGCAACACGATTACCTAACATTTTAGCAACCAATTCAGAGGCAATCGGTTGAGCCTGAAAACAGTGAGGTAGAGAGGTGAGGATAAAAAAGACAAAAAGAGTGAGCAAATTTGCATCAATGAGTAATTAAACAAAAAGTGAAAGAAAACAAATGAAAACGAAAAATAAAAATGACATTTTTTTACAATAAAATAAAGGGTAGAAAAATGAGAGCAGATAGAGAATGTTCATCAAGATTTAAATTGCTATTCATTTACTAATTAGTAAATTAACTTGATTCTCTACCAGTTTCCCTTCCTCTCATCATCCAAACTGTTTTCAAAAGGCAATACCAATTCCTTATCATAACATCATTAATTGTTTTTCATCAGTGATTCCCATTTGGTTTTCATTAGTCAATTTAATACGTTAATGGACTTGGGGTTGGTGTTAGTAAAGGTTAAATAATTATTTGTGTATTTAAATTGAGTTAGTCTCTTTATTAGTAGGTTAACAGTAATACAATTGAAACAGTCAATATTGACATAGAGTTAGTTTTCAAAGAAAAATGTTATTCATGTTAGTTAATGAGTATTTAAAATTATTTATACCGATAAATTGTGCACAATATATATTTAAATCATATTTGTATTGAAATGAGATGATTTAAATAACATGAACGGAATAAATGAAAGTAAAGGGTTTAAAATGAATCAAGTAACAACAACAACAATTATGGTTAAAAGTAATTGACAAAATGAGCTCAAGAGGAGGTTCAAGTCTATGACTAGTAAGTAAAAATTAGTACAAGGATAAATTTAGACTGATAGGAGTTTATGTTATATTAAGAAACTAAAGGGTTTGGGAAAAGGTTCATTTCAAAATGATACAATATTGATTCTTTGGTTTCTTTGACTAGTGAGTTTTGTATTGTGTCGTTTCAAGTATTTGGTGAAAGATGAGTAAATTAGCTAATGAATGGGTGAATTAATTAAGAGTTATAAAGGAAAGGAATCACATAGAGATCAACTAAAAAGAGTTATTAACACACCAGACTTGTGATTAAACAATTGTTTTAAATTGAATAATCGGAATGAGATCAAGAAGCTGTTTAGTGTAAACACTCGAGAGTATTTTACGTTTTTTGGTTTGTTTGATATGTTTCATGATAATGCTTTTTGGCAAAAAATGTTTTAAAACTACGTGTGATTGTGGTTTAACAAACGTTAAGTGTGAAATTAGCTTAATTTTTTAAATTATTGTACTAATTTGTTGAGATCTAGAAAGGATAAAAGATGGATTTTAGTGAAATATAATTCGGAGTGAAGTTGAATATGACTTTTGATGATTTCAATTTGGTTGCTTCTAACTGATTCTAAATGATTAGACTTTAGCTTATTTCATTCATATCATTTCAATCTATCAATACAACCACATTAAGGCATTTAGATTGGTCAACTGGTTATATGATTACTTGATTACTAGCAGCTAAATGCTAAGAAAACAAAAAAGGCTGATTAATAAAAATAATTAGCTGTGGGTTCAATCTGGTCAGTGGATAAAGTGCTGGGAATCACTTTGTTAAATACTAAAGAGATTGACAGGGCGGAGTAATTTAAATCATTCGTGCAAATAGATCCAGATTAGGCATTGTTACTCGAACAAATTCAGCGAAACAATTGCTAGCATGAGAAAGCTCAGTTCGATTGGTTCGCAATCGAGATTTATCTTTTTTCTTGCAATCAGACGAACTGGCTGATTTAGCTGAGGTTGATGTTGAACATCGAGGTTCAGAGACATTTGCACCATCAGAGGTGACAACTAATGGTTCAGGAGTGGAAACATGATTTGATGAGATTTTAGTTTCAATTTGAGGTTCACTAGGAGCAATTGTTGTTGTTGTTATTGATTTTGATGATGTCTGGACAATATTTTCATCTTCTGATAATTCCATTTTTGTTGATTCTTCCAATTGATTAGAAGTTGACAAAACTGTGATTGGAGAGGAAATTGTCAAATCTTTTGTAGTTGATGCTGATGGTTTTGCCTTTTTATTGCCTCGGCCTAACCGTTTTTTTAAACCCAATCCAAATGAACTCAATCTACTCTTTCGCTTTCTACCCTTAGTTTCATCTTCATTATCATCTTCAGATTCATTTCCATTCTTATTTTTTCCTACCTGGAGTCCAACTTTGATCTTCTTAGTGAGAGCTCCGGCAGGGAAAATTGCTTGAACTTGAGGAACAACCGATGAATTAACCATTCCTCCTTCTGGTCCCATGGCATTCACTTCTTGACGGATTCGGGTAATAATAGCAAAATATTGAGGGAAGTCCGTTGTCAATATGCGAGTAATACGATCCGATGAAAATTCTGGTTCCAAGGCATTTAAGTCTGTTTTGGATAAGACGAGATACAATTAGTTTAATAAGAACACAATTTCCAGACCAATTATTGAAACTGACCTGAATCTCCTTGGAAACTTTCATTAAGAATATCTCGAACAGCTTCCTCTGAAGCTTCTAAAGTGTGCTCTTTCCAGTTCTCTCCATCGTCACTTCTCAAGATGATAATCTCACGCTCTCTTCCTCTCATTGATGCAAAATGTGGAACCTCAATAATCACAGGCCTAAAGGAAAAAAAGACAGATAATTGTTGTTGAGGTGAGATTAGACAATAGCGGTTGTGACAATTGTTTTTGTGGATTGTAGGATAATAATAATTACCCTAAAAATTTAGCTCCTGAAGGGCCAACTTCCAAAATTCTTGAAGCACAGGCTTCACCTTCCATCAAAGGTGGAGGATGAATCAACTTCTCCTTCTTCAGATAACGACAAGTAATCCTCATGGGCATCGGAGCTTTGCGAGGTGGAATAATTATTCGGACTCCTGAGTGACGACAACCTCTCATGGCTCCACCACGAGCGTCAACCATAAAGCTCACAAGGAACCTGTTGGAATAATTGAAAAGCAAAATTGAGTTAAAAATAGAAATAAAAATCAGTGAATTCCTTCCAAAAATAAAATATAAGAAATGAAAAAAAACGTAAATGACCAAAACAACCAAATGACTGAAATCAATCAACGTTGTTAAATTAATTTAACGCAACTTATGGTTGGTTTGATTAAGTACATTGAATCAAACAGAAATTGAATAAAAGTGAAAAAAATTGAAAGATGATGTATTAATTATTGAAACAAAAAAGATGCGTGAATAGATTTGGTTTGGTTAATTGTTAGTTGATTGTAAATTAAGGATAAAATAAACCGTAAGGGTGGCAAGGAAACTTACGTTTTCCACTTTAATCGTCTGTAATAAACAATCAAAATATTTTATTTCGTGCAAATTGCAGTTTAGTTAAGGAGGAAGAAGAAGAGAGATAACAATTAGTAACAAACATGGTGTTTTCATTAAGATTGTGATGCATAACGATTTTAAGGAAAATCAGAGTCACGCAATTAAATTGAAGGTCGGATTAAGGAATACTCTATTAGAACAGATTTTGTCTTTAATTTACTTGTTAATCAACTATATTAAAAAAATTATTCAACTCATGTCGTATTTGAATTGTAAGTGACATCAAGTGGATTATGAGTTAATTGATTAAATAATGGCTAAAGTAACAAACCTTGATCTGATCATGCGAAGGTAATCGGGAAGAATTTTAAATCCATTAAACAGATAACACCAATAACAATTATCATTGGGTGAATTTGGACACATCTTTGGATAATTTCAATTTCACCGTAATTATAACAATAAGAGAGACATGATATAATGAACACTGATTAAGATGATAAACGATTTGAAAATTAAGATTGAATATGTTGGCTCATAATTGAAGCATCTTTTGTTCATCATTGTCATTGTCAACCAAGAAACATTTGTCACAATTTAACTAAAGAAAAGTTTAGGCACTTAATTGTCAATTTGATTGGAGTAATAATTTACCAAATTTCTCGATAATTGAAGATGAACATTTTAAGTTGAGGTTAAAACAGAGATAACAGATAAATCAATTGAAGCATATCACCTTTACCCAACCTCTAACCAAGAATGAAGGGATGAAGAGGATGAAGATGAAACTTGCTTTGGATGTTAACTCTCAGGATGTGCCTTTAATTTTGGCTGGACTGAACTTTAACCAAACTCTAATTTCTCACTATTAATGTTCACTCTTTCAATCATCATTTTGCTCTTATTTTTTATCTAGTTGTTGACAGGAGCAAGAAAAAAATTGTAAAATTACAGAAAAAAGAAGTTTTCAACTAAAATGACTTCAAGATGATGATGAATACAACAAAAAACTAAAAGAATGGAAGAAAAGAAGAGGAAAAACTATTGATTTCTGATGAAGGTGATTCTTACAAGTTGTTGTTTTAGGTGAAACACTTAGACAGTTTTTGATGTAGACTAAATTCAATTGTTCAACTGGTAAACTAGATCTAAAACTAAAACCTTTATAATTTTGATGACGATGATGCTCAATAAGATGATCATTATGATGAAGGTAATATATCAAAGTTAAATTAAACACTATTAACTCAAACACCGGTAATCGACAGCTGCTAACTCTAAACAGTAATTGCTTGACTTTACACAGATGATGAAAATACAAATACAAATAGAAATGGCGATAATGGCTTAACAGTTACTTGCGAGACTCGTCAATGGGTAAGGGCAAGGGAGGAAGATGAGGAAGATTACTTACCCAACGGACGTGGGTGGCCGAGAGATGTCAATATTGTCGGGAGTAAAGTTGTTTATGATGGATTCTTGCATGATTATGTGAGATGGTGAGATACTTTCATCTACTGTCAATGGAGCTGTTCATATATTTTATGTGTAAATTTGTGTAGTTTAGGGTTGTTTAAGATGCAAGTTAACAAGGAAGATGAAAGAAAGTAAAAACAAAAATTAGATAAAAATAAAGGTCACTAATTCAAAGTATTTATCGTTCCCTGGGTCGTCTCCATCAATTTAAACGTCAACTTTAAAATTTCTTTTTCATTTAAATAGGAGTGTCTCTGTTTCTTTTTTTCCAGATTAAGTAACAATTAAGATAGTTCCTTGCACTAGACACAAATTAAATAGCGTTTCAATTCAAATTGATTGCTTTCTGAATCCAACAATTAAATTGGTTTGCTTTCTTTTCCAGAAGTAATCTTAATGGTAAACACAGTGAAACATGATTATGTTGATGATGTTGATGATCACTGGTGCATAAGAGCATGAGGTTAAACTATTTTTTGTGGTTCTAATAAGACTTGGGCCATCTTGAATAATATTAGACTAAGGTTGGAATTTTACATTCAGAAAAGATGAGATTGAATTGTGAGAAGAAGGAAAAGAAGAAGAAAGTGAAGACTGTAAGAATTGAAGAAATCGGAGGAAAATGGGTGACTGAAAGTCGAATTAAAAGTTGATGAGGAAAATAACGGGAGACGATGAGGCAAGAGAGTGACATATATCTAGAGAGTGATCGTCAAATGGTACAAATGAAGGAGAAGAAGGAGGGTGGAAGAGGGTGGCTCTAAGAAATGTCTTGAGTGTGCAAGGTCTCAGAGAGAGGATATTGTATATATATAGCTGAAGAATTTGTTTCTAAAAAGAGATTCTTGCTGCCAAGAAACATCACAAGTCTGATGATGGAGGAATGAAAAGGGACGACATTCAAATGGAAAAGGAATTGAAAGAAAGTGTGTGAATGTTGATGAGCAAGATGATAGATTTAAAAGAGTGGATGAAAGATGGGAGAGGAAGGAAGACTGAGATTTTTTAATCCTGGCTGGATGCAACAGATGAGATGAGCAAACCAATAAAACCGATATTTGATACAATAAGTTGAGCAAGATGGAGACGACTTTGAAAAAATAGATAAATCCTTTTGATGATTTTAAAAGTTGAAACACACCGTGAGACGATAAGTCACCAGCTCTGGACCCAGATTCATCATGAGTAACATCAAATCCAAATGATTCGTCATGTTTATTGTATTCAGTGCCATCATTCTTCTCATAATTGAGATTAACTTTAGCCCAGTTGTCAGCGCCTTCGCCTGGTGGAACAAAAAGAAGTAAAAATTATTAAAAAAAATAGACAAATATTGAATCAAGAAAAAATTTTCCCCTTCGAAAGTAATTTCAAAAGAGACGGATTAACACTCAATTTCATGAAGGCCTTGAATAACAAATTAAAATTGCAAAAAATCAACACAGGTTAAACCAACAACAATGACATTGTTATTACAAATTATTTTTGATATTTAGAAATTAATTCAACATTAAAGAGTTAAAAAAGGAAAAATTTCAAATTGGATTTACCAGAAACTTTGTAAATCTTTAACTGCACTTTCAACATTTCATTTGATTGTATTCTGAATGATTGCTACACTGGTTGGAATTTAAGTATTAAATGGTAATAACAGGTAAACACAATAATGTTCAAAGTAAATGAATAAGCAAAATTAAATGAAAATGGGAGAGTAAAATGAGTCAAATGATGGAAGGAGTAACTAATAAAAGTGAATTGGACAACAAAACAAATTTATGCCAATTATGCTTTCAAATTATTGTTTTCAACTGAAAACGCAGCTTATTGGTGAACTTGACCTAAGCCAAACAATCAATACAAAGAACGGGATTCGGAAAGGGTTTTTGCAGTGAAAAAGGTTAAAAAAGATAATTGATTAATCAACTAAAGATGAAATTATTTACAGGTAGACAATCGTGTTTCACGAAATACTTAATCACAATCATGATGATTGTGAACAACATTTGGTAATGTAAGCCTTGAAAGAGCTGGCAATAATTACTGTTTTCACTGCCTGAGAGACAAAAAATTGACAAGAAGATGTAAATTAAAATTAAAAGTCGACTATTTTTACAATGCATTTGTTAACTTACCAATTGTTGAAGCTGAATTACCCATATTATGTGAGCAATTGGTCTAAATTGACAATTGAAACTAAATTTAAATTATAAGACATTTGAAAATAACACAGAAAAGCAAAAAGAGCTGAGATGTTGATGAAAATGGTTAATGGCCAAATATGGATGCATAAATAAATCTAAGTATCAATCGTTTGAATTGAAAATGAAAAAATGATTGAAATGGGAGTTTGATTAGAGGAGAAATGAAGGGAGAAGAAAGGAAAAGAAAGGAAAAGAAAAAGAAATAGCGAAAGAGATGAAAAATGGATGATGAGGGATGAAAAAAAATGAGACGTTCATTAGTTTTTCATGTCATCAAGATATGTTTCACCTGCGTTAACGTTGGCCTCGATAATCATTGAGACAAAATTTATAATCATCGAGATTGAAAGTGAAAGTCATCACTCTAACAAGTATTAGACTGTCTAACACACAAGGAAACAATAAAATGATGATAATTTGCGAAGGAGAAGAAAAATCAAAATAAATCATGTTAAATTAACACAAGGATGAACTGAACAATAAAAATAAGATGAAACTGTGAAACTGGAAAAGGAAAACAATAGGCTATTTAATGCGTGTGGATGCATGAAGAGAAAGTTGAAGAAAAGCACTTGAATGAAAATTATTCAAAGAAATTTTCTAACATGATAACAAAATCAAATACTTTCCCGATCTAATCTAAACTGACTTTTTCAATTATGACTAATTAAAAATTGTTTTTCCGCATTTTCTATGAGTTTATCAAAAGTAACTTCCATTAAACAATCAATGACTAATTGATGATTACTGATTGATTGGTTGAATTAGCCTTTGATTATCATGAAATTGAGTGTTAAGTTAAATTGCAATTTAACGTGCACATGAAACCATTAAATTGCCAGTTAAACATGGATCAATTGATTACCTCCTTCATCTTCAGAATCAGTTGTCATGAATGTTTCTTGCATAGTCTCGGGATTATTATAACTGTACTTTTCACCGGTAGTTGTGGTGATAATACTTGTCGTAGTGACTTCAGTCACTGTCTTAAGGGTTTCAACGACTGAAATGTAATTGCATTTTTGGGCAATAGCTAATGGAGTGTAACCAAGATTGGTTGTCTTGTTTGGTGAGGCTTTAGAATCAAGCAGTAAATTAATGACCAAAGTGTGTCCTTGTTGGGCAGCTTGATGAAGTGGAGTGTAACCATGCTAATAAATTGAACAAATAAACAAAAAAAAGAGTTAATGATTGATCTTTATGTTTATTATCTTTTTTTCATTTCAATTTTGAATTGAATTTGAAAGACAAATAAACAATGAAAATAGTAAACAATCCATAATTACCTGAGTTGTAATATCAACATTAGCTCCAGCTTGAATAAGAAGCTTAATCATGTTAATGGCTCCATTGTGACAAGCGACATGAAGTGGTGTGTATCCTTGTTTTGTCTGAGCATTTACATCAGCTCGGTTCCTTAAGAGGACTTGGGCAACACCAACTTTATCACTTTGGGCACTCAAATGTAGAGGAGTTAGTTCAAGCTGAGGATAGAGAAAAAGATATTAGTAAGAAACATAACCACAATACAATAATAATCGGAAAATGTTTAACCGCCAATAGCAATTATACCTTAGATTTAGCATTGACATTGGCTTTGTGACTAATCAATAGTTCGCCCATGTCAGTGTGTCCTTCTTGAGCTGCCAAATGCAGTGGTGTGAATCCAGCTTTCGATTCTGCATTTGATTTCGCTCCATACTCTAATAGTGTAGTCGCAATCTCCATTTGCTTCTTCTTCGCAGCGATGTGTAAAGGTGTGTAACCATTTTTGGCTGTTGCATGGGGCGATGCTTTCTTTTCCAATAACAGCAAAGCAACTTGAACATGATCATAATGAGCTGCCACGTGAAGAGGAGTAACTCCATTCTGTAATAATAATATAATTAGTTTATAATTGATACAAAATGATAAAGGAAAGAAATAAATTGCAATTGCTTCTTATCTCCAGAGAGAAGAATATTTTGAAGTAAATAGAAAGCCAAGGTGAAAGATAAAGATGCTCGACGATGTAGACAGTAGACGGAAGAAGAAATAAGAAAAATGAGAAAAATAATAGAAATATAACAAAATGATAAAAAATAAAGTAGGGATGAAAGATTTATTTGAAATAAATTTGAAAAAAGGGTTTAGCAGGTCTGGCAGTGGAAGGTGAAACAGAATGGGATAACAATAAGAAGCAACAAAGGTTGAATTTGTGTAATATGAGAGAGAAAGAATGACATGAAATTTGATGATTTCGATAAAAAAAAGTTTTTCATGAAATCATCTTGAAATGGTCAGGAAATTGCAAGTTAAATGGCACTTTTATCACAGCTACTCCGGTTATTCTCGCTGTATGCAATTGATTGATAGATAAATTAAAACTAAATTATTGAAAACTTGCAGTAAATTGATTCCTGACGATCTCAAATAAAAGTGTACAAAATAACAAAAAGCAAAACAAAAGCAACAAGAAATTAAATTATTGACTAGAGATAAATGATTATAAAATCATTTTGAAATGAAAAGTTCCTTTTTCTTTCTCTGATCAACTCTCTTTGTTTACCTTTCCTTGAGCATCAACAGGGGCATCTTTTTCAAGTAACAATCTTGCAACTTTAAACTGGCCATATTTAGCTGCCAAATGCAATGGAGTGAATCCTTTCTGTAAAACAAAAGAAACTCATGTTAGAAATATTTCAACTTTAAAAACAGTTTAATCAAAAGTGAATAGAGATATAAATTATGAACCTTGGTTGTTGCTGTAAGCGATGCTCCTTGTTCAAGAAGAGCATCAGCAACGTTTTCCTTTCCTTCTTTAGCAGCAATGTGAAGAGCTGTGTATTGATCTTTGGTAGCTGCATCGATGGACGCTCCACGACTAAGTAATAATTGAACAATCTCAACATCACCCAAACGTGACGCAATGTGAAGTGCTGTTTGATCCTCCTGTGAATAACAAGTGTTAACATTAGTATTTATAAAACACATTTCAAGTAATCTCTACATACTCTTGCCCTTGCATCAACTTGAGCTCCGTTTCTAACCAGAATTGGAATAATTTCAGCTTGACCAGCTCGAGCAGCCAAATGGATGGGAGTTTCACCTCTAATAGTAGACTTATTGACATTGGCTCCATGTTGAATAAGAAATAGGACAATATTGGTACATCCCATGAACGATGCTACATGTAAGGGCGTTAAACCAGATTCTGTTTTAACTTCAATAGATGCTCCATGTTTCAAAAGTAACTCAACCACCTTGAGTCGATTCTTTTTACATGCAATATGTAAAGGTACAAATCCGTTGAGAGCTTGTGCATTGACATCAGCTTTGTGGTCCAGTAATAATTTAGCAACTTTAACATGACCACAGTGAGCTGCAACATGTAAAGGTGTAAGGTAATCCTGAATAAAAGAGAAAAATGAAAAAAGAAAAATTACTTAACATGTAAAAATTGGTAATTGAAATTGGCATTCTGAAGATAAAAAATGAACTAGATTAGATGAAAACAAAGTAAACATTGAATGGAGTAATAAAAATTCATGATCACAACATATTTCCACTTGAGATTATCAAAGTCTAAAAGCTATAAAAAGTCTATGGATAACTTGCCGATATTTATAGATAATTGAACAATCTTTAATCAAGGTGTAGGATAACATGCTCGTTAATTATGTACTTTAAAAGATATTCAAGAGAAAAGGCAGAATCTTAATCGATACTTGATTATCAATATAATTTACTCGAGAAATGGAGAGATTCTATTGGAAAAAAGATGGAAATTAAAAAATGTTCAGATTAATTCATCTGTACATTGTTTGTTTATTCAAGTGCTGAGTTTCATTTTTTATCCAAAACAATAGAAAAACTTGAATTTTACTTTTTAGTTAAGCTTTAAAGTTTATAAACAAATAAAGCAAGGTTAGATTCAAGATGTTTACATGATGAAATTTCATTTTTAAGAGTAAATAAATAATCGATGTGAAAAAGTAAAAATTAATCAAAGTAAAACAAGGTTATTGGAGTCATGGTAAGTAAATTTGCATCATGATTTAACATGGTAAAAGATATAATGATCCATATTGGTTGAGTGGGTGAATGAGAGGAAGATTGTAATATTTAGTCAAGGTGAGTGTATCAATATTTAGTTCATCTAATGGCTAGTTAAATAACTCAACATGGTCTAATAGCATCTTCTTCCGGTTATATACCAAAAGCCTTTACATGAAGAAAAAAAAATATTCATTGATATACATTGAGAATTTCATGTCAACAGCGAATGACAGAAGAGAACAGGAAGAACAGAAATACAATTAGATTATCATGCAACCGAAGTCACGAGAAGTTAAAAAACACTATTTTTCACTATTTAAGGTGAAGTCGATGTTACAGAATTTAAAATGATTTTGGTTAATTTTTGTTTATCAATTACACATTAACCGCTATTCATTTGATCATAATATCTGTGTAATTTCAAAATAATTTTTCCAGTCAATTTGTGAGGAGAAAGTGAAAATCATTGAACATAATAGAGGAAAATGATAGGAATCAAGACTAATATGGAAGCCCATGTTCATTTGAACAAAGTTGATTTGACCTCCAAACCAGAATTGAACTTTAAGTATAAACAAAAATTGTATAAACAAAAGTTAATAAATGAACCAGAATTAAGGATGAGACTACAGGATAAAAAGAGGATAATAGTGTGGGTTTACAATAATAGACAAGATCAGCTAAATTGTTGCTTTTGCAGCAAATGATAATAATCAGATGTAATTTAAATTTAACCAAATACAATTTCATAAGTTTCATTTTCTCAAGTCTGATTGAAGGTTAAATTACAAAGAAACTTGAATGTCTATTGAAACCAATGTAATCATCAGATAATGAAGGAGTTAACATATTTACTAACAATTAAGATCATTAGTTTTTCTGCAGCATAATTCAAAACAAGTCACTGAAACAATGGAAAGGTATTTAGACCATTAGGCATTGATTAGGAAAGGTTCATCTGAATGAGTACTGAATAATGGAACTGAGAAAAAAGTTGAAAGTCAATAACCTGATCTAGCAAACAGATGCACTCAAGAAAGCATAAATTGTAATAATTATTGTGAACAAATATCGTTAAATATTGCTAATGTTGGATAAGAAAATTGAGTCCAAAATTACAAATCATGTTTAATAATGGGTTTGAATTGAGCATTTGTTAAATCAACCAACAACGGTAAGCTAAAAGTAGGAATTGGGTTAAAAACTAAAGATATTTATCAAGATGATTTAGCCGTTAAAATCATTAGCTAAAGCCTTTGATTGTCGGTCAGTTAGTGTTTAGTTGTCCAAGTTGTCAACATCGTAAACTTAATCAATACTCTGACAGTGAATAGTTTATTTCATTCAAATTCATTGTATTTAACAATCTGTTAAGTGAAACTGGATAAAGCCATCAGAATGAAATTCAAGGTAAGTTTTTTTGGAAATCTTATTATTTAAATTTAAGCTCATCAACTTATTTATCTTGTTAAGAAGCTTTTAGTTGCTTGGTTGAGTATCATTATCATTGGTGGAGTGATGGGATCACCGAAAATTGCTAAAATTTTTAAAAAATTTCCATTTTATAACAAATTTTTCGCCCCTGAAATATATTCACAAAGTTTGTACACAAAATTTCACAAAATTCCCAGTTATTATCCGTACTATTACCGTCCTTATTACCATTGGGGTGGGAATCATTGGGGTTACGGAGGTCGATGGTATTTTGGAGGATAGTCTAGGACCCAAGTTGGACCATAATGAACATTTTGTAAGTTCAAACTAACAATGAAATTTTCAGTTCTTTGTGACTCTCATTAAGCTTAAAATAAACAAAAGGTTAATAAAAAAATTGTGATGATATACTGTTGACATCGGTAATTGAGTTTGAGCTTCATGGTAAAAGGTTTTGTCTTAATTCCAAAATGAATGGTACAAAGTAGATAAGAGTGTATTAAGAAAATAAAACATTAATCTGAATGAAAGCCAAAAGAGATTTACTGATTAACAAAATGTTTTTTTTTGTTCAATTTTATTTGCTCACAAAATTATGGAAATTTCGAGCGGAAAATAAGCATTGACAGAACTAATGAACGGTTCTTCATGGACAAGGTGTACAGGGTTGCATAAAATTATCTGCTGTGTGTTGATTGTGTTTTCTGAACAATAGTAATTTGAAACATGAATGGACTATTCTTAAAGAGTTAACACGATATCCTAGACTGAGTATCAGATTGATTTAAAAATAAGATTGAGGTCATCAAGATAATAAATTGAAATTTATGTTTCAATTGATCTGAAATGGAAACCAGAAGAAATGAAAGTTTCCTCATGGTTATCATGGAGAAATGGATGAGAAAGCAAGATAGACAGAGAGGCACACCCAGACTTGTATCAGTTATCGTATCAAGACAAGATGGTTGTTTGATTGAAAAAAAGAGTTGAAACGAAATTTAGAAAAGAAGATTTGAATGAGAAAATATGAGAATAGACAGAATAAGAATTTCTTAAGCATTTGGTTCATGATTAAAGGGAAACAGAAGTAGATTATTCTTGAAATAATAGAAGCCGGTGTTGTAGAGAAAAGAGAGAAACGGAGATGAAGAGGAGGAAGAGGAGGAAGGGAGAGAAAGTTGAGTGAGTATAGAGATTGAATATTGTTGGAGACAGAAAAGAAACATTTTCAATTCAGTCAAGCATAACCATGAAGATGACCTTGAAAATGCCACTGAGTTTTGACGATTTTGGTGAGCAATAAGACAGGAAAATAGACAGAAACAGACTACATATGAATGAGTAATTCAAGAGACTTGGATCGGAGGAATGATGATGAGAAGGAAGAAGGCGAACGTTTGCTGGGTGTGGTAAGGATGACAAATTATGGGTAAACATGTTGAAGGTGTTAACTAATTGAATGGATTGATGTGTAATATTGAAACCTATCATCATCAACAGAATCTTAATCAATAACTTCAATTATAACAGCAATATATTTATTAAATACAATTAATTTATTCATGGCTGGTTGAGTCTTACTGGCTTTTCAATAAAAAAAAACTAATATCTCTTGATATATTGACTTTGTTTGGGTCATGTAAATTGTTGTAGGTGGATGTTTTTTTTCATGATCAACCAGCAAACAAAACAATTAAAAAGGATAGTTTAAATGTAGGTTAAAAGTTTTTATGGGAATGAGAAATGATTGAATCAAAGTTGCCTTTTGGATGTTAATTTTGACAGAAAATTATAAAACTACAATTATGATTGCTATAAATAAAAGACTATCTTTGAAGTAAATTGATAAGCATTGATATTGATGAGCGTTAATGTGGAAACAAGAAATTGATTTTGAAAAGACTCTTATAAATAAGGTAATGGTGAAAAGTTCTGTGATTCAGGGTGATAAACTGTTCACTAAATTGCTACAATAATACAATGGAAAATAAAATGAGCACAATGAGAGGATAAGTACAACATTGAAACTGTTCAGTTAATGAGATAAAAAAGAACCAGAAAAACAATTCAAAAGAATAAAAGTCTTTAACGAGGTTTCATAATTGAGTGATGCTGTTACTATCATGACCCAAATTTTTCAGTAAAAAAGAATATGAAACAATGAAAATATGAAAATTGTTGTTACACGATGTAGATTGGAATAAAAAACGCAAATGAAAAATATGAAAAAACAACAGATACATACCACTGTAACATCATCCACAGGTGCTTTGTAAGCAAGTAAAGTTCGAGCCGAGTCGATATGATCTCCTTGAGAGGCCATATGAAGAGGTGCTAATCCATTTTTGGTTTTTGCTGAATATGGAGCTCCTCGTCTCAGCAACAAATCAACGACAGGTTCATGTCCACTTCTAGCGGCACAATGTAAAGGTGTAAGACCATCGCGGGTTGCTGCATCAATTTGAGCTCCTCGGTCCAACAACAATCCAACCATATTACCTTTTCCCCATTTAGCTGCAACATGTAGCGGTGTAATTTTGTGCTTAGCGGTGAAATTGATATTAGCACCTTTGTCCAAAAGTAAGGTGGCGATACTTTCATTTCCATAGTGTGCAGCAATGTGGAGTGGAGTGAAACCACTTTTAGAAGTAACGTCAGGCTTTTGATCACTTTGGAGGAGAAGAGCGGCTGCTTTGCAATCATCTTTTTTAGCAGCAATATGCAAAGCAGGAAGTCGAACTTTTCCTTTGGAGTCATTTTCTAAAAGAATAGAAACAACTTTATCATGTCCTTGTTGCAATGCAACGGCTAAAGGAGTAAATCCATCCTCTGTGGATATACTTTGATTAGCTCCATGAGCTAATAAATATCGGACTACTGCATCATGATTTTCTTGAGCTGCCATATAAAGTGGAGTGAAACCATTGAGACTTTTAGAGTTAACGTTGGCTCCGTTGTCAACAAGAATCTCAACCACTTGCAGTTTACCACCAAGCGAGGCTATGTGAAGAGCTGTATTCCCTTTATTTGTACCAGCATTTACGTTGGCTCCTCTCTTTAATAACTCTTTGACCATATCTGTGTGGCCTTCTTTGGATGCCAAATGAAGGGCATTCATCCCATTCATGTTTGCGGTATTGATGTCGAGACTTCCATTGAGATATTCGACTACCTTTTCTAGGTTACCGGCTCTGGCTGCCCGAAGGAAGCTAGAGCTTCCTTCATTCACTAACTGTGGAGATGATTTAACCATGATGATGGGTATCAACGATTTGAATCACATTTGAAACATCAAACATAAAATTGACAACAGTTTCATCCACAGAAAAAAAGAATAACCAGATTCAGAGTTGGGAGTGGCGAATTCACAAGCTCCGCTGAAATCCAAGGCGTCAACCTAACTGCAGCTGAGCTGGCTTTAACTCAAGCTTGATTAAATTCCATTGAGTTAGATAAAATTGAATGAGATGGAGCCACAATTTGTTTTGTTATTGGAGGCCCAAGGGATAGTTTGTTATTGATCGCCATCAAGTAAGTTTATTTATTTTAATCAATCTAATTAGAACCTAATATGACCCATCTTTTGTTTTAATTGTATTTTGGACTTGTTCTAATTGCCCTTTTCTCCATTTCCTTACTTTCAGACATGTCTGCAACACAAAGAGTTTTAAAGTCAGTGCAAGGTCAAGTGAAACCAATTTTATCCCTCAACCATGAGGATGCCAGACGTCGGACAATCAATTTATATCGAGCATGGTATCGCCAAGTACCCTGTTTAATTCACGATTGGGGTTTGCCGTTAACTGTACCTCAAGCTCATGCCAAACTAAGGGAGAAATTTCGAGAAAATAAAAATGTTACTGACTTAAGGGTGATAGATATGCTTTTGATTCGAGGGCATATTGAACTTCAGGAAATTATTGATGGTATTTCCCAAGGATTTCACATTTTCAAGTACTTTAAAGAAGATTATATTCCAGCTAAACCTCGGGACTTTATGTCGAAATTTTTGGCCGGCAAAACCTCCGATTGAACGCAATGGAAATCGTAAAAGTATACTTTTAACAAATAGGTTGAATATACAGAATTAATGATTGCAAAATAAAAATTCAATTTACCCCTTAGATAATTGTGAAATTTATTTCATTGTCCATTTCAGTTTAAATAATTGTTTCAAAATTTATGCGAAAATTTGTGTTCCAAATGCTACTCGCAAACACAAGCGCCATCTTCTTATTGCAACATAAACTTGATGCATTTTTTGTTTTGTTTTCTTATTGTCTCTTATTGTATTTTAAAATGAGTTTTTAGCTTGAATAGGTGATTTCAATTTTTTGGTTGTGATAATGATGTGATGGTGATCCCAAGCGGTTCAATTAACCAATTAACCAGTGATGATAGTGTCATGTCTAACATTGTATTAACTATTTACAATGACATACTTGATGAGATTCTTTTAGGAGTATGTTTTGAAATTCACCGTGCATCTAAATTAGGTTTTCTTTTCATTGACGAGTCATCACCTAAAGAGTAAGTTTCATTTCTATTATTATTTCAGCAAGATTCGCGTTGATCTATCATGACGATAGCTATCAAAGGCTGTAAATTAACTGATAATAATTCATTATTCTTATTCTTCTTTCATTACTACAGGGACGAGAAATATGGTAAAGACTTTAGTTGACTCTTGCAGTTAGCTTATAACGCTTAATTTTTAAATTATATACTTTAATTTACTCTTTTCTTGTAACACAATCAAGATTTATTATTTCACTTCAATTACTGATTTTCTCTTTTTCTCCTTGCCTTTTCTCCACATTGCCCGGAAAACGCTATCTTGACTGTACTCAACTGGTTTCTCCATATGAAATTATTATGGACTTGCGGGTATATCCTCTATATACGGTTTGATAATCATGTTTCTAACGATGATTTGGTATTTCAAAATATTTTGTAAATCATCTTTTCTTATGGCTCTTAAAATGTATTAATTTTCTTGTATCAACGAATTAACAGTCATCATTGATGAAAGAGGATTGGATATATTTGGTCAGGCTCATACTCAAATGAAGAAACAATTTGATTGTACTTGTCCTAACTGTCAACGAAGTCTGGCTGCATCAAGATTTGCTCCTCATCTTGAAAAATGTATGGGAATGGGTCGTAATAGCTCTCGTATCGCAAGTAAAAGAATAGCCAGTTCAACTGGTAAAACAAATGATTCTGATGGCGAGGAGTGTGATAATAGTGGTGATACTGATTGGAATTTAGGAAATGATAATAGAAAACCAAAGAAAAGAAAAGAAAAAAATGGTCCAAGTGGAGTTGGTAGTAATTTTACTAAAAAATGGGGTAAGATGCAACGTTGGTGATATGAAATTAATCGAGTTCTCAATCAATTTTAATTTTGCTTGTCGCATTATGATCCAGGCAAATGAACCAAATTAGCCCAGCAAAGGTGGTGTCGTGTTTTTAATCAATTCGGGCCTTTGAATCACCTTTAATCAAGAAAAGAAAATGATGCAACGTTCTTTTGGTTGTAATTGTGATCTATAATTATCTATAATACTTTGTCGAATTATGTGTAAATTGAAAAACAAAACCAAATACGAAAACAAGCAAGTAAATAATACAGTATTGTGTAAAAAAATTAGTAAATTTAATTAATTTCAAAATGATTTGAACCTTTGATTTCGTTAAAAGATAACCCACCAAACTATTCAATCATGAGCGAAATTTATTGCAAAAATCAGGCGAATAAGCCTTGAAACTTGTGCAATCCGAGTCCAAGTCTCTGAGACGTCGGAATCGGCAAGTGAGAAAATTTACATTGAAAGATGATCTTGTCAACCATTGCGCCAATGTATTTTTTCAATGCTTCACACAAGAAATGAGCAGGAAAACATGATTACAGCGATATTTTAGACCAGTTCAATGATTACGACGACGTCTTTTCCAAAGTATAGATGATGATCCACCAGTTAAAGAGTTGTATGAAGATGATGGTGTTGGTGGAACCGAAGCAAATGGGTTCTGGGGTATCGGTATAGATGGACTATATTTAGTCCTGGATATTGACTTGGAGCTCTCAGGTGTATCGCAATTGCCACTGGAACTTGGTTTACAAATATCTCTATTTGATCTAGACATGACTTCATAAAAATCTGATTGTTCATCATCAGCTTCAACAAAGTGATCAGAGTCGCAAACAGATTCTGATAATGATGAAGAATCACAACTCTGTGATTCACAATCCATTGAATTTAATTCACAAGAATTTCCATTGTTGCCATGTTCATCAAGAATATTGTGTGAATCTTCTGAAAAATTGGATGTCGATTGCTTTAAAAAAGAAAAGATAAGTTATAAAAAAAAGGTATCTCAAAAAAATGCATGAATTAAATTGTTAATAACCTGATTGACAGTTGTACTTCGTTTACGTTTACCAAAATATTGGGCGAAACTTGTCTGCCCAACACATAATTGTCCAAATAGTCTTTCGTCTTTGGATTCTTTTTTCCTTTTATGCTTCTTCATTCGATGTTTTCTTGACAAACTACCACAATCACCAAAAGGTCCTGGAATCTCTTTAATTTCTTTGTTTTGATAACAAAGAGGATCTCCAGATTTTTCTTCATCTGATTCCGAATCACTTAGAATTAACTTTTTAGACCGTAGCAAAATGGAGGCAGACCGTAGGACAGGTTTAGCTAATTTCACTTTTGAGCCACAAGATGATTTCTTGGCAACATCTGTTGAAGACACAGAATTGGTTGGCATTTTATCTCTAATAGGTTTGATAATTCGTCCATCTGGGGGCATTAATCTCGATGGCAATTCCTGTTTTAAATCTTCAACATCAATTATGGCAAAGCTTAAATCGTTGGCTAATTGATCCATAATAAAATTGATCTTCTACGATCAGCTGAAGACACAAGTCTTGAGTCACAAGAGTTTAAAGGAAGACAGAAACTAGAGTGCGCAGCCAGCCAAATATTTCGTCTCATCCGCCACTCATTTTGAAGCTAAGCTGAAACCATTTTTCACCAACTCAATCGGCTCGAAATCCGGTCAATATTGCTGGTCAAGTGTCAAGACATTGTTTAGGAGTCCAGTCAAGAATAGTGTTTCGCGATAATGAAAAAATCTGTTTCAATCATAAAGGTATCGAGTACAATTTCATCATAAATCAGGAGAAAAAGTAAAGTCTATTTTCCGAGGAAAGCCATTTTCCAAGATTCAGCTTAACACTGTTGGTAGCTGCTTCAACTTAACTTTTAAACTTTGATTTTGAACAGTCTAAAAGTCGAAACTTACAATTTCTGAATAAAAATTGTGACTAAAATGAAAGGATTTTCAGAAGTCAAGAAAACTGATATAACCAAGAAGGTAATGCATTATTGATGGTAAAAACCTTTTACTGACAAAAATAATTTGCAAGTCTCTAACTGTCACTCGCCTGGTTTAACAGAAAGCAGAAATGAACTATTTTATTTTACAGTAAAACATCTTATCAATTCCTCCGTGTAAATTAAACTACCACAGCTAAGATACATTAATTAACAGCTACAGTTTATTAATTTCACAGATTTACATCTTATTCATATCATGTTGGAAATCGTTGAGTGCAAATCCAAGTCCAGATCCAGTGGCGAATGTGATTGGCCATAAGCGTCTTCGGAATATAAATAATGAAAATAAAGATCCTACTGCTAGACCAACAGCTACAGAAACAAAAACAAGAAAATTACACTGGTTAATTTCAGTATACAGTAAGACTTTATTGGCATTTGAATGACTTACCCATCTTATGTACAGAATTGGCTCCTAATCTATCAATTGCACGTCCGTAATGATCTTCGCTTTTGGCCATTTCAAATAATTGAGTTGCAAATTAGTTAAAGGTTAAAAACAAATAGTAAAGGTTTGGGTTAAAGACTTGATCACAGTTAAATAAAAGTATCTAAGGGAAGGTCACAGTTAAAAAATGATTATCTCAGCTGTTTGCTATTCTAAGCCTGCCATCTATTGACATGAATCAAGTGCAAATGATGAATGATCAGTTTTTGACCAATTTCATTCTTCTTCAGATGGTCTGGTTATGGACAATCAGTAAATTCATTACTCATTCATTCATTCATTTCATTCATCTCTCTCTCTCAAACCTTATTTTTTTCTTGAAAAAGAGCCCAAAACAAGCCACTATTACGACCAATGGTGCTTTGATGCTGTTTAATGTTAACAGGTTTCCTTGAGCAGTCCATATGACTAAACAATTGACGAAGGTATTTATCGATGGTAGATATTAGCTTTTCAATCGAGTGTTTCTGTCTTTCAGAGTTGCCGTTTTAGACAAGGTTGCTGATTACTTACTTATGATTGGAAAGCTTGTGGTCACAGCATTTATGGGTCTAGCAACATTTTTTACTTTACGGTTATAATCTAACTTATTTCAGACCTGATATAAATTATAACCTATTTCGTTGATGGTCGATCATAGCATTGTTCTGAATACACATTGCGAAAGCAAAAGCGTTGAGAATTCAAAAGTATCGCGTAAATGAAATGAAAGATTAATATTCAAATGAAATATAATTTATTGAAAGTATTTTATTATAAAGCTTTATAATTATTGATGAAATGAATCAAGGAATTAGGAAAGTCTTCAGAAGAAGAAGAGTTACATGCTGGGGACATTTGTGGTTCTATTGGGATAAGAGGTTGATGTGACATTAGTGGTTGATCACTCGATATTACAGGTTCATTATAATTATTTAGGACAGTACTTAGACAATGAGAAAAGTCTGTATAAGAAGAGGAAGAAGAGGATGTTGGAGACATTGGCAGTTCTATTGGAAGTGGAGGTTCCATCAATGCTGGTTGAATTGGCATAAGAGGTTGATATAAAATTTGTGGTTCGAAGGGAATTGATTGTTGATGATATGATTCCATTGGTGGTGATGGTGGCAGTTGTGGTTGATCCCTCGATGTTACAGGTCCCAGTAGAGTTGGCGCTGGTGGTTGTTGGTAAGACACTGGTGGTGATTGATCAATTGATACCGGAGGTTGATGGGTGATTATCGGTGGTGGAGCTGTATTTTCTTTGCTGGCTTCCTTCTTGGCTTTGGTTCTACGATTTTTGAACCAGTTTGACACAATAGAACGAGTTAATCCCCATTTTTTAGCCATTACGTCTTTCTTGGTGTGATCGGGAGTTCGACATTTAGTGAACTCGCTTTCAAGTCCTTGTATTTGTTGTTTGGTGAAAGTATAACGTTCTTTTCGAGCTCGTTTATTCAAATTAAACGTCTCGAGCACCAGATCCAAGTCGTTGTTGGTTTCCACAGCACTTAAATTATTTGAAATCACACAGTTATGTTCTTTGTGGTTCTCTGGTAACACAACAGAACATTTTTTGGCTGGTCTGACTCTTGACCGTCTATTCTTGAACCAAGTTGTAATTTCATCAACATCTTTTCCCAAGTCATGGGCGATTCTTAGTCTAACATGACGATCAGGATCTCTACAATGAAAATATTCACTCTCTAAAAAATTCACTTCTTGTTGAGTATACACAACTCTCGGCTTTCGTCGCCTTTGTTGTACTGTTGATGAGGACATGATGATGATGACACTTGAACAAAATATAATTTCAATGATTGAAGTAATGAAACAGTGAAAGTCTTGACGGTGAATGAAGTCTCCTTTCGAAACTCGGCCCTTTTATACCGCCCCTCACCCTCAGGTCGAAGTTGAATCAAATTGACGAATAAAAAAAAGGTCAACGCCTTTTCCATTATCAAAACTCAACAGTAATCCTAATCCTTTTCTGTGTTTTTTAGGCAATTTAATTACTCGATAATAGCCTCTGGTCATAATAATCTTTACTTTTTTATTTATAATTATGAATTGAAGCCTCGTTTTTTAAGCATTTTAAACTTCTTATCTTGAAATTACTAAAAAACGAAACAAAAAACAGGCAACGGAATTTTCCGAATGTTCGGCAAAAGATACCTAAATTAACATGAGGTTCAATGATATTCTTTGCATTGATTTTTATACTTTGCTTCTTATGCTTTTAATGTCCTCGTAACCAAGATTTCATTACATTGGTTTCTAAATGCTGAAGAAAGTTTCCAAGTCAATTGTATTTTTAATCCATACAGTATATAAAGTCAAAACATGAAACTTTCGTGTAAAAATTTTAACTATACGGAAAGGATTCTAAAGAAAATATTTGTATAGCTGAAAGCCACGATTGAGTTACATGTCCGAAAAATATTCAGAGGTTAATCAGAATTCAGGTTACTAAGAAATTCACGTTTAAAAAGGGTAGGGTTCAAGCACTGTCGGATAATGGCTAGACATATTGGTGACATTGTTTTACTTTAATACTTTGAAAGCGATTTCATTGAGAAAACAGTATTAAATTCTCGATCAACAACCGTCGTAAAAATCATCGTCAACGAAGAAACCTAGAAATAAATTAGAATCTGGTTCACAACCGGAAAAAAAGGAAATATAAATTTGAGCTTTGAAAGTCATTTTAATGAAAACCCTTCACCAGAAATTTTTTTAGTTACTCGAATAGTTCCAGTTACAGTTGTATGTCCCTAAAAGTTCATAAGGTTGCAACTCTTTACTCGAAAGACAGTTTTACATACACTCCTAATCCAATAAACCCGTAACCTGAAAACCAAAAAGTTATTCCCTCACCATGTTTAAACGCTAATTTCTTAGTAACCTTAATTTCGAAAATGTGCTAACTTTTTTCGTGAATGTAGTTTAATCTTGTCTTGTTGAGAAAAGTCTCTGTAAAAAGTGATGACGTTTGATTTGTTATTTTGGTGGATGTGTTGGATTGAGTGATGGCCAATACGATGAAAAGACGGTAAAAAGTGTTGGAAAATAGTCAATCCTCTCTTTACTCTTTACTCAAATGACGAAGTTTTACATAAAATTCTGGTCCAACAATGAACCAACAACATGCATAACAAAAAATTTTCCCGCCACTCAATGTTATTGAATACGGATTCTACAGTTTTTCCACCAGCCTCTATTTTCATAAATTTCTCAAAGATCTGAAGTGAGGTTTCCTATTTTCATGGTTGTAGTTAAATTCGGGCTTTCACGCTGTTGTTCAAAAGTTCATGTCTTACAGGCTGTGTACTTAGAACTTTTCTTAGAAGCATTTTCTTAAAATCCTTTCATTCGAATCAAAATTTTCACACAAATAATTATACAGAACAATTCACGATCTAGTTAAGATTGGACTGTTTGACTTTAAAACTCAATCACCATCAGTGTAAAGTAAAGTGTATCAACGTTAGAAGTTGAATTTGTTTAGATCATGATTGAGCTTATATTGTTGAGTCTGATCGAAACGAAATTAGTTTAGTTTTTGTTTGTTGATGTATTAAGATGGTCTAATTAATTTGTCAATGTTGGCATATTAACATTTCGATTAACCTTTCTTGTTCACTTGAAATGGTCAACATGACAGACCCATAATAATTGTCTGAGCGTAAGCGAAGGCTTTATTATGAAAAGCGTGGGGAAATTACCCACTCTAGAGCCAAAACTACTGAACCAATCTCAACCAAATTTTATATCTAGCATCTCTATGGCATAAGGCATTGCAGACGAAAATTTGGTTGAGATTGGCCCACTTTTACGAAATTAATTATTTTGGATAAAAACAGGAGTCAATCTATTAAAAATACTAAGGAAGAAGTTCACCTTTCGAGGTAAGATTTGGGACTTTATGGGTTTGTTAGGACATAAAAACTGAGTCCATTAGTTCTAATAACGAACTTTCAATTAGCAGTTTTTGAGGTAATCGCGGCCAAAGTAGTAACTGCGATCGCCTTTTTTTAATTATGGAACCAGATTTTCATGCAAATTCTTTTACTCATGTGGTCAACTAGAAAAGGCACTTATTTTGATAAAATTATGTTTCTGTGTAACATCCCTCTAATTTTCAGTTAAACCTACGCTATTCTGTAAGAGATAATGAGCTGAAACTTATTATTTTGTCCATAGCTGTTGATACATATCAAGGATCGAAAACTTTTTCAATTTATCAATAGTTTGCTTGATTTTGGCTATCGGCCTAAAACTTTTAACCTCAATATTTCAACAATAGCATAATCTACAATTATGATTCTTAGATTGATCAATAGATTAAATTATTAGCTTAATAAAATACTGTTTGATCAACCATGTGGACCAAACATTGAACGAAAAATGAGTTTCAGATCTCTAATCTTTGTGGTCACAGAATGTGTCTGTTTAACTAAAAATCGAACTATTCTGTCGTACAGATAAAAACGTAAAGAAAAAAATCTAAATAAAACAATAAAAATTCCGTCATATGTAACGCTCAGACTTCACTGTTATCAACAGTAGTCTAGTGGTAAACAATAGACTAAAGTCGATGGGTTTTGCTGCGCATAAAGTTAATAAATTCATGATGTTACATGTATTATATGAAAACATGAACTTTAAACCGAATCTATCCAAATCGATATAATGACTAACATCTAGTAAATTGTTGGTGAACAAGATCAACATTTAGAGTTTCAATTTCATCATTTTACTCTTGAATCATTTAAAAATATTGAATGATCCATTGATGATATTTAGTTAAACAAACGTACGATGGTTCAATCACACTTCGGAAAAAGGAATAAGATCAATAATTAATTACTTGAAAGAGATAAATGGTGAAAAGGAAAGTGTTGTTGAAGCAGATTGGGTTAACAGAAGTGTTTTGTCCTGTTCAATTGTTTCGTCCAGAATAACTGTAACGTTACCTGTCAATATTGCCTTTCTATTAACATTAAACACCGCAATGATCAAGGTCTGGATAATAAGAGGATATAAAGAATTCAAAAGTATCGCGTAAATGAAATGAAAGATTAAGTTTAAAATGAAATATAATTTATTGAAAGTATTTTATTATACATCGTTATAATTATTGATATAATCAATCAAACTAGTGGTAAAGTCCTCGAAAGGAGAAGAGAATGTTGGAGACGGTTCGAGTTCTATTGGGATATGAGGTTCAATTGGTTGTGGCTCAATTGGCATTAGAGGTTGATAAAAAAATAGTGATTCGAAAGAAATTGATTGTTCATCATTTGATTCCATTGGTGGTGATGGTGGCAGTTGTGGTTGATGCATTAATGTTGGAGGCTCCGGTATTGTTGGAGGTTGTGGATCCATTGATATCGCTGGTTGATAGGCAATTGTTGGTTGAGGTGGAGGTGGTGATGGTGGTGGTGGTGCTGAATTTTCTTTTCCGTAAGTCTTCTTGGCTTTGGTTCGACGATTTTTAAACCAATTTGTGACAATGGCAGGAGTCAATTTCCATTTTATAGCAATTTCATCTTTCTGCCAGTGTTCTGGATTTTGACATTGACGGAAAGCTTCTTCTAAACCTTGTACTTGATCTTTACTGAATACATAGCGCTCTTTCCGACTTCGTTTATTTTTACCAAGCACATTAAGACTAACATGCATCTCGTTTCCATTTGGCACATCATATTTTTCACGTGAGATCATTATGTTTTGAACTTGATTACACTTTGGTGACACAATTGAACATGGTTTAGCTGGTGCACCTCTTGAACGGCGGTTCTTAAACCAAGTCTTTATCTCTTCAGCATCTTTTCGCAAATCATTAGCGATTCTAAGTCTTTCATTATTATCTGGATCTTTACACGCAATGAATTCACTTTCTAAAATATTTACTTCTTGTTGAGTATACACAACTCTCGGCTTTCGTCGCCTTTGTTGTACTGTTGATGAGGACATGATGATGAAGACACTTGAACAAAATATAATTTAATGAATGAAGTAATGAAACAGTGAAAGTCTTGACATTAAATGAAGTCTGCTTTCGAAACTCGGCCCTTTTATACCGCCCCTCACCCTCAGGTCGAAGTTGAATCAAACAGCGAATCAAAAAGGTCAACGCCTTTTCCATTATCAAACCTCAACGGTAATCCTAATCCTTTTTTGTGTTTTTTAGGCATTTTAATTACTTGAAACTGGCCTCTGGTCATAATAATCTTTACTTTTTTATTAATAATTGAAGCTCGTTTTTTAAGCATTTTAAGATTCTTATCTCGAAATTACTAAAAAAGGAAACAAAAAACAGGCAACGGAATTTTCCGAATATTCGGTAAAAAGACACCTAAATTAACATGAGATTCAATGATATTCTTCGGATTTATTTTATACTTTGCTTCTTATGCTTTTAATGTCCATCCACTTTCTCGTAACCAAGATTTCATTGCATTCGTATCTAAATGTCGAAGAAGGTTTTCAAGACAATTGTCGGTTTTTTAATGCATACAGTATCTAAAGTCAAGGAAAGGATGCTAAAGAAAATTGCAGGCTGAAAGTCACGATTGAGTTACATGTCCGAAAAATAGTCAGAGGTTAATCAGAATTCAGGTTACTGAGAAATTTACGTTTAAACACTGTAGGATAATGGGTGAACATATCGGTAACATTGTTTTACTAGATTTTCTTTGTTAGACATTCATCTAGATTACATTTTGATTTTGTGATCAAATTATTGAAAAATAAATTGTTATTGCTGAAACTGTATCATCAACTGTAAATTTTCAATGTTAATGGAATCCGTATTTCGAGTTCATTCATCTGTGTTTTTGATCAAAGTTGACTTTGATACTCAATAAGAGTAAAACGAATCATTAGATCAAGATGAGTAAACTATAAGTTCCAGGGTTAACGAGAACCCGTTAACTCACTCTTTCATGTTCAGTCTCAGCTATCCTTGACTTCACCGTTCTTCGGACTTTCTTCCGTATTCATAGTCGATGAAATCGATTTCAGGAAAAGGCCATTTGATCACCAGTTTGGGTTAACTTGATGTTGATCAATTTTTGGGATCAAATACTTGAGGTGATGTTGCATTTCAACTGAAAGCCATTTTTATATTGCTTGACCAAAGCTAAAGTAAAATATATTCAACTTTGTTTCATTTGCAAAAGCTTACAAAAAAGAAGAATCTTGAAATTTTAATTTTGATTCAATTTTCAATGTTAATGGAATCTGTTTTTCGAGTTCATTCATCTGCGTTACTCAGACTTTCTTAAGTATTCACATATCGCCAGTTTCTGTGAATAAAATATGCTTTATGCTTTTGCTTTGTTTACAAATTGTAAATGTTAAATAATTATATTTAATTAATTATATCTTGAATAACCTGTGTGGAAAAAGTTTGGGAATGATTATTTAATCAATACATTTCAAAAAACAAAGCTCATTCATTGACCTTTTTATCTTTAAAAATGTATTGCTTTAGCGCCGATCAAGATTGAAGAGAAAAGCAAAAGTAAAAAAGGAAAACAGAAAAAAGTTTGTCAAATCTTTATGAGAAACTGATTCAGGATAAATCAATTTAAGGAAGGTTCAAGATACGTGCTGATAATTTAATCTAAGATCTTGTGAAAACTCGAGATTGAACTCAAAAAAATTGAATGTGATGCATTTCTTCATTAACCAGAGTCTGACTAGCTTTTTCCTATTGGTTTGTTAAGAAAAACTTTGGATAATCGATTTTCAAACTTTAATTTTGCAACAATAGAAAAGCAACAAGACGACAAGAAATCAACAAAATCCTACCGAACTGAAAATTTTATATTTGACTGCTTCAAGTTCAACTTTTTGTCAACAGGTTATTCAAATTTATAAAAGTGCTGACAGGGAAATATTCGGTCAATTACATTTTTTATTTCTCTAAAATGTATGACACAAAAGGAAGGAACAGAGCAGATTTATCATGATCTAAAGACCAAGGAAGTAGATAAGGACGTAGTAGAGGAATACAAATTTAAAGACGAGCAAAAAAGAGACGATTCTACAGATAATTGAGAATATAAGTCATGTTTTTTTGTTGATCAAAATCGAATGTAAATTTACTCGAATGATATCAGAGAAATCAATTTTGAGATCAGCAGTGTTCAATTTGTCTGGTTTTAAAGATTTGAGTAAAAAATAGCGATGAAGGCAGCCGAGAACAGCAAGAGTTGACAAGACCCGTACTGGAAACATTGAAAACCAAACCATTGTACCATTATAACATTATCCCTTGTAAGTAAATGCATAATCTACACATCTATACAGCATATAAATTCATCAAATATCAAATTTTTGTGTCAAGATTGTGGTCAAACTGAGCGGATCTTAAGAAAAAAATCCCACAGCGTGAAAGCCCGGATTCAACTACACCCACGGAAAATAGGAAACCTCACTTCTGAATTCAAATCTCTGAGAACTTTATGAAAAAGGAGAAACCAAAGTTGTTGTGCTTTGACCGATTGTATCCTTAACATAAGCTGGATTTGTTATTCCGTCCTTTACATCGTCACCTGCAATTGAAGGTGTTATATCAGCAGATCTTGATTTACGACGAGCCGCTTGTTCAACAATGAAAAATGTGATCGACCCGAGTATTGCCGTGCCAACGATAATATAAATTTGAATGTTCAACGTTATTTCACTGGTAAAGAAGAAAAATAACGAAGAAAATAATGATTGCACGAATTTGAATACATCAGGTATTAGACTGCAGTTAACGAAAGTAGAGACTTTTTTTCATAGTCACCCTAAAAAGAAATTGAAGTACCTTTAAGATGAAATTTGATTTTTGCCAATTCTCTTTTGTCTAGTTTCTATTAAAACGTGTTATGACCGTTACTCGGGTCAATTATCTGTTTTATTTTTTTCTAAAATGTATGGAACAAAAGGAAGAAACAGAGCAGACTTAGCATGATCTAATAAAAACCTAGGAAGTAAAATTATTCTGAATGAAAATGATGGCAAAATCTTATATTAAAATATTAATATCCTAAATCTTCAACTGTATTATACTTGAATGATCTAACGGCTTGTAGAACAATCGAAAAGGCATTTCAATCACCCAAATTAACATTAAAAGTTAGATTGATCAAGACTCAGGAATAAAAAACAATGTTTAAATCAATCTAAATTGAATCTCATGTCAATTTAGGTGTCTTTTTACCGAATATTCGAAAAATTCCGTTGTTTGTTTTTGTTTTGTTTTTTAGTAATTTCGAGATAAGAAGTTTAAAATGCTTAAAAAACGAGCTTCAATTATTAATAAAAAAGTAAAGATTATTATGACCAGAGGCTATTATCGAGTAATTAAAATGCCTAAAAAACATAGAAAAGGATTAGGATTACTGTTTAGGTTTGATAATGGAAAAGGCGTTGACCTTTTTTTTATTCGTCAATTTGATTCAACTTCGACCTGAGGGTGAGGGGCGGTATAAAAGGGCCGAGTTTCGAAAGGAGACTTCATTCACCGTCAAGACTTTCACTGTTTCATTACTTCAATCATTGAAATTATATTTTGTTCAAGTGTCATCATCATCATGTCCTCATCAACAGTACAACAAAGGCGACGAAAGCCGAGAGTTGTGTATACTCAACAAGAAGTGAATTTTTTAGAGAGTGAATATTTTCATTGTAGAGATCCTGATCGTCATGTTAGACTAAGAATCGCCCATGACTTGGGAAAAGATGTTGATGAAATTACAACTTGGTTCAAGAATAGACGGTCAAGAGTCAGACCAGCCAAAAAATGTTCTGTTGTGTTACCAGAGAACCACAAAGAACATAACTGTGTGATTTCAAATAATTTAAGTGCTGTGGAAACCAACAACGACTTGGATCTGGTGCTCGAGACGTTTAATTTGAATAAACGAGCTCGAAAAGAACGTTATACTTTCACCAAACAACAAATACAAGGACTTGAAAGCGAGTTCACTAAATGTCGAACTCCCGATCACACCAAGAAAGACGTAATGGCTAAAAAATGGGGATTAACTCGTTCTATTGTGTCAAACTGGTTCAAAAATCGTAGAACCAAAGCCAAGAAGGAAGCCAGCAAAGAAAATACAGCTCCACCACCGATAATCACCCATCAACCTCCGGTATCAATTGATCAATCACCACCAGTGTCTTACCAACAACCACCAGCGCCAACTCTACTGGGACCTGTAACATCGAGGGATCAACCACAACTGCCACCATCACCACCAATGGAATCATATCATCAACAATCAATTCCCTTCGAACCACAAATTTTATATCAACCTCTTATGCCAATTCAACCAGCATTGATGGAACCTCCACTTCCAATAGAACTGCCAATGTCTCCAACATCCTCTTCTTCCTCTTCTTATACAGACTTTTCTCATTGTCTAAGTACTGTCCTAAATAATTATAATGAACCTGTAATATCGAGTGATCAACCACTAATGTCACATCAACCTCTTATCCCAATAGAACCACAAATGTCCCCAGCATGTAACTCTTCTTCTTCTGAAGACTTTCCTAATTCCTTGATTCATTTCATCAATAATTATAAAGCTTTATAATAAAATACTTTCAATAAATTATATTTCATTTGAATATTAATCTTTCATTTCATTTACGCGATACTTTTGAATTCTCAACGCTTTTGCTTTCGCAATGTGTATTCAGAACAATGCTATGATCGACCATCAACGAAATAGGTTATAATTTATATCAGGTCTGAAATAAGTTAGATTATAACCGTAAAGTAAAAAATGTTGCTAGACCCATAAATGCTGTGACCACAAGCTTTCCAATCATAAGTAAGTAATCAGCAACCTTGTCTAAAACGGCAACTCTGAAAGACAGAAACACTCGATTGAAAAGCTAATATCTACCATCGATAAATACCTTCGTCAATTGTTTAGTCATATGGACTGCTCAAGGAAACCTGTTAACATTAAACAGCATCAAAGCACCATTGGTCGTAATAGTGGCTTGTTTTGGGCTCTTTTTCAAGAAAAAAATAAGGTTTGAGAGAGAGAGATGAATGAAATGAATGAATGAATGAGTAATGAATTTACTGATTGTCCATAACCAGACCATCTGAAGAAGAATGAAATTGGTCAAAAACTGATCATTCATCATTTGCACTTGATTCATGTCAATAGATGGCAGGCTTAGAATAGCAAACAGCTGAGATAATCATTTTTTAACTGTGACCTTCCCTTAGATACTTTTATTTAACTGTGATCAAGTCTTTAACCCAAACCTTTACTTTTTGTTTTTAACCTTTAACTAATTTACATACCTTTAACACCAGACGCATTGGATGATACAGACATATACACTGCTGATCTCAAAATTGATTTCTCTGATATCATTCCAGTAAATTTACATTCGATTTTGATACACAAAAAACAGGGTTGTATTCTCGATTCTCTGTGGAATCGTCTCTTCTCTGCTCGCCGTTACATTTGTATTCCTCCGTAGTCCTTGTTTACAGCCTTGGTCTTCAGATCATGATAAATCTGCTCTGTTCCTTCCTTTTGTGTCATACATTTTAGAAAAATAAAAAATGTGATTTACCCAAGTATTTCCCTGTCAACACTTTTGTAACTTTTACTTTTCACCATTCCGTGTTTGATCAACATCAAATCAACCCAAACTGGTGATCAAATGGCCATTTCCTGAAATCGATCTTATCGACTTTCTTCTAATATTGTACATCGATTGCAATTCTCTTTTGTTTTCCAATCTTATCTATACATACAATATATAAAGTCAAACTATGAAATTTTTGCGGGAAGATTGTGGGCAAACTAAACGGGTTCTAAAGAAAATTTCACATAGGATGAAAACCATGATTAAACTACAATCGCAAAAAATAGTTCGAACTTTCTCGCAATTCAGGTTACTGAGAAATTAGCGTTCAAACAGGGTAGGGGAAAAAAGCAGATTCTGTATCTTTTACTATTGACTTTGGGGGAAAAGCTTTTTGGTTATTCAGGTTGATGGTTTATTGTTGGTTTAGAAGGATAAGTAAAACTGTCTTTCGAGTAAAGAGTTGAGTGAAAAATATAGTATCTTAACTGTACAGAAAGATTTCATTCTGCTCGGCTGTATAACAAGATTTTATTTTATTTTTTAGTTTTTCTCATTATCGCTGATTTCATTAAGAATTTGAGTGTTTAAATATGGATTGAATTTATTGTACTGAGTGGAACCCGCTTTTTTCCATCTCATCCATCACTTCATCAACCACTTTTTTACCTTTTTACACCGCATTGGCAATACGGTGAAAAAAAGTCCCGTATTCAGTGAAAAATTACGATCAGTCATGATCTAGGTTCCACTTGTTTTAATATAAGAAGCTCATTAGTTTGCAATAACTAAACAGGCAAAATTAAACAAACATTTATTCAACAAAAGTCTTCAATGAACAGTGGATATATGGATAATGTAAAGGGAGTGTAAATGGAATCCATGAAACTCTTTCATCTTCACCATCAAATGAAACAACATTTTCAGTTTGGATGGCAGAATGGTTCTTAAAGCCAGTTTCGGGTGAAGATATTTTCAAACTCCCAGTCAATCCATCCAGTCTCTCAATAAATCAAGTAAAAAATATTCCTGTTTCACCAATCTTTTCAGTAAACAAAAATAACTAAACGAAAATTTAGAAAAGCAAAATGTTTTTCTGGTTTTCAAAATTTACTAATAAGCCTTGCAGCCATGTTCAAATCTGGATTATCTTATTGATCTCATTAGATTTAGGTTTGGGTTTACACTAAGTAAGGCTTATAATCAAGACATTTTGTTAGGTTGGATCAGCATCGCTTTTACACGAAGAGTTAGTTTCACTCAATTTACATGAACTCATCTCAATCGACATGATTGGCAAACAGCTAGACGGTCCTTGAGCAATCATTAAAAGCATATTGGAAACAAAATCTTGCAAATGTAGACAATCCAAGAATTAGGAAAAGGAAAATTCTGCCATCTCATGCAGGATAATAATTTTGCTTCATTATCCATCGATGAGTGTGAATATTTTTCAGAAATAAAGTTCATGTCTTACAGGCTGTGTACTGAGAACTTTTCTTAGAAGCATTTTCTTAGAATCCTTTCAATCGAAGCAAAATTTTCAAACAAATAATTATCCAGACCAATTCACGATCTAGCTAAGATTATGTAATTTAAAACTCAACGAGCATCAGTGTAAAGTAAAGTGTATCAAAGTCAACGTTGAAAGTTGAATTTGTTTAGATCATGATTGAGTTTATATTGTTGAGAATAATTGAAACGAAATTAGTTTGTTTGTTGATGTATTAAGATGGTACCATTGGTTTGTGAAAGGTACAATAAAACAGAACATGATGAATTTGAAAGAGATAAATGGTGAAAAGTAAAGTGTTGTTAGAGCGAATTGGGTAAACAGAAGAGATTGTTGTGGTTTTTGTCCTGTTCAATTGTTCTCATCCAGAATCATTGTAACGTTACCTGTCAATGAGAGGATGTTAAGAATTCAAAAGTATCGCGTAAATGAAATGAAAGATTAAGTTTAAAATATAATATAATTTATTGAAAGTATTTTATTATACATCGTTATAATTATTGATATAATCAATCAAACTAGTGGTAAAGTCCTCGAAAGGAGAAGTGGATGTTGGGGACGGTTCGAGTTCTATTGGGATATGAGATTCGTTTGATTCTGACTCAATTGGCATTAGAGGTTGATAAAAAAATAGTGATTCGAAGGAAATTGATTGTTCATCATTTGATTCCATTGGTGGTGATAGTGGCAGTGATGGTTGATACGTTGATGTTGGAGGTTCTGGTATTGTGGGAGGTTGTGGATCCATTGATATCGCTGGTTGATAGGCAATTGGAGGTTGAGTTGGCGGTGGTGGTTGTTGATAAGCCACTGGTGGATATTGATCAAATGATATCAGAGGTTGATAAGCAATTGTTGGTTGAGGTGGTGGTGGTGGTGGTGGAGCTGAATTCTCTTTTCCGTAAGTCTTCTTGGCTTTGGTTCGACGATTTTTAAACCAATTTGTGACAATCGCAGTAGTCAAATTCCATTTTACAGCAATTTCATCTTTCTGCCAATGTTCAGGGTTTGGATGTTGACGGAAAGCTTCTTCTAAACCTTTTACTTGTTCTTTACTGAAAACAAAACGCTCTTTTCGGGCTCGTTTATTTTTACCAAGCACATTAAGACTAACATGCATCTCGTTTCCATTTGGCACATCATATTTTTCACGTGAGATCATTATGTTTTGGACTTGATTACACTTTGGAGACACAATTGAAGATGGTTTAGCTGGTTTACCTCTTGAACGGCGGTTCTTAAACCAAGTCTTTATCTCTTCAGCATCTTTTCTTAAATCATTAGCGATTCTAAGTCTTTCATTATTATCTGGATCTTTGCACGCAATGAATTCACTTTCTAAAATATTTACTTCTTGTTGAGTATACACAACTCTTGGCTTTCGTCGCCTTTGTTGTACTGTTGATGAGGACATGATGATGATGACACTTGAACAAAATATAATTTAAATGAATGAAGTAATGAAACAGTGAAAGTCTTGACGTTAAATGAAGTCTCCTTTCGAAACTCGGCCCTTTTATACCGCCCCTCACCCTCAGGTCGAAGTTGAATCAAACAGCGAATCAAAAAGGTCAACGCCTTTTCCATTATCAAACCTCAACTGTAATCCTAATCCTTTTCTATGTTTTTTAGGCATTTTAATTACTTGAGACTGGCCTCTGGTCATAATAATCTTTACTTTTTTATTAATAATTGAAGCTCGTTTTTTAAGCATTTTAAACTTCTTATCTCGAAATTACTAAAAAACGAAACAAAAACAGGTAACGGAATTTTCCGAATATTCGGCAAAAGATACCTAAATTAACATAAGGTTCAATGATATTCTTCACAGTGATTTTTATACTTTGCTTCTTATGCTTTTAATGTCCATCCACTTTCTCGTAACCAAGATTTCATTACATTCGTTTCTAAATGTTGAAGAAGTTTCCAAGTCAATTGTATTTTTAATCCATACAGTTTATTCTTGATCAACAACCATCGTAAAAATCATCATCAACGAAGAGACCTAGAAATAAATTAGAATCTGGTTCTACACCTGAAAAGGAGGAAATATAAATTTGAGCTTTGAAAGTCATTTTAATGAAACCCTAAACAAGAAAATTTTTTAGTTACACGAATAGTTCCAGTTACAGTTGTATGTCCCTAAAAGTTCATAAGGTTGCAACTCTTTACTCGAAAGACAGTTTTACATACACTCCTAATCCAATAAACCCGTAACCTGAAAACCAAAAAGTTATTCCCTCACCGTGTTTAAACGCTAATTTCTTAGTAACCTTAGTTTCGAAAATGTGCTAACTTTTTTCGTGAATGTAGTTTAATCGTGGCTTTCAGGCTGTGTTAAAATGTTTCTTATAATCTTTTTATTTCGGCAACAATCTTTACCAAAAATTTCATGGTTTGACTTTAAATATTGTAACATTATGTATAGATTATGCATTTACTATTGCTGTGATTATCTCATTCGTTTGGATTCTCCTACTCCAAGTCCTAGTCGTTCCAATGGTTTGCTTTTCAATGTTTCCAGTACTGGTCTTGTCAACTCTTGCTGTCACTTGATAAATGAACCTTCTTTCATTGAAACAGAGCTTTAAAACATTTTCTTGAAATCGCTAATCTTACAAGGGAAGGTTCTCAAATCGCAAAGTCAGATTTTTTTCCAAACTTGGTAAATTCATAGCTTATTGCTGAAATAACAAGCATACCCGAACATTTGATCAGCAACTCAATAGTTTCATCACAAAGCAAAATCAAATTTATGTTAAGATCATGTTTCATCATATGTTCCTACTGTACAAAAAATTTAAGTTTCAATCATTTTGTATTTCCGTATATTCATATGCATTATAATAATGATGAATAATAAATTTGAAAAAAATCTGACTTTGCGATCTGAGAACCTTCCCTTGTTAGCCATATTCAGGGTGATTAGAGTGGCTATTGAATATGTTTACGAGAAGTGTAAAATGTACACGGATAATGCTTTCGCCAAAGCGATTATGTGGTAAGTGAGAGTAGTTTGTAGCTGTTTTGTTCAAATTTGTAATTATTTCATTTCTTATTCAAAGGACCTGTCGTTGCTGTTTCTGGATGCTGGAAAAGTTCATGCGTTTTTTGAATACCAATGCTTATATTATGATAGCTGTTCATGGACAATCTTTTCTGCCTGCTGCTAAAGAAGCATTCTTCTTGTTACTTAGGAATGTTGTCAGGTAAATTAATTTGCTATGACAATTTTCTTTGCATGCAACTACCAATCGTGTGTTTCTCTTTTCCAGATTTGCCGTTTTAGACAAGGTTGCTGATTACTTAATTATGATTGGAAAGCTTGTGGTCACAGCATTTATGGGTCTAGCAACATTTTTTACTTTACCAAAGGATACGATTATGATCTAACTTATTTCAAAACTCCTGATATAAATTATACTTGGGTTCTGGTGGAATATAATTGATTGAAAAGATTTGATTTTACATTAATTATTTAGGATTTCATTATACAATGAGAAAAGTCTGTATAAGATGAAGTGGATGTTGGAGACATTTGCGATTCTATTGGGATTAGAGGTTGATGTAAAATTAGTGATCGATCCCTCGATATTACAGGTTTCAGTAATGTTGTCGGTGGCGGTTTACAGGATTCATAAAATTGAATACGATGTATTATATTTCTTCATTAACCAGATTCTGCTAAGCTTTCTCCTAATGTTAATTTGGGCGATTCAAATGCCTTTTCGATTGTTCTACAAGCTCTTAGATTAGCATTTTTTAGAGCACTCTTACTACAAGCCCTAGCTGGTATAATGGTTTAGTTTTCAATGTTTCCAGTACTGGTCTTGTCAATTCTTGCTGTTCTCAGCTGCTTTTGGCTCAAATCTTTAACACCAGACGAATCGGATGATATAGATATATACACTGCTGATCTCAAAATTGATTTCTCTGATATCATTCCAGTAAATTTACATTCGATTCCGATGAACAAAAAGACAAAGCTTGTTTTCTCGATTATCTGTGGAATCTTTTTTGCTAGCCGTTACATTTGTATTACTCTGTAGTCCTTATCTACTTCCTAGATTTTCAGATCATGATAAATCTGCTTTATTTCTTCCTTTTGTGCCATACATTTTAGAGAAAAATAAAAAATGTAATTGACCCGAGTAATTTCCTTGTCAATTTGAATAACCTGTTGGGAAAAAGTTGGCGACTAATCAGTTGCATCGTTTTTTTTCTCGTAGCTCCTCGCAGCTGCTGTATAAGTTCAGATTTTCTCCTACAATGATTACGAACTTGAAACAGTGAAATATCGTTATCCAGACCAATTCACGATCTAGTTAAGATTATGTACTTTAAAAGTCAACCACCATCAGTGTAAAGTAAAGTGTGTCAAAGTCAACGTTGGAAATTGAATTTGTTTAGATCATGATTGAGCTTTTATTGTGAGTCCAATCGAAACGAAATTAGTTGAGTTTTTGTTTGTTGATGTATTAAGATGGTCCAATTAATTTGTCAATGTTGGCATATTAACATTTCGATTAACCTTTCTTGTTCACTTGAAATGGTCAACATGACAGGCCAATAATAATGGTAAGCAATAGACTAAAGTCGATGGGTTTTGCTGCTCATAAAGTTAATAAATTCATGATGTTACATGTATTATATGAAAACATGAACATTAACATCTATCCAAATCTTTATAATGACTAACATCTAGTAAATTGGTGAACAAGATCAACATTTGAAGGTTCAATTTCACATTTTACTCTTGAATTATTTAAAAATATTGAATGATCGATTGATGATTAAGTTAGTTTAAGAAGACAGATGATTCAGTCAAAATGAAAGGTACAATAAAACAGAACATGATGAATTTGAAAGAGATAAATGGTGAAAAGGAAAGTGTTGTTGAAGCAGATTGGGTAAACAGAAGAGATTGTTGTGGTTTTTGTCCTGTTCAATTGTTCTCATCCAGAATCATTGTAACGTTACCTGTCAATGAGAGGATGTTAAGAATTCAAAAGTATCGCGTAAATGAAATGAAAGATTAAGTTTAAAATATAATATAATTTATTGAAAGTATTTTATTATACATCGTTATAATTATTGATATAATCAATCAAACTAGTGGTAAAGTCCTCGAAAGGAGAAGTGAATGTTGGGGACGGTTCGAGTTCTATTGGGATATGAGATTCGTTTGATTCTGACTCAATTGGCATTAGAGGTTGATAAAAAAATAGTGATTCGAAGGAAATTGATTGTTCATTTGATTCCATTGGTGGTGATGGTGGCAGTTGTGGTTGATGCATTAATGTTGGAGGTTGTAGATCCATTGATATCGCTGGTTGATAGGTCATTGTCGGTTGAGGTGGCGGTGGTGGTTGTTGGTAGGACACTGGTGGATATTGATCAAATGATATCAGAGGTTGATAGGAATAATGTTTAATAATAATAAAAAACAATGTTTAAATCAATCCAAATTGAATCTCATGTTGATTTAGGTGTCTTTTTAACGAATATTCTGAAGATTCCGTTTCGTGTTTTTTGTTTTGTTTTTTAGTAATTTCGAGATAAGAAGTTTAAAGTGCTTAAAAAACGAGCTTCAATTATTAATAAAAAAGTAAAGATGATTATGACCAGAGGCTATTATCGAGTAATTAAAATGTCTAAAAAACATAGAAAAGGATTAGGATTACTGTTTAGGTTTGATAATGGAAAAGGCGTTGACCTTTTTGATTCGCTGTTTGATTCAACTTCGACCTGAGGGTGAGGGGCGGTATAAAAGGGCCGAGTTTCGAAAGGAGACTTCATTTAACGTCAAGACTTTCACTGTTTCATTACTTCATTCATTTAAATTATATTTCGTTCAAGTGTCATCATCATGTCCTCATCAACAGTACAACAAAGGCGACGAAAGCCGAGAGTTGTCTACACCAAAGAAGAGGTGAATTTTTTAGAAAGGGAATTTATTTCGTGTAAAGATCCAGATAATAATGAAAGACTTAGAATCGCTAATGATTTAAGAAAAGATGCTGAAGAGATAAAGACTTGGTTTAAGAACCGCCGTTCAAGAGGTAAACCAGCTAAACCATCTTCAATTGTGTCACCAAAGTGTAATCAAGTTCAGAACATAATGATATCAAGTGAAAAATATGATGTGCCAAATGGAAACGAGATGCATGTTAGTCTTAATGTGCTTGGTAAAAATAAACGAGGCCGAAAAGAGCGATATGTTTTCAGTAAAGAACAAGTACAAGGTTTAGAAGAAGCTTTCCGTCAACATCCAAATCCAGAACACTGGCAGAAAGATGAAATTGCTACAACTTGGAATTTAACTCCTGCGATTGTCACAAATTGGTTTAAAAATCGTCGAACCAAAGCCAAGAAGACTTACGGAAAGGAAAATTCAGCTCTCAAACCGCCACCACCACCTCCACCTCAACCAACAATTGCCTATCAACCTCTTATATCATTTGATCAATATCCACCAGTGTCCTACCAACAACCACTACCGCCAACTCAACCAGCAATTGCCTATCAACCAGCGATATCAATGGATCCACAACCTCCAAAAATACCGGAACCTCCAACATTAATGTATCAATCACAACTGCCACCATCACCACCAATGGAATCAAATGAACAATCAATTTCCTTCGAATCACTATTTTTTTATCAACCTCTAATGCCAATTGAGCCAGAATCAAACGAATCTCATATCCCAATAGAACTCGAACCGTCTCCAACATTCACTTCTCCTTTCGAGGACTTCACCACTAGTTTGATTGATTATATCAATAATTATAACGATGTATAATAAAATACTTTCAATAAATTATATTTCATTTTAAACTTAATCTTTGCTTTCATTTATGCGATACTTTTGAATTCTTTATATCCTCTTATTATGCAGACTTTGATCTGCGCGGTGTTTAATGTACAATCAAATTCCTTCAATAAATTATATTAATTTGATAATTTATTTGTGTGCCAATCATTTCATTTGTTTGATGTCCCTAGTGATGCCATCTTCGTTTGCAAGTTGATTTGTTTCACTCTTATTGAGTATCAAGTCAACTTTGATTGTAAATATAGATGAATGAACGCGAAATAATGATTCGGATTTCATTGAAAATTAAAGAATTTAAATTAAGAATTATCTAGATTCATGTTCATTGGCTAATAGCAAAACATTTTCAACCATCTCAGCAATAGCATTATTAACAATCTTTGAATGACTAAGGAAAGCATAATGTCCTCCATCTTGAAGTGCAATGCCTTTTGGATATCCACTGTCCATTGAGGACTTTTGTTGAAGTCCATTGTGATCGTACACTTCAATATTATCCGATTCGATTCCCAGCATTTTAGCCATTTCATAGAATATTTCCTTTTGTATAAGTTTATCATTTTCAGCGAAAATCAACATCTTTGCGATTTCCTTGTTGGCTTTCAACTTTTCCAATTTTTCCGAAAGCTAATAGAAAAAGAAGAAAAATAAATCAGATTATATAATGAATATACAAGTGGAATTAGAGAATAACAAAGATAATGAGCATTGTTAAATGATTACATAAAGTGAAATAGCATCCAATCTACTAATTATAATTATCATGTGATAAAATTGGTCAATAAACGGACATCGAATAGGCAAAGATACGAAGAACCATGAGAGTGTTAATCAAGCAACAAGAGTGAAATGAATGATGAACTTGAGGAAAGATTAATGTATCTTTATCTAAACTAGTTTTGAATGATTGAAGCAGCAATTATTATATTACGGGAAAACAACTTGAGTAAAACTTATTAGTTTGAGGAAGAATTCATTTTTACCTTAATTTTAACTGGAAACTGTTGAAATTAGTTTACAATGTAATTCAATTCCAAGGTCAACTTGGGTCCAACTGATGAGTCTAAATAAATTAGCTATTGTTATAAGACTATTCAAATCCTCTCAAACTATTTTGTTGTAGTCAGCAAACAAATAATTAGCATTACACTTGACCTGTTTGTGAGGAAAAGGGAAAGTTGAATCTAATTTGAGCGAAAACACAAAGCTGAATGGATTCGAGTTAGTTAATACAATTCAACTGGCTTTCATGATATTTTTCAATCAACTAATATCCTATTCTGTATAATTGACATTGATTAGCTCATTAGTTTGCAATAACTAAACAGGCAAAATTAGAAAATGCAATTTAAAATAAACTTGAATAAATTTACACAAAAAATTGTTGCATATTTAACTAGAAGCACTCTGAAAGTTCAAAAAGTCAATGTTTGGTAGACAAAGTAAGATAAATTATGAGCAATTAATGAAATAATTGTTTTCGCTCGATTGATTGATTAGTAAAGCTTATTGCTTGGGATGAACGGATCAATGAACATTTCATCACTTTCTGGTTAATAATGTATGCAAAAAAGTGCCGCTACTCCAAACTTGATTACTTAATATATTGTTTCGTCAATTAATTAACATTAAATGTGAGAAAAAAAGTTCAACAATTAGACAGGAAAATGATTGACAATTAAGCATCTCTTGAAAATTAAACAAATTAACAGTTGACTAAAAATTGAAATTATCAAAAAAACAATTATTGAGAATAAATTTGCTTCATTTCTCGCACAAAAGTCAATATTGAACGAGAGCAAGAGTAAATATTAACTATCGATTAATCGAAAGAAGGACATGAACAGGAGTAAATCAATAATTGTCACAATCAGGAAATTGTGAATAATTTAACCGAGAAAATTTACCAATAAATGTCGTCCAGAAAATTCGAGACACAAAAATTGGTGAATTTTGGCACAACTTGTAAGTCAACAATTGAATACAATAACATTAACCAACGAAAAAGTCATTTTTTCAATTAAACAAAATACAGAATCGACTAAATGGAAAAGTTCAATGGTTGAAGCTATTATTGATTTGTTATTTCGTCTGATTCGGCCTTCTGGCTGAAAACAATAAGATTTCTAAATACCATTTTGTATTTTAATTTCCTGAAGCTGTCAAGATTGATTAAATCTATAATGATTAACAATAAACAACATTTTTGTGATATAAAAATGCTCGAGGATATTGACAGACAAGAAGCAATAAATGCATGGTTTTCAATTGCGTTGTTAAAACCAGAGCAGATGAGTCGAGGCGAAAGCAATAACGTAATCTTAACTCGTTCAGAAATTAAAGATAAATTTAGCTGATTTTGAGAAAGGAAATCAAAATATTGATAAATCTAATCATGTTGAACATCTCAAAAGTATTAGATTGGGATAACATTAAATACAGTATCAGGGTCACGGGATTTTCCAGTAAGTCAACCCAAAAGTACTCAAGGACAATAAGCTGTATTAGTTAATTTTTGTAATCAGACACAAAATTTGCTCAGAAAAACTCAGACAATTTAAATTGTTCTGCCAACTGGTTCTTAGAAAAACTGATTTGCATCAAATTTCATTACAGAAACAAATAAAATCATTTTCATTGGAGATAATCAGCAATTGAAATTTGATGAGCAAACATCATAAGTAATGATTCATTAGCAACTGGTAAAGATTAATTTTGTAATTATAAAATAATCTTCGGTTAGCTGTTGAGTTGACTTTCGAGACTAATTTTTCAGCAAAACATTTAAAATAAAAATTGAAATGAAAAAACAAATAGATTAGTGAAATCACTATTAAGACAATTTATCGAAGTCAGGATAGTTGGAATTATGTAAAAGATGAAAAAACTGGATTCAATTACTAAGGTCAATGAACTAAACTTGTTTCATAGCCTATTGAGAAGCTATGGAAGTTTTCATTTCAGTTTATTTTTCAATAAATTGCTATTTCGAGAAAATTCTGAAATAAAACCTTGGCGCCTTGTAAAACTGTAAACCTGATTTAAAGTCTAGATTGGAAGCTATGGGGATCTTGCATCAGAAGTGAAAGCAATGGAGAGATGTTATGCCAAAATAATTGATGACTTTGAACAGGATCTTTCAAATGCTTCAATGTTTCATTAACCATTTGAAACTTATGTGAAATTGATAATCTATAGAATCATTTATCCTTTGTGCTCATGGAATTGAATAGTGTAATTAAAGCATACTTACTCTTTTATAATGACTGTGGTTAACTGTGGTTACAGATAAGAATAAATTATCCATATTTTCTAATTTTACTGGACATTCTTGGGAAAAATAAGAAAAAGAAAGGTTAGTATGGTGGCATTGATTACAATTAAGATATAACCGTAGAGTAAACTTACTAGTAATAACAAGAACAGGTTTACCAAGATGTTTGATAAAGAAACGGAAAAATTTATATTGATAGAAGTAGGCTGATGTTTTATCCAATATTGGATATTTCATTGCTTGGATCCGCCGATGGCCGCAAGGATTAAGGAATACAAGAGATTTAAGTGTTGATCCATATTCTGAATCAAGAATGATTACTGAGGGATAGATTGACGATGAATGGCCAATAAGCATATCAACTCTTGTCAATTCAAGAGCTTTGAGAAAATCTAAGATATATTCCGCCTTTTCCTCTGCATAATGTCCAAACTTTTTCGTCTTGGTCAAGGAATATGCTGTGGAATGAAAAAAGAGAAAAATAGACAAGTTATTAAGAGATTGGATAAAACATAAACACTGGAAATAACGATGAATGGTAAGTGACTTACTTGGAAAATTTGGACAAATAATACGAATAGGATAACTAATAAGTCGTGATCGGAGCAGTGAAAAGTCTTGGTGGGAACCAGGCGCACCATGTAAACATAATACAACCGGCAATGTGTTACCAGCATCTGGTCGAGTATCGATATATTCAACTTCTGTTGAGATACCTTTTCGAGGTACATTGTGAAACCAGCTTTTCTCATCTTTCCATTTTTCATAGAGAGAAGAACACGTTTCTACTTGAATCCTGAGAACATTTTCGCTACAAATTTCACTAATTTCCGGTGAATCCTTCATTGTTTTAATAATTTAATTTAATGGGTTGAAAGACAAGTTGATGAACAATAGATTTATATGGATAAATTAACAGGCAAGATGTTTGATGATGAACAAGATGTATAATGATGATTTGAAATGGTCCTCACAGTTAAACTGTTTTGAATGGTCGTTTATTGCCAACTGATTCAGATTGATATAGCAACAGTTTTTTTACACAAAATAGACACTAAAAAAAGATAAGTTTAAAACAAAAAAATGACGATTAGCCGATGATGTCGAAAAGGAAGAATTTAAAAGATTGCAGCTTTTAACAAAATTAGATATCAGTTTTTTTATCAAATCACAGCTCACATTCAAATGACAGTAAACAATCCATTAAAAAAGCAACAAATGCTCTGGTTTAAGATAACAATCGAGTGAGGTTAGAGCGAGTTATCGAGCTTTTGGAGAGAGAAAAAAAGAGAAGACAAAGAGCAATAGGATGAAGAGAAAACGAAAGATAAGAGGTTGAGCTTAACGATTACTATCCTTAGTCTGGTTAGTATAAAGTTCTAGGTTCGTGAGGGAAAAAAAGGACTGGTTAGTTAGTCATCATGAAAGTGAGATTTAGAGGAAAGCAAAGAGAGGGGAGAGCGAGACAGAAAGTAAAAGTGAAAAACAGGGAAAAAATCAGTAAAGTCGTGTCATGAGTATTCATACTTTTCTTTCTTTCTTCCTCTCTTTTAACCAACCTCCAAATAATATACATTTTGTAAAAGAAAGTGAAAAACATTGATCGCCTTAGGCTAGCACATGAACTTGCTTCTTCTCTTTGCTTTTCTGACACATTCCTAAGTTAGAATCACCCACATTTGTTTAAAATTACAACAATTTAAAATAGAAGACGGGAAAATAGCAAACATCACAAGATATAATAAGATTCACAAACTCACCTGAATAAGTTGATGAAATGCAGAGAAACAAAAGGTATCATCATTGTCCTTTGGTAGTCAACTTTACCAACAGATAAACGAAAAATAACCTTTGAACATTGATACAGTAGGGTTACCCTTAACTTGATAGAATTTCGTGTTGGCGCCACCTATTGGATCAAGCAATTTAAACTCATTTAATTTTAATTTTTCAATTGTTCACCAAAATAATCAAAAATTTGGTCAAAAAAGTGAAATCTGCGGGTCAAAATTATCTAAAAACATGATTTCCTCTGGAATTTATCAGCTCAATTTCCTAAAAACTTGAAAGTCTTTTTTTTCAATTTTACTCTCAAAATTTTTAGAGACACAAAAATCTTCTTCTTCACTCGATAATCTGAATAGCATGTTACTGACTTATTCTGAACTTTTAAACAATAACTCTTGTTAATTTGGGTAAAGTTGACCCGTAGATTTCACTTTTTTGACTAAATTTTTGATTATTTTGGTTGAAACAATTGAAAAATTAAAATTAAATGACTTTAAATTGCTTGATCCAATAGGTGGCGCCAACACGAAATTCTATCAAGTTAAGGGTAACCCTACTGTATGTTGTTAGGATGATTAGATTGGTTGGTTTTGTTCAAACTGCCATAAAAACTGGTTTAAAATAGCATCGATTAATGTTAATATTAAATAAAGTAAATGACATAACGAGTAGTTTTAAAAACTGAACATTTCCATGGAGGAATCTTCTGATACTCCAACATCTATCGAATGGATTCCATCCAAACCAGAGCATAATAAACCATCGCCATTATCCAGCTGCAATTGTTTCCTAGCAACCAAAACCAGCAACCAACCAGAAGAAGCCAAACTTCGCAATATTCATGACACATGCAGAAGTATGAACAAGCCTTTCCTAATATTCTGACCTTGACCACACAAAATGATCATCTATTCAACTCTTTCAACCATTAACCTTCAATTACATCTTGTTTTTGTAGCAACTGAATTGACCATTGGTTTGTTTACAACTTTAGACTGCAATTATGGTAAATTTCATTCAAAATTTGTGACCATCAAAATGACGAAACAAACTGACTGGTTATGTATTTTTTGTTTACTCTTGTGATATTTTATGATCTTCTTTCATGAAGATATTGATGATTTACCTCCAACAATTGGGGAATTTTCAGTCTGCTTTGGGCTACTGGTTATCATCTAAATGAATTTGGGTGTATTCACTCAATAATCAGATTCAGGATAATAATCGACTTTGGATTGCGTTAACTCTTCAGCTGTACCAATGTTCAATGTGTCAATGTTGATTGAATCTATTCAAAATGATTTCATAAAAGATTTTGGAAAAACTCGCTCAAAATGTTGGTGATATTTTTGGTTAAAATCCAAGTCGATTGTGTTTAATTGAACAGGAATCAAAGTTGAAACAATAGATTTCCAAAAGATACCAAGCAATATAAGCCAAATATCGTTTGATGTTTTAAAACAGTTGGACTGTGATTTTGCTAGCCTTTTGCATCAAACGGTTTTTTCAGCCTTTTTACCGTCTTTTGGTCCGCATGCTTGGCTAACTTGTTGAAAAACTTTACACTAAATGAAAATTGTGATTATCTTTGTGTGAACAACCTGTTGACTGGACTTGGTAAAACCAGAATAAGATAACCATGAATCAATAGAAATTTGATTTGATATTCAACCTTAGATGTTTAACTTTCTCTTCCTTCCTTCTTTTCAGAAGTTTTACCTTTCTGGAACAACCGAATATAAACAAAACCTTTATTGAGATTTCAATTGAAAACAGGATAATGGAATACCAATCTGATTAAAATGAAAGCTTGATTCTTCGTATGGCGAGCTGTTTGATCTTGACCCTTGCAAACCTAAATTTCACTTTTCTGTCTGTTAAAACTGGTTAACTGATATTACTGTTGACTATTTGTAGCTCAACATTGAAAGTCATTTCATTGAGATTTTGTTCTGAATTCAGAATATTTAATTCTTGAAGTCATATTTAGTAATTCATAGTCTCTTCTTTCAATCCACAGACTGATTAAGCCAATCATCAATCTTTCAAACAGCCCAGGTCATTAACTGATTACTCAAGCAAGTGAAATGAATAGTATTCATTGCCCCATTAATCCACATCAAAAATTTTGTCCAACAACAAATTTAACCAAATAATTGATTCTTTTTTCAATTGCAAGCCATTCAACAACAGACTTTAGTTCAATACAACAAAAGATGTCGTATGATAAATCATAAAACAAATCTTAGACTTGATTCCATGCTAATCGGCTTGGAACAACGTCATTGGCCTCGAAAGTAATTCTTTTATTTTTAACAGTAAACCATAAAACTGAACAAACCAAGAGCTCATTCATGCAATCACAGCAATATACTAATATTGTCCCTCTAATTGTCACCTTGGACTTTTTCCGTAAAAAAATGGACAGACTATCAAAGTCAAGGTAAACCCAAAAAAAGAAACAAAAAGCACAACAATTTACAGTTCAAAGAGATTAAACTGAGTTCGATTATTTCAACATAAAAAAGTTAATCTTCAAAAACTAAGGTTAAACATCGTAAATATAAACAAAAATAATCAAAGAAGAAAAATGATTTACTAATTAAAAAACCCAAATCAACACCTGATCGTAAAAATTGCATTCAACAATGCTGTCATCTAGTGTTACCCAAACAAACCAACAACCAGGATTTTTAAAACGCTTTTGATTGAAATCACTTCGACTTTAGTTTCTTGGTCATTCATCTTATTTTTAAATTCATCAATTGTTTAATCAGTTGCACTTGAATATATTAATCTGATTAAGCATTAAACTCGTTGATTGAAATTAACATTTGAAAGTTGATAGTAAAGTTCAAGTCAAATACAATCGATAGATGGCATTACATAAATCATTACCTAACCAATTGTGAAATCATATGATAAAGATAAACAGAGTGATTTATCAAAGAGTTAAATTGTTATGTGTTTTTGTGTTTAATTATGTTATCCTTCATTCCATTCCGACTATTATTATTAATCGCAATCTTCATTATCTCGCTATTATGGCTTTACTTTCTTTCCATCAATGTACCTTCTCTTAATCAAAGGTAAATCAACATTTTGACTCAATTGTCTTTGTTTCATCTTTAGAATCTGGTTTTACTGGTTTTATCATAAACTAGTGTTGATTAAATTCCCAAACGTTGCCATTTTTTCATCTTAAGTAGATTCCAACAATAAGATTGCTCTAGTGAATAGAAACTCATGTCTAATATCGTTGTTGACTGAGTTGATTAGAATTGTCAACTTGGAAAATTATGTCCTTGTCATGTTTAAGGATATCTTGTATCGTAATAATTATACCTTGATTGATGTACACTTGTGCTCAGAGTTTGTTGCTAATTATTCAGCTTACCATTCAACAATGGATAATCATTTGATTAAATGAAATTTAACTTCAATTTATTTCGCCAAACAAGTTAAGACTTGATTAAATGACTGGCATCTATTCAAATTCAGTCAATTAAATGTCATCCATTTTGACAATTGAGCAAATTTTTAAATATTATTTCAAGCTTAGTCAAATATTTGAAGTAAACCTTTCAGGCTCACCAAATAATCTATTCAAAATTTAATTGTCCTTTCAAAGTTACATCTTGATTCAATTATTTACATTGTATTCAGTTTCTAATTCAACCTTTTTTCCTCTATTTTTTAATTTAACAGGGAAACAGAGGAACCTGAAATTGAGTCACATCTCAAATTCCCAAGCAATTTAGAGGAATTACAAAAGGTTTCCCAAATACTCGGAGACTATTTTCAGCACAATAAATCCTACGTTTTACTGTTATTTTCATCAGCATACCTTTTCAAGCAAACCTTTGCCATTCCAGGTTCAGTTTTTATGGTAAGTTATAAACAAGGAAAATGATTCCCCTGATGAACCAATACTTTTCTTGTTCAATTGTTTCAGACTAACTTATCTACTAATTACCCAATCCATTCCATAATGATAACTCAATTGTACTTGCAATTTTCATTTTCAGTGCGAAAAAGCTTAATTAATGTTAATCTCTGAGCTAATTTGTAGCTTCTTCTCATGCAAAAGTCCATCATTAACTAATTTCATTCTTCATCATTGCACTCAATAGGGTCTAATTAGCGAATAATTTGGTTCAAAACAGTTGCTAGAACTGTGCCTCAATGGAAACAATTTCAGGCTTTGATTCATTTCCATCCTAAAAATGGCTGTTTAACCCATTTTCAGTTGAATTTATTGACAACTCTGGTTATGAACATTCAAGATCGATTCATTGAAACTTGTCGAAACTGTTGAAACTTGAAACCTGACTTTGACCCAAAACTGTTTAAATTTGAATAGAAGATGAAAAAAAGGAAGAAGAAAATCGATTCAACTTGATCAAGTTGAAGCTTGGTCAACATCATGAAACTTGAGCTAGAATACAACTTGGAATAATCTGTCGTTTCATGGAACTGGAAAACAATGAATATTTGATTAAAAAAGTCAATCTCGAAAATTGGCTGAAAAATCGGTTCTTCTGTCATGAATATCTTCTCATCAGACAAAATGCAGGGAGAAAGGGCCAAAGAGTGAAAGATATGATTAACTTGAATTTCTCAAGAGGATTTGTGGAAAAAAAGATTAAAAAGTAAATAATGTGCAGAAAATGAAGAGAAATTGAATTATTTCCAGGCTGATTCATTCAATTTTCAATCAATATACTCAAATGAGGGAATTGATCGGAAAGAATGAACAAGAAAGAAACTGAATTCTCATAGTTGAATTATGTTTCATTTGATATGTAATATTGTGTAATAATCTCATAACATTCAATGATATTTACCTTTTTCTCCTTTTCCCATTTTCCTCTCTCACCACTTATCTTTAACCCTTTTATATAAATTGCATCTTACATTATCAATCTGAGTCAATCCAGAATTGGTAATTAAATGCACTTTTTGTTGTGCTTCTGTTCAACAATGAAATGCTATGTTCATTTACCCAACAAGATGAAATATCAATAGAAAGATTGAGTGTAAAAATGCCACCAATTCATGATGAATATTCAATGGTTCATTCATCATGTTTCATCTCTAAATTTTTTCATTGAGATATTAAATGAGATAAGTGCTCAGCAAACTGGATAAGTCATTTTGCCCATTCAAATTTCAACTCTTGCACTCGAATAAAAAAATGAATGTTTCTCGAAGGTTTCTCATTCTCAATTTAAGCTCTTAATTTTTGAATATTACATATAATATAAATAGATGACAAAAAAATATCAAACTGGAACTTCGAACACGACTTTATCAGAAAATCGTTAGCAAATTTGCTTCATTCCATTGATTACTGACTATGCAGGTCATCCGAACCGATTTTAATGATTTGTGTCTCATTGAATTTGTCGTGATAACAAACAATATAGTTCTCGGTCTTTGAATTAGCAAATGGATAGAAGGTTTGAAAAGAGCCATACATTGTCTATACAAAGATCAATGTAAAAGTACACATTAACTCATTGCGAGGAGCCTTTTTGTTTCACTCTTTTTGTTTTGCATGGTCATTACCACACTTTACACTTAAAAATTTACTTTTGATTCCTAGTTTTCTAGTTTATCTTTAATTTGCTACCCAAAAGATTTCGAGACGATTAAACACTCATAAAACATAATTATTTCATGATAAATACTAACTTCATTCGGATGACCTCGGGAACACTTTTTCAACCAAATTTAAATCAATGAGTAAAATTAACGTAAAGATATTCAGTAATAATTTTCAGTATAAAATAATCTTATCATCTAGAATCATATAAAAGAAGGACGATTAACAGGTCGAGTTAGTCAGTGGATCAGATAAAAACATTTCCACAGAAGATTTATTCGTTCAATTAAAGTAATCAACCACGCATTCTTTGATATTGTTCTAGGTTTATTGTTATATTAACACCTTCTTCCTCGTCTTCCCACCTCCATTGATAAAAATGGCAATGATTCCTTAAAAATTGTCGAACATTGTATTCTTCGTAAGCCTTGTTCAGTTCGTCCTCCGAATCATCGTTATGTTGCATGTTTTCCTCTAGTGGTTGGACTCGATGCGAAATTTGTGAATTCAATTCTTCATTAGTAACAAGATCTTTTATCCTGTTAAAATAACTTTTAGTATGACTATGCTGACAAAAAAACCCAGTGCATACTCCTTCTGCGACATCGATTTCAGGTACCAAAGCATAACCAATACCGATGTGAATGCATTTCTATTAGTGAATTGAAAAATTCAAAATAATAATCAAAATTTCTCTCTTAACCGATGAATTTCGATTTTTACGTCCTTGACAAAATCACAATTGAACCTAATATCATTGAAAGGAGGGCTATGAGAAAAGTTAGAAAAAATTAATACACAAAATGGCTAATTGATGTTTCGATTAATTATAAAATTTAAGATTACTCTCTATTGTTGTGAAAGTACAGATAACGTCGATGAACTCCGCCATCATTTCGAAACCAGATTTCATCATTTGGATAATCTCCACGAAGATTAGGTCGAGCTTCAAGCAGCCTGAATAATGTTTTATATTTGATTGGTATTCCAGTCAATGATTCGAGCTAAATTTAATTGATAAACAATAATGGAATTGGAATAAGTTGTTGGTCAATGATCGAGTAATAAACATAACTCACCTGATCGAATACTTGTTGTTGTTTTTATTCATATTTGTTATCATTCCAATCTATAACCATGTCATGATATTCACCTAAAAACTTTACTTTGAATTTAGCTAAAGAAGTGAAAGGTAAAAGTTATTTTATACTCAAGTTAAAATAACGAAACTTACTTTTATCAGAATTATTATTTTGTTCCATTTGTAACAATTATCAATAGCGATATTGCAGAACTTGAAAACAGGAAAGAATGTAAACAAAATTGTGTGAACTGGAGAATATTCAAGCAAGTTTTGGTTGCTAACAAATAACCAAAAATGGGCGAAAACAAGTTTCGATTCACCTCTGGCGCTATTTTCAAACAACCTCAAAATATCCAATAAACAAAGAAAAATTGATTTATCTCAAATTTTTTGTTTTATTCATGCATATTTATAATATTTATGTATCAATATATCGAAGGGACTGAATGTTATGAAGTATTGGTAACGTTGATGAACGAGATATCTTGATAAATGAATAAGCTCAGTTCAGTACATCACTAGAGCTCCTATTTTGTCGAATGATCGTCTGACCTAGTAATGATATAATATAAGTAACAACTTATTGTTATCAATCGTAGTAAACAATTTTGTGTTATTCATTGAGATATTAAATGCTCAAGTTCTCAACAAACTGGATAAGTCATTTTAATTATTCAAATTTCGACTCTCGCACTCGAATAAAAAGAATGAATGTTTCTCGAAGGTATCTGCAGATTGTTATACTTCATGTTTATTCAGGCGACTATGACATAGTTGAACACTTTTCGAACCAAATTTCAAATCAATGAGTAAAATTAAAGTAAAGACGCTGTAAAAAATTCGAAAGAAGGTTTATTCATTCAATTGAAGTAATCAGCCTCGCATTCTTAGATATTGTTCTAGGTTTATTGTTACAATACCATCCTCGTCACCAAATCTCTCTTGCCAATTATTTAAATGGCAATTATTCTTAAAAAATTGTTGAACATTGAACTCTCTGTAAATCTTTTCCATTTCCATAAACCAATGAATAACAGCGTTATGTCGCATGATTTCCACTATTGGTTGGATACGATGTGAAATTTGTGAATTCAATTCATGATTATTAACAAGGTCTTTGATCCTTTTAAAATAACTTTTAGTTCGTCTATGGTGACAAAACATGCGAGTGCATACTCCTTCTTCAACCCAGATCTCGCGTACCAAATTATAAGTGATACCAATGCGTTTCAAAACCATATTGTTATAATAAACATGAAATGTGAGATGAAAGCGTTCGCCGTCAAAGATGCATACATCATGGATGTTGTCCTTCACAAAGTCAACTGAGAACCTGTCATTCTGAGGAAAGCTATGAGAAAAGTTAGAAAAAATTAATACATAAATTGGTACATAAATGGGCTGTTTGATGTTCGAGCAATTATAAAATTTGAGATTACTGTGTTCTATTGAAAAAGTATAGAGAACGTTGTGCGTCTGGGTCTTCGTATGGGAGCAAGGTGCCATGAAACGGATAATTCTTATGAAGATGAGGTCGAGCTTGGATTAGATGGAATGATATTTTATATTTGCTTGGTATTCCAGTCAATGATTCAAGCTAAAATTTAATGGAATTAAATTAAGTTGTTGTTCAATGGACGAGTAATAAACATAACTCACCTTTTCGAATACTTGTTGTTCTTTGTATTCATATTTATCATCATTCCAATCAATAACCATGTCATGATATTCACCTAAAAACTCTACTTTGAATGTAGCTAAAAGAAATAGAAATTAAAAGTTGTTTTATACTCAAGTTAAGATAACGAAACTTACTTTTATCAGAATTATTATTTTGTTCCATTTGCAACAATTATCAATAGCAATATAATTGAAATGGGAAACAGGAAACGTGTGGTAAAGAAAATTGTGTGAACTGGAGAAAATTCAAACAAGTTCTGGTTTCTAACAAATAACCGAAAATGGGCGAAAACAAGTTTCGACTCAGCCATTGCGCTATTTTCAAACAACCGCAAAATATTTGTTAAAGAAAGAACAATTGATTGATCTCAAATTTTATTGTTTCATTTACACATATATTAGTATATTGAAGGAACTTTGCGGATATTTACATCATGAAAGGTTATCCGATTTTTCTAATGATTTTTGTAAGATTATATTCAGTTTGACATTATGTCCTTTGCCAACAATAAACTAGAAAAAGGACATTTGCGTTCTGGGGACTGGGGACTTTCACAAATTTAACATTTACGACCATGAACAACAAAAGTAAAGTAAAAGGCCATCATTTCTCATTTTTGTTGCGACGATTTAAAGAAATCAGTGGGTCAGATAAAAACATTGTGAAAAGACATTTTGAAAGAAGATTTATTGATTCAATTGAGGTAATCAGCCACGCATTCTTAGATATTGAACTTGATCAATGATTACTGTGCCTTCGAGCGTCCATAAATTGAGATGGCAAGACGTTAAGATATTGGTTAATAATTTTCAGTATAAAATAATCTTATCATCTAGAATCATACAAAAGAAGGACGATTAACAGGTCGAGTCAGTCAGTGGATCAGATAAGACATTTTGACAGAAGATTTATTCGTTCAATTAAAGTAATCAACCACGCATTCTTTGATATTGTTCTAGGTTTATTATTATATCAACACCTTCTTCCTCGTTTTCCCACCTCCATTGATATAAATGGCAATTATTCCCTAGCAATTGTCGAACATTGTATTCTTCGTAAACCTTGTTCAGTTCGTCCTCCGAATCATCGTTATAGCGCATGTTTTCCTCTAGTGGTTGGACTCGATGCGAAATTTGTGAATTCAATTCTTCATTAGTAACAAGATCTTTTATCCTTTTAAAATAACTTTTAGTATGACTATGCTGACAAAAACAATAAGTGCATACTCCTTCTTCAACCCAGATCTCAGGTACCAAATAATAACCAATACCAATGCGTTTCAAAGACATACTGTCATAACGAACAAAAAATCCGAGCTGAAAGCGTTCGCCGTCCATAATGCATACATCATGGATGTTGTCCTTGACAAAATCACAATCGTACCTAATATCATAGTTAACAGGCCTATGTGAAAAGTTAGAAGAAATTAATACACAAAATGGCTAATTAATGTTTCGATTAATGATAAAATTTAAGATTACTCTCTATTGTTGTGAAAGTACAGATAACGTTTTGTGACTTCACCATCAATTCGAAACCAGATTTCATCATTTGGATAATCTCCACGAAGATTAGGTCGAGCTTCAAGCAGCCTGAATAATGTTTTATATTTGATTGGTATTCCAGTCAATGATTCGAGCTAAAATTTAATTGATAAACAGTAATGGAATTGGAATAAGTTGTTGGTCAATGATCGAGTAATAAGCATAACTCACCTGTTCGAATACTTGTTGTTGTTTGTATTCATATTTATCATCATTCCAATCAATAACCATGTCATGATATTCACCTAAAAACTTTACTTTGAATGTAGCTAAAAGAAATGAAAGTCCAAAGTTATTCTAGAGTCAAGTTAAAATAGCGAAACTTACTTTTATCAGAATTATTATTTCGTTCCATTTCAACAATTATCAATAGCAATATTGCAGAACTTGAAAACAGGAAAGAATGTAAGCAAAATTGTGTGAACTGGAGAATATTCAAGCAAGTTTTGGTTGCTAACAAATAACCGAAAACGGGCGAAAACAAGTTTCGACTCAGCCATGGCGCTATTTTCAAACAACCTCAAAATATTCAATAAACAAAGAACAATAGAAAAGAGAATAGAAAGTCAATATTTGATATTAATTTTGATTCAATAAAATCCATTAAAATCGACAGAATTTCCTTTTTTCATGGAATCAACATTTTGTCAAGTTTGATTGAAAATCTTGCATAAAACATCAACCCTCAGCAGTAACTCACCAGCTATTATGATCTTGAAATGAAACATCAAGTTAATCTAGTTATTAGGGCGTTTGAACATGGCCGGTTCTAACATAGTTCGAGTAGGTGAACATAGATGGAAATGAGATAGACATTTAGCTTAATTATTTAGCTTAATTGTTAGAAAGTTTCAAAAAATTTTGTTCATTTGTTTAATTTTTATGGTGATTATTTATCATGGCGACCGTTGAAATGAAAGCTAATATAAAATTGCTAGTCAGTCAAAAGCGGACCAACAAAGAGATTCAAGAGCAATTAGCCCAAAATTTCCCTGATCTGAACCCGTCTAAGACAACAATCAATAGATGGATTCGAGAGTTCAGATGTGGCCGAGAAAGTTTGGAAAACCAGACTCAAAGAGAAGGAGTAGTGCAAATCGATTACCCTCGACTTTTGGCCGCCGTGAGTGCCGATCTTAAGGCTGACAAAAAACTTTCGATTCGGCAATTGGCCGATAAGCATCGGACATCAACACAAACGATGCATAATGTGGTCACAAATCTCCTTGGCAAGAAAAAGCTAACTCCTGTTAAGGTTCCTCATACCCTCAACATAAGCCAAAAAGAGTCTCGAGTTAAGTGCAGTGAAGCTATGTTAAAGCTGTATAATAGGGGCAAACGTGATTTTATCGAGAATCTTTTCACCATGGATGAGACCTGGTTGTCCATATATGACCCAGAGTCTCGAACTGAGTCAATGGAATGGGTCAGTGATAGGTCCGAGCCCTCGCAAGTCGCAACATCAGATAGACGTGACCCTAAGGTTATGGCCTGTGTTTATTGGTATTCCGGAGGAATTTTGAAAATTTTTTGGTGTCATCAAGGAACCACAATCAATGGTGAAATCTATCGCGAGCAATTGAAAGAAATCGATGAGCTCATCAAGAACATATTACCAAAAAGGCCTCTCTTCCTCCAGGATAACGCGCGTCCTCACAAGGCCGCTGCTACAATGGCTCTGATAGAGGAATTAGGGTGGAAAACAGTTACCCATCCTGCCTATTCACCTGACTTGGCTCCGTCAGACTTTTTTCTTTTCAAAAATTTAAAAAAATTCCTAAGAGGAACTCGATTTTCTTCCATTGATGAGCTAAAGGTCAGCGTCGAAGACCTTTTTTGAACAAAAGCCCATATCTTGGTTCAGAGAAGGAATTGAAGCCCTACCTACCCGTTATCAGAGATGCATTGCTGCGTCAGGAGAGTATTTCTCTTAAATTTCGATAAAAAAATAAATGCTCAATGTCAGAACCGGCCATGTTCAAACGCCCTAATATCTTGGATAACCTTGCTTCTAATAAATTATTGGGGAAAATTTTTGCTCCTTCATTCAAACTGCATTAACAATGTTTCCATCATTGATAATACATGTTGGGTTCAATTTTTCTGGTTTAGTCCTTTTCTCCTTCTTATTCTGCTTTACTCTTGGCTATCCTTTTGGATTATCGATTGTTCATTCATTGATTAAAACATTAATTTATATTCTAATTCAGGAAATGTGAACTGATTGTTAATGGTCAACTCGAATCATTTTGAATTTAATTTGCAAAACTCTGTCAATAACAAGCCATTATCGATGGACTTAGTGTAACTCTAATAGACTCTAATGAAACCTGATGCTATTATGAATATTATTTTTTGTTCCAATCCTGACTAATCAATTTAAACCCATTCCAGATTATTCAATTTCTCTATCTCCTGTTACAAAGTAACACAATCCCAACAATCGTTAACAAAAATTGATGAAACATTTAGTGGACTTTCACTTCTATAGTGTTTTTATATTTTCTAACAAGTCACCTAAATAAGAGATTTAACCAAATATCGAAAGTAAAACGAAAACTGAACGAGTGAACCGTATGGCCCTTTCCCGTCAAGTCACTTGCTCTTTGGAATTTAGTTCCAATTTCGACTTGTTCTTGACAATGTACATTGGCATATCTGATCTTGAAACTTGTTACATTTGATTTGTTAGCTGAAAGACTTTGATTCTCATCATTTGATTTTATGCGAATTTCAAGGTCATATCCAGAGTTTTCATTTCAGAACTTTTATTCACATGACAGTTATTATTAATGAGTGATTTACATTCAATTAGCTTTTCAAAAGCAAACCTTTTTTCATCTCTTAACAGACTGAAACTATAAAAATTTAATCTTTGCATTCAAGTCTTCCAGTTCAATTGAAACACTTTACTGAACAATTTCAGCTTCTTTCATCAAACTTGTCTCATTATTATCAATATTAACCTTAGACTTTTCATTTCACCAAATTTCAATGAAATAGACACAATCTATACTTTCTATGGATTCATTTTCCATTTCATCTGAAACATTTCACATTCATATTTATCGAGTTACTTTCCCTGAAAGTTGCTTGAAATAGAAATGCAATTGTAATGTTTCTTTATCACCAATTTCCGGATAATTATGATTGATTAGAGGAAGAAAAAAGCCAACGAAAGTTGACGAAATTTTCAATTTATATTCTATTTTGGTTCTTGAAAGTTTCATCAGGCAACTTTAAAATTGAAACGTTGGATTTTGACATTTCATTCTGTTTATTTTAAACAGACTCTTGATCATAATACAATCACCTTTTTTCAATTCAACTTGAAATAATCTTTTCATTTTCATTCAAATTCTTGTTTTTTCCTTTTCTTCATGAATATTCATTTTCTGAAAAAAACTCTTTGTTCATTCAAGTGGAATTTGAATCCCACTAGAGAAATATTTTGACAATTATTCCCTTTTCTGTTTCATGTTTTAATTGAAAGTTTATTCAATCAAACCATTGATGGTCCATAAACACTTGTCCTTCTTTCATGAAATTTGCCAGTAAAATCAACTCCCAGTGCTGTTTTATGTAAAACAATGTATTAGCAGAAACTGTATCAAGTTATCAGTTCAATGAGCATTAACTTTGTTTCCTTTTCCTTAACATTATAAACGAATAAAATGTCCTTTGCTTGTTCACTGTGTGATAATAATTTGAAAGCAACTTTAAATACTTCATGTCACAAGAAATTTTCAAAACTAACATTCGATTGATTCCGTTGAATTTCAAGTGATTGCATATTTGAATCAGTTAACAGAAAATTGTTTCCGGTAATTTGCTATTCGTTAGACACAAAGTTCTTCATTGAAAATCGTTCATCCAGATGGAGTACTGATAAGCCTTTTCAGATTGGAATCTTGAACGAAACGTAGACGAACTTTTTTGCCTGAATATGAATCAATTAATAGAAGCGAAAAATCGTCCAATTTTGCGACATTGTCTGTTCTTCGTTACATTTTTTTTATCGTTTTTATTTACTTAATGAACGATCTCGTAAATAACTTTTACCACCAAATAAACCAACAAATGAAAGATGAACTCGAAGTTGAAAGAAAAGTTCATTTATTTGCAGACAAAAAGACTGATTTCAATAGACGCCAGAATTTTCTCAATGATTGATACAGTGTTTCCATGTTTTCCTTTATAACTTCATGTAAATGAAAAACGAAAAATAACAAGCAAACAGAATGAAAAGTTGAACAGAATTACCTTGAAAATACAATTAAAAGAGTTGATCAATATCGTCTGAAAAATTTCACCAGACTATCAGCGAGAAATCAACGTTCTCTAGTTTTTTCATGGTAACATTAAGAATATTGAATCACGTAATTTGAAAATTAAAAGATTCATTGAAAAGAGTAAAAGATGCTCGAATTAAGATGATAAAGTTTACTTTGATGAGGAATGAAGAAGAAGAAGAAAAACCATGAAAAAACTTGTTGTATTCAAATCATTTTAAATATGTAAATGTTCTTGTCTTTTTATTTCTCGATCAAAACAAATAATGTGTGTTAAGATGAATATAAATGAGTCTTTGGATGTTTCCAAAAAAATCAATGTCATGCATAGTTAATGTTAATTGTATTACATTAAATGTGATCGGAATGATAGTTTAAAGTTGCTCCAATTGTTACTCCAAATGTTGAGTTGAAACATCAATTTCAAGGGAAAACATTAACTTGAATTTGCATTGAAAGTAAAAATTGCAAATTGATTATCATCAACTTTTCATTAATGTTATAAAACTCGATGGAAAAGGTACAATAAAAGAAACATGATAGACATAAACTAATAACAATCATTTTCCGAGTTATTATTGAACATTCGTTTTCCTTGCTTGCTTTCATATTCGAGGCTTTAGATTTTTCATTTTTCACCATTTTCTTTATTCCTTTCATTGGTTCGCTCATTGATCAATTATCCTTTTCATGTTGCGAATAATACAATGTATGATTTTTTTGTTGTTCATCTCAACACCAGAATCTTTTGTCAGGAGCATTGTTTGGATTAAAGGCTGGTTTCACGCTTGCTTGCCTTTTAACAGCAACTGGAGCAACATTTTGTTACCTTTTATCAAATTTTTGTGGCAAATCATGGATTTCGAGGCAATTTTCAAGACAATTAACTGTATTACGGCGTAAAGTGGAAGATAATCGTTCTTCATTAATCTATTATCTTCTGTTTCTTCGACTCTTTCCAATGACTCCGAATTGGTTCCTCAACATCGCCTCCCCAATAATTGGAATACCTTTGCATCTCTTCTTCATCTCTGTTTTCATCGGTAAGAATCTTTCGATTAATTTTGATAAATTGTTTTATACTTTTTCACATTTTCAGTTTCGATTATCTTTTTGCCAAAACTTGAAAGCGACCTTTTTGAGTTTCCTCGAAATGCAAGTAATTCTGAGAGATTTAACGATGAATAATTGTCGATGTTACATGATTCAATATCATTTCATGCTTCAGCTAAAATTTTCAATCAATTTTGTTTAATTGTTTGTCAATTTTTTGCCAAAATTGGGTTTTCCGATAAAAAACTTTATAAAAGTAATAGTTTAAGTATTAGTTGAAGAGTAAATAGTAGAGAGTTGATTCGGTCTGTGTGAAAATGATGAGCGCTTGCTTTGAACTGAATTCCAGTTTAGATTATTCACAAATTATTTGTTTTACTATCGGTCGCCCAGGAAATAATGAGCCTGCACGAAACTGATTGAGTTTGTTGGGTATAATTCTGACAAACTGAAATTATTCTAGGAATCACTTCCAGTCTCGTAATCTCTTAATTTCAGATCTTAATTCATTTTAATTTGCTCTATTTTATCTTAACTTTTTATTGCTCAAACAATCTTTTAAATTCAATTTGTTTAACTTTCATAGTTATCTTAATTCTGTGCTTTCTTAAGCCTTCTTTTAAATATTTAGGGAACCCTCAAAATTTGTAAAACTGATTAGAAATTTCAGTTAATTAATCTCAAAATTTAAGACACAAAAATAAGTGCCATTGAGAAAGAGAAGTGAAAATGCCTTTCTTTTTATCTAGCTTTTTTAAACTTTTAATTCATACTGCTTTAATCCCTAAAGCACTGATAAAGCTATGACAATCTCTTATGAGATATCTGTCAATGGTTAATGTCTCTAGACATAGTCAGTAGGTAAAGGCGCCATAGCCTTCACTGTATTAAATTAGCTGATAACAGCCTAATAAGTCACCCTTAAACTGGTGATTAACCATATTGAGACAAGATAGACAGAGACGCTTTTTCACTCTCTTCACTTCCCTCCAAAAACAGTTCTTTTGTTTCATATTCAGTATAAAACTGCCCCCAATTAATTTCTCCCATTCACTCTAATTCTTGGACTTCTTTAACCCTCATAGGTTTTTGAATTAAAGTCATTGTAAACTGTGCGATCTTCCTCTGAGAAGTTAAACTTATTCTTAACAGTTGCCCCATTCAAGTTATCCCCTTATTCTTATAATTAATAAAGTATTCTTAGACTCAAGTCTTTCTAGTTGAATTGTGTTCTTTCCATCTCTTATGAGATATTCCTAACAGTATTGGTAAAGAGAGCATTGAATGCTGAGTGATCCTAGATATGAACCTTATACTTGTAGTGAAAGCAAGTGTGCAGTCTTCTATTCAGATCCGCTTCACATAAACCGAACCTTTCACTTGGCGACCACGGCAGGATTGCTTTGTGTTTCTGTGCCCGCTTTTCCCGTAGCTGTGTTTCAAGATTTTGTGAAATCTCCACACCCCAGTTCTAAAGTTCATCTTCAATGAGCGTTTCAGTGCCTGACTCAGAACTCAAGTTCTATAAATTCAACAAATTCTCCATTGACTCTGTGATCAGGATCAACTTTTCCAAAGCTAAACTTAGCTTAATTGTGGTGCATTAACTCAAAATTTTCATCTTTAACTCAAGTCAAAGACTCAATTCAACGTTCCATTCTTCAAAGAATATCTCCCATAAACTTTCATTCCTCCAAGAATACAATTCCAAGCCGCTTTCAAAGCCCAACAAACACGAACAATTTCAAACTTACTCCATCACTTCAGTGATCTTCTAAATTCATTATCTAATTCCACTGCATCTTCAACTATCACAATGGTAAGAGACGTACGACGCGCTAGATTTGGTATCGACGCCGCAGAACCTATTGTTGGTGAAATCGATCAAGCTAATGCTGTCGCCTATCTTGAGACTTGGTCTGTTACCGCACCTCTACCTTGTTTAGCTATAAAACGCTTGACTGAATGCATTAAAACTCATATGCTTCTTGCTGGTGAGTCCTTCTCTGATGAAGATATAGCATGTTTGCCTGTCACTGTTATCACTACTTTCACCGTTCCTGATTGGATTCAACATTGTCGAACTCAAGGCATTACTGAGAGTGAGATACAAACAATTATACTATCTTTAGGTCGAGAACGTGAAGTCATTTTACGATCTACCCATGCTAACATTCATTCACTTCCCCTTGCTACTGGAACTATTCAGAAATTTGCAACAATCTTACAATCCTTAGGTGCTACCATTGATACCCCTCCAGTCTCTTCTCCTCCACCTTCCATACCACATCCACCTCCTTCCTCTACTCCTGCTTACAATGATTCTCAATTCCTTGTTACTGCTCTTTCTAACTTGAAACCTGACCCTTTCGTTCCCGAATTCCAGAAAGGTGAAGATTTTTCCGATTTCATTGATAAAACGAAACAAAGACTCTCTCAAGAGAACATAGATGATAAAACTCGTCTACGATGTTTCAAGAAAGCTTTAGCACACGAACTTTTAGCTCTAGCTAAGACCTTAGATCAGAACATCACTGATTATGAAGAGTTCTTGAAAGCTCTTAACGATGCTATCAAGACTCCTGCAATGCACTATTCAGCTCAGTTTCAACTTAGACAATTAAAGTATAACCTTTCAGAGCATCCAAACATGTTTTTATTGAAACTTCGTAACGCCCTTACCAAAGCAGTTGGAAGTTATTCTGAAGAAGTATTCAAACTTGAACTTCTTAATCACATTCCTCAATACATTATCCATGAAATCAATACCCTCGGTTATACCGACGATTTACCCAAAATTACTAACTTACTTATCCGAAAACACTTTGAAGCTGAACAAGCTAAACAATTTAACAAGAACAAATCCCAAACAACTTCTCAAACTCCTCGAACTTCAAACTTAAACAATTACCTACGTAAACCTGATAATAAATCCCATCCTCCTCGAGCTCAACCATACCGTCCTCCTAATTCCAATACAATTTCCTGTGCCTATTGTAAAAGAATAGGTCACACCATCAACCAATGCAGAACTAAACAATACCGAGATCGAGAAACTTCTCAAAATCCTCGTCCAAATCCTAATACCCGAGCAATTACTGCTCCTCCTGCAGCTACTCCCTCCACTTCTCAACAAAACCAAAATCCATCCTCATCGAACTTAGCTCATGAAGCAAATCTTCCCCCAGAACCCACAACCGCAGCTATACGAACTTCAGCCATATCCTACACTCTTTCAACAGTCCCTACTGTTCCACTCCTTACACAGTTAGGTGACACCAATCTTTCTCATATGCCTCATGCAACGTTCAAACTTTGCCGACCTAATCGAGAATTGGTTAGGGAAGGTCGAGTTTTATTGGACACTGGTTCTACCATTTCTGCACTCGATTCCAAAACTGCTGAAGAGCTTGGCGTCCACATCATCCCTTACACTAAATCTCTCAAGGGTATCGCTGCTGAACAATATGTACCTTCTCATGGCTTCGCATACGCTGTTGTAAAGCACCCACTCATGGCTGAATCTCGAGTATTCAGAATTCACATTGTGAATAACTTTGAGCCCATCTGCCTGATCGGAAATGCTTTTATTCACCTCTACTATTTTCAACTTAAATCGGATGGAAATGATTACAAAACTACTTGCTCAGAATATTACAATTCACCTCCACTAGATCCAACTTTTTTCTTTAGATTCTGCACTCCCGAAGAAACCCAACAGATATTTGACATAACTACTCTTCCCGCTAATAAAGCTAATGATAACTACATTCTTGATAACCCCACTATACGATCTGAACCCATTCAAATTCCTATTCAAATTGGTGAACATTCTGCACTCATGGCAAAGTGTGATTTTCACACTCAAGAACAAATTCAAGAAATCCAAATTCAACCTTTTCGTGAAAAAATAGCTCAAAGAATCAATCCTAACTTATCTCCAGATTTACAAGAACAATACATCTCTCTCATTGATTCATTCCAAACCAGTTTTTCTCAATCCAAATCTGATTTAGGACTTGTTCCTTCTACTGTCTGTCCTGTCAAAATTGACTTGGATCGACCAGAAGTCCCTTGGCAAAATCCTTATAATTGTGCACTCAATAGACGAAATGAATTCAAGAAAATTATCGACGATCTGCTGAAAAATGACATCATTGAATACAGTGATGCTCCTGGTGGAGCTCCATCAATATTGGTTCCGAAACCAGATGGAAGCTTCAGAATGGTGATAGACTATCGAAAGCTGAACAGAATAACGAAAGTTCCTCGTTATCCAATGCCTCGCATTGATGACTGCTTGGAAGTTGTCCGTGGTGGAAAGTACTTCAATCTTTTCGACCTTGCCCAAGGTTACCACCAGATCGAGCTTCCTTTAGGAGAAAGAGAAAAGACCGTCTTCGTGACTCCAGATGGCAAGTACCATTACAAGCGCTTGCCTATGGGTCTAGCAGCCGCACCATTCATATTTCAGAAACTTATGAATCAAGTTCTTGATGGTTTGATATACCAAAAATGCATCGGATACTTCGATGACATTCCCGTAGTTGGTAAAGATTTTCCTGATTTACTCTCAAATACCGAGTTAGTCTTAAACAGACTCAAAAGTTATAACCTCAAGGTTAAGCTAGAAAAGTGCCATTTCGGTTATGAGGAAATCCTGTTATTAGGACATCTTGTCTCTGGACAAGGCATTAAACCAGATCCAAAGAAGGTTGAAGCCTTAAAGAATCTCCCGTACCCTCGAAATGTACGAGAACTCCAATCAATCCTTGGATGTTATAACTATTTTTCACGTTATATCCCGAATTTCTCAACTCTTGCTGCCCCCCTGTATCGTTTAGTCTCCAAAGAGAAAAGGTTCAGAATCCTTCCTGAAGATCGAAAAGTCTTAGACAATCTCAAAGATTCATTAATCTCAACTACAATGCTCGTGCATTATGATCCCAAACTAAGACGAAAGATTTCTGCTGATGCTTCAGACCATGCC